TATATTTTGTTGATAATTGAAAAGCCTAACAATTAAATGCTATTTACTGTTTATCTGTCTGTTTGTAATATTTTTTTATGATTAACAATTACATTTTAATTTTTGTTCTCGTTCTAGCATAGTTTTCAATTCTCACAATCATATGCTAAGGTAAATACATAATTCCTTATTCAATTATATATATTCTTTTAATTTCGATATTGATGTGGTGTTATATAATCTATATGATGATAATTTGTTTTTTTTTATTTTAATTTACATACAGAAAAAATAGTTGTTATTTTTATAAGCTTTAACTAAACGTCAATTTCTACACAGTACATACACATTCATCAATTGAAATTCAGACATTTGGTGTTTAAGTTGTTTTTTTTCATGTTTAAATTTTGTTAAACTTATTTGAATTTATTTCATATTTTTTTATTTTTTAAATAATTTTTGCATTCATAATATTTTCTTGTACTCGTATAAAGCTTTTCAGAATCGAGAGATAACGAACGATTGTATGTTTTATTTTCTTCTTACTTTTTGAAACTGCCTTTGTTAAAGAATTGGAATAAAAGTCTAATGGACACTAATGTGTTGCTCCACGGATGATGCTGTCCACTATGGAATTTATATTTCGGACCAAAATAATGCAATAAGTTCAATAAAACCATATAATATTGAACTAAGTGCTTAAAAATAATACCCCAGACGTTTCAAAATCCCCAATAGTTCTCAAATTCATTTAATTTTATCTTTGGGTCTTGTATTGGTCACACTTCTTCGCTTCTATTTCTAAAAAAAAAAAATATGTTTGTGGCTCAGGTAAATTGAGCTACTGTAGAAATTTTAATCGAATTCGTATGTCAGAATTTTGAATTTTCGATTGTCAAAAAAGTAGCTTATGAAAAAAAAAAGTTATAAATAGAAGACACGTGTGGGCGTTTTGAATGTTTATAGCGTTAATTTTCGGATTAAGATTCCTTAGCATCCAAGAATTTTAGGTATATGGTGTCTTTGGTAATATTACCGATAACAATACAAGGAATATTTTTAAGAATTCACCCTAAAGCGTGTCACCAACGGGTTTTTGGATGCTTTCCTTTGAAATAAGATTAAAAGCTACCTTAACAAGTCAAAATATTCTCCAAATTATTTGTCATAAATGAATACATCAAAAGTCAAAATCGTGACCAAACGCCAGGAATTCCTAGGTAAAGGCCGTCTTCATGTGGGTTTATGCAAAATTCTCCTACAAAACATCATTTTAGAAGAACGTCTTCAAAAACAAAAATATTCGTCATCAAATTTCACTATATATTAACAAAGAAATTAAATCTTTATTTCCATTACATTTCAAGATCTAAAGGGTAATATCTTAAAAGAAAATGTTAAATGTAATCTATTAAGAGCACGAAATGTGAACTCTAAACCTTCTTATACTACAAGCCCATATTGATAACAAAATCTATTTCAATCTATTACAGACCTACCTAATACCCGACGAGCCGTACAAAAATACTTCCTCCAACTATGGTAACATGTTTTGTACGTCTCTACTATGCAAATGCGCAATGTCCACATCTTCCCAATTGCACACATTCACATTTTTGTTACATAGTTTTATTTTTAACATTTGTCCTTTAAGCCATCAGAATGGATATTAAATGTCTGATCGAAAATGTCAAGCGAAATATCCAAAATATGACATATAACAGCGTTATCTAAACTACGACGCACTCGATCGACGTTGATATGAGAGTTACCCATAAACGTCGGGCGTACAAAATTTCAAAGTTGAACATTTGCAACGTTGACAATTGAAATAATTCCTTTTTTTGTGTAAGCAAAGGCTAGGCTAACACTACAATATGTTCGAAGTCTCCTTATGTCCAAATCCATTTTGGAAGATTTCGTTTTTGAAATAGTGTCGGAAAGCCCTGCCCCTTAGGTTTTTGACCCGGGGAATTTAGACAATATTTACGCACTCCGTTCTTTTGTTAGGCATTCAAAACATTTCAAAATTTCACAGGAAACTTGTGGTCCATTTTACAGGTAAATATAATCCAATGGTCATCCAAAATGCTAGACTTTTTCCCTGTCCTTAGCTCTCTTCTGATGCGAAATTCCGTATGGATTGGTTTTCAATTGTGACCTGTAGAGTGCAAAATCAGGAAAATTAAATTTTTTTGGCCCATTTTAAGCCCTAAATCTAGACCTTCAAAAACAATAGGCTTTTATTCTGACCCTAACCCCATGCAAAATTTCGTGAGGATCGGACGGTAATTGCGACAAACCTAGTGTTGCGGGGTGTAAAAATTGAGAAAATTTACAACTCAAAATTGTAATCAGCATCGCTTTTATGGTCAGAAGTGGACTTTTAATGCATTTCTAATTTGGCTGACATTTAAAATATTCGCGGTTTAGTGAAAATGTTCATATTTTCTTACATAAAAGTTAGGGTCTATTTTAGCCGATAAATATTGTCCGATGGTCGCCCAAATTGGTAGTCCTAAACTAACTCCATGTAAATTTTCGAGCAACTGCAAAACCAGGAAAATATTCTGTTTTTGGTCCGTTTCAACCCCTAAATATTCTGCGATCATCTCCAAATACAATAGGCTCCTATCGTCACCTCCTTTTTTAATTTCGTGAGAATCGGGCCATTATTGCGACCTGTAGCGTGATTGCAAATTAACATGGCCAGGCGGACGGACGGATATACATAGCAAAATCGGCTCAGCTCGGCGAGATAGGAAGATCCATATATACATTCCTATGCGGAAAACCAATATTTCGAGGTGTTACATAATTTTTGGCCCAATCAAACTTAAAATACCCCCAACACATAGTGTTGTAGGGTATAAAAATGTGAATGTTTGTAATTGAAAATGTTAAAATTGGGTTAATTTTAAAAAGTATCAATTTTTACAACGTTTTTATTTGGTAGATTATAATATATGGACCTGGCGTATTTGGTTAATACGGACATACAAAACATTTTACATTTACGTACGCTACGTTTTAATAATGTTTAATATTAATAATATTAATATTTGACAGAAATATTTTGCCAAATCAAAACTTTGGAGAACCAAATTGTTGAATTTATGATCATACAAAAATGGAGAAAAATATCGAAACCCTCAAGTCAAGCCCGGAGCTGAATGTCCATTAGCTGCTATAAAAAATGTTCCCCGGCATTACTTAATTTTTTTTTTCACACAAACATATACTATTGACTTCTTTAAATAAAATCCATTCATCTCTCAATTATTAAATTCCCTTACTTCGTTTTTTCTCAAGTATCCATTATATCAATACAAAAATAATGATAGAAAAAAACTTGCTATTTTATATATGTGTAAATTTGATTATTTATTAATATGAAAAAAAGAACATAGAAAAGAAACTACTACTGCTCAGTATCGGTGTCTTTGTTAAATGATCAGTCAATATGGAGTGTGGGTGGTTGGTTAGGGCCAGCCATACACATACACAGCGGTAATTACAATATTACATTTAAAATCTTTGCAAAAAAAACCTATTTTGTTGTTTGTATGTTTGTTTTTGGAGGATTCGCCTAAAACTTAGTTTATATATATAGCGTTGTAGATATATAATTTGTTTGTTGTTTGTTTTACAATCAATGCCATCGTCACTGTTTTTTCTTTATATGGTGGTTTAGTTTCATAGTTTACATTTTCCTTTTTTTAGAATATTAATTTCTTGTTGTTGCTGTTTTGTTGTAATTAGTACATATACATTTATATATTTGCTTGTATTTTTCCATTTGTTTTTTAATTAATTATTATTTTTTTCTTCATAATAATAAAAAGCATTAGTTATTTATTGTTCTTTTTCGGTATTACCTTTTTTATACATTGTTTTCTTTAGGTGTTACTTGATTTGTTGGTGTGGTAATTTTTTATTTTTTTTTTTTTTAAATATAATTAATTATTATTACTAATTGTGTTTTTTAATTTTTAATTGTCTCCAGTAGAGAAAGGAACTTAAATTAGAAAAAAAAAATATTTTTTTTTTTTTGTATAAAAATAAAAGAAAAACATAGGTTTTCCATCAAATATTTAGATATATATTTCTATTGTGTGTCTAAGCGAACGTATTGGGGATAACCGCTTTGTATCATTTTGAATACCAATAACACTAAAAGTCTGAATTTTTTGGGGATGTTATTTCCATTGATTCTCTTACAGAAGAACAATTAGTTCAGTGGAGGAATGGAATTCATTGGAAGCTTCAGATGCTACGTTTGAAAAAGCCTGTTTCCGTGGAGCCAGAATATATATATATCACTATTGAAAGTTTTTCAAGATTGACAACAGAAATGATCCTGTGAAAAATAGGCATGGTTTCCAGGACATAGCAATATAGTGGGAATGAGATGGCTGATTAACTCGAGGAGGCCGCTTGATGAGACTACCAAACCACCAATAAGCTATTATTCAAAAATCTCTCATCAAAGAAGCTGGAGAAAGATGGGACTTAGAGAGCGGCTGTAGGGACTCTGGCCGGTAATCTCGAGAAGAAGAACAAGTAGGCCTGAACTAAGAAATGTAGCCTATGCGAAGATGAAGGAGAGACGATATAACACCTACGATGCATTTGTCCCATGTTATCCATGTTAAGTAGACCACTCTGCTAACTGTACTTCTTTCTATAAGCCCCTACTTCTGTTTCTCTATTTCTCCTATCCTAACTAGGATGAACACAATGGACCAAAGGACTTCGGGTGAAGCAGTTGCACATCCTTAAACCATTAAATATTTATAAGGACATTTGAAATTATTTGAAGAGCCAATTTGTATCCGTTGCCACTTGTTATTTACGGAATAGAGGAACAAAGGAAAAAAACGGTGACCCACAATACATTCAAATTAATTGATTATACATCCAACCATTTGGGTAGGATGTAACTAGCTATAAATACAATCTGAAAATAATGTAATTTGATTATTTTGTTAAGAAATAATTTGTTGTAGTTTTTTTTAAGAAATTCTGGTAACACTGTTAAACATTTTAAGGACATAGAGTGCAGCAAACCATTTGCATTTGAGCATTAAACCCCATTTGGTTTGGTGGACCCACATTCCGTCGAATTCTATGGCTTCATTAGTACTTGGCAAAAATCTTTAATTCTTTTTAAACATCATTTAAAATGTTCCAGTATATGTGAAATGTTTTTGAGAATTCCTGTAGGGTTTTAAAGTTTCTAACAAGCATTGAAGCTATAACTAATATGAGTGCATCAGAAATGTTACGAAAGAAAAACTCCCATATCATGGAGTAAATACTACATTTCGATATAAATGCTTTCGATACCGAATAGAGAGAATTTTCCTTAAGGGAAATATTTATGGAAATAGTGTTTCTCTCTTAAAGTCCTTTTATATCGTCAGGCTCTCAAATATTAGAAATATTCCAAACTGAAATATTAAAGTGTTGCACACGCAAATATTAGAATTATTCCAAGTTAAAATATTAAAGTGTTGCAGATATGCACACTTATTTTAATCTTCCTAGGGAGCTACAAAATTGGTTCTTTGGTTTTGAAGAAAGAAAATTTAAATGCATTTAGATAATACCATAAAATCCATAAAAGGATCTGAACCACCACAAATCCAAATGGGGATATTACAATCTCAATACGTCAAAAAAAAATGGTTATTAAAAGTTATTTGATTTGCCATTAAAGCACAGTGTAAATCAAGTGATGTTTTTATCATCTTGCTGCATAAATTTGATAAATACTAAAAAAATACAAAAGTACTTTATTGTTGTTATATTTGTTGTTTGTATCCTATATATCACTGTTATAATATATATTAAAAAAATATTATTCGATAAAAATGAAAATAAAAACATTTAGTAAAAAATAGAATTCCTACAAGTCACATATATAGCAAGTTTATATATAAATGTAATACCAGTTTATTTAACATTCCGTTATATAAATAAAATTCTAAATAAAAAAATCATGTTTTGTTGTTTATATTTTTTTCACGTTTTGTTTTTGTTATTTAAATTTGAGTACCTAATAAATGATGTTTTTTGTCGGTAACCAGCCGCAATTTTTGTTTTTTTTTTATAAAGCGGTATGTTTGTTTTTGTTTTATTATCATGCCTATATCCATGGTCGTCTAACTATTATCACCGCTACTTTTTAGAATTACAGAAAAAAAGAAAAACACATACGTACACACTGGTTTCTTACTTTTAGGTATGAGTGGTTACTACTGGAACTTGGCAATATGGACACTCCGTCACCGAGGTGGCACAAATGTCACATAGAATAAAATGATTACATGGCTCCAATGTTACGGTACGATTATTCTCTTCACATTTCATACATTTTCGGGCGTTCTCCAAATATAATACCTTTTCGACTTCCTCTAGATCGGTGCGCAATTTGGACTGGAAAGAAAAAGGGATATATAATGCATTATGAGGTATATTAAAAAAAAACAATTAAAATTGTAATAAACAATTAAAAAAGGTTATAGTTATACCATACGCCATCATTGGCGATAAAGATTTTATAGAAGTGAAACTGTATTGACTAAAAAGAACGAAACCCACTAAATTTAGAGGGCGAACAACTTAAAAATGTTTTGAAAATATGAAGGCGTGTTCTCTAATTAACGATTAATATGAATATAAATAATGTATTAATTTCCACTTTAAAGATCGAATATGGTTGTTACTACAGGATGAGATGAAAAAACTGCAACCAATTTAAGACTGATGTCATTTCCAAGCTACTCGTCCGACAGCTGTTAAAATTATTCCAGTGACAGCTCATTATATTGTTTACAAGCGTACAAAAGCATTTTGGTGAGAATTTTCTAGAAAAAAAGTTATTCGAGATGGAATTCAAGCGTGATAGTGTTTGGATTGAAAACCACAAGTGGCTAGCTTTAGATCACCCCAGCATTTAAATGTGAATAAATCTTTTGTGTCTCGTATCATCGCTTGCTACCGTGATATTGGTAGCGTAGGCAGACGTCAAGGAAGTGGACGGAAGAAAACAGCGACATCAGCAGAAATTGTTCGAAAAGAAAAGAAAAGAAACGACTTGATCGAAACCCGGGTCGCAGTGGCCGAAAAATGGTTCGTGAGCTGAACATATCGCAATATTCCATTTGGCAAATATTGAAAAAAGAACTCGGGTTAAAGCCATTGAATTTCCAAAAAGTGCAAGAACTTACACCACAAGAGAAAGAAAATAGACTCCAAAGAGCTAAAGAGCTGCTTCGCTTGTCCGAAAGATAAGAAAATATTCGTTGTCCAGTAGTTTGTAAACAAACAACATGATCGTGTTTACTTGCCAAAGAGGTCAGCTGAGAATGTGCACCTTCGGTTGGCAACCAGAACTCATGCGCCGGCCATGGTGATGGTGTGGGTCGCCGTAACAGCCTCTTTCTTCATACTAATCGACCGTGGCATCAGAATAAATGCCGAATATTATCGCGAAAATATTCTGGAGGGGTATAAATGCCTTGGGTACAATAAACTTTTTGGCAGCAGACCTTACACATTCTAACAGGACTCAGCACCATAGCACTCAGCACGCGCCACTCAAGAATGGCCACCGAAATCTCCGGATACCAATCTGTTGGACTATTGTGTCTGGAATATTTTGGAAAGCAAGGTTGGCACTAAAAAATACCAAAGTGTTGATCACATTAAGCAAGCGCTTCGCTAGAAATGGGGCAAAATACCGCAGCGCAATATTCGGGCAGCGTGTGACGGTTTCGTTGGTCGTTTGAAGGCCATAATTCGAGCCAAAGGTTGCCAATTCGAACAAATCTAAATTAATTCTAAAATTTGATGCTATTGCCGATATTTTTGCTTTCATTCAATAAAATTAAAAGAAATGTAAAAATTATGGTGTTTGATTTTGTTGCAGTTTTTTTATTTCACCCTGTATATGAACATAAATAATGTATTAATTTCAATTTAAAAGATATGGTTATTACTACTTTTTAATATGTTTGAACTATTCTCATAGATTAGAAACTACGTTCACTGGATTTTGACCGGATTCACGAAAACATAAAAAATCGGGGCAATTGCCTTATATTAAAGTCTTCTTTCGTTCCAAAGAAAATGCTAAAAAGAGTATACCAATATATTCCTACGATTTCTTTGTAGAATATTTTGAGTCTCTACTATCCCGCTTAAATTGAGTTTTTAATTAGATTTTAAAAAACGGCAAAAAACCTTTCTCTTTTGGGAGTTCAAAATTTCTCTCAAAAAATCCTGCTATTGTAACCAGTAATACTAATGAATACACTATAGACAGTGTACGGATTTTAAGGAATCTTACTCCTAAAATTTCAATAAATGTTGAAGAAGGGGTAGTTGTCCCTTCTATTTAGGTCACTTTGCAATGCAAACTTTCAAAACGCCGATATAAGCGTAGCTCTACTTTCATAATCAGCTCGATTTTTCCTGTTATTATTTTTTTGTGTCGAACAGTGTTATGTTAACACAGAAAATAACTCACCTGTAATTGCTTTAATTTTTGTATTGACAAATTTCTCAATTCTGATGATAAATTCAACTGTATTTGTGCTGTATCGTAGCGCTCTTTCCAATCCAAAGCCTCCTTCTGAGTAACTGCCAACTGTAAGAAAATAAAATTTTCCTTAAATCAATCATTTGTTACCATCTTTTTTGGTTACAGAGAAAATCAACAAATAAAACTTTTCAAAAGTTAAAAACAACTTACCTTGTGTTGTAGGTCCTCAACACGACTGGATAATTTCAATGCTTGTGATTTGATTGCCATCAATTCAAATGTCACACGTCCTACTTCACCATTATTATGTAGCGATTGCAAGGAAAATGCATTTTTATTTGTGGTTAAACTATTGCCCAACGAACTACTATTCAAATCATCCGGCATTGTATTCAATTCCGATAATCTCAATGAAGGGCTAATCGAGAGTCCATCATTAAAACCGGGCGATATAAGGTGTGAGGAAAAGAAGATATTGTTGCTGCAATCATTTTGATTGGCAGCACTTAAGGAATTGCTTAGCTTATTTGTACTGGAACCGCCGCCATAATTAAAAGCATCCTGGACATTAAACAGATTGTTAGCAGTGTGAGTGGTTGGACTGTAGGGAATATTGACAGCAAAACCGCTCGAATTGAAATCTACAAAAGAAATTAAATTAAATTTTGCAAGAAAACTAAATACGACATTAACCTACCATTTATTGAATTACTAAGTGCCGAATTTGGAATGTTAATGGGTGCCGAAGATCTAGTAATCAGACTGCTATTGGCCAAACTTGCAGACAAAGAGTTGTCTCGTTGCTCATCAATGGAACAGGCTGCTGTTTGGAAACAAAAACACACATTTAGTAATATTGGAAATAATTATTTTTGCTACATAAATATAACGCATATGCACCTAATTGATTCAAGTTTTGCGTACTTTTTTTTGCAATTTATCCACAACCATATTCTTTCAATGTTTAGACAAAACAAAAAACTAAAAATGTTCTTCTTTTTAAATAACTATGAATATTTATACTCACAAATTCTGTCCATTGGCAATGAGAAGTTTAAATATTTGCTCTGATTAGCGGATTTTTCCAAAGCATTTACCAACATATTATTGGCTGAATCATTACCATCAATATTCAATAACTACAAAAAGAAGGTGGCAAAAGTAGATGATAAAATGATTTGATTTGAGATTGAACAGAGATTACAACAAAATGATTTTTAATCAGCAAGATTTATTAGCAATATGTGTAGGTAATGTATGTATGTATGGATGAAGTCAAATGAGTGGAGTCGATGTACAATGGATTGTGTTTACTTTGAGGTGATGAATTATTGGACTTGTTGAAGAAGAATTTAGTTACATGTGGAAAGTGGAGAAGGAAAATAGTTATGGGACGATAAAATTCAAGTGTTGCGGTTGGTCAATTTCAGAAGGTTTAAATTCAATCTGTAATATGGTTTTTTCATTTCAATTTCAGAAGGTTTAAATTCAATCTGTAATATGGTTTTTTTTTACTGTTTTTTAATTTGCTGAAGTATTGTTGTTGTGTATAAAGACGTTAAAAACACTATTAGAAAAAAGACGCCATTATGTTTATCTTCAGCATAAAATAACACAATATATTGAGGAATACCAATATTAGTACAGGAAATAAATGCAAGGAGTTCACATTAGAAAATCAGGATGTACAAACAATAAGTGTAGTGCAATTCAAGATTAAAACGTTATTGCTCTTGATGGTGAGTTTTTATACCGATTGCCACGCGGTTCTGAAAACACTCAACTATACATAAAGTCTATACCATCAAACGACCTAGCCATACGCAAAAGTGGCTTCCCTCGGTGAAATTTTTATTGTCCGGCTAACATAAGTACATTATTATGGTAATACCCGCAAAAATGATTTAAGAGTCAACACTTTCCAAAATGGGCGTCATGACAGGGTACAATCAGTCCAATCATGATTAACCATTCCGTGCGAAATTCCTATCTTTCCCTTTTTGCGATCTCACAAAGCAGTAGGTATACGAACTTGTTTTTCTCGAGAAAAATTTCACTTGAAAAACTAAGAGAGCTGGTTAGAATATTATATCAATATATAACATTCTAACCAGCTCTCTTAGTGCTTCAAAATATTTGAAAAACAGCAATTTGGATTTTATTTTCAATTAATTATTAGTCTATACCGAATATTTAAATTATTGTTGCATTTTATTTTAATAATTGATTTAAAAGAGACAAAGAAATCAATGTGACATTCTATGTTACTCCAAAGGCTTACCAATATCCAACACACATATTCAAATCCTAATATTGACAAAAAAAATGTAAAAAAATCCGTTGAAAAATGCCGAACTAAAGAAACGCGGACCTTTTTACCAATTATCTCCAGAGAAGTCGGTGCCTATTACGAACAGCAAATAACAAGTTTAAGATAGTTCTGTTGATAAATGTGGCTACAATCCTCCAAATAAGGAATATTAGGAGGTCTGTCCATACGAAGACGTGGATTTGAAATAATTCATTTAAAAATGTGGCTAAAATCATTATAATATCGAATATCGGGATGTACCAATGATAATATGAGGCTATACGAAGATGTGGACCTGTTTATGCAGTTGTCAGGAGGTAGTACCCACATTTTGGGATTACAAATTGCCAATTTACCGCGCTCAAAACCACCAAAAAAATTCTTTAAATCTTGTGGTACAGTTATTTGGGAACTACAAGGTGAGATGAAAAAAGTGCAACAAACTTCAGACTGCTGTCATTTTTAAGCCACTCGTCCGACAGCTTTTAAAATTATTGCAGTGACAGATTATTATATTGATTACAAGCGTACAACAGCATTTTGGTGAGAATTTTCCAGAAAAAAAATTATTCGTGATGAATGGCAAATATTGATAAATGAGCTCGGGGTAAAGCCATTGAAATTCCAAAGAGTGCAAGAACTTACACCGCAACAGAAAGAAAATAGACTCAAAAGAGCTAAAGAGTTGCTTCGCTTGGCCGAAAGTGGTGAACTGCCGAATTTGGTTTTCTCCGATGAGAAAACATTCATTGTCCAGCTGTCTCTAAAGAAACAAAATGATCGTGTTTACTTGCAAAAGAGGTTAGCTGAAAATGTGTACTTTCGTTTTGCCATCAGAACTCAAGCGCCGTCCATGGTGATGGTGTGGGCAGCCATAACAGCCGATGGTCGCTCTCCGCTCGTATTAATCGAACCATCAGAATAAATGCCGAATATTATCGCGAAAATATTAAAGAGGGTGTATTAAAGCCTTGTGGACCGCAAACATTTTGGACGCAGACTTTGGACATTCCAACAGGACTCAGCACCATAGCAATCAGCACGCCCCGGGAATGGGAAAAAATACCTCAGAGGGACATTCGGCCAGCATGTGGCGGTTTCATTGGTCGTATAATGGCCATGTTGACCAATTCGAACAAATCTAAACTTATTCTAAAATTTGATGCTATTTCCGACATTTTTTGCTTTCATTCAATACATTTACAAAAAATGTAAAATTATGGCCTTTGACTTGGTTGCAGTTTTTTTTATCTCATCCTGTATATCAAAACGTATCAAAATTCTTCGGACCTAAAATACATCAACCTACTTCGGAAGCTAGTGATTTCCACAGACTAATGGACATCACAAAATCTACAAGTCTACATATACTTTGTGGGGTCTAAAATGTATATTTCAATTGGTTACAAACGGAATGACGAACTAAATATGCCTTTTTTCCTATTCTGGAGGGTATGAAAAGTGAAAAAAGGAAACTACTCACGGTGTTTTTATTCATTATTGGGCATTTCTCCCATGCTACATTTTATCCGATTATGGGTTTATACTTGTGACCAGGAAAAATATGTTTTTGGTAAATTCCATTTCCTCAAAATATGGCACCATTAAAAACTAGAGAGATATATTTTTTAGGTAAGACCTCGTCGTAGCTATCGGTCCATAACTACTACTTATAATGCTCCACGATCTCATTCAGTATATCGATATAATCGATATACTGAATGAATGGATCTAACTATACTCAACCTATATCTTAGGTTTACCAACTCAGGACCAAAAACAAACTTATAATACCTTCTCCACAAAGATAACAACAATATTATAATATTTAAAGGGTACATACAGTCAAAATCCAAAATATTTTTGAATTTAAACTCTCTCAATGACCATATTGTAATGTAAATGTAGTGACATCAAATGAGATTCTTCAATTGTTAATTGTTTACGTTGTAAGTTAAACTGTATAATTTAATAGCATTTAAAGGCAAGGCTTATAATACCATAAAACCATAAATAAGTTATGTTATCTAACGATAGATATATTGAGATAAACGAGGAGAGCACAGGAGGGAATTAAGGAATATAATGTCAACTAGATACCAGGATTGTTGTGTTTTTAGCTTTGCTTGTTTTTCTGTTTTTATATAGTTTAACTGATAATATTGTGTATTTATGTATATTAGCTATAAAATTTATATGCAATTTGAATGGAGGAATACATACATTTTCGCCAATTGTCATTAATCCTGTTTTGTTGTTTGTTGCATCCTTAGGTTTGATATCGGGCAAAGCATTTGATATTAAATCACTTAAAGCTAAATTTGTGGTAATTGCATCTATATCGCGGGACTTCTCCTCAGTGACAATGTAGGCTATATAGAGTTTCGGTCAATTGTTATCGAACGTTGATGGGTGGTTGTTGTAGGAAGAGGACACGTGGACGAACATTTTTTTATATATTACCAATCGTTATTGTGACATGATGATGATTTATAAAAATTAGTTTTTTTTTTTTTGAACATACACAGAACAAGTAAAAGAATGGAGAAAAAGAAAACGATAAAGAAACAAATCATTTTTTGCTTTTTCTAAAATGCTAAGCTTTCCAATTGAGATAAATGAGTTGTAGTTGTTAGGTTTTGTTTTTTACAGGAAAATTATAAAATTTGTGTATGCAGCAGCAGTTATTTTGAGAGTTGCGGAAAAAGGAAGAACGAATTTTAAAGGGGTAGAGAGGATGTTAAGCATTTCTAAAATCGTTATAGTAAGTCAACTAAATGGACGAGTTTCATAAAATATTTGGCTTTTGTTTTCAAAGACCAGGCTGTTTGAAACAGAAGTAACTACTTCGTGGATATAGGTAGTTAATAATATAATGGTTGTGGAAAAAAGCACACCAATTTATTTCAAGTAAAACCAAAAAGAGTTCTTGTAGCATAAATAGAAAATGTCTAAAATAAATTGGATAATTTTATGTTACTGTTTATCGACTTACGTTCTACGTGTGCAAATGCACAAAAAACACTGCGAGGACAATAGCCAGCCTGCTGGACATCGTTGCATTTTGTTGACTTGTAAATTTCCGGATGAAATTGTTGTTCGGTGCGAGTGTGACAATACTGGCAATTGTCTCCAGCCTCGCAATTGCTGGGCTCACCCCATTCTTCGCCATGCTTAACATTCGGACATGGTGTGGATCTAAAAAACATGAAAAAAATCAGCTTTTTGTTACAAAAATATCAATTCAAATACACACCTATATTTGACTTTGCGTGGACTACGACGTTTATCCTTGCTATTATGATACTGTGGACATGCATAGCCCTGACGACATAAACGTGGTGGCCTTTTGCAGGGCTCTGTTTTATAATTGGCCAACACATAATTGGTATCCTGCCATTTAGGATCCTCATTCATAAGATTACGTTCCTTGTCCAGGGCATTTTGGGCATTGGCACCATCCAATGTTAACTCTGCATTTTGTAGAGCTTCAAGCTCCTTTATATCATATACCGGTGGCCGTTGATCCTGTGCCCCGTGAGCAAATGCACAATGATGACCGTTTTTAACGCAATAACCACGACTATCGGTGTCATGGACACACATGCAAGTTTTATAATAACGCAAATGATAACGCCGTTCTGTGTCGCCCGCTGTGCGATGTAAAAATGGACAGCTGTAATAGAGAAATTATGTTTGAATACTGTAAAACATATGAAGACCAAAAAGTGAAGTAACTGCTTTAATATGCGTATTAATACATATTAGGACAATATAAGACAACCAATTTTATGATATGGCAAAGGAAAAAGTCTTATATATATATCTGGTCTGTTAAAACACTTTCTGCAGAAGATCTGTTCAAAGGTATTCTAATTATAAAAACATATTTTAAGGTATTCTACCTTTCAAGACAACGAGAGTCTAATTTGACATTGTTAAAGCAAAAAAAGCAGGGATCAAGTTCTTTTACCTTAGCTTAAATTATCTACAGGACCTATCAACTGCTCGTTTATTGAAATATTTTTTTTAAATTGCCTTCTTAGGTAAAGGTCCTTAAGGATATTTTTTGCTTACAATAAATTAAATAATAGAGAAATTCGTTTCTGAATGAAATATAATATTGTTGACGCCTAAGATTGATACCAAGGATAAAAAACAAGTATTAGAAGTCATTTGAGCATCTATGCCCTCCTGAGAATCCCATCTTGCCCGCTTCTAACACGGAATGTTTCTACTTACCCTAACACTAACATTTGCGGATCACACTGGCTAACCACTGACTTTTTTGCTTACAATAAATTAAATAATAGAGAAATTCGTTTCTGAATGAAATATAATATTGTTGACGCCTAAGATTGATACCAAGGATAAAAAACAAGTATTAGAAGTCATTTGAGCATCTATGCCCTCCTGAGAATCCCATCTTGCCCGCTTCTAACACGGAATGTTTCTACTTACCCTAACACTAACATTTGCGGATCACACTGGCTAACCACTGACTTATGCGAAAAATGAAGATATCGCTGAACCTTGGGAAATTCTTAGTTTCACTCTAGTCTTTTACAATTCAAGTTTGTTTTTTTAATCGACCTTTTCCAATGTAATTTCAATAAATAAGTCTTTCTTTGAGCTTTAGGTCTGGGTTTTTTTCTTTATTAAAATCCGATATTTCGCAATGGGTTACATTGCATCTTCAGGGAGATGTGTAAAACATCTATAAAAGTGTCAAGTTTTACTTAAACCTACGATAGAATTTCACTATTATCGTCTGTGGTAAATATTGCACTTTTACTTTAAACTTTTAACCTTAAACCTTGGCCCGAATGCAGCGTGTTCGACGTCCTCTAGTGCGTTCGAAGGTATAAAATATATTCGATAAGTACCAAATGCACTGTTCAATGAAACAGTCTGTTCAGGTTGATTTCTCGACTTGGGAGAAAAGGCGAAATCGAGTCGTGCAATTCTTCTTTAAGGAAAGTTGCGCACTTTCAAGGTAGAGTTGGTGGTACATCCTCCGCTAAACAAACTTTACTCATACATTTTTCAACATTTTTCTAGTAACTATTCCCCGACTCTTCGAAGCTTTACTTCGGGAACATTATCTGCCAGCATTGACACTTAGGCGTGTATTGTATTCTAAACCGTTGTCAATGGCAGACTAAAAAAGGGGTTCACATCTTTTAATCGACATGCTATATACATTTACCACACAAAGCAGTATGATGCAATTTCATGAGCAGAATACAATTGGGTGTCGTGTAATTCGATGTAGTGGATTTACGGTTTTGAAGTAAATTGTTAAAATTGTTGGAACAACTCTAGTTTAGTGAAAACTCTTCCATTTTTTCGAGATAGGTATCTCCAGAGGTAGGTATTTTTACCCTGATTCCGGGAAACTATTTTTTCTTCGGGGATGGATCCGGGACCCCAGATTTTTACCCGAAAATTTGAGTTCAAGACCCGGCTTGGACCCAGATCCAATTACCCGATATAGACAATATAGGTATCGTTGGAAAGCTTATGAAAATACCTACAAGTGGTAACATGATGGGGTCAGTGGTCATGGTTCGGAAGTTATAGTCAAATGATCGATTTTTTTGGACTCGGTTTTTTTAGAAGACCCCCAAAAAGTCCAAAAAGAGTCCATTATGGGGTTCAACAAAATTGATGCCAAATTATAGCACTCTTACCTTTCCAAAAAAAAAACACTCTTACCTTTCCAAAATGCTACAATTTGTGATAATACCTTTTTCGGGTCCAGAGACATGGATCCATCCATCCGCATAACCCGATTCTAACCAGTTCATTAAAATTATGTTTTCAGTAAAAAAGTTTGTTTCGCGTCGTTGGAATTATTGGAAAGGTATTTTCATAAGCTTTCCAACGATACCTATATTGTTTATATCGGGTAATTGGATCCGAGTCTAGTCAGGGTCTAGAACCCTGATTTTCGGGTCAAAAATCTGGGGTCCCGGGTCCGTCCCCCAAGAAAAAAATAGTTTCCCGGGATCAGAGTAAAAATACGTACCACTGGAAAAAATGTCGAAAAAATTGAAGAGTTTTTACTGAATTGTTCAATCTTTTCATTACACCTTAACGAATCTTCCACTTTTTTATAAAGGCAAAAATGAAAAAAAAAACATATTTTACATAATTACAATAAGAAAAATAACCGAAGAACAACTAACTTTATGGTAATCCAATGGCATGTTGGTCAATTTTATTACAGTATTTGCTTGGATAATCAGTAATATTTTCGCTAAACAAATAAAAACGCCACCACAAAAACGCCAAAACAGCACTACTCTTCTCGGTTTTGTTGTGATTGTTCACACACGCACACAACCAAAACAAAATTTACAAAGGCACACAAACTCACTAAACGAAAAAAACATCAAAAGAAAATAAGCAAAACATATACAATTAGAAAAGGACAAAAAATCCAATTACGAATGGGTAAATGAGAAAGAAGCGGCAAAAATGAATGGAAACAAAAAAAGAGCAAAAGAAACAAGAAAAAACAATACAAACAAAATAAATGCGTAAATGATGAAAGCAATACACATTCAACGAAAAAACGCCAACTATTGTTAATGGAGTGGGGAAGGGGACTGAGTGGGGTGCAATAAGGCGAAGTAATTTCGCAAAAATACAACACATCAACAAATGTTTTTTCTTCGTTAACAAATATCAACAACAATTCAAACACTGAATTTTAATTAGAATCAAATTTATGAATGCTCCCAATATGGAGATTTCTTATTCAAAAATGCACATACAGGCACACACACACATACGCATACACTCTCATGCAAACACCACACATATCTCTCCTCTTCCAACTAGACGACTTCATTTCTTTTCATAATAATACGCAATTTCCCATTGCATGGAATGGCAAACATATTTTTTCGGGGGTCTTGTTAGCTATTACTTACTCGTCACCATCTGGGCAAATGCCTGTTGTTTCATCATATTTTGTGCAATAATTATCGGCACTATAGTTAAAGGTACCATCTCGCTTTCTTATCGGTCGTCGGCGCCTTTGATTTTGGAAATGCCAATTGAAGCAAACAAAGGGTCGGTGCTGGTTGCATTTATGTTGCAAAAAGGACTGGCATTGTTCCACACGAAATTCCTTTAAATATCTGTTTAATATTTAGAATAATTTCCACAAAATGCACGATCATGAAATAGAAAACATATTGTATATTACTAAAACTGTACATTGGAGAGGATAATAATTTTCAAATCTGGTTTTATTTACGTATAATGATTAGGTTTTTCCTGCTGTGTGGACAGCAAAAGTTTGTTCGTTTCAATCGCCATCTGGTAATGGAATTGTTATATATTTCTTATGGTATTCTTGAAAATCAAAAAAAAATATGAAAATTATCATAAATTTGAACTCGATTAACACTTTTCGGGCTTAAAATTTCTTAACACAATCAAAGGTTTCCGTCTAAAAACTTTTCTTGAAAATAAGTGACGCTAGTAGACAACGGAGCGGAACTATTTTCTTCCGCCGCCGGTGGCGGCTCATCAGTTTTAAATCAAGCGACGGCGTCAAAATTTGGAGCAAAAGGAAAAATAAAAACTATATTTATTTTTCAAAAAAAACAAAAAATTATTTAATTTTTTTTGTTTGTAACACATTTAAACATATCATCGCATAATATTTTCAATATTTTCTTGGAGGCAATTTTTATAAGATTTGAAGCGACATTGTCTTCGGCGCCAAAGATATGTCCATCGACTCTGTATACTAGTTGTTGAGCAAAGGGGTTTGCAGATCAAAACATCGAAAAATCCAACATATTGTCTGGTTTATTTTGAGTGCAGTGTTACCCGTGTGCTCTAGAAACGAAAAAATCATTTTGGGGATTTTCTGATTTATATTATGCCATTTAAATGTCAGCTAAGTTACTATTTGTTATATTTATTTTTGTGTTACGTACGTCTTCGAAAAATAGGATTTTTAGGAGTATTAAGAACTTAACAGCATTTCAAATTTGAAATTAAATAAAAATGAGGTTACCAATATAATTTTAAAATGGTTTTTAGCAATACTATATTCCAAATCATGCAATAATATAAAAATTTAACAACGCTAACCGATATTATAGAAAATTTGCAGGTTTTGGAAAAGAACAAATATGTATGAGGATTTGGATGTATGGGGATCTATTTTCGGAAATAAGGTTGGGTTCAAATAAGGACCGCCGACAAGGTGATAACATTAAACTCGCAATAGAATTGGCCGATTACATGATTTTCATATAAAATGATAATTAAAGTATACACCACCTGAATCCGAAGACAATAATTTTTGTCAAAAAATAGTGCTCGTATCATGTTCGTAATTCTAAAGCTAAATGCGCGGTTTAAATATCAATCGATCGCAGCCAATATTAATTGAAATTTTTAGTGTTGGTAAGTGATTTATATGGGAATAACCGTGCGTTGAGAAGATTAGTGGATTACGTAACGTAATCTAAAACGAATGTTATCTTAAAATTATCAGCGTTACAAAAAATTAAAGAGCTTTTATCCTGTCTACTTCCTTTAACGATCCAAAAAAGCATTTTGTACAATAAAAACTTGAGTCGATTTAACGATGACTGGCTATCCATTTTGGGATGCGTCTATTTTTTCTGTTGAAATCTCGGTAGTTGGATGTTGAAAATGGGTCACAACAGTCAATGTTTATGTACAACCTCTACACATCTATACTTCCTGGGCCTCAGTATCTTAAATTCTAAGCTATAATTCTCAATCTGTGTTGAGAATGAATCAATGTTTATGTGCACATCCCACAAATATATTTAAAATTCTCAACATTTCGGAATTTAAATAGTTGTAATTCAACATTTCAAATTGTCAGGAATTTCATAACCTCTGCAGTGATTATATCAGGCCTACTCTTTGGTATAGCTTAAATATAATGGTTTCCCTTGATTTGAGGGGTTCTCGGACTGTCTTATTTTAAACTTATTTCTACATTTCTAATTAAATTGCCTAGTGGAGTGTTAAAAAATGTCTTAAACGAACGTTAAGTAAGTATTTGATGCACGCAAATTTTAGACTAGATAGTTATAATTGCATTTTATTCGACGAAAAAAGAAAACAGCAAACTTTTTATTTTTTTATCACATTTTTCATTTAATTCTTTTTATCCATTTACTTATAAAAAAAATAACTAAAAACCAAATATCTTCCTTAAACATTACGAAAATATATTGAATAAGATATAGACAACAAAAGTAATATAATCTTATATTACGTAATAGTTGCTATCAACTGAAACCATCGTTGTCTTGTTGATCTACGCTCATACGTTGTTGTTGCTGCTGTTGTTGTTGTATAGACATTTCTTGTAACGTTCTACTTAGAATATTTCTAAGTATATGGGGTTTACAGTGTTCTTCCAACCAAGGAATCACGCCAGTCGTCAATTGTTTGAAATTATCCATAGGTATGTTTTGAAAGGTTTCAAACATTTCATCCATTACAGCTTGAAACTAGAAGGAAGTGGAAATATTTTAATACCTTAAAGTAAAGAAGTTTTTTCAGTTACATACCACTTGAAATTTGGCTTCATCAGTTAGACGGGCTTCTTCTGGACCAGGATTTGCCTGTTGATGTTGTAGCATGTGCTCATAACTGTTTTGTATAATTCTCAGTGCTGTCACCTCTTTTTGCAGGGCAGCACTGTCTTCTTCTTGTTTCTTTTTTTGCTGATTCAGGTAGCCAATGTAGTCGATGGATTTTTGCAAAATCAACGCTTTACTCAATTTGTAACCCGATGCGGAATCATGCTGTTGGCATGTGGGCACAAGTTCCTGCAAACTATCATAACCTTTCTTGATGGCATCGCGACGTTTTTGTTCTGCTTGTGTGTGTGCCTCTCGTCGACGTTCTTTGTAACTCAAGGCGGAGGCATTAGAACCCCCACGACCACTACAGTTATCGCCACTGTCGTCGTCATCATCTAATGTACATAAGAATTTTGATTAACTACTTGAAGATAAACAAAGAATTGTAAAACAAACAATTATTTTTCCTACCTGTATTGTGGGGCGATGAATTTGGCGTATGTATACTCCCAGCACTGCTACAGCGTGAGTAGTGCTTTTGCCCTTCGCCTCTGTTATCTATACTACTCGTATCTTGATCCATCATGGTGGATCCACTATATTCATCTTTACACGGTACTCCTAATTTGTGTTAAATTTTATAATTTCAGTACATTTATGGCCTCCACTCCGTGCCATGCTGTCCTCTTACCTAACAAGTCTGTAGAATGTTGCTGTTCAGCCATTTTGGAAAAGTGAAATAAAAAGAATAAAAAACTTATATGCTACGAAACAAACGATGTAATTTTAGCAATTTACGATGTTTACTTTACTATAGGGATGCGTAGGTCGATTTTTGGCTAATCGAATTGAGTAGTCGAATACCGATCATTGTCATATTTTTTCTTAACCCTTTGAACTCCTATGCAGTTCGCCAGCAATATTAGGTTATGCTTGTTAAGGTCTGTTTTCACATCATGTTAGTCATATATTTAAATTTGCAAAATTTGTCGGTATGTTAGCGACGATTCACAGAGAACTACAGATAGAAATAATGTGGTGTATTGAACATTTTTGGTTTGGTTTACATTTTCGGATATATAAATTTGAAATGAGCATTACTTACTTTAACAAATGTCAATTGCACAACGAGATGAGAGTTTAAATTCAAAGGGTATAGAGAAAATTCAACTCTGCAGCAGAGTTTTTTTTTCAACAATTTTCTTAAATTCGGGGAAAATACGAAGAATGAACGGAATGTTGCAAAGTTCTGTAATTTATCTTTGTTTTGTTACAGGATCTTAGATATCGTAAACGGAAAATCGGTCAATATATTAAAATTTGTTCTATAATTGCAGTTCTGGAACAGACTACTTGATAAATTGAATTTTCATTGAAAACTGGTTCCAATAATTATACATTTATATACATCCTTACAGTGAAGTCATGGTAGAATTAAGAAGGTAAAGTCATGCAATCATATGTTTACAATTTCAAAATTATTCACTTGGCAACATCTCATTGTCAAAATTTATATTTACAATCCATTGTATACACACAAATCAGAGATGGAAATCTGGTTTTTATACATTATTTACATAAACCATAGTAGAAGAATACAGGTAGATGCATCAACACTTGGGACTTTTCAACACTTTTAAAATATTTTGTCATGGTATGCATTTTCAAAAATTTTACAATTAAATAATTTTTCATTCAACATTTTAATTTCAGAAATTTTTTGTCTTAATCACGTCAAATGAGAATTTGACGTAATAATGAGAATTGTCCATCCAGAAAAAATACAGCTTGTTCGGTTTATGGGTTGATGGTATCATTGGACCATATTTTCTTCAAAGAGGCTCCGTGAGATGATATTCATTTTTTTTTTGAAAATGCAAGACATATGCCATACAGCAGCGTAACAATGGACATATTTAGGGCGAGATGGATAAACATTCATACGTTCGGGACTAGTCAATAGACCATCTAGATCGTGCGATTTAATGAACTTAGGGTGGAAATACATAAAGCAAATATTTGGCTGGCTGAAGTCATCGGCTGAATGTATTTTCAAATGTAAGGAGATTATCATATGTTTTCTTATACGACATCATCCGGAGCTTATTATAATTTGCATTTTACAAATTTAAATAATTTTTCATTCAACATTTTCAATTCCAAAATTGGTTTGACAGTTCATTGTCCCAGCAGCTCTGTCGATGCATATATACTTCTACCATGGAATTCGTATGTAAACATATGATTTTGAGATACCGGCCGAAATGTTGAAGAATATGCCATAATCTGATTAAGCGGATGGACCATTTGAGGCGTAGCCGCTATCAAAATCTTAAAACATTACCGTACTAAAAATTAAAAATATCATTCCAATTTCTGCATTTTATTTTTCTTTAAAAAAATCTTTGAAAAAGGTGCAAGTACATAAAAAGCTTGAAGTCATGGCTAGGCATATTAATCGATACATTTCAATATGGAGCAACTGATGTATTCACTTTTGGATGATTCCAGCAGTGAATAGGACTGGCTGAATGAGGAATCAGATTATTAATTATTATTATAGATTACTAATTTTAACTTATCGTTTTCAATACTCATTTTTTAAATTTTGGCGTCCTTTTCAGTAAGGTTTCACCAGTCCGATTTAGACTGTTTATTTTGAATTTTGACATTTTATCGCATTTCTGCTAATTTTCCGTTTCCTTATTTTTTGAGCGCTCCTAAATGAGAATGACATTTTGAACTGTTCTCTCTTCTGCTAGTTTTACTACTAAAAAAGTACTGGAACACAACTAAAATTTTGGCATTGCAACGTAGGAGTCCAGACAATTGCAAAATCATCAATAAAAAGCTTATTTTTTGTTTATTTTCTGCTCTTTACTCGTTTGTTTATACGGTTCTTTTATTTTTCAGCTATATTTTATCTTTTTTTCTCTCATTTGATTTCAATGAATACAATTTTTTGGAAACTCTGTACCAGATCTTAAATTCAAGACAATTTGCCATGTGTAAACACTATGTGGTTAGTTCAGCTCCGTTTTGACATTCATTCATATTTTTAATTCCGTTTTGACACTCATTCTTATTTAAGCTCCACCATCTAACTGTCGACTAGTATATCCCTATAAAAATTAATTTTCCGGTTTTATTCTATCTATCGTCATCAACGCCCTAAGTTTGATCGGTAAGTTATTTAAACGCTAACTTTCTTTTTATCAACTAGCAACTTTCTAGTTAATCGCCTCTAGTTTATTCTTTCTTCTTTTAGAATTTGTTGGTATTATTTGTTAATAGGGGGAAACAAATTAAAGACATCATCATGGGTCGTCTACTTTACGGTCTAGGTTTAAGAGTCATGAATTTCATGGTTGTTTTCCTAATTGTTATTCTTTTACCCGGCTTGCCGCCACGTACCACTTTTCCATTCAAAGAATTCTCGTAAGTGTAAAGTTTCTTGTATTTGTTGTTTGGAAATGTAAGTTATAAATTTGTGTGTTTTTAGAGTAGCACCGCCTAGACCTTTGACCGGTGCCCTTGAGCCCAACTATCACCTGGAAGGTGCCGAACGTCTGTTGGAAGGACGTGTCTACGGGCCGGAATGTTTGATTGCCAAGAACCGTGACATTTATATGGGCATTCATGGTGGTGAAGTGATAAAAATAAATGCCGGTCATGTTACACATGTAACTAAATTGGGTCAGCCCTGCGGTAAGTGTGTTAATGGAAATGGTTTTTCTAAATTAGTGTTTGAAGTTGTTAAATTGTCTCCATTTTACAGAAGATATTACGGAGGAATCCCGTTGTGGCCGTCCCCTTGGTTTGGCCTTTGATACCCAGGGCAATAATTTGTTGGTGGCCGATGCTTACTACGGCATTTGGCAAGTTGATCTTGATTCGCACAAAAAGAAACTCTTGGTTTCGCCCCAACAAGTTCTGCCCGGCAAAGGTGCTGATCGTCCTGCCAAGCTCTTCAATGATGTCGCTGTCGATAAACAAGGAAACATTTACTGGTCAGACTCCTCTTCAGATTATTTATTGCAAGATTTGGTTTACACTTCTTTGGTTAATCCCTCTGGACGGTGAGTAATATTTTGTTGTTTCTCTTTTTCGTTGCGGCTCTCTCCCTCTCAGTGTCTGTGGAAAAAATGCTTTGTAATCTTTTGTTTGAAATCTTTCATTAATTTACCATTGCTGCTGGTTCGTTGGCAGTTTAGCTGCCTGCATACCTTGCTTCGTTTCATTTCTTTTCAACAGTCTTCGTAGATTCTTTGTTTAAATTCATAATGCGTTAGAAAGTTGGTGGGTTTTTCATGTGTGGGGAAAGAGACATAATTGATCAAATGCCGGCATTTGAACCGCTACTGTGATAAGATATTTTAGTTAATTTTTAAATGTATACTACATACACACTTTAAATCCCTTATATGAGATGCATTTCAAGTCTTCGTGTGCTGTACAAACACATCGCCATTGGTTATATCTATAAATAGGTAGCAACAGCAATGAGATTATCTATGGTTTGTGCAATAGTTTAAAATCGTATTTGCAATATTAACATCATATTGATGTTAATGACTCTTGACACACTTGGAACAAAAAAAAAATATTTGCGCCTTAACCGGTTTCAATACGGTTTTGTGTCGTAGCTAAATAGCAAAAAAAAAAATGAATATGAATATTAATGTATGTTTATATTTAAAATTTAGCTTTAAGCTTTCTTATTGAAATTTCATATCAAACAATCAAAATTTTTGCTGTTTGCTAGTCTTCACCTTTTGATTGTTTTTTTTGTATTCAAGTGTTATCTTATTTACTTATATAAATGAGAAATTTGATTGGTTTGTATAGTCTGATATGATTTTTTTCTTTTTAATTTCATTAATTTTTACTTTCTTTCCTGCGGCACAATTTTCAATAATTTCGGGGTTTTTTTGGTGAAAAGATCAAACATTTTTCATTATGTTGAAGTTCTAGGTATATAATTTCGTTAATTTTGAAGGAAAAGCATTATACAGTAGTACGAGAAAAAACGTATTAACCTACAAGTAAGGTTAATATTCTTGATTATGTTACAATTTAAAAGCCGGCGGTGATAATGAGAGATTTATGAGTGTTTTTAACAAATCAAAGCTTGTATTGGTTCACCTATTTTGTGACGATATGCGTTTACATTTAATTAATTAGGATGAGCATGTCGCATTTAAAAGTAACTATAAATCATCACATCAATTAAATTAAAAGCCGTCCAACTTAAACTAATTATTGTTCATATTGTAGACAACTTAAAATTAAATAAATTCCGGAGAACTAACACTGCTGAGTACGGTAGAAGGTCTCCTATTAAGAAGATACCTTCAAAATCTAGACTTTATTGTGAAAATATGCTTGTGCATATTTCACATATGAACTTTAATGTTTTCGTTCAATAAATTATATTACAATTTTCTCCATCAAAAATACAGGACGTAAACAAGTAAAAAAGCTGTAAATTCGACAGGGCCGAACTTTTAATACCCTCCACCATTTGGAACTAATTTGGCAATTCTCAAAAACAATAAAATCCGTTAAAAATTCTGTTAAAATCTAAAAATTACTGCATGTAGCTATTATATTAGGGTCTATACGACGACATGGACCTGTATAGGTAACTTTTGTCATAGGCCGTTAAAATATTCAAATGCGAAACTTAAAAAAAATCGGTGAATAATGTAGCTAAAATCATCAAAATACCGAATATCGGGAGGTACCGTTATATGGGGGCTATACGAAGACGTGGACCTGCACAGACAATTTTCTGTCCTAGGCTGTAGTATCCATTACGAACTTCAAATATCAAATTTGAATCTAAAATGTATATATCGATGGGTTACGAACGGAATGACAAACTTAATGTACCCTCCATACTATGGTGGAGGATATAAAGAGTTTGTGAAAGTTTTGTTTTTTTTTTTGGTACACATACGGACCGGTCAACAAATGCCTAGAAAGTCTGACCAAGAAATAAAATTAAGATTATTTTCATGCATGTCACACAGGTGGGAATAGGACGCGTGGATGCCTTTCGCAAATTCTTGATTCAATTTATCTCAAATAGACTTACATTTTATTTGTTGGTTCCCTCGAGAAAGGTCCGGAAATATGGGCTTAAAAATTACGAATGTTAATTCCCAAAACTCCCAAAAATGTAAAGACGTATTTTGAATGGAACCATTTTTTTAGGGCCTTCTTTAGTTGTTTTCAATGGAGTAGAGATTCCTCAGTTTCTATTCCTCTTTTGATTCTTCATTTTCTAGTTCCAAATCAAATAGTTTCAAATAGTAGTAGTGTTAAATAGTTATATAACAAATAGTCGCCTCTCAATATGTTCAAGTAAAGTCTTGTTAAAATCACATCTCATCTCACGGTAGCTCCCACCATTCACAATTACGTTACAATTCACATCATTTGAAGAAGTGCGGTTCAATGACGCTACCAGCCTATAAACCGCCCCCAACTGCTCCTACAAAAACTTTCCCGAATTTGTACAAAGAGTGAAGCTCACTCTAGCGGGAGCGGGAGGGAGTAGAAAAAACATGCAGAGAACAAGCAAACTCATTTCTTTCGTTGTCGCTCAAATGGGTGTGAGCCCATTTTTCTCGTTTTTGGGTGAGGGCAAAATTCGTTCGAAATCGAGCAGATACTACTCTTACCGAGCACTGTTTAGATTTTGTCATACCGCTGTGTTAATACACACGCGCACAGAAATCAGAGAACGAAATATTTAAAAAAATGCTAGCTCTATTTTGACCGATTCTCCTCCGGCTCTAATTTTTCAAACAGGAGCGAATTGGAGTGCTCCCCATAAACCAAAAGAGTGAATAGTAGACTCCGTAAAAAATCCACACACGGAGCAATTCTGTTCGGGAGCGAGTTTCTCCCCAGAGTGAAAATGAGCCAATCTGTGCTCTTGATATAACTTCGCAAAATTTTAATACAAACCCCATAAACTTTACCGGCCGGTTTTAATTGCTATGATACTTGTTATACTTCCAAGCAAAAGTGGCTGTAATTTGAATTTAGTTGTTATGTTGATTTATTTGTTGATAAATAGAAATAATATATTCCCTCAAAATATGCATATAAATAACAACTTGTATTCTATTCATTTCAGTGTCTTCAAATATGATCGCGTCAAGAACGAAAGCACCGTCTTAATGGATGAAGTATTCTTTGCCAATGGTGTTGCCTTGAGTCCCCAAGAAGACTTTTTAGTCGTTGCCGAAACGGGAGGTATGCGTTTGCTAAAACACTATCTGAAGGGCAGTAAAGCTGGCCAAACTGAAGTGTTTGTTGAAGGCTTGCCCGGTATGCCGGACAATTTGACTCCTGATTCTGAGGGCTTGTGGGTTCCCTTGGTTATGGCCAGCGACAACGAACATCCATCAGGGTTTAACATCTTCTGCAGTTTCCCCAGCATTCGTTTGTTCTTGGCTCGCATGTTGACATTGTTCGAATTGCCATTCAAACTAATCAACAATGCCTATCCCAATAAGATTGCTCAACGTTTCATCCATTTCATTGGACATGGTGAAAGCATATTGTTGTTGTCTCCTAAACGTGCCACCGTTGTTCGTGTTGATTGGAATGGTCATATTGTTGGTTCATTGCACGGATTTGATAAGAGTGTTGGTGCCATTTCTCATGTCTTGGAATTCGATGATCATTTGTTGTTCGGTTCACCCTTCAATCGTTTTTTGGGACGTGTAGCAAATCCCAAGCCAGCCAGAAAGGAACCTAATGTCAAAATCAACAATGTCCGTTATGAAGGTGTGGGAATTGAACCAGCTGTAAAGCCACCACAAAAGGAGGCCCCCACCACAGCCAAACCCAAGGTGAAACCAACGACTACGACCACAACTACTCCAAAACCAACTACCACCACGACCACAACTCCTAAGCCAACAACTACAACTCCCAAGCCCACCACAACCACACCCAAGCCAACCACAACCACACCTAAGCCAACCACAACAACTCCTAAACCCACAACTACAACGACTCCCAAGCCCACAACTACAACCACTCCCAAACCTGCTACAACTACAGCACCAAAGCCCAGCACAACCACAACTCCTAAGCCCACAACAACATCGGCTCCTCGTCAACCCTCAGCCAGTACCACACGTGTGCCTCCCAAGAAACCAGCTCCCGTCGAAGAAAACATTCCCCACGACACACCCGCACCAAAGCCTGAAAAAATGAAAGTGATCAACAAACATGGTGAACATGTTGAACTTTAAGATCCTCAACGCTCCAGCAAATATCAGCAATCAGCCAACCAACAACGCTTTAAGCTTAGACATGGGATTCTATTAACGACGACAACGACATTACTATTTTATAGCTTAAAGTATATAATTTCTGTTCTTTTAAAAAGAGAATAACAAATCTCAAACAAGTTTTGTAGAAATCAGCCGCAAACAAAATGTACATAGATTTTTTAAGCAGAAATTTTAGTCAATTTAATATCTATAATGTTAATTTATGCTGATAAACCTAAAGCAAGCAGTCAAAGGAAGATTAGGAGTTCCCGTGGTTATGGAAGTCGACTGAAAAACGATTCAATGAAAACAAAATTAAAGAAAAAAAAACTAATATAGATTTTTAAGTTTGAAATTTGATCATTGAGGTCAATTGAAGAAAGACAGAAGTTACATTTAATACATTATTTATTTACGTCGATTTTTAGATAGATATTTCCCAAAAACATGCCTTATTTTCGGTTATGGTCTTTTGTTTTTTCAAAACATTCCAAATTATAAGTTTACATTCTTTTCGATTAATTGCCTTTCATTAGTATTGTTATTTCTAAACACAATTAGAAATGTATTAAATACATCCCAAGAGAATTAAGTCTTGCTCTTTTTTGTACTATTTCCCAATAAAACGTAACAAAAGTGAAAATATAAAAAATATATTTTTCTTAATTTAAAAAACAAAACAAACATTAACTTTATTTTATTTGTCTATACATTTTTAAAACCAACATCTGTTCTATTAGGGACGACTAGGTGGTTCTTTGGGTTCAGTCCATTCCCATTCGGTGTAGTGTACACATTCCCGTTTGCTTCCCGAGAATAATTTCGATGTTGGACAACGATTCAGTTTGGCAGGTTTACCTTGTTCACCACACTCCCAATATGCGGTTGGATCCCAAAAATGATGAAATGCCTTGTTGATTTCGTCTAAAGTTTTGCAGCCGGGCTCACCGCTATATTCGCCGTAGTGTTTGTCCTGGGATGACATTTGCTGAAAAAAGAAGAAAGTGATATTTAGAAGCTTAATGCTATTCGATATGAAAAATATGAGTCATGAAAGAGAAACAGGGCTCACTTCAAGGAATCTATCTTATTTTAGCTAAAAATATTGTAAGAAGTTATGGATGGGTATATTGAAGAAAAAAGATTAATAGTTTTGATAACACATCATGTTTTACTCAACTCTCCGGTTCTAGGAAAGAACGTGACCCACAACATATGAAGGAAGTGATCGCTTAGTGATAGAACAACTTCAAAGCAGATAATGTTCCGCCCCTGAGTTGCCAAGACTCTGCTGTCCTATAAACTCTGTCTGAACCAACGTGTCGAAATTATAAAATTTGTGTAGAACATCAGCGAATTTCACGGAAGCAAGACTCTTCTCGTTTTGGGTAAGAAGTAATGACATGTAAAACATCTTTGTGGTCGATTTCCCCCTGGGTCACAATCATTTAGAGATGTGATCCGAAGTAAGCATGAGGGGGGTGCAAAAAAAATGAGATGTAAATAGTTGCGTCATCTTAATCGGTTTTTGCAAAAAAAAGGGGGGGGGGGGGGTGAAAGCGAATGCTGTGGCAAATTTGTTGAATATGAGTACAGATATAGCAATAGCTACCATATATTTGCTTTATCCGACTCCATAACAATGATACTCGGGACAAAATATCAAATACAGCTCAGAAATATGTCTGCCAAATTTTATCGTGATCGGTTCAGATTTGCATATAGTGATACTTTATCCGATTTCACATTTATTGTGCATCAAAAGTGTAATATAAACTGAAATAGGATGGATATGAAAAGAAGCGATTCATTTAAGCGTTCTCAAAGTCGATAGATACCAATGCATTCGTCAAGTTTAGTGAAAATCGATTCAGAGTAGCATATACATCACATATTTTACTTCCTTTCGATTCCAAATCATTTATTATCCGATTGAGGTGAAATTGTCCAAACAATATTTGTATGGAACAAGGAAGAACCAAATTTGGCACGAATTATGGCTTTCAAACGGTCAATGAAACCGTAACACGCTGCCCGAATGTTGCTCTGCGGTATTTTGGCCTATTCCCGGCGAAGCGCATGTTTGACGTGATCGACACTTTGGTATTTTTCCGCTGAGTGCGATGGTGCTGAGTCCTGTTGAAATGTCCAAGGTGCCCATACACCCTCCAGAATATTTTCGCTATAATATTCGGCATTTATTCTGATGCCACGGTAGATTAATACGAGCGCAGAGCGACCATCGCCTGTTATGGCGGTCCACACCATCACCATGGCCGGCGCTTGAGTTCTGGTGGCCAACCGAAGGTGCCCATTTTCAGCTGACCTCATTGGCAAGTAAACATGATAATTTTGTTTGTCAGCAGTTTGTAATGCTGGACAACGAATGTTTTCTCATCAGAGAAAACTAAATTCGGCAGTTCACCACTTTCGGCCAAGCAAACAACTCTTCAGCTCTTTTGAGTCTATTTTCTTTCTGTTGCGGTGTAAGTTCTTGTACTTTTTGGAATTTCAATGGCTTTACCGCGAGCTCATTTTTTAATATTTGCCGAATAGAATTTTGCGATATGTTCAGCTCACGAGCGATTTTTCGGCCACTGCAATGCGAGTCGCTTCTTTACTTTTCGAACCATTTCTGCTGATGTTTTCTCCCGTCCACTTCTATGACGTCGGTCTACGCTACCAGTATCACGGTAACGAGCGATGGTACGAGACACAAAAGATTTATTCACATTTAAATGCTGGAGTGCTTCAACGATAGCCACTTGTGGTTTCCCAGCCAAATTTAAAAAAATCACACTATCACGCTTGAATTCCATCATGAATAACTTTTTTCTGGAAAATTCTCACCAAAATGCTTTTGTACGCTTGTAAACAATATAATGAGCTGTCACTGGAATAATTTTAACAGCTGTCGGACGAGTGGCTTAGAAATGACAGCAGTCTGAAGTTGGTTGCAGTTTTTTTCATCTCAACCTGTATATTGTGTTTGGAGCATTAAATATGTGAAGCCATCTCAAAATATATATGGCAGTTATATCCTAATCTTAACCGATTTCAGTTTTTTCATCTCAACATGTATATTGTGTTTGGAGCATCAAATATTTGAAGTCATCTCAAAATACATATGGGAGCTATATCCAAATCTTAACCGATTTCAATATAATTTGCAATTTTTTTTCATTGATTTCCGTTACACATTTTAAATCTGGAGACTGCATCTATAAGCGATCAATAGATATGTGTATTCAAAAACTAAATCTTCTGGAGGTACCTCCGATTCTGATGTTATATCTCCAGATCCAAGTGGAATTTTAAAAATTTATATAGCCTATGCTACTTTCAGGCGATGCTGTAGTATATATGGACATCATCGGAAAAATCTGTTAAGCTGTCTTTGAGTCTATAAATTACAAACAAACATTCAAACCCTATATGTGGGAGGTTAAGTTTGATGAAAATTCGACATATATATTCGATATATATTCTTGAACAGCGTAAAATTCTAAGACGATTTAGCCATGTCCGTCTGTCTGTCTGTCCGTCTGTCTGTTGCAAGCACGCTATCTTTCGAACAAATTGAGATAGAAGGTTAAATTTTTGCACACATGTATATTTTGCCAGTAGGCAGGTTAAGTTCTTAAATGGTCCATGTAGGTCCAAGTTATCATATAGCCCCCATATAACGGTACCTCCCGATATTCGGTATTTTGATGATTTTAGCGACATTATTCACCGGAATTGTTTCGAATTTGGCATTTGAAGTTCGCAATGGATACTACAGCCTAAGACAGAAAATTATCTGTGCAGGACCACGTCTTCGTATAGCCCCCATATACCGTACCTCCCGATGTTCGATATTTTGATTATTTTATCGACATTATTTACCGGGATTGTTTCAAATTTCGCATGTGAAGTTCGAAATAGATACTTCAGCCCATGCCAGAAAATTGTCTGTGCAGGTTCACGTCTTCGTATAGCCCCCATATAACGGTACCCCCTATATTCGGTATTTTGATGATTTTAGCTACATATATATATATATATATATATATATATATACATTTTCAATATATATACATTTCCTTCAAGTTTCGCATTTAAATATTGTAATAACTTATGACAAAAGTTGCCTGTGCAGGTCCACGTCGTCGTATAGGCATTCGGTATTTTTATACCCTCAGCCATATGGCTACAGAGGGTATATATCATTTGATACGGCCAAAACGTGCCTAGTCGAAATAACGGTTTTAGACCCTAGGTCTCTTTGGACCAAATCCGTTTCAGAACATTTGGAGTCGATCTAGCGATGTCCGTCCGTCCGTCCGTCCGTCCGTCTGTCTGTCTGTCTGTCTGTCTGTCTGGCTGGCTGGTGCGCACGATAACTCTCGAAGGGAGTATCCGATTTGGTCCAAATTGGCTACAACGTAATATTTTTGTCAAACTTAGATCGAGTTCGGAGATGGGCAATATCGGTCCACTCCTTCTGGTACCTCCCCCACAAAAGGTCGAAATTTTCAAAAAATATATTTTTTGCACAGGAAGAGAAAGGATAATCCGAATTTGCTCCAACTTTGCAAATCCTAATATTTGCGTCAGTGCTAGGTCAGGTGTGAAAATGGGCAATATCGGTCCACTCCATCAAGTACCTCCCCCACAAATGGTCAACATTTTGAATAATTACAACTCTCATAAAATGTTATGTAAGAGTCCGATTGTCTTCAAATTTCACACATCCCAATATTTATATTAACCCAAGGTCTTGTGTTAAGATGAACAATATCGGCCCACTCCTTCTGGTACCTCCCCCACAAAAGGTCGAAATGTTCAAAAAATATATTCTTTGCACAGAAAGAGAAAGGCTAATCCGAATTTGCTACGACTTTGCGAATCCTAATATTTGCGTCAGTGCTAGGACAGGTGTGAAAATGGACAATATCGGTCCACTCCATCAAGTACCTCCCCCACAAAATATTGAAATTTTGAGTACCCATGAAGCTCATAAATCGCCAAATTAACGTCCGATTCCATTTAGACTTGGCACATCTGTCGAAATATTTATATCATATTTTGGGTCCGATAGAAAATGGGCAATATTGGCCCATTCCTTCGGGATCTGCTCCATAGAGGGTCAAACGTTTGTATAACCTTAACACTAGTCAAAATATATTTAGATAGTCGAACATAGGCTGAGGGTATATCTCTGGCGGCAATACCGACTGATACTTTTTAACTTGTTATACCCTACAACACTATGTGTTGGGGGTATTATAAGTTTGATTGGGCCAAAAATTATGTAACACCTCGAAATATTGATTTCCCACATAGGAAAGTATATATGGATCTTCCTATCTCGCCGAGTTGAGTCGATCTAGCTATGTATGTCCGTCCGTCCGTCTGTCCGTCTGTCCGTCTGTCCGTCTGTCCATATTAATTTGTAATCACTCTACAGGTCGCAATTATGGCCCGATCTTCACGAAGTTTAGAATGGATCTAGGGTCAGAATAGAACCCTATTTCTTTTGGAGATGATCGCGTAATATTTAGGGGTCGAAAAGAACCAAAAACTGAAAAAATGTCGGATTTTGCAGTAGCTATGCAGGTCGCAATTATAGACCAATCGACGCGGAACTTCGCATATAGCTTGAGTTTAGGGCGGGGAAGAAGCCTACCAATTTGGGTGGTCATCGGATAATATTTAGCGGGTAAAATAGACCATATCTTTTGTGTTGAAAAAATTCAAAATTTTTCATTAAACCGCGAATATTTTAAATCCCGGCAAAATCACAAAGCCATGACAAGGTTACTTCTGATCTTTACATTGATGTTAAAATCCAACAAAACGGATATATAGCAAAATATGTGCGATATATATGTCTATCAAAGAAGATATGCTTGAAAGATCTCTTATATGTCGAGAACGGCTGAACTGATTTCGACAGTTCTCATTAATTCAGAATGGCCTTTTGGCAGGAAAAAAACAACGTCTAAAAACTCGCATAAAAATATCTCTCTAAAGATGAAAATATTGATTTTGTAAATTTTTCTCATATTTTTTCAATTTTGTCACATTTTTGGCATATTTTCATTTTGAATTAAACATTTGGTAATATTTCTACAACTAACAAAACTAAGTAGTTAGGATATCAGGATATCATATACAGATCGCATTTATGGCCCGATCTTAACGAAATTTAGCATGGGGATCAGATGAGGGTCAGAATAGAAGCCTACTCTTTTTGGAGATGATCGCCATGTATTTAGGGGTTGAAATGGACAGGTCGTAATTATTGCCCGATCCTCACGCACATTTGAATGGGGTTTACCGGGCATTGCAAAAGCCAAGCAGTTTTGGATGGCCATCCAAAAATATTCAATGTGTGAAATAGTTTGCCAACTTTTGTAGACAAAATACGAAAATGACCATTCCAGTGACTTTTTGGAGAATTCACAAATACAGGAAAGACGCACTTCTGACTATTTCGTTAACGCTGATTTCGTTGAAGAATATAGTCAAATGTCTGTATCTCATATAGATGCGTTTCAGTCCAAAACCAATAAGAAATGTTAATCTTTTGCCACTTCTGAGAGATTATAGGTCTTTGGGAAATATTGGTTTCAGATCTAGGAAGACCATTTACGTGCAACATCTACCAATCAATTTGAAATGAGCAAATTAGTTTAAGTTGCTAGTATTCGAAAATTAGAGAACGGAACCTGATGGTTTTCTTTTATTATTTGTCACAATATCTTGTGGAATTCTTTCGAGTATCTCGCCTATATAAACTGTATCGTTTATTATAGTGTTGTAGGGTATTCAACAGTCGGCCCCGCTCGAATGTAGCCTTTGCTTACTTGTTAAGATTTTAACAGAATTTTTAACGGATTTTTTTTTTTTTGGAAATTGCCAAATTTGTACCGGTGGTGCGTATTAAAAGTTCGGCCCGGCCGAACTTACAGCTTTTGTACTTGTTTAGTTTGTCAATTTTTACCATTTGTTGGGGTATCAGAATGGGATGGATTGGACATGTTCGTGTTTGATAAAAGTTAGGCAAATATAGTGCTAAGTTAAGTTTAAACCAGTCAGTCATTTTTACCGCATGAAAGGCGCCCCTAACTCATACGGCTACGGTTATAAAAACGGGGTTTCAAGAAAAACCCTTTTGTATTATTTTTCCATCTCCCTGTTTTTCAACCGAAATACAGCTGCTCCGAAAAATACTCACTATATTGTTTGTATTGAACACCTGATGTAATAACGTCTTGTGGGGAATTCGTTTACCAGACAACTGTAAATAGATTCAATAAAAAATTAACATCAATTATTTCGAAATTTAAACATTTCTACATAAATACCTCATACCTGGGAAATTGTTTTTGGTATTTTCTTGGTGCTGTTGTTGCTGCTGTTTTTTTTAATATGCCTCTCAAATTGATCAGATGTTGTTAATTACTCTGTTTTGTATTTGACTTTGAATTGAACAATGATTTGTTAACAAACAAAAGTATTTTTTAATAAGGAAGCTGTAAATAGTTTAATATTTTTTTTGAATTTACAATATATTATTTTTATACACAAACACACACAAACATTTAAACCACACAAAATGAAAACTGTCCTCGTTTTATAGTTTTAGGGGTCTTGGTCCAAAGAACAAATTGATATATTCAAGTTCATTGACAAACAGACACTTTTCCAAGTGTTGTTGTTGTTGTACTACACTCCCCCACTTTCTCACCTTTTTAGTATGGAAGTGAACAAAGATATGATTTTTTTTTGTTGGAAAACTATATAACGATTCTTTTTTTTGATTTCAAATCACAGTGTTGTGGTCGTCTTAACGTCTTGACGATGTCTGGGCAAATGAAATTCTTCTCCCATTCCGTTTCTAGTTGAGAAAAAAAAAAGCGAAATCACCACATCACACATTCATAGCAAAACTAAAGCAGCTAACAACCACATTTTCAACCAAGCAAGCAACACACTCACGCACCACCCACCCTCCCCCTGGGTCTAGCCGTCGTCATAATGATGCGCGTCGTATAGTAATAATTATTTTGAGTCCTATAAAGCAAGAAGAAGACGAAGCAATGAAAATGTATTTGTCATTTTGTCATAGTATGTCTGGCAGACGGACAGACAGACAGGCAGACAGATAGCCAGTTTATCTTAATGTGTGTACGGCCGACTGACTATATATTTGTGGCATTGCTCTTGTGGCTAAGACAAAATAGTTTGGCTTTTTTTTGAGAATATAACTAGAAGCAATACTGACACAGTGCCTTGGCCATAGAATGAGTACCATTTTTCTGAGGTCAATGCTTTTCATTATTCGTATCAAGTGGGGATTTCTAAAAAAGTACGCTTTGTGACATCACAAGATATTGGAATTTGTGGCATGTGTTGTTGTAGGTGGAAATAAAATTAGAATAAAATGTGCATTGGCTGGCACTTGCCTCAAATGAGGCATTCATTTTCTGGCACACTTAAGGATTCTTAGGTCCTTAAGGATGGGACATTTAAAAGAAAAACAAGTAAAAACCAGTAACGAAAGGACAAAAGTCGGGCGGGGCCGACTATACGTTACCCAACACCACTATGTGTATTTAGCAGAGCTACCGTAACAAAAATGTTTATATTGGGAATTTATGGGAAGTAGATCATACTAACTATGAACCTTATTTAAATGCGTATCATGCGTATCAGATTCATATTAAAAACTATTTATTGTAGCAATAGATATACCGGATCCAGTTTCACCAAATGGAAAAATTCGGTTGAATATACAACAAGTTAAAAAGTAGTAAGTTCGGCCGGGCCGAACTTTTAATACCCTCCACCATTTGCAACGAATTTGGAAATTTTCAAACAATAAAATCCTTAAAAAATTCTGTTAAAATTTTAAAAATACCGAATATAGCCGTCTATACGACGTGGACATACATAGGCATTGTTTGTCATAAGCCATTACCATATTCAAATTCGAAACTTGAAATAAGCGGTGAATAATGTAGCTAAAATCATCAAAATATCGTATATAAGGAGGTGCCGTTAAATTGGAGCTGTGCGAAGACCTGGACCAGCATAGATAATTTTCTGTCACAGGCTGTAGCATCCATTACGAACTTCAAATACCACATCTCAAACAAGTTCGGTGGGTATTGTACCTAAAATCGTCAAAATACCGAATATAGGGAGGTACTGATATATGGGGCCTATACGAAGACCTGGACCCGCACAGACAATTTTTTGTCTTAGGGTGTAGTATCCATTTTGAAATTCAAATATCAAATTTTAAATTATTTCCGGGAAAAATGTCGCTAAATCATCAAAATACCGAATATAGGGAGGTACCGTTATATGGTATTTGAAGTTCGCAATAGATACTGCAGCATAAAACAGAAAATGGGCCATGTAGGTCCACGTCTTCATATAGCCCACATATACCTTACCCCCCGATATTCGGTATTTTGATGATTTTAGCGACACTACCGGGATTGTTTCAAATTTCGCATGTGAAGTTCGTAATGGATACTTCAGCCCATGCCAGAAAATTGTCTGTGCATATAAACAGATTTTTCTTCAAGTTTCCCATTTAAATATTGTAATAACTTATGACAAAAGTTGCCTATGCAGGTCCACGTCGTCGTATAAGCATTCGGTATTTTTAAGATTTTAACAGAATTTTTAACGGATTTTATTTATTTATTTTTTTTTTGTGGAAATTGCCAAATTTGTACCAAGTGGTGGAGGGTATTAAAAGTTCGGCCCGGCCGAACTTACAGCTTTTTTACTTGTTTCATATTCAACCGCAATACGCATAGTGGTGTTGGGTATCATGTACCCAACTTCTAACCTTTCCTTACTGATTTTCTTATAATTTCCATTTCCCATAGCAAGTCGGGGTTGTGGAGAATTCCAAATGGATTTGTATATCGATATCCCAGAAAATGTTGGGGTTCTTGGATAGTTTTTTAAGCTTTTACAAAGTATGCGAGAACATATTTTTATCCCAATATTTTACGACATATAATGCAACATTTAATATATAGCTTTGGATTACTTTAAGAATTTGTGGCTTAAAAAGTTTCTCATGTCGGTCCAATTATTGTCTCTACCACTAAACTTGGGTTTCAAGTATTTTTTTCGATTTAGCCATATTTTCGCATTTTAATTCGCCAAATTTCGTATTTTGAATTCTCATTGTATAGAACCCTACTAACAAAGGTTAACCAGGTTTTGATAGAAGTCTAATATTAAGATGCCATTGATTTCATCTTTTTTAAGGGTCTTTACAATATTTTCCAATCGATTTTCCTAAAAAAAAATGTTCTGGTTTCTTTGAGGGTATTTAATAATATAAGTACATATAGATTTCGAAACCGATGTGATATGGTGTGTGACAAATTCTACGTGAAGTTGTAGTGAAGCTGTAAGTTCGGCCGGGCAGATCTTTTAATACCCTCCACCATTTGGTACAAATTTGGCAATTTCCAAAAAAAAAAAAAATAAAATCCGTTAAAAATTCTGTTAAAATCTTAAAAATACCGAATGCTTATACGATGACGTGGACCTGCATAGGCAACTTTTGTCATAAGTTATTACAATATTTAAATGCGAAACTGGACCCGCACCGACAATACCAAATTTTAAACAATTCCGGTTAATAATGTCGCTAAAATCATCAAAATACCGAATGTAGGGAGGTACCGTTATATTGGGGCTATACGAAGACGTGGACCTGCACAGACAATTTTCAGTCTTAGGGTGTAGTATCCATTTGGAACTTCAAATACCAAATTTGAAACAATTCCAGTGAATAATGTCGCTGAAATCATCAAAATACCGAATATCGGGAGGTACCGTTATATTGGGGCTATACGAAGACATAGACTTGCACAGACAATTTTCTATCTTAGAGTGTAGTATCCATTTGGAACTTCAAATACCAAATACCAAATTTGAAACAATTCCGGTGAATAACGTCGCTAAAATCATCAAAATACCGAATATAGGGGGGTTACCGTTATATGGGAGCTATATGAAAACGTGGACCTACATGGCCCATTTACGAACTTAACCTGCCTACTGGAAAAATAAACATGTGTGCAAAATTTTAGCCATCTATCTCAATTCATTCGAAAGATAGCGTGATTACAACAGACAGACAGACGGACAGACAGACGGACATCGCTAAATCGACTTAGAATTTTACGCTGATCAAGAATATATATACTTTGTTGGGTCTGACATGAGTATTTCGAGGAGTTACAAGCGGAATGACAAAATTAATATACCCTCCATAGTATGGTGGAGGGTATAAAAAGGCGAACTTCTGGCTTTTTATGCTGATTTCGTTGACGAATATAGCCAAATATCGAAGACAAGCAAATCATATAGATGAGTCTAAATTTGGAGATATTGTGGGGCTGCTTGCTTTTGGAGATGATTGCAAAATATTCAGGGGTTCAAGTTAACCAAAAACAGAAATGTTTTTTCCGATCACGCAATTGAAGCCAATCGTCACGCCAGTGAAGAGAGTTAATGACAGGGAAGAATTCTAGCATTTTGGATGACCATTGGATTATATTTAGCTGTAAACTGGACTACAACAACTAACAGCCCGACGGAGTGCATAAATATTGGGCAAATGCGCCTAGTCACAATCCTAATTTCAAAAGCGAAATCTTCCAATATGGATTTGGACATAAGGAGGCTTCTAACATATTGTAGTATTGTAGGGTATAACATAGTCGGCCCCGCACGACTAAAGCCTTTGCTTACTTGTTAATTCTCAGATTAATTTTTAATTTTATAGGCCTTTATAAATATAAGTAGTCCATGAAATTTAACAGAGATATCACTGGGCTGTGCGTACTCAGGTGGTCCTAGGGTTATTTTTTCAACATTTTTACACTGGAAAGTTAATTAGTTTGAATTTCCGTTCCATTATTTTGCTTGACATTTTTTTACAGAATATTATTGGGAAGGCTTAAATCGCAAAACTTCTTAAAAATATTTACTCCTAGAAGTTTTGAAAACATGAACTTTGTGCATTGCCTGTTCTCGCGCTGAAATCGATTTTTTTACTTTTGAGTTTGTTAGTTTTGAACGAAATTCATTGCTTTTATTTGCTGGAATATTTTTTTTTTAATTTGTGTTCCTCTCCTATTATCTAAATTGTATCATTATCTACCCCATCCCATTTATGTGATCATCCACTGTAAACGGGCATAGCTAATGAATGTCATGAACAAGAGAATGATCATAATTATGAATGTCTTGTCTATAACATTTCTTTATATCGTGATGTTTTATTTTCATTTTTTTTTTTTGATTTGCAAAATGACCCTGATAATGAAAATCTCTAGACACAGAACTTGTACAGATTATAATATTTGTAAATAATAAAAACGAAAGAAAAGAAAAACAAACAACAACACATCACTGTCGTGTGTGCGCGATTTTAAAATGGAATTCTATTTATTTTTGTAGTTGTTACATTTGTTCTCTTTTTTTTTAAATATTTATAACATTAAAGATATTGCGGTGGTGATAGTAACAATACATGTGGTTTTGTGTTGAATAAAAAGTTTTTTTTTAATTGAGTTTTGTGCTCATTTAAATGTGTGTGAAATAGTTTAAGGTTGTAATAACAGAGCCACACCTCCTAAAATCCATTTCGATTTGGGTGACCTGGATTTTAAATTAAATGTCCAAACGTAGGTGTTGCCACGGGATCTAAAAAAATCAAAGACAATACATTTATAATTATAAAATAAAATGAATTAATAAAAAAGCAATGATAACGAGCATGATATTAAACTTATAATAATAAAAGTACTTAAAATAATAAAAAACTAAAATTTTCAAGAGGAGGGACATTGCTTCCGGTATTTACGTTATTTTACGATGTAAACTATCAAGATGCCGATACTCGTGTCTTCTGCCTATAGCTCTTCTTTCATAATCTACTGGATTTTTCCTGTAATTATTGAAAAAAATTAAATTTTTTCGCACACAACAACCCTACTGATTAAGATGGAATCTTTATGGCAAAATTAACCTTACTGCTAAAAATGCGAAGATAATTTTGGATATGATTCTAGTTTAAGTTTAGAGCATGTCGCTTGGGAACTATGTCCATTGTGATAGAGTTGTTGGTAGAGAAAGTAAATACTACAGTAGCCTCTATTCTGCCATATGACATAATACTTGGGCACACATTTCAATAATAGACAGCTCGTCCGACAGCTGTTAAAATTATTCCAGTGACAGCTCGTTATATTGTTTACAAGCGTTCAAAAGCATTTTGGTGAGAATTTTCCAGAAAAAAAGTTATTCGTGATGGAATTCAAGCGTGATGGTGTGATTTCTTTATATTTGGCTGGAAAACCACCAGTGGCTATCGTTAGAGCACCCCAGCATTTAAATCCATCCATCGCTCGTTACCGAGATACTGTTGGCGTAGCTCGACGTCAAGGAAGTGGACTGATAAAGACAGTAACATCAGCAAAAATGGTTCGAAAAGTAAAGAAGCGATTTGATCGAAACCCGCGTCGCAGTGTCCGAAAATGGTTCGTGAGCTGAACATATCGCAATATTCCATTCGGCAAATATTGAAAAAATGAGCTCGGGGTAAAGCCATTGAAATCCAAAAAAATTCAAGAACTTACACCACTTCGCTTCGCTTGGCTGAAAGTTGTGAACTGCCGAATTTGGTTTTCTCCGATGAGAAAACAATCGTTGTCCAGCAGATTTACTTGCCAAAGAGATCTGCTGAAAATGTGCACCTTGCACCATGGTGATGGTGTGGGCCGCCATAACAGCCGATGGTCGCTCTCCGCTCGTATTAATCGACCGTGGCATCAGAATAAATACCGAATATTATCGCGAAAATATTATGGAGGGTGTATTAAAGCCTTGGGTACGCAAACATTTTGGCCGCAGACCTTGGACATTCCAACATGACTCAGCACCACCGCACTCAGCACGCACCACCGAAGAATGGTTAAAAAATTAGGTTCCTCGCTTTATTTTCAGCGCAGAATGGCCACCAAAATCTCCGGATACCAATCCGTTGGACTATTGTGTCTGGAGTATTTTGGAAAGCAAGGTTGGCACTAAAAAATACCAAAGTGTAGATCACCTCAAGCAAGCGCTTCGCCAGGAATGGGCCAAAATAACGCAGAGCAACATTCGGACAGTGTGTAACGGTTTCATTGGCCGTTTGAAAGCCATAATTCGAGCCGAACCAAATTTGTCCTTGTTCCATACAAATATTGTTTGGACAATTTCACCTCAATCGGATAATAAATGACTTGGAATCGAAATCATCGAATCGATTTTCACAAAACTTGACGAAGGCATTGGTATCTATCGACCTTGATATAACACATTTGAAGCACAATAAATGTGAAATCGGATAAAGTATCGCTATATGCAAATCTGAACCGATCACGATAAAATTTGACAGACAGACATATTTCTGAGCTGTATTTGATATCTGGTCCCGAGTATCATTGTTATGGAGTCGGATAAAGCAAATATATGGTAGCTATTGCTATATCTGAACTCATATTCACCAAATTTGCCACAGCATTCGCTTTCTCCCTCCATTTCGCAAAAACAGATAAAGATGACGCAACTATTTACATCTCATTTTTTTCGCACTAAAGGTCCCCCCCTCATGTTAACTTCGGATCACATCTCTAAATGATTGTGACCCAGGAGATCGTATGGGGAAATCGACCACAAAGATCACTTTGTTTCAGTTTTTTTTATCTCACCCTATATATGTAATATCAGCCCAAATTGGATAGATTTTTTCACATTCAACCAAGCTTTTCCATTTGGTGAAACTCGGTCCGGTATATCTATTTCTACAATAACTAGTTTTTAATATAATTCTTATGGAAGTCATATCATGTACTATAGAACAATGTTGTTTGGTACTAGAGGTACAAAAGCCGATTCAGAGGTAGATATAGTTCCCAAATTGTGGCTACTCTAAAGCCATGATACGTATTCTAATAAGGTCCATAGTTGGTATGATTTACTTTATATAAATCTCCAATATAGACTTTTTTGTTTCGGGAGCTCTATTAAATACGTATAATGGTGTAGGAGGGTATTATATAGTCGGCTCCGCTCGATTTTATTGTAGAAAATGGAAAAAGGGTTTTATTTCTTTGGTGACTTATAGCGAAATTTGATTAAAAATAATTTTGCCTTTGCTGTCATCCTTTAATCCTTGCCGAAGACAATATATACCTTTTGGATATTTATATAGTAAATTGTTTTAACTACTACCTCTTACCTTGTTTTGTACAGTGGACACTCGTAACAATGATGGACATCGTGTCTCTCCTGCACACTTGCCTTAATGCATATAACCGGCATTGGACATAGTAATTCTTTTGGATTAAGCGGTACTATCGAATTCAGTTGACAATCCCAACTAGCGCCGTTTAAATATAGGCCATGTACAAAGGCTCCGTCCATAGGTGGTAATCTGAGTCAAAAATAGAAAAAAGTAGAAAATTGGCTTTAATACAACAAAATTTTACAAGAATTTTAATTTATCTGCTAAAATTGTTGAAAAGAAAGTTTAACAAAACTCTGAGAACCTGAAATGCTAAATTCCAGCTGACTTATTTGAAAAATGGGATCAAAAATATTTGAAATATCAAACATTAGGGTGAACCGATATAGATAATTTTCAATATCGTCTTAGAAGCTACAATTCATTTATTTAGCTTGAAGGCTGTAATCTTTGTCATGATTCCAACACATGGACGGACGCACATAGTTAAATCAAAGTAGAATTTTGTGCTGAACTTATGGGGTCGAGTTGTTGCAAAAGGAATGGCCAAGTTATTATACTCTCCTTCTTATGGTGGGTATGCTTTTTTTATACCCTCCACCATACGTAGTATGGAGGGCATATTAAGTTCCACATTCCATTTGTAACTCATCGAAATAATAATTTTAGACATAACAAAGTATATACAGGGTAAGAAATAAAAACTGCAACAAAGTCTAACGCCATAATTTAATGTTTTTTTTTTTTTTTACATTTTATTGAATGAAAGCAAAAAATGTCGGAAATAGCATAACATTTTAGAATAAGTTTAGATTTGTGGAATTGGTGACTATTGGCACGAATTATGGCCTTCAAACGTCACACGCTGCCCGAATGTTGGTCTGCGGTATTTTGACCCATTCCCGGTGACACTTTGGTATTTTTAGTGCCAACCTTGCTTTCTAAAATACTCCAGACACAATAGTCCAAAGGACTGGTATCCGGAGTTTTTGGTGGCCAGTGTGCGCTGGATATGAAGTGAGGATCCTCATTTTGTTACCATTCTTGGGTGGCGCGTGCCGGGTGCTGAGTCCTGTTGGAATATCCAAAGTCTGCGGCCAAAATGTTTGCGTGTCCAATGCTTTAATACACCCTCCAGAATACTTTCGCGATAATATTCGACATTTATTCTGATGCCGATTATTACGAGCGGAGAGCGATTTGCCCAATGGAATATTGCGATATGTTCAGCTTGCGAGCCATTTTTCGGCCACTGCGACGCGGGTTTCGTTTAAGTCGCTTCTTTACTTTTCGAACCATTTCTGGTTCGGATTGCCGTTTTTTCATCTCACCCTGTATATTCTTGATTTAAGAGTTAAAACGAATAAATGTAGGAAGCGAATATTTTGCACAGATCAGTCCTTTGTCTGCAGGCAGATAAAGTTCGAAGATGGGTTATATCGGTCCACGATATCATATAACGGTTCCCCGATACTCGGCCATTTGGAAATGTATTGTCTATATAGGTTCACGATATCGTATATCCCCATATAACGGAACCTCTATAAATTCGGTATTTTGATGATTTTAGCTATATTTTTCAATGGAATTGTCTAAAAATCCATACTAGAAGGTCTTTCTAAGCACTGGAAGAGAAATGTCTATAAAAGTCCACGTTAGTTCACATTCAAATTTCGTATTTAGAATTTGTAATGGGTAATATAGCAAATATTGTCAAATATTGCGTATGCAGGCCCACGTCTTCGTCTAGCCTCCATATAACGGTACCTCCTAATATTCGGTATTTTGATGATTTTAGCGACCGGTGTTGTTTCATAATTCGTATTTAGAGTTTGTAATGGGAACTACAGTCACTGATAGAAAATTGCTAATGCAAGTCAAAGTCTTTGTATAAGCCCCATATATCAGTACCTCCATATATTCGGTATTTTAAAGTTTTAAGGTACAATATTCAACGAAATTGTTTAAAATTTGAGTTTCTAATAGGTACAGCAGCCTGTAACAGATAATTGTCTATGCAGATGCAGGTCTTCGTATATTTCCTATATTCGGTATTTTGATGATTTTAGGTACGTTATTCATAGGATTTTGCAAATTGTATTAGCTTATGACAAAAGTTGCCTATGGAGGTTCGTATGGACCCCAATATAAATACTAAATTCGGCATTTTAACAGAATTTTTAACGGAATTTATTTTTTTTTTTTTGAAAAATAAAAAAATCATTCCAAAATGGTGGAGGGTATTCGGCCGGGACGAACTTACTGCTTTTTTACTTGTTAAGTATCCTTCTATTAAAGTCGCATCTATTTTTTCACATATATCGTCGGCGTTTAATACTCACGTTATACTCTCAACATCCTTTTTGGTTACCTCACAGCAGAGGCACATTCGATCCAAAGGCAGGTCATGTTTTCGGGCACTTTCCTGCATAATGGCGGTGAGGAAACTTTGTGGATTGAAGAGACCCCCTAGCCATATGGTGCAGGGTAACTTAAAGTCATTCAACCACAACGAAAGTTCTTTAATACGATGCAAGAGATCGGCAAACCAACTTTGTAAACCCAACATACTGGGGTAGGCAAGATTTGTCCACGACTCTGGGACGTGGTCATAGAATAACGAATGATCCAAATGTTCCATATCCGAAGTGATGGTAAGTTCTCCCTTCAGGCCCAACATTAGCTCACGTAGGGAGCGTTTAATTTCTTGTATCAATGCATTCATGCGTTCACATTCCTGCAGGGCAACAACAACAAAGGGCGTCTTACGTTCGATGCGATTGAGCAGAGCATGTAAATTGAATTCCACTTGGAGTTTATCGAGAAAATCCTCCGCCATTATTTTGACCAATTCTTCACGAGGTGCACTGCAGGTGGTTGTGAGTTCCGATTGGCGGGGTTGCAGTTCGAATACCGTCTTTAACAATTGTTCCGAGGCCGAGGTTAGGAAACCGATTTCAGCATTTGGATGTAGACCATACAGGATGGGTGATTCATCGGGCAACATTTCATTGATGTAATTGTGATAGCCTTGAAAATCCAAATTGGGTGGGGAGGGAAATCCTGGACAAAGTTCCAAATCACCATCCACCAAATCTTGCTGCAACAACTCCGCCAAATAGGTTTGACACAGACGACGATCCCAATCATCGGTGATGTGACCGCCATACATTATTTCTCCAAACAGATAACGTAAATCTTCCCAAGGTATACGATTACTGCCCTCCAAATAATTGTGCAGCACCGATGCGGATATGGTCAGATCGCCCACATTGAAGGGATACACCTTATTCCATCCCAATGGGCCAAACTTGCGTCTTTGTCCTGCCACGGCATGGAAATAACAAAGGGCAAATAATATGGACTTAAATTCCGCTTCCTGAGTGCAGCTCTCCAACGTTTCCTGGGAGAAGTTATCCCAAGCCTGATGCATGTTTGCTGCCATCCCAGATGGTGGTTCATTTACGATTTTCAAAGAGGATTCTAATATACCTTGTGGAATTATGTGATATTGTGGATCTGGAGCGGGTTCGGCACTAATGAAGAGGCGAAAACTACTCGTGGTGAAACTCTCCGGCTGATTAGTAAGACGTTCGATAAGTTTCTCCAGAGTTGGCAACCAATTTGCCACGAGGTGTATGTTTTGAAAAACCACCCATTGGTTGCCAGAGGCCAGAGCTTGACTTAACGCCTGCTCGGCTAACATTTCTTGGCCTTGGCCCAGAGAGATATTTAACAAGTTGTTGTTGTTTGTAGTGAAACCCATTTGGGAACCAAGTCTTTCAACATCGTATATTGGATCCACTCCCGGGCAGAGAACGAAAAAAATTGGAGTCGTTGCCGAGACTTCATTGAAAATATCGGCAAAATGGAATGTCTTGACAGTGGCATATTGGCGGCCCATAGTTTGTTCCACAAAGAGTCTGAAATTACAACAGGGAACACATTAAATTTTAAAATGTTACAATTTTTGGACATTTAAGGTATATGCGAACTAAACGGTACTAAAAATTTGATACCTTGCACTAGGCAAGGAGATAACTCGGAAATTTGGTTTGAGGTTCCCTCATGAGGTGTAGGATAAATATACCAAAAGCTTTTCTGTTGGAAGTTTGAACGAAAAGTATTAAAATCACTAAATTTGGTACCTATTGGTGTTAGGTGAACTGATTGAGCTGAAATCTTAATATTTGATATAGGATTAGGTTTGGGAAGTAGGGTTGATATAAGCTTTTGGAATTGTGTATTTGGTACAATTTAGTTTTGGATGAACGGATGAAGCAGGAAATTTGAATTGGAATTGGCAGCGTCCTAGAAAATTTAAATTTTAGGAAATGTGCACTACAAATATATGAGAAGTACTAAATGGTACTAAATTTAATATGGGGAGAACGGGTAGTGCTTTCTACTCTGTTAGTGGGTAGGGTTGAGATTTCGAGGTGTTTTTAGAAATACGTACTAAAGAAGTGCGAAAAATACTAAATGGTATCAAATTTTGAAGTTGGGTAAATAAATGGAAATGGATCCTGCTAAGTAGGGTCAAGATTTGGAGGTGGTTTTGGAAACTCGTACTTAAGAAATGCGAAAAGTACTAAATGGTACTAAATTTTGTTGAGTAAAAAATGGAGTTAAAACCCAAAAATTTGTTAATAGGGTGACTTTTGGGCGATGGTATTTTTTTATACAGGGTGATATAAAAAACTGCAACCAACTTCAGACTATTGTAATTTCTTAGCCACTCATCCGACAGCTGTTAAAATTATTCCAGTGACAGCTCATTATATTGTTAACAAGCGTACAAAAGTATTTTGGTGAGAAGTTTCCAGAAAGAAAGTTATTCGTGGTGGAATTCAAGCGTGATATTGTGATTTCTTTATATTTGACCGGAAAACAACAAGTGGCTATCGTTAGAGCACTCCAGCATTTAAATATGAATAAATCTTTTGTGTCTCGTACCATCGCTCGTTACCGTGATACTGGTAGCGTAGCCCGATGTCAAGGAAGTGGACGGAAGATAACAGCAACATCAGCAGAAATGGTTCGAAAAGTACAGAAGCGACTTGATCGAAACCCGCGTCGCAGTGGCCGAAAAATAGCTCGTGATCTGAACATACTGAAATATTCCATTTGGCAAATATTGTAAAATCGGGGTAAAGCCATTGAAATTCCAAAAAGTGCAAGAACTTGCACCGCAACAGCAAGAAAATAGACTCAAAAGAGTTAAGAGTTGCTTCGCTTGGCCGAAAGTCGTGAACTGCTGAATTTGGTTTTCTCCGATGAGATAACATTCGATGTCCAGCAGAAATGATCGTGTTTACTTGCCAAAGAGGTCAGCTGAAAATGTGCACCTTCGGTTGGCCACCAGAATTCAAGCGCCGGCCATGGTGATTGTATGAGCCGTCATAACAGCCGATGGTCAATAGGACTCAACACCATCGCACTCAGCACGCGCCACCCAAGAATGGCTACATAATGAGGTTCCTCGCTTCATTTCCAGCGCACAATGGCCACCAAAATCTCCGGATACCAATCCGTTGGACTATTGTGTCTGGAGTATTTTGGAAAGCAAGGTTGACACTAAAACATATCAATGCGTCAATCACTTCAAGCAAGCTCTTCGCCGGGAATGGGCCAAAATACCGCAGAGCGTTTGATGGCCATACTTCGTAGTAAAAGTGACGAATTCGAACAGATCTAAAGTTATTCTAAAATTTGATGCTATTTCCGACATTTTTTGCTTTCACTCAATGAAATTTAAAAAAAAACGTAAAAATTCTGGCGGTTGACTTTGTTGCAGTTTTTTAATCTCACCCTGTATGTGCATCAGTGCTAGGCCAAGATCTGTTATAACGATGGTAGAGATCGTTCTCTTCATATTTCACAAATCCCATTATTTCACTAACACAAGAACTGCTGTAAAAATGGGATATATCGGTCCACTCCTTCTGGTACCTCCCCCACAAAAGGGTCAAGGTTTTGAGTATCCATGAAGCTCATAAAACGCGAAATTAACATCCGAATACATTCAGACTAGGTACATTTCAATATTTTTATCAACACAAGATCTGTTTTAAAGATAGTGGAGATTGGACCATTGTTTCTAGTACCTCCCGCACATAGGGTTCAAGATTTAGGATAACAAAACGCTGAAATAAAGCGAAATAAGCATCCAACTCTCTTCAAATGTTACACACACACAAACATTTTTGCTAACACAAGATCTGTTGTGAAAATTGTATATATCTGCGAATCTCTTCTGGTGTCTCACCCACAAAGTGTCACAATTTGAAGAAACATACTTTACAGTGTACGAAATGTACAAAATGGGCTAAACTTGGTACAGTGTGTAAGAAGAGAGGTGGAATAACGATTTTTGGTATGAGGGTCACAGTAGGTATTTAGGAATCAGACAATGTGGTGTTTTCGGAAATGCATACCGCATGGTGCACGAAAAGTACAAAATGGACTAAATTTGGCACAGTGTGTAAGAAGAGAGCTGGAATAATGAGTGTTTGTATAAGGGTCACATACGGAGTTTAGGATTCAAACAATAAGTGGTTTTGGAAATGAGTACTGTATAGTGTACGAACGGAAATGGGACTAAATTCTGTATGAAGTGTAGAAAGTGAGCTGAAATTGTTACTTTTGGTATACGAGCCACTGTGATATTGTAAGATATAGTGGAGATTTGCTAGAATTCTTGAAACTAAAAAAAATTTTCTGCCCTTTAGAAATTCGTCCGGCGACTTACCTAATGGCGCTAGTAACACGATCCGGTCGCAAAGCCCTTATAATACACAATCTCTGCAGGGGAGTTCGATGTTTCCATTCTCCTGGGAATTGTTCACATTCCGGTATATCACTTGCCAGGAATTTACGCCAACGTTTGGGATAGTTTTCAATATCCTTGTCGATGCCATAAAAATTATCCATTAAGGCCAAAGATTTCACACCACCCCAGGAGGTACGTCCAATGAAGTCCACCGGCGACAATGTATTCGGATCGTGGGGAAAACGTAACAAAAAATCTAGTTCATCACGGGAAATTTGTTCCGAAGCTGACATAATTCTCAGGGTCATGTGAGCGGTAAATGTCAACTTGTCCACTTCGAAAAGGCCACGCAAAGCAAAATAGAAAGTTTGGGAGGTTATGGCCTCAACAAGTGATGCCACCCTGCGTTCATTCACCCTATGCTGTGGCGCCGAGACAATGGCCTGTTTAAAAACCTGCATAAATGATTTCAGGGAAAACCGATAGATGGGATTTATCCTACTTAGATCGGAGAGTACAAAGTAGAGAATAGAAGCTCTCTTGGCTGCCGTTCGATACATGTTGCGGGCTTCATCGATTTGCAAAGTTGTGATGCGCGCCTCATTAACTTTCAGCTCAATTTCATCCACAGTCTGTTTGGTGGACTCCAGATTGGAGACCAATTCATGATCGTCGAGAACATTTTCCCCAGCCGAAGCTAAGCGTGCCAGCAGATCATTTTCCAAATGCTTTAAAGATATTTTAAATTTATTTTGTTGAATCGTCACATTGGTTTTCATTTCCTCCAAATCGGGTCTTTCGATTTTTACCACTTCGGCCAATAGCTGTTCCTCCAGGCCATCTTGGGTAACGGTGAAATTAATGAGAGTGGTTTGGGCTTGCATTTCTGGTTTGTAGTGGGGATTTGCCAATTTGGTGTGCAAAATTAAACGGAAGTTGGGATTGAAATCCAACTCCTTATCGCCCAGGCGTATGAAGCGACCGCGTTTGATTAAAGCCCGGCTTAGCAAAGGTTCCAAAACGGTGTCCACAGATTCCTCGATTTGTTCCAACAACACGGTTTCACCATTTGCCATGGCCTTTTCGAGGGACTCAAGAAAATGTTTCTGGTTGAGACGCAGCACCACCAAGCTATTGCCATAACGGTTTTTGATCCATTTGATGCCTTGTCTGGAAGAATAAATATTGGAACTTTATTTAGAATTTAGAAAATCTCTTGATTTGCCTTACAATTGCGGATCTATCATGAGCGGCCAGCGTGTTGAATGCACCAATATTGTGGCATTTTCGGTGGACATGCGATCCATGGGCAAACCTTCATTATTCCAGCTGGCAATTTGTGCATCATCCGTAAACAAGGTTAAATAATCCTCACCATCGGTGTGGGGTATGGCTGGCTGGTAATCAAGTCAATCAACACCCAATTCAAGCAACACTTAAATTCCTCTCTTTTAACGAAACGAAGAAAAGGAAAACTTTGACTTACCTCAATGCGACGAAAGCTTGGCAGCCACATTTGCTGTTGCAATTCCTCCCGATAACGACGCGTAAAACAACCGGCATACGACAGAAAGGAGGAAATTAGCAGGATATCACCAGGTAGTGTGGCACTTTTCAATTGTAAACTTTTTGGGTCATCAGCAGGGATAAATACACACCGCCAGTGAAAGCAGCAGCCCAAGGATTATGAAAGTCATTCGTAGATGTTGACCGAAAAAGGAGTTGACAGTCAATGTTGTAGCAGTTTAAACAAACAGGAAATGGAAAAATGAAATCATATATTTCATGGTTTTTATTAGAGATTGGAATGCCATGGAGCAGGACTATAAAAACAACAGCAACAACAAAACATTAACAACTTCGCCATAGCTGAAAACGATGTTGCCGTTTTCCAATAAACTTAAGTGTTCATAGTTTCCGGCACTGACGGAAACTGTGTCCCAGAAGTGGTAACAAATGACAATTGTGGCAAATGGGACCAATTGCTCAATATTTGAACATGGCTAACATAACAACAACCAAAAAAACTAACAAATGGAAGTTGATTTTGGTTACAAGGTAACAAGGAGTTTGGGAAGGAACCGAATATTGATGGAGAATTGTTATAAATGGTTGTTAAATTAAAGATTGGATATTCGATATTCCTGAGCGTTCAAATGAATTTCGAGGATCATTATAGGACTTGTATGTATGTAGGTATTGTTGGTTCTACCAAAAAGTAGGTCTACAACAAGTTAAAAAGCAGTAAGTTCGGCCGGGCCGAACTTTGAATACCCTCCACCATTTGGAACGAATTTGGAAATTTTCAAAAAATAAAATTCTTAAAAAATTCTGTTAAAATTTTAAAAATACCAAATATAGCCGTCTATTGGGGTCTATACGACGTGGACCTACATAGACATTGTTTGTCATAAGCCATTACCATATTCAAACTCGAAACTTGAAATAAACAGTGAATAATGTAGCTAAAATCGTCAAAATATCCCATATAGGGTGGTACCGTTATACCGAAGCTGTGCGAAGACCTGCACCTGCATAGACAATTATCTGTCACAGGCTGTAGCATACATTACGAACTTCAAATACCACATCTCAAACAATTTCGATGGGTATTGTACCTAAAATCGTCAAAATACCGAATATAGGGAGGTACTGATATATGGGGCCTATACGAAGACCTGGGCCTATATAGTCAATTTTCTGTCACAGATTGTAGTTCTCATAGCGAACTCCAAATACGTAATTTGAAACAACTCTGGTGAATAATGACGCTAAAATCATCAAAATACCGAATATTGTGAGGTACCTTTATATGGGGGCTATAGGAAGACGTGGACCTGCACAGACAATTTTCTGTCTTAAGGTGCAGTAATAATTTCGAACTTCAAATACCATATTTGAAAAAAATACCGTTAAATAATGTCGCTAAAGTCATCAAAATACCAACTATAAGGAGGTACCCTTATATGAGGGCTATACGAAGACGTGGACCTGCACAGACAATTTTCTGTCTTAGGGTGTAGTATCCATTTCGAACTTCAAATACCAAATTTGAAACTATTCCGGTGAATAATCATCAAAATACCGAATATCTGGAGGTGCCGTTATATGGAGGCTATATGAAAACGTGGACCTACATGGCCCATTTACGAACTTAACCTGCCTACTGGAAAAATAAACATGTGTGCAAAATTTTAGCCATCTATCTCAATTCATTCGAAAGATAGCGTGATTACAACAGACAGACGGACAGACAGACAGACGGACATCGCTAAATCGACTTAGAATTTTAAGCTGATCAAGAATATATATACTTTGTTGGGTCTGACATGAGTAATATACCCTCCATAGTATGGTGGAGGGTATAAAAAGAAACGAAGGAATGTAAACTGTCCTCACCCCATCAGCGACCTTCATCCCAATGGATTAAATTTTTCGTACCTTTTGGTACTCGAACGGAATAAATAGTATCCTATATTCGTCTCCTGGCACGACGCTACCTTCTCACCAATTTTCAGCCATAGCCGTTTGTTTCAGTAAATTTATAGGCAAGATTCGTGGAGCTTTCTTTGAAGAAATATGATATCCTACACCACTTTGCATATTTAGTAGAGCTATCCACAACAAATAAACGTTTTTATGGGGAATTTATCAGCAGAAATGGTTCGAAAAGTAAAGAAGCGACTTGATCGAAAACCGAGTCGCAGTGGCCGTAAAATGGCTCGTGAAAAAATAACACCCGATGGTCCCTTTCCTCTCGTATTATTCGGCCGTGGCATCAAAATTAAAGACGAATATTATCCCGAAAATATTCTGGAGGGTGTATTAAAGTCTTGGGCACGCAAACATTTTGGACGCAGACCTTGGACATTCAAAAAACACCATCGCACTTAGTACGCGCCACCCAAGAATGGTTATAAAATGAGGTTCGTCGCTTCATTTCCAGCGCATAATGGCCACAAAAATCTCCGGATACAAATCCGTTGGACTATTGTGTCTGGAGTATTTTGGAAAGCAAGGTTGGCACTATAAAATACCAAAGTGTCGATCACCTCGAGCAAACGCTTCGCCGGGAATGGGCTAAAATACCTCAGAGCAACATTCGGGCAGCAAGGTGCCAAAGGTGATCAATTCGAACAAATCTAAACTTAATCTAAAATGTGATGCTATTTCCGAAATTTTTTGCTTTCCTTCAATAAAATTTAAAAATAATGGCGTTTGACTTGTTGCAGTAGGTCCAAGTTATTACATAGCCCCCATATAACGGTACCTCCCGATATTCGGTATTTTGATGATTTTAGCGACATTATTCGCCGGAATTGTTTCAAATTTGGCATTTGAAGTTCTTAATGGATACTACAGCCTAAGACAGAGAATTATCTGTGCAGGTCCACGTACCTCAGAGCAACATTCGGGCAGCAAGGTGCCAAAGGTGATCAATTCGAACAAATCTAAACTTAATCTAAAATGTGATGCTATTTCCGAAATTTTTTGCTTTCCTTCAATAAAATTTAAAAATAATGGCGTTTGACTTTGTTGCAGTAGGTCCAAGTTATCATATTATCTGTGCAGGTCCACGTCTTCGTGTAGCCCCCATATAACGGTACCCCCTGATATTCGGTATTTTGATGATTTTAGCGACATTATTTAGCGGAATCGTTCCAAATTTGGTATTTAAAGTTCGTAATAGATGCTGCAGCATAAAACAGAAAATGGGCCATATAGGTCCACGTCTTCATATAGCCCCCATATAACGGTACCCCCGATATTCGGTATTTTGATGATTTTAGCGATATTATTTACCGGGATTGTTTCAAATTTCGCATGTGAAGTTCGTAATGGATACTTCAGTCCAAGCCAGAAAATTGTGTTTGCAGGTCCACGTCTTCTTATAGCCCCCCATATTCGGTATTTTGATGATTTTAGCTACATTATAAACAGATTTTTCTTTAAGTTTCGCATTTAAATATTGTAATAACTTATGACAAAAGTTGCCTATACAGGTCCACGTCGTCGTATATGCATTCGGTATTTTTAAGATTTTAACAGAATTTTTAACGGATTTTATTTTTTGGAAATTGCTAAATTTTTACCAAATGGTGGAGGTTATTAAAAGTTCGGCCCGGCCGAACTTACAGCTTTTTTACTTGACCCCAAATCGAATGAAACATATACAGAGTGAAATAAAAAAACAGCAACCAACTTCAGACTGCTAAGTCACTCGTCCGACAGCTGTTATATTGTTTACAAGCATACAAACGGATTTTGGTGAGAATTTTCCAGAAAAAAATTATTCGTGATGGAATTCAAGCGTGATAGTGCGAGTTCCTTATATTTGGCAGGAAAACCACAAGTGGCTATTGTTAGAGCACTCAGCATTTAGCCCGACGTCAAAGAAGTGGACGAAAAAAACAGCAACATTAGCAGAAATGGTTCGAAAAATAAAGGAACGACTTGATCGAAACCCGCGTCGCAGTGGCTGAAAAATGACTCGTGAGCTGAACATATGGCAATATTTCATTCGGCAAATATTGAAAAATGAGGTAAAGCCATTAAAATTCCAAAAAGTGCAAGAACTTAAACCGCAAGAGAAAGAAAATAGCCTCAAAAATAGGCTAAAGAGTTGCTTCGCTTGGCCGAAAATGGTGAACTGCCGAATTTGGTTTTCTCCGATGAGAAAAAATTCGTTGTCCAGTGGTTTGTAAACAAACAAAATTATCGTGTTTACTTGCCAACGAGGTCAGCTGAAAATGTGTTCCTTCGGTTGGCCACCAGAACACAAGCGCCGGCCATGGTTGTGGTGTGGGCCGTCATAACAGCCGATGGTCGCTCTCCGCTTGTATTAATACATTTTTTAACCATGTAATTAGTAAAGCCTCATAGAACATCACAAAAAAGGTTAACCTACCTTTGAATCGATTCACGCCACCGTTCATTTTCATTGGCCAATCCATTGACCAGGCGATGGGCCAAGTCGATGGTGAATGTTGTCTTGTCCGCCTCTTGTTGGCATTTTTGTTTTGATGCCACGGCATCTTCAAATTCCGATTGAATTTCGCTGAGTTTTCGTTCCAATTCATTGATTTTCTGTTTCAAATAATCCAAACGCTGGCGGGCTTCGGCCAGCTCATTTTGTGAATCTTTTAGAGCCTGTTGTTTAGGACCCACCACTAAAAAGACTTGATGATAACGATGAATGTTAATGACCCAGGCACAGAGACCAGCAGCAGCTACAGATTTTTGGACAATTTTATCGGGATTGAATTCAGGATCCTAAAAATTAACTGTAAATATAATTTAAAACAGATGTTGAGATGTCTTCCGTACCTTTAAATACCCCTGCAGGACCTCAATGATATTCGGATGTATATTATCTTTGTTGTAATTTACCAAGTCATTTAGGAACTGATCGACCCGTACCATCATCAGTTTGGCCGCCTTCCAGCTACGATTCCTTGGAATTTTCCCATTATTTGCAAAGAGTACCATTACTGCAGCACAAACGTTTACCACAGCCTTGGGTGGTGAACCGAATGACTTCAGTTCCGTTAAATTATTCTTGTTCAATGTATTCAACGCTGCCTGCGCCGCCACTAAGGCCGGCTCTGCCTTGCGTAAATCTTCTTCACACATTTTCGTTTTGATGCAAACATCTTCCTCGATTATACGCACACGTTTCTCCTCCTCCGAGGCGATATGTTTTTCATATTTTACCTTTTCGCTTTCGGCGCTGACAATCAGTATCAGTTTGTCCGCAGCAGCATTTTTGGCAGTCAATTGAATTTCCTGCACAGCTAATTGATTCTGGCGAAGCATACAAAGCAAGCGAAAAGAAAAATCGCATGAGAAATGCATACATGTGTAGGTTTGTGGTACGGTATGACCGGATGACAAGCCATGACCAACCGACCGACTGACTGACTCATCGATTCATTTCATTTCATTTCTTTCGCTCACTAAATGTGTCTTTAATCAAAAGATTAATAAGGAAACTTACAGGCTAGCAGGTTCCTGCTTTAATCTACAAAAGCTTACCATTTCCATAGGTAGGTGTGTGTATATATGTATGTATATAGATGGATTGTGGTTTTTAAGATAAATTTGTAAAATACAGCCGGAGGATGGAATGAAAATTAATTAAAATCGAAAACTGAAATGTAAGATATATATAAATATGTCGATGCAGGGACCTGCAGTTATAGTTGTGATGGGATATGTAGCACTGTACCGATTTCTAGGTTATATTAGAGGGTACCTAATTCATAGGCAACTCAATGCAGTATGTGGCTGACTGATTCAACGTACTAAATGTACCATTCGTTCTTGGCAAACGGATAAAGTTTGAATTCTAAAATTTGGAACGAGAGACTTTTTTAGGAAATTTTTAATAGATACATCTAAAATCCTTAAATTTTATATGAAAATTAAGTTTGATATCAAGACGTGGTTTTGGGAATATGTGTTCCCAACGTACCATTTAGATATTATATTTCGTACACAGCGGTACTAACATTGACATAGAGTGTAGGAACAGAGCTAGAATTGAACATTTTTACATTCGGATCACAGCAAGTGTACGGCGTTTGGATAATGAGATGTATTTTAAAATGAGCACTTTATGATGTACGATCTACATAAATGTACTACATTTTATAGAGAGAATAAGAAAAAACTGTTATTCTATAAGTTATGGTAGGCAGGGTGAAATGAAGGAACTGCAACCAACTTCAGACTGCTGTCATTTCAAAATTATTCCAGTGACAGCTCATTACATTGTTGTGTCTCGTACCATCGCTCGTTACCGTGATGCTGGTAGCGTAGCCCGACGTCAAGGAAGTGGACGGAAGAAAACAGCCACATCAGCAGAAATGGTTCGAAAAGTAAAGAAGCGACTTGATCGAAACCCGCCTCGCAGTGGCCGAAAACTGAACATATCGCAATATTCTATTCGGAAAATATTGAAAAATGAGCTCGGGGTAAAGCCATTGAAATTTCAAAAAGTGCAAGAACTTACAACGCTACAGAAAGAAAATAGACTCAAAAGAGCTAAAGAGTTGCTTCGCTTGACCGAAAGTGGTGAACTGTCGAATTTGGTTTTCTCCGATGACAAAACATTCGTTGTCCAGCAGTTTGTAAACAAACAAAATGATCGTGTTTACTTGCCAAAGAGGTCAGCTGAAAATGTGCACCTTCGGTTGGACACCAGAAATCAAGCGTCGGCCAAGGTGATGGTGTGGGCCGCCATAACAGCCGATGGTCGCTCTCCGCTCGTATTAATCGACCGTGGCATCAGAATAAATACAGAATATTGTCGCGAAAATATTCTGGAGGGTGTATTAAAGCCTTAGGCACGCAAACATTTTGGCCGCGGACTCCGGATACCAATCCGTAGGAGTATTTTGAAAAGCAAGGTTGGCACTAAGAAAATACCAAAGTGTCGATTACCCCAAGAAAGCGCTTCGCCGGAAATGGGCCAAAAAAACGCAGAGCAACATTCGGGCAGCGTTTGAGGGTTTTATTGGTCGTTTGCAGGCCATAATTCGAGCCAAAGATGACCAATTCGAACAAATCTAAACTTATTTTAAAATTTGATGCTATTTCGAACATTTTTTCTTTCGTTTAATTAAAAAAAAAAAAAAAATTATGGGTTTGACTTTGTTGCAGTTTTTTATCTCTCCCTTTACACTCTTCATCAGCTTAAAATCTGTCCCTTGTAATTAAGTTATCTTTCGAACGAATTGAGATAGAAGACTAAAATTTTGCACGAATGGGTATTTTGCACAGTACGCAGATTAAGTCATAAACGCGCCAAGTAGCTCCACGTTTTCGTATAGCCCCTATATAACGGTACTTCCCAATATTTGGTATTTTAAGGATTTTAATAACTTTTTTACCGGTATGGTTTCAACTTTCGTATTTGAAGGATTTAATGAATGCTACAACCTATAACAAAAAATCTGTAATTCAGCCCAACGTCTTCGTATAGCCCCTATGTAACAGTACCTCCTAATATGTCCAATAGGGGACGGACACCCCTAGATTGTCTCCGGAAACGGATTTGGTCAAAAGAGACTTAGGATCTAAATCCTTTATTTGGATGAAGCCTGTTTTGACCGTACGGCTGACGAATTTTCTTTTTTGACATTTTTTGTATGCTCCTATCAAAACTTGACGAGTTGTTCAACGCCTTGAGAATATAAAGAATTCAAGCATTATGGCAAAACATGGGACATTTATTGTATTTTCTATTATTAGTATGTTGAAAGGTAAGGAAATCCGTCCGCATACTATTTTCGTATACTTACAACTTGAACAATTTTTTTATTTAAACATGTGTATGATCCCTTATCGATTCTTACAAGTGGAATGGCAAACTTAAAAGATTATTATTTTATGACTGAATAATTAACATTGGCTGCTAGGCTGTTAGTTTTCAAAACCGAAATAAAAGTCGTCTAAATAAATGCCAAAACTATTTCATTAAAAAAAAAACATGAAATACCTATTCTTGTAATTTTCATTCATAGTCGATTTAACAACGAAAGATAGTAAGAGAATACATGCGCTAAAAGTATTCTAATAAAATTAGCACGACAACTCTGATCATTACATTTCTTTAGTTTATTTTGCGTTCTTCTTTAAATCGGTTGTTGCATCGGTTCGTGTGTGGTTGTCCTTCGCGAAATTCTTAATTTCAGTGTGTTTAATTAATAACTGCAGTACTATAAGTTTCTTTAATGTGTTCACTGCAAATACAACAATAAATTAACATTAACATTATACAAATGCAGTTAATTTTGCGATAAAATGTTAATAATTTTAACAAGGAGTTTGGCTGTTACTTTTTGCTAATGTGCCATTTTAATTGTGTGTATCCATTACAACACTCTCACGGGAGAGTCAATGTTGTTTTTGCTCCAATACTCGGCAAAAGAAGAGTAAGTTTTCCTCTTATTTTTTTTCTTCCTGAGCGCAACCAAGAGAGAGAGAGAGAGCGAGAAAAAATTCAATGAGAGGCTTTGTCGAGCACATTCTATTTTTTTTTGTTGGCAATGTCTAGTTAACAACCGTCTCCATTTGATCGGGCTTCCATTTTATTTTAAAGTGACACCATTAGAGATGCAAATACAAGAAAATAACCGTATTTCTATTTGAAATCCCAGGTACGTATTATTATTAAAGTATTAAATATTAAAGTTGTGTATTAAATGGATATAGGCATCATAACATTTAAAATGATATAAATAAATTGCAAAGTGGACGAAAAATATTAAGAGCTTAATATTAGAGAATTTTGTCTTACCAGTTCTTTATCCGCAAAAAAGTCCGAAATGTAAAATTAGCGGCACTTAAAGGTGGACCGATAATGCCGGTCTTCGAAGTTGACTGGACGGTAGGAAGATTTCAGTCATGCAAAATTTTAGTTTTCTATCATGGGTAAATTACCCTCACTTTATGGTGGAGGATAAAAAAATCAACAAAACTCTTCGAAATATAGGACATTTATAAACAAATAAGCAAACGCTATATGCGTGCGGGACCGACCATGCGACACCCTACAGCTCTGTAATATATTGGAAGCCACTTAGATTCAAGTTCATTTTGGTAGATTTGGTTTTTAAAGTAATGCCACACAACCCTGCACAAATTTAACGTTTGGTATTTGACTGGGGTTTTTGTTTTTGCCCTGTAATTACGCTTTTTGTCGTGCTGATAACTATTCGGAAAAATTTCACACGAAAATTGTGGTTCATTTGAACCCCTAAATATAATCCATGGTAATCCAAAATGCTGGACCTCTGCTTTGTTCCTAACTCTCCGTGTCATTTGGTTTTCAATTATGGTCTGTAGGGCGGCTGCAAAATCAGGAAAATTTTAATTTTTTTGATCCATTTGAACTCCTAAATGTAAATCTTTAAAAACAATAGGCTTTAATTCTGACCCTAAACTTACTGCCATGCAAAATTTCCTAATTTTCCTAAAATTAATATTTTATACCCTCCACCATAGTATGAAGGGTATATTAAGTTTGTCATTCCGTTTGTAACAACTCGAAATATATATTTTAGTCCCCACAAAGTAGCATAAAATGCTACTATTTGAAGTTTGGCAGAAAATTGTCTGTGCAGGTCCACGTTTTGGTATAGCTGCCATATAATGGTACCTCCCTATATTTGGTATTTTGATGATTTTAGCTACATTGTTCACCGAATTTTCGCATTTGAATATTGTAATGACTTATGACAATAGTTGCCTATGTATGTCCACGTCGTCGTATAGACCCTAATATACTGGTTACATTCGGTATTTTCAAGATACTAATAGAATTTTTAACGTATTTTTTCCACTAAATGGTGGAGGGTATTCAAAGTTCTGTCCGGCCCAACTTACAGTTTTCTTACTTGTTTTTACATAAAAGTTATATTCTATTTTACCCGCTAAATATTGTCCGATGACCATCCAAATTGGTATGCTTCTGTCCATCCCTAAAATCTAGCCCATGCCCCATTGTGTCCTGAGAGCAAGCGCTAAAATCAGTATTTATTTCTGTTTTTGGTCCATTATCATCTCCCGTAAATCATCTCCAAAAACAATATTCTGACCCTAACCCCTACTCCATTTTCAATTTCATGATGATCGGACCATAATTGCGACCTGTGCTGTGATTATAAATTAACATGGACAGACGGACTGATGGACATACATAGCGAGATCGACTCAGCTCGGCGAGATAGGAAGATCCATATATAGTTCCTATGTCGGTGATCAATATTTCGAGGAGTTACATAATTTTTTGTCCAATCAAACTTATAATACCCCCAACACATAGTGTTGCAGGATATAAAAGTGACTCATTTTTATTTTATGAAACACTGTGCTATAAGTTTCCACATAAATATTTTATGACCTGCATGGCTTTACTAATTGGATGCCTTTCGCGGTTTCACATTTTAAAAGGTGACAAGGATGGGCAATAGGACATGGGTAATGTGATAAAGGAGGTGTGAATCGAACGGCAAATGCGACAATGAAAATTAAAGTCATAGATTAACTGATGGACAAATGTACATAGATAGATGCATGTGAACGTCTGTATGTATTTCAAAAGCGTGTGTGTGTGTGCAAAACGAAGTATGTGTACATGTATGTATATGTCTGTTTGTTATATGGTTACACAGCTACAAAAGCCAAACAAAAACCATTTAAAGATGTGCGAACTCTTCTGTTTTACACTAATTGCAATGTGAGTTCAAAGGTTTCCGAAATATTTATGGCTTCGGCCTTGATTGTTCATGCCGACCGATAAACCGACCCACCCACGATTCGACTCACCCGCCCCACTCATTCCACTCACCTTTAGGGTATCCACTTGGCTGGCACATTCTGCCAATTTGGCCATGCCACTCTGCAGTCGTTGTATGCGCCGTGTATGTTCACCGCTACGGTCGACCAATAATTTGCGGTACAGGAAAATATATTCCAGAAAGGTCTTTGGGGTTGTGTAGTTGTAGCGTTTTTCATTTTGTAAATAAATCTTGGATATTTGATTCACAGTACCATGGACATAGGCCATGAAACAGCCAATGGGTTCAATAAGCTGAGACTGACACAGGGAGGAAGGAAAGAAAGAAAGGAGTAAAAGTGGTTTGGGTAAATGCATGACCTGAACATACAAAGTTACACACACACACACACATGCAACATATTATAAATAAGGTGATGATATGACAAATAGTGTTACACTTTGTTGCAAAGGTGGCAATGCGGTCAGACTGGCCACCCCCCCTGTCTGGCTAAGTGATTACGGTCCGAACTGGACTAACTAACTAACTTACCGGTAAAATCCCCTTGTCTATTTCGCCCAAAAATTGTTGTGATACTGACTGTAGGGCCGTTTTGGGCCATTCATGAAACCAATCAATTGTGGTCTGTGTCAGAATGGCGGGGAACTTACGTGCCCTTACTCTTAGTGTCTGGCCCACGGGTGAGAAACATAAAATCAAACGCAACAGACGCCTAACTTTTTCCACAAAGAAACGCCAACAATTCTCCCGAGTATCCAGCGTGCCGGACTGTTTCACTTCATTGCGTATGCCATTGACAATGACTTCCATTTGATCGTCGGCAAAAAGTTCTGGTATTTCGCCGGTCGCCAGTAAATCATTGATGAGCATTAGTAAATTTTCCTCGGGTAATTGGGCGTCGGACATTAGAAATACGGATGCCACATTTTTCAGCCCAACTTTCATGCATAGCCCGGCAATGTCTTCCTTCATATCCTGCAGGCCATAGCCACGTTTGATTTGTATCTGGCAAACGCTGAAGGAAGATATGAAGGAGGCCAGGCGGGCCAAGGTTTGTTTGCCGGAACCGCCAACGCCCACAAGTAATGCATTGTTGCGGGGACTTTCCAAAATGCGATTAATGCTGGAATAAAAATGAATAGTAAATATTTTTAGATAATCAATATCAACTGGTCTTCTATAAAGAAGATCAATTGGTTCGCTAATGAAAATACCAACTGGTCCTGTATGGAGGAGACCATCTTGTCTTTTATAGAGAACGGCAACTAGGTTTCTATGAAGAAGACCAATTGGTTTTCTATGAAGAAGATCGATTGGCTTTTTAGGAAGAAGGCCGATTGGTTTTTTAGGAAGAAGGCCGATTGGTTTTTTAGGAAGAAGACCAATTGGTTTTCTACCAATTGGTTTTCTATGAAGAAGACCAACTGCTCTTCTATGAAGAAGACCAACTCTGCTCTTCTATGAAGAAGACCAACTCTGCTCTTCTATGAAGAAGACCAACTCTGCTCTTCTATGAAGAAGACCAACTCTGCTCTTCTATGAAGAAGACCAACTCTGCTCTTCTTTGGAAGAGACCAACTGCTCTTCTATGAAGAAGACCAACTCTGCTCTTCTTTGGAAGACACCAACTGCTCTTCTATGAAGAAGACCAACTGCTCTTCTATGAAGAAGACCAACTGCTCTTCTTGGAAAAGACCAACTGCTCTTCTTTGGAAAAGACCAACTGCTCTTCTATGGAGAAGACCAACTGCTCTTCTATGGAGAAGACCAACTGCTCTTCTATGAAGAAGACCAACTCTGCTCTTCTATGAAGAAGACCAACTCTGCTCTTCTATGAAGAAGACCAACTCTGCTCTTCTATGAAGAAGACCAACTTTGCTCTTCTATGAAGAAGACCAACTTTGCTCTTCTATGAAGAAGACCAACTCTGCTCTTCTATGAAGAAGACCAACTCTGCTCTTCTATGAAGAAAACCAACTCTGCTCTTCTATGGAGAAGACTAACTCCTCTTCTATGGAGAAGGTCAACTGCTCTACCATGTAGCGAAAAACCCAGTCTTCCACGGAGAAGACCAACTCGTCTCATATACTTACCGACAAACATGTTTCATGGCATCTTCGAAGAGCACTAAATTCATGTAACCAATAACCTCATTATAGCTTGACTGGGCTTCCATCAACAACTGATACAGGGCCTGCCAACTTTTGAGCGGCATATATTTTTGATCAGCCAACGATTGTGCGAAATGACAATAAATCAATGGATCCGAAAAAACGTATTCCTCATCGAAATCTTCAAAATCCTTTTTGAAAATATCCCTTATGGCCGAATTAAAAGCCTTTATGTCATAGGGATCCACCAAACGATCGTTATAGGTACGATATGCTTCATGGACATATAGGCGTATGAGATCCGATGGCTTTTGACAAATTGTACCTCCCAAGGAGGTTATGTTTCCCACATTATTGGCTTCAAGAGGCACACCACAACTATTCATTAGACCTTGATAAATATTAGTTAAATCACGCATATTGAAGATGTAGTGGAATTTTACAGCTGTTGGCAGGAAAGCGGCTTCCATGCGACGATGTAGGCCAATTCCAACTCGTACTAGTAGTGGAGCTATGGATTTTATTTCCTTGCTAAAACTATTCAAAGGATTATCGAGATGTGAGGATAGAATTCGACCATAGATATATTGTAGAGTCGTTTCACTGGGTGGCGCCACTGAAAAGACACAGAAATGTCTTTGCAGGCGAGGATCAATCGTGAAAGAGCCAGCTGTGGGATTCATGCAAGCAACAAATTGACAATTGCGTATGTTTTTCAGCTGTAGACATTGCCGATCGTACCTGGAAACGAAAGCATATGTGAGTTTAGTTGTGGTATAAATTGGTGACCTGCAGAAGGCGTTATAAATTAGGAAGGCCTACAGAATGTCTTCTGTGTATAGAAGACTAACAAAAGATCTTCTGTGTATAGAGGATCTTCGTGTATAATAGAAATAGAAGATCCAAAGGTAAGAAGGAAGACCTACAGGAGGTCATCCGGGTATAGAAGACATGCAGAAAGTCTTCTGCGTATAGATTACCTACAGAAGGTATGCTGTTTATATAAGACCTACAGAAGGTATTTTGGGTATGGGAGACCTAGACAGGTCTTCTGTGTATAGAAGACCTATATATGGGCTTCGTTGTATAAAAGAACTAATGAGGGGCTATGGTGTATAGTAGACCTACAGAAAGTTTTCTGTTTATCAAATACCTACCATGTAAAAAAGACCTTCAAAAGGTCTTCTTCCTGGTATAGAAGACCTGCCAAAGGTTTTCGTTTTATAGAAAACCTACAGAAGCTTTTCTGTGTAAGACCTACAAAGGACTTAAAAGGCCAAGGTCTTCTGTTTATGCATCTGTTGCATATTGCATGTATAGAGGACCTACAGAAGGCCTTAGGTGTATAGAGGACCTAGAAGTGGACTTCTGGGTATAGAATATCTGCTAAAGGTCTTCATTGTATATAAGACTTACAGAAGCTCTTCTGTATAAGACCTACAAAAGACCTAAAAGACCAAGAGAAAGTCATCTTTCGTTAACTTATTATTCTCCCTTGAAAACTTCTCTCACAAGCTTACCACTGCCTATAGTCCATAAACTGCCGCATAATGGTGTGTGGCTGCACCGTACCATAGGCATCCACTTCAGGCATATTCAGATCATTTATAAAATACACCAAACGTCGTTTGGCACCTACAGGTCCATACGTCCTTCCCGATTTCTTTTCCAGCGGACGATCCAATACTTTTTGGAAAATTTCTGAAGATGTATAATAATTGAAATGTATGGCTTGCACAGTGGTTGCCAATGGTTTGGGTTGTGACTGAAATGAACAACGTTGGGTTTCCATTTTTGCCGGATTAACATCCATCACATCCGAAGCTTGGGCATATTTGGTAAAGAGCTCACGAAAAATGGTATTTTTACCACAACCCGAATTTCCCACCAGCATACAGGGTAAATTGCGATTAATTAACATTTCCAGGAAGTGCATCAGACGTGCCGTTTCAAATGTAGGGATCATGATGCTCTAAAAACAATAAACATTAAAGCATACTCTTCAGGACCCTTTCTCGATTAGCTTACCTGTACCGGCGTCTGAAACTCCATTTGCATTGGCATTCGCCCCGCCATATCAGACCAACGTATGAATTTCTGTGTCCTCACATCCAAATGATAGTCGTAGATTGTACCCTGTGAGGGAAGTTTAATATCCTTGAATTCGGTGCACCACCATTTTTGAAATTCTCTCCGCCAATCGATATTATGTTCCTGACTCAGAGCAGAACCAAATCCCCATAGCACGGCATAGACAAATATCAACTCCAAATGCAATTCTAGAGAATCGGGTGCCAAGCCAACATGATGTAAACTATGGGGATTATTGGGATTGGAACTGTGTTGAAACTCCGTTTCTTCTTCATTAAAGTCGAGAAGGCACTCAAGTAAGTTACAGGACATTTGAATGACGGCCATATCGGATATTGGGACAATGTGACGAAAATCCTGATGACGTTGTAATAATTTCGGAAAATATTTCTCGAACAGGGTTGTTAGGATACCACGTTCCAACATATCGGGGCGGGTTTCGAGCCATGATAAAACGTAGCTGAAGCACATAATAGGATGAACGATAGATATACAAATATATATACAGGCGGAATAATGAAAAGTTTTTGAGTGATAATCGAACGGATTGACTAATTGACTGACTTAGACCTAACTCCCACGTGCTTATTAATTTTGGGCAATCGGATGAGAGATGCTCTGTTCCAGAACTTGCAAAAAAGGCAAAGAAGAACTATCATGAACATCAGCTTAGTCCAACTTTGACATACTCTTTCCAACATTTTGGCCGAATAAATGCTTTAATATTGTCTTCCAATGCCTCAATTTAAGCAAGCTCATCTGTATACAGGGTGAGATAAAAAAACTGCAACAAAGTCAAACTCCAGAATTTTTACATTTTTTTTAAATTTTATTGAATTCAAGCAAAAAATGTCGGAAATAGCATCAAATATTAGATTACGCTTAGATTTGTTCGAATTGGTCACCTTTGGCACAAATTATGGTGAAACCGTCACACGCTGCCCGAATGTTGCTCTACAGTATTTTGGTCCATTCCCGGCGAAGCGCTTGCTTGAGGTGATCGACGACACTTTTGTATTTTATAGTGCCAACCTTTCTTTCCAAAATACTCCAGACACAATAGTATAACGAATTGGTATCCGGAGATTTTGGTGGCCATTGTGCGCTGGAAATGAAGCGAGGAACCTCATTTTGTAACCATTCCCCGGGGGCGCGTGTTGAGTGCGATGGTGCTGAGTATTGTTGGAATGTCCAAGGTCTGCGGCCAAAATGTTTGCTTGCACAAGGCTTTAATACACCATCCAGAATTTTTTCGCTTTAATATTCGGCATTTATTCTGATGCCACGGTCGATTATTACGAGCGGAGAGCGACCATCGGCTGTTATGGCGGCCCACACCATCACTATGGCTGGCGTTTGAGTGCTGGTGGCCAGCCGAAAGTGCACATTTTCAGCTGACCTCTTTGGACAACGAATGTTTTCTCATCGGAGAAAACCAAATTCCGCAGTTCACCACTTTCGGCCAAGCGAAGCAACTCTTTAGCTCTTTTGAGTCTATTTTCTTTCTTTAGAGGTGTAAATTCTTGCACTTTTTATACCCTCCACCATAGGGTAGGGTATATTAATTTTGCCATTCCGTTTGTAACTCCTCGAAATACTCATGTCAGACTCAATAAATATTCTTGATCAGCGTAAAATTCTAAGATGATTTAGCCATGTCCGTCAGCCTGTCTGTCTTTTGTAATTTTGTAATTCGAACGAATTGAGATAGAAGGCTAAAAGTTTGCAGACATGTTTATTTTGCCAGTAGGCAGGTTAAGTTCGCAAATTGGCCATGTAGGTCTACGTTTTCATATAGCCCCCATATAACGGAACCTCCCGGTATTCGGTATTTTCATGATTTTAGCGACATTATTCACCGAAATTGTTTCAAATTTGGTATTTGAAGTTCGAAATGGATACTACGGCCTAAGACAGGAAATTATCTGTGCAGGTCCACATCTTCGTATAGCCCCCATATAACGGTACCTCCCGATATTCGATATTTTCATGATTTTAGCGACATTATTCACCGGAATTGTTTCAAATTTGGTATTTGAAGTTCGTAAAGGATACTACAGCCTATGACAGAAAATAGTCTATGTAGGTCCACGTCTTCGTATAGCCCCCATATAACGGTACTTCCATATATTCGGTATTTTGATGATTTTAGCGTCATTATTCACTGGAATTGTTTCAAATTACTTATTTAGAGTTAGTATTGGAAACTACAGTCTGTAGACAGCATATTGTCTATGCAGATCCATATATCAGTACCTCCCATATTCGGTATTTTGACGGGTTTAGGTGCAATACCTATCGAAATTATATGAGATGTCGTATTTGAAGTTCGTAATGGATGCTACAGCCTGTAACAGAAAAATTTATATGCTGGTCCAGGTCTTCGCACAGCTCCGATATAACGGTACCTCCCTATATACGATATTTTGATGATTTTAGCTACATTATTCAGCGTTTTTTTTAAGTTTCGGATTTGAATATGTTAAAGGCTTATGACATGGCTTATGACAAAAAATGCCAATGTAGGTCCACGTCATATAGACCCCAATATAACGGGTGTATGTGGTATTTTTTAGCAGATTTCTTAACGATTTTATTTTTTGAAAAATTCCACATTCATTCCAAATGGTGGAGGGTATTCAATGTTCGGCCCGGCCGAACTTACTGCTTTTTAACTTATTGGAATTTTAATAGCATTACCCCGAGCTCATTTTTCAATATTTGCCGAATGGAATATTGCGGTATGTTCAGCTCACGAGCCATTTTTCGGCCACTGCGAAGCGGGTTTCGATCAAGTCGCTTCTTAATTTTTTGGAAACATTCCTGCTGATGTTGCTGTTTTTTTTTCGTCCAATTCCTTGTCGTCGGGCTAAGCTACCAGTATCACGGTAACGAGCGATGGTACGAGACACAAAAGATTTAATCACATTTAAATACTGGAGTGCTCTAACGATAGCCACTTGTGGTTTTCCAGCCAAAAATAAAGAAATCACACTATCACGCTTGCATTCCAACACGAATAACTTTTTTTCTAGAAAATTTTCACTAAAATGCTTTTGTACGCTTGAAAATAATATAATCAGCTGTCGCTTGAATAATTTTAACAGCTGTTGGACGAATGGCTTAGAAATGACAGCAGTCTGAAGTTGGTTGCAGTTTTTTTTTTCACACTGTATCTACAGAGGACCTTGAAATGACTTTCTATCCAGATATTTAAAGATATTTTTATCTATAGAAGTCCTATAGACGACCTACAAGAGATCCCTAGTCCTACAAACTTGCAGACGAGTATTTATCCTGGGAACACATGTAGAATAGGAATCCATGAAATCAAATACTCACGGTGACCAACCCAAATCCAATGGATTAATATACAAAATTCCAGCTCTCGACACCGTGGCCGGTGTTGCCGCCTTCAGGTGGCCAACTTCGAAAATTAAACGCATTTCTTTCTTCAAAGCTATACGTTCATTATTGGCCAATGTTAGGATTTTATTATCGTCCATTAGGGTATTTAAACTTTCAATCCACATTGGATCGATATCACCATCTAAGACAATCCATTTGGGGTGGTCATTATTCAAATTGGCCTGCTCACGCATTATCGATGAGAATAAGCCATCTTTCCATTCACGTGTCGTGGCATTTACCACTCCGAAGAGTTCATCATTTGTCAAAGCCTTTGGGTTGAGAATACTGCAAACAGGTTTCCGTTTCTGCAGGCGATAAGTCTCCCGTAGTGTTTGCCAGATTTGCGTTTTCCCCGTTCCGGCATTGCCCACAATGAAAACCGAATGACGCACATCTAGGAGTTCTTGAAGTTGTACCACTTTCATGAGGAATCCTTCTTCGGGCTGCAGTTTGATGTCATTGACAGCACGACGTATGATCTTTTCAAATTCAAACACCCGCTTCCGTGGCACATCCAGGGCTGGAAAGAGATCGCCTATGAGGCCCATAAATATGGAAATATCTTCGGTGACAATTTTTGGTATGTTAAAATCTCTTAGAGCTCTCATGAGAACCTGGTCCTCAGGTCGGCTGTGGTCATCTCGTTTCAAAGTGCCAGCCACCACGAGAACCGATTTTATGGCTCTAAGGCCCCAGTCGTAATGATCCTGTTTGGACAACAATTCCTTGCACAGGGTATAGAGGGTAATGAACTTTCTGGCCAGTAACCTGGCATCCTGGAAACCCTCGGCCATCAGCATTATTTCACAAATCAAGGCAAAGTCCGGCACAATCATGGCACAAGGACGGAATAGTGACTTTAAATTCTCGGGCAGTTCTGTGCGTCCTGCATAACCGGGATTCATGGTTATAAAAATGCCCACCGAGGGCAGCAAGGCTATTGTTTCACCCATGAATACAAATTGGGATTTATGCATCTGAAAGCAAGGAAAAGAAAAAAAAAAAAGACAACATCAACAACAACAACATATTCTCCAGCTTATAAATGTGTGTGTGTGTGTGTTTGTCTGTGTGTTCGTGAGCGTTGCTCTCAAAAACCACCAACCTTTATTGCCTCCTGTATGGTCTTTACTTGGACCGCAACCACCGACAATACCTCCACGGAAATGCGATTGAACTCATCAAAGCAGCCCCATGCTCCTGTCTGGGCCAGACCTTTGTATATATTACCACAGGATTTGTAGTCCATTTGTTCGGAACAATTGAATACATAAACCATTACACCCAGTGCACGTCCCAAATCTTTTGTGGTTTCCGTTTTGCCAGTACCAGCTGGCCCGGCAGGGGCGCCACCCATCACAAGATGCAATGACTTTTCATGTGTGTGTGTGTGTGTGCGTGGGTTGGTGTTGGGTTTTGCATGAATGCAAGGCGGATTTCGTTTCACAGCAAAGTTATGCATAAGAAAGACACCCAAAAAAAAAGCGAGAAAGAAGAAAAATCGGAAAAAAGAACGCAGTAAAAATCATTAAACATAAATATGAAATATTGAAAAGTAAAGCCATTTTCCGGCATCGGCAAGCGGGCAAAGATTAAATGAAGTGAAATGAACATTGGTTAAATTTTACAGGAATTTCGTGGTGAATGGCTACAGATTACCAAGAGCTGAGGGTCGTTGGGGCATCAAGAGATAGTTAAATGGAGCGATTCTTGGTTTTAAGTTCTGCACTGCTGCTGTTCGTGGGAACATTTTAAGTGGGGGCAACGAAGATTAATGGAAAACTTTATGAAATAATTGCTGGATTATGGCGAAAGATTTTGAACGGAAATAAAATAAAAGTGATTTTTTTTAACGACTGGCAAGAAAGACAAGGTTAATTTTTCGAAAGAGGACTGTGCAAATGACTGACTGGGAAATATTTTAGCCGGTCATTAAAGTTGAGCTGAATTGTGGCACCAAATTGGTAGCCAAAGAAGATTTTTAAAAAGGTTTTAAAATAATTGGTACTAATCAAGGTACAGGGTTGCCCATATTCGACGGACCCATGACTCTTTGGGCCCATTCCAAACGACGAGTCTTGTTCGCAGGCAACATTCTTTGCGTCAATTGAATTTTGTACGGGAACAAATGCAAATCAATGCGAATAATCCGTTGTAAAGTGGACCGAGCCATGCACAACTGCTGAGAACGGCGTTTTTGGGATGTTCTTGGGGACCTCTCAACACTGGCTCGTACGGCAGCGATATTCTCGGCCGATCGTCTTGGTCGACTTTTATATGGCCTCTTCGGATTAGAAAGAGCCTTACCAGTCGAAAATTGTTCGTGTAAACGCTTAATGGTGTTCTTAGAAGGCGCACTTCTCACATTTTTTTAATGTTTTAAAAGCACGTTGAGTTTTCACAATTGACTTCTTCTGTTGAATGTAAATTTCAACTAATTCAGAGCGCTCGCGTGGCGTGTATTGGTTCATGGTAAAAATCTGATTGGATTGACGCTTTAAACGCGGTATATCATTAAGCGATGTGACATCTCTGTCAAAAGTTATAGCGTTGCCAGATGGGTCCGTCGAATATGGGCAACCCTGTATATTAGATAATGTTAAGTTGGTAAATGTGATGAAACAAAAAGGTTTATTCACGAATTAAAAAAAAATATATATTTTTATGCCCCTGATACGGCAAAAATGTGCCTCACCGAAATAACGGTTTTAAACCATAGGTCCCTTGGACTAAATCCGTTTCAGGGCATTTGGAGTCGATCTAGCGATGTCCGTTCGCCGGTATTTTTATCTGTGTGGCTGGTGCGCACGATAACTCTCGAAGGGAGTATCCGATTTGGTCTAAACTTGGTAAATCGCAATATTATTATCAAACCTAGATCGAGTTCGGAGAAATTTCCAAAAAAAAGTATAAAATAAAATATATTTTGCGGCACAGAAAGAGAAAGGATTTTGCTCCAACTCTTTAAGTTCTTATATTTGCATCAGTGCTCAGTCAGGTGCGAATCTGATTCCATTCGGACTTGGTACATCTCAATATTTACAACAACGCAAGATCTGTAATAAAGTTGATAGGGATCGAACAATTTCTTCTGATACGCTCAAAAACGCTCGAAGAAAGCGGAATAAGCATCCAGCTCTCTCAAAATTTCACACATGCAAACATTTTTGCTTACATATGATATTTTGTGAAGATGATATATATCTTCGAAGACCTTCTAGGACTTCTCCCAAAAAAGGTCATCTTCGTCTGTCATAACTTGCGAAACAAATCAAACAAATCAAAGTGAAGGAAGTAATATAGTCCAAACATGGCACGTCGCAATATTTTTATGATATTTGCAGTGTGAGATAAAAAACTGCAACAAAAATAAAACGCTATAATTTTTAATTTTTTTTTATGCCCTCCACCATACTATGGAGGGTATATTAACTTTGTCATTCCGTTTGTAACTCCTCGAAATACTCATGTCAGACACAACAAAGTATATATATTCTTGATCAGCGTAAAATTCTAAGTCGATTTAGCGATGTCTGTCTGTCTGTCCGTCTGTCTGTTTTAATCACGCTATCTTTCGAACGAATTGAGATACAAGGCTAAAATTTTGCACACGGGTTTATTTTTACAGTAGGCACGTTAAGTTCGTAAATGGGCCATGTAGGTCCACGTTTTCATATAGCCCCCATATAACTGTACCTCCCGATATTCGGTATTTTGATGATTTTAGCGACATTATTAATCGGAATTGTTCAAAATTTGGTATTTGAAGATCGCAATGGATACTACATCCTAAGACAGAAAATTGTCTGTTCAGGTCCACGTCTTCGTATAGCCCCCATATAACAATACCTCCCTATATTCGGTATTTTGGCGATTTTAGCGTCTTTATTCACCAAATTTTTTTCAAATTACCCATTTAGAGTTCGTAATGGAAACTCCAGTCTGTGACAGAAAATTGTCTATGCAGGTCCAGGTCTTCGTATAGGCCCCATATACCAGTACCTCCCTATATTCGGTATTTTGACGAGTTTAGGTACAATACTCACCGAAGTTGTTTGAAATGTCGTATTTGAAGTTCGCAATGGATGCTACAGAATATGACAAAAAATTGTCTACGCAGGTTCAGGTCTTCGCACAGCTCCGATATAACGGTACCTCCCTATATTCTATACTTTGATGATTTTGGCTACATTACTCGCGTTTATTTCAAGTTCCGAATTTGAATTTGTTAATGACTCGTGAAAAATAATGCCTGTGTGGGTCCACGTCGTATAGGCACCAATATAACGGCAATATTCGGTATTTTTAAAATTTTAGCAAAATTTTTTCAGGATTTTATTTCCAAATTCGTTCCAAATGGTGGAGGGTACTCAAAGTTCGGCCCGGCCGAACTTACTGCTTTTTAACTTGTTTCTTTTAGAGTTTTATGTAGTTACGGGACAGTGATTAGATTTATGAAGGGACTGTCGGGAGCATTAAATTCGATTTCATAGACAATAAATTTAAATCTAACAGAAATTAAACCAAATGTAGCCCTTCTTATTTCAAGTAAGGAGCTCACCCTGAAGATACACAAATGCTATCTGAAGTAGATATACACATGCTCTCTGAATCAATATGGCTTCTCACTAAGAATCTAAAATTATTATTTTTTTTTTGTTTTAAGGGAAGCTAAAATATATGTTTTAAAAATAACTGATTTGAAATGTTCTGCATTCACTTACCTGCGTCAATGTAATGTAGCAACGATCTGTCAATGGAGTGATAACCAATCTCGAAGTATTTCCCAAATATTCATAGGCATAGCGGAATTCGGCATCACATATATTGGCAAAACAATCTTCGGTTACCAATGAATCCTCTTCGCCGCCCACTTCCGTCCAACGATGTCGCAGCTGACTTTGCCATTGAAAAGCAAACGAACTATCAACACGGGCCTGGATTATGCGCGAAACAACATCCCTCGAATGAACATCGATGGTACAAATTGTCATGATTTTCTGGCGATCTCCCGGTGTCAATTCGCCCAATAGGAGATTGATCAACGAATTGAGTTGTACGATTTGATTTTTATGTAAATCTTTCATGGCTGCCTCATAGCCCTCCTCCATCCAGGCAAAGGCTCGATTAACATCCGCCGTCCAAGAGATTTGACTGCAGCATAAAGCCACCTGGGCCGGCCAATCGTTGAGCCATTTGTCGCGTGACTTTTCCGATTGCACTTGCAGTGATTTGCCGAACATCTCATGGAGGGTATGGCGCATTTCGGAAATTAGAATTTGTAGCCATAGTTCCACACGTCCCTCACACAGAATACCATCGTCGGAGATGAATGGAACATATTCATTATTTTCCTTGGAATACATTCCAATGGCATTGTTGGTGCGATAAGAGGCAAAGGAGAGACGCAATATGGAATCGAAAAGTTTGATAAAATGCCGCTCGATAATTTGTGGATTATTGCCATTGGAGAGTATGTCCAGTAAGTCGGCTGAGGATATGAAATAAAAACGTGGAAATGCCAAACGTTTGGTTTCCAAATAATTATTTAAGGCCTTCTCACAAATCAAAAGACGCTTCTGCAGCTGCTCCAAGGCTTCGAAGACATAACGATGCTCAAGAACAATATCCATGGCGATTTTGACAGTTTGAATTTTAGACAAGAGATCGATGAACTCTTCATCAATATCCTCAAAGAATTCTGACTCTTTGGGCAGCTGGGCCCGTATGTCCGGTGAGCCAATGAAAATACACTCCAAATACACCCATTTACGTTGGACCTCAAACCAATTGGCAATGAACAACTCCACCCCGCTCAATACCCTTTGCCAATAGTTGAGCTTTTCCAGTAAGTAGTCAATATGTTTGGAAGTGGCTATATTTTGTATCTGCATTTGATTATCGTCCAAGGTTTCGATGAGTCCTTCCGAGACTTTTAGTAATATTACATTTGGGCGCCGTAGATGTGACTCCCGATCGAACTTAATTTGGGACCATACTGCCTTGATGTCATCTAGGATTTTGGTTACATTCATCTCCTTGATTGCTCGATCTACGGTATTTCGTATTTCCTCATCGTGTTTGTGAAGTTCCAGTTTCATCAGTTTATCCAGGGTGCTGGTGTTGTCCAATTTGAAAGAGAGCTATCCATGAAAAAAAGGGATATAAATTTAATTTTTATTTAACATTTTCTCAGAAGGCCTCAAAGGAGGCATAGGACATCCCAAACGAGGTCCTTTGATAAAAAATACCTCAAAGGAAATTTTATAATTTTTTTCTTCTATAAGAGACTTCAAATAAATCTTCTTATAGAATGGTCTAAAATTGGACCTCAAAGAACCTTTGTCATTGTCTTTGTTTTTGTTATTTTTTGCCTCTATTTAAATCTACTTACCTCCTTAGCTATCCTCATGTGTAATTATCAATAAATTTTACCTGGAATTCAAATTACATATATTTCATTAAAATCCCAAAAACCTCACTTGACCTGCTTAACTGGTTAATTCCCTAAAATTTCATTAAAATTAATTTTTCAGCAATCAGTATTTGTGTGCTAATACATCGAACATGTCCTTGCCGACTTGTGTTATCACAACAATTTACAATTTAGTATCCTTGAAGCCACAAATTAATAATCATCGTTCATTTATCCTGAATCCGAAGATACGATTTCATTCAAATTCGAATCAAAATAATGGGGACAAATCGGCCATAAATGAAGTAAGTGAACTCATTTGCATTGCCATTAACATTTGTAATTAAATGATAAGCAAATGTCATCGGCAATCGTTTGCAACAAATAGCAAAATTGTGAAGATAATATTTTGTGAAATTATCGATATTGGGTTGAACTGACAAAATCATGGCGGATGAAGGTTTTGTCTTAGAAGAGCGAAAGGTTTTCTAATAAAAAAGTGCACGTTCTACTATTATAAGAGCCAAAGGGAGCTGGATGTCTATAAAAGAGCTGGATGTCTCATAGACGAGCTGGATGTCTTCTAATAGATGAGCTGAAGGTCTTCTCATAGACGAGCTGGAGGTCTTCTCATAGAAGAGCTGGAGGTCTTCCCATAGAAGAGCTGGAGGTCTTCCCATAGAAGAGCTGGAGGTCTTCCCATAGAAGAGCTGGAGGTCTTCGCATAGAAGAGAGCTGCATGGAAAAGAGCTACAAGTCTTCGCATAGAAGAAAGCTACAGGTCTTCCCATAGAAGACAGCTGGAGTTCTTCGCATAGAAGAGAGCTGGAAGTCTTCTCATAGCAGAGCTCAAGGCCTCCTATTTTTTGAGCTTCTCATTCACATAGAGAAGCGGAAGTTCTTCTCGTAGAAGAACCGAAGGTTTTCTCAAAGACGAGGTATTCTCAGAGAGGACCTGTAAGTCTCCTCAGTCTCCTTAGAGAATATTAGTTCATCTCCTTAAAAATACATGTTTTTTCCTTCTTAGTTGGTCTTGGAGCAGGTGGTCTTCTCTTTATGGAAGACCAGTTGTTTTCTCCATGGAATGCCAGTATGCCTTTTTCTCAGAGAATACTAGTTGCTTCCTTATCTTAGAGAAGGTTGGTCTTCTCATTAAAGACCAGTGAATGTTCAGTCCTCAGATATGAGCAGTCGGTCTCCTCAGAGAAAACCAGGTGTTCATCCCATAGAAGACCAGTTGGTCCCCTCCGAGAAGTCACGTTGGTACCATAGAGGTCTGTTGGTCTCTTCTTAGAAGACTAGTTTGTTTCCTCAGAAAGGACCAGTTGGTCTCCTCAGGGGATAAGTTGGTCTCCTCAAAAAAGACCAGTTATCCTCCTCAGAAGACCTGGTGGTCTTTCTCTGAAAGAGAGAAAGTTATTTTCCTCAGAAGACCAGGTGGTATCTCAGGAAAGACCAGTTATTCTCCACTTCTCAAAGGTGACCAATTTCCCTTTCTCTCAGAGAGGACCAGTTGCTCTTTTTCTCAGAGAAGACCATTTGGTCTCCTCAAAGAAGACCAGTTGACCTTCTGATAGAAAATCGGTAGCACTTTGTTCAAATATCAAATTATTTTCATTTATCTCTTTATTCCATAAATATTTTTGTTTCGAATTATTAAATTTTTTCCATCCCAATATTTATTATGCTTTTATTATCATCTTCATCCCGTATGGCCATAACAACAAACGTACATGGTGAGTGTTTGTGTGGGTGTCTGTCGATGTCCGGAACATATGAACATATTTATTTGCATACTCGTACACATGCACAAATAATTTAATTCTATTTAATTTACACAGAATAAATATTAGTAATAAATAAATTATTAATGCTCATAAGTCACAATAATAATTCCAAGAATATGAATGGCTTGCAGGTCTGTAGACCAGACTGGACAGAAGGATGAGTGGGTGGGTGGATGGATAAATGAATGAATGGACGAATGGCATGAGTAATAGCTAGGCAATGGGGATACGAACAAATGATGTAATGGCTTCTTCAATTGCTGGGAGACAGGGAGTGAACTGGGCCATTAAACAATTGAAGTGAAATGTTTAAATGAGGGATTACCCGGTCAAAGGACGTGCCGGCTTGTTTATTCGTTTGTTGGTTACACTGACATATGTAAGGATATTTTAAGGATATCTTTTTATTTTATGTCATTATAAGTGTTTTTATATATGTCTATTTCGAATGAACATTGGACTTTTATGGACTGGTTCTACAACGCCCATGCTCTAGCTCTAGCTCTCTTTGAGAGCAGAGGATAGGATGTTAACAAAATGTAAGTGAATTGTTTGGTATAAGTGCGGCATTTTATTATTATCCTTACGCAATATTGTGTATTTTTTTTTTGCCCTTATCAAATGTTTAGGCGGAAGGTGACCGGTCAATCCTTCAGTTAAATTCGAATAAAAACGTATGTCTATTTAATGTCGAATGAATGAAAAAATATAAAAAAAAGTCCATTAATATAAAGTTTCGGGGAGTGAGAACGGGTGTGTCTGTGTGTGTATGTATGCATGTGGTCCTTTATGTCTGTTAGCCTCCACCATCACCAGAAATAATGCCTGGCATATGTATCGGAAATTAAATTTTCCTTGGAAGTGATACTGGCATTGGTTATTCCCTGAATGATAATTTTATTTGTTCTCGCAACTGCTCAAAAGGGATCTAGAAACAAATTGCGTTGAATTTCTGGTCAGAAAAAGGCTGATGGTGTTGCTTGTAAAGCGATTAAAATAGACAACTTTGTTAATTGGTCTTCGAGTGTTTTTTAATGAGATTATCAGTTGGTTATTGAAACAGAACGATGACAATTTTCAGTTATTGGTTAAAAGAACGACTTCATGAGATAGGAGCAGAAATGTATTTATTTTTTATTCATAGGGAATTCTCCCTTTGGAAAGAATAAATAAGTGAAAATAATAATATGTAGGGCCCTCCACCATGAGAAAACTTGAATTATAGCAAATCGACAACCTCAAAAAATTTTTATGAGGGTTATACCGTTACTGAAGGAAATTGAGAAAATCAAACGAGGCCAGGAGACTATATCAAAAACACAAAGACAAAATTTCAATTTTTGAATTAAGATTCCCGATTTTAAGCTCAAAAAGTCTTGAGCAATATTACAAATAATAATACGGTGATAATTTTGGTCAAACATTTAAATCCTCAAGGGAGTTACCCAAGGGGTCTTTTTGGTCCTTTTTATACCTTACACCACAAGGTGGTCAGGGTATTATGTCTTTGTGCATTTGTTTGTAACAGGCAAAAGGAAACGAGATAGACCCATAGTTCCTTTTGATGATCTGCATAGAATCACATTCTGAGTCGATTTATGCATGTCCGTCCGTCAAAAGTACAGTTCGCAATTATTGCCCTATCTAGATGAAATTGCACAAATCATTTGTTTGGCCCAAGGACGAACCCTATTGAAATTGGAGATAATCGGTCAAAATTTAGATATAGCTCCCATATATATCTTCTTCCGATTTGCCTTTTATTGTGCACCAAACGTGTAATATCAGCCCGAATAGTATGAAATTATGCACGTACGATCAGATTGGACCTCAAAATAAGTATGCCAAATTGAATCGAAATCGGTTCAGATATAACTATAGCTCCCATATATATTGTTCATCCGATTTGTTATTTTTGTCCTCCGCAGCCGTAATATGCACTCTGTAACAACAATATTTTGGGAAATATATCAAATACAACTCAGAAATACATTTGCTAAATTTTATCGAGATCGGTTCAGATTTGGATATAGCTCCCATATATAACTTCGTCCGATTTACCTTATATTGTGCACCAAACGTCTAATATTTGTCCAAATGGGATGGAATTTGGCACTTAGGACCGAATTCGGTCTAGAAGCTAGTATGTCAAATTTGTTGAAGATCGGTTCAGATATAGCTATAGCTCCCATATATGCTGTTCATCCGATTTGTTATATTTGTTACCCACAGCCGTAATATGCACTCCGTAACAACGATATTCAGGGAAATATATCAAATACAGCTCAGAAATATATTTTCCAAATTTTATGGTGATCGGTTCCGATTTGGATATAGCTCCCATATATATCTTTATCCGATTTCAAATCAATCGTGCACCAAATGGGCAATACAGGTCCGAATTTAAAAGATACAAATGCTTCGGTATATTTAGTCCTTTGAACTTTAAATTATAATTATAATCATAGCGTGTATGATGAAATGTTATTTTTTAGTGCCAACCTTGCTTCCAAAATACTCCAGACACAATAGTCCAACGGATTGGTATCCGGAGATTTTGGTGGCCACTGCGAGGAACCTCATTTTGTAACCATTCTTGGGTGGCGCGTGCTGAATGCGATGGTGCTGAGTCCAAATTGGAATGTCCAAAGTCTGCGGACAAAATGTTTGCGCGCACAAGGATTTAATACACCGCGATAATATTCGGCATTTATTCTAATACCAACAGAGAGCGACCATCGGCTGTTTTTGGCGGCACACCCTGATGGCCAACCGAAGGTGCACATTTTCAGCTCAACTCTTTGGCAAGTAAACACGATCATTTTGTTTGTTTACAAACTGCTGGATAACGATTGTTTTCTCATCGGAGAAAACCAAATTCGGCAGTTCACCACTTTTAGCCAAGCGAAGCAACTCTTTAGCTCTTTTGAGTCTATTTTCTGTCTGTTGCGGTGAAAGATCTTTTGTCCTTTTTGGAATTTCAATGGCTTTACCCCGAGCTCATTTTTCAATATTTGCCGAATGGAATATTGCGATATGTTCAGCTCACGAGCCATTTTTCGGGCACTGCGAGGCGGGTTTCGCTGAAGTCGCTTCTTTACTTTTCGAGGCATTTCTGCTGATGTTGCTGTTTTCTTCCGTCCACTTCCTTGACGTTGGGGTGCGCTACCAGTATTACGGTAACGAGCGATGGTAGGAGACACAAACGATTTATTCGGGTATAAAAAGGACCAAAAAGACCCTAGTGTGGCTCGCTTGAGGGTTAAACATTTCGACCAAAATAATTCTTGTATTTTTATCAGTAATGTTTCCCAGTAAACTATAAGTATATATAAATGAGCGGATTTCAAAGGAACCATTAACCTTCAAAAAACCTATACACGTGTCTCCTTTCTGGAGACGGCTGAGCTAATCTCTGACCAATCTAAAAAGCTAATTTTTGTCTATTTCGAAAGATGTTTGGTTTTGATTTCTCAGGTTATATGTTTTATGTCCCTATTATTTAATTTATGTGGAGGGGTGGAATCATATTACATCTTTGGCATAAATGCATTTTTTTAACACTATCTTCGAAATCCCTTCTTTGCTTTTACCCACATACATAGATTTTCTTAATAATAAATTACAAGATTACCATTTTCGGACATTTGGGCTGGCTATCAATAAGTCACGCAAAGAATTAATAAATAAAAATATAATAATAAATTATGTTTAAACATTTTCGAACATTTGTTCCAAGAAAATATGTAAATGAATTTTATTTTTGTCTAGTCATAAAATTTATTGAAATTATCGTATGGAAAAGCTTCAAGTCTAGCATAAACAAATGCTGGTTCATGGAAAAGAATCACACCCACCGCAGAACATTAAACTCTAACCCCCCAACGAAAATCTCAACATTTTAATTTCAATTGTTTTGGGATTTATGATCACAAAATACAAAATAATTTGTTGGGGAAACAACAAACATTGCCAAACAGTTGGCTGCCTGACTATGTGTCTGGCTGGTTGGCCAAGTCGATAAGATGGTAATTTGTTCGTTAAAATCGCCCACCTTCCAAGTGTTAAGTTGTTGTTTAACCCCTTTTGTAGATTTTATGGCCCATGGACAATTGAAATAAATTAACAAAAAGGGTCAAGTTGGGTCTTTGGCGATTAGAAGATAGAACATGAGGATTGCCACAGACATTTGGGACAATTGTTTTTGTTGTTTCTTTTTTCTTCGGCATTATAGCTGTACTTACCAGGTAATCCAGAGAGAAACGTTTGGCCAGCTAAATAAATGTTACAAGAGATTATTAGCAAAAGTTGTTAAATAACAATAAAAAATAAACAATTAGAAAAACATGAGATGAAAAATTGGGGTGGGTCATGTGGCAACATACACCAATACAACTGTGGGTAAGGTGATGCGAAAAATTGTGGATTTTTTTTTGAAAAATTTCATAAACGAACATCATGCCCAAAATATTTGGATTATTAAACACTTTTCTTCAGAGAAACACGTGGCGAATTATTTTTATTTTTTAGACCCCAAAATGATAATATATGCTTGATGAGCATACTATCTTTAGGAATTGTGGATTTCTTATATAACATTTCTCTAAGGACCTCTTGAAAAAATAGTTTTTTATACCCTATAGTATGGAGGGTATATTAAGTTTGTCATTTCGCTTTTAACTCCTCGACAAAATATTTTAGACCTCACCCTTTCTTCCGAACGAAATGAAGTAGGATGATACAATTTTACTCAGATGTATTTTAGGTATGTATTTTTGTATTTTTATACCCTCAGCCATATGGCTAGAGAGAATATATATTATTTGATACGGCCAAAACGTACCTCATCGAAATAACGGTTTTAGACCCTAGGTCTCTTTTGACCAAATCCGTTTCATGACATTTGGTGTCGATCTAGCAATGTCAGTCCGTCCGTCCATCGAATTATTATACCCCAAATTCGATGGAATTATTATACCCCAACCATATGGCTAAAGAGGGCATATATCATTTGATACGGCCAAAACGTGCATCACCGAAATAACGGTTTTAGACCCTAAGTCTCTTTGAACTTAATCCGGACATTTGGAGTCGATCTAGCAATGTCCGTCCGTCCATCCGTTTGTCTGTTTGGCTGGCTGGTGCGCACGATAACTCTCGAAGCGAGTATCCGATTTGGTAAAAACTTGGTATATCGTAGTTTTTATCAAACCTAGATCTAGCTCGGAGATGGACAATATCGATCCACTCCTTCTGGTAACTCCCCAACAAAAGGTCGACATTCTCAAAAAAATATTCCTCCACAAAGGGGTCAAAATTTTGAATATCCATGAAGCTCATAAAACGTGAAATAAACAACTGATTCCATTCACACGAGGCACATCTTAATATTCCTATCAACACAAGATCTGTTATAAAGATGGTAGAGGTCGGATCATTCCTTCTGGCACTTCTTCCACAAACGGTCAAAGTTTTGAATAACCAAAACGATTTTAAAATCGGAAATAAGCTTCCGGTTTTCTTCATATTTCACAGATCCCATTATTTCTGTTGCGAAGATGGGGTATATCGGCCCACTCCTTCTGGTACATTCCCCACAAAGTGCCAACATTTTGAATATCCATGAAGCTCATAAAACGCGAAATAAACATCTGATTCCATTCACACTAGGCAAATCTAAATATTTCTATCAACACAAGATCTGTTATAAAGATGGGTTTAAGATTTTGAAACACAAAACACTGAACGAAGCGAAATAAGCATCCAACTCTCTTCAAATTTCACACATACAAAAATATTTGCTAACACAAGATCTGTTGTAAAGATGATATATATATCTTCGAAACCCCTTCTGGTACCTCATCCACAAAGGGTCATAATTTTAAATATATTTATCTGTCATAACTTGGGTAACAAGTAAGCGATTCTTTACAACTTGCTATATCTGAATATTTCGCTCAACAAGAATCCTGAATAGGGAATTTATGATTTCGCATACAATTTGGATATAAATGTTTGATTTTCTTGTCATTTTGCCAATACCCATATTTTTATCGGTATTAGATGAACCTAAAACCTATCACATGAGAGTATGGCTGAGGGTATACATCTGTCGGCAAAACCGACTGATACTTTATAACTGGTTTTATAGATTTTCAAAAATGTTATTTTCTATAACTTTTCTTCATGAACTTCTGGAGCAAGTTCTTACATTTTTTCAAGAACCTCTGGCAAATAATCGTGAATTTTCATAAAAATTCTATATTTCAGGGCCTTCTGAAGTAAAAATTTGTGGAATTTTAGTAAAAGTTCTCTAACGGCCTTCTGGCGAAAATCGGTATTTTTTAACATTTTATAAATCCCATGTCAACATTTTTCGTGGACAAAAATCGAGTAATTTTTTTATAAATTTCTTCAATATTTAGGGGTTGAAATTGATTTTTTCAATTTGTCCTACAATTTTTTATACCCTACAACACTATGTGTGGGGGAATTATAAGTTTGATTGCGCCAAAAATTATGTAACACCTCGAAATATTGGTTTCCCACATAGGAAAGTATATATGGATCTTCCTATCTCGCCGAGATTAGTCGGTCTAGCTATATATGTCCGACCGTCCGTCTGTCCATGTTAATTTGTAATGAAGCTACAGGTCGCAATTATGAACCGGTCCTCGCGGAATTCAAAATGAGGTGGGGTTAGGGTCAGAATAGAACCCTATTGTTTTTGGGGATAATCGCATAATATTTAGGGGTTGAAATAGACCAAAAACAGAAAAAAATCCTGATTTTGCAGTTGCTCTATAGGCCACAATTATGAACCAATCGACGCGAAAATTTACATGGAGTGGGCAGAAACCTACCAATTTGGGCGGCCAGCGGATAATAAATAGCGGGTAAACTAGACCCTAACTTGTATGTAAGAAAATATGAAAATTTCCACTTAACCGCGAATATTTTCAATCCCAGCCAAATCACAAATACATAAGGAGATAACTTCTTGCCATTACAGTGATGCCAATAGCCAAGAAATCGGATATATAGCAAAATAGGTACAATATATATGTAAAAGAATTGATCTTATTTATTCTGCTTATAAATTAAAAACCTCTGGGCCGATTTTCACAATTACCATCAATTTGGAATCCGATTTTTTCAATTTGACTTAAAATTTTGAATTGTAAATTTTCTAAATTTTTACACCCTCCAACACTACGTTTTAAGGGTATTATATGCATATCGCAGTTATCGTCCGACCCTCACGAAATTTTGCATCTGGGTAGGGTTAGGGTCAGAATTAAAGCCTGGACTAAAAAAAAAATAATTTTTCCTAATTGTGTAGTCGCTTGGCACGGAATTTCGTATCAGAAGAGATTTAAGGACAGGGAAGGAGTCTAGCATTTTGTATGACTATTGGATTATATTTAGCTGTAAAATAGACCTCAACTTTCTTGTGAAATAGTTTTGAATACTTAACAACACTACGGAGTGCGTAAATATTGGCCAAATTCTCCGGGTCAAAAAACTAAGGATAACCTCTGGGCGGGCCTCTTTGATATTATTTCAAAAACGAAATCTCCCAAAATGGTTTTGAATATAAGGAGACTTCGAACATATTGTAGTGTTGCTTACTTGTTTTGAATTGTACATTTCTAAAGTTTTTCTACATTCCGCAACACTATTTGTTGAGGGTATTACATACAGGTCGCAATTATCGTCTGGTTCTCACGAAATTTTAAATATATATCTGAGATTTACAATCTGAAAATTAAAAATTTTAGGAACGCTATTATGATTTCTTGCCCGTAAATGCAAACTTATGAACTATCAATTAAGAAATTATGGGTGTTTAAATAGCATTTTTATAGACTTTCTTGTAAAAATAGTGCATTATTTTTAAAACATTTGTTGCTGTTGTAATAATACTAACCTAACCTAAAGTTTTTAGGATGAAGGTATATACTCTCCAACCTCTTCTGTTAAAGTACGTACATTCAAGCGTGAGATATATTACCGATTTTTTTTTGTCCACAGACAAATTCAATAGTCCCAATTTCACTTTTATTCTACACAGAATATCTTCACACCTTTTGGTACTTATTCCTGATTATATATTTCCGCTTACATCCCAATAACCTTGACCGAAAATAAAGGAAAATATAAACAGAAAACTTTAGTCCAATTATGTTATCAGTAGTCATTGTTATTTTTATACTCTACACCACAAGGTGGTCAGGGTATTATGTCTTTGTGCATTTATTTGTAACAGGCAAAAGGAAACGAGATAGACTCATAGTTCCTTTTGATGATCTGCATAGAATCACATTCTTAGTCGATTTATGCATGTCCGTCCGTCCGTCCGTCCGTCTGTTCGTCTGTCCATGTATTTTTGTAAACAAAGTACAGGTCGCATTTATTGCCCGATCCAGATGAAATTTTGCACAAATCATTTGTTTGGTCCAAGGACGAACCCTATTGAAATTGGAGATAATCGGTCAAAATTTAGATATAACTCCCATATATATCTTCGTCCGATTTGCCTTTTATTGTGCACCAAACGTGTAATATCAGTCCGAATAGTATGGAATTTTGCACATACGATCAGATTGCACCTGAAAATAAGTATGCCAAATTCGATCGAAATCGGTTCAGATATAGCTATAGCTCTCATATATATTTTTCATCCGATTTGTTATGTTTCTCCTTCGCAGCCGTAATATGCACTCTGTAACAACAATATTTGGGCAAATATATCAAATGCAGATCAGAAATACATTTGCTAAATTTTATCGAGATCGGTTCAGATTTGGATATATCTCCCATATATAACTTCGTCCGATTTACCTTTTATTGTGCAGCAAACGTCTAATATTTGCCCAAATGGGATGAAATTTGGCACTTAGGACCGAATTTTGTCTAGAAGCTAGTATGTCAAATTTGGTGAAGATCGGTTCAGATATAGCTATAGCTTCCATATATATTGTTCATCCGATTTGTTATATTTGTTACCCACAGCCGTAATATGCACTCCGTAACAACGATATTCAGGGAAATATATCAAATACAGCTCAGAAATATCTTTGCCAAATTTTATCGAGATCGGTTCAGCTCCCATATATATCTTTATCCGATTTCAAATTAATTGTGCACCAAATGGGCAATAAAAGTTCGAATTTAAAAGATACAAATGCTTCGGCATATTTAGTCCTTAGAATTTTAAATTATAAATATAATCATAGCGTGTATGATTGAATTCTCCCATAAAAACTTTTAATTGTTATGCGCAGCTCTACTAAATTAGCAATGTGGTGTAGGGTATCATAAAGTCGGCCCCGCCCGACTTTAAGACTTTCTTTACTGGTTTTGTTTTTGTGTGTTCTTCTCTCTCACATCTTTCCCCCTTTCGTAATTCAACCCAAAATGGACATAACAATATTATCTGTGGATCTGGTATTCCGGTAATTGTTATTTTCCTCCATTTCTGGTTAGCCACTGTTGTTGCTGCAGAGTAATTCGAAGGCTATGAACAATTATAACAGTCCTTGGTCTCTTGTCCTGTTTTTTTATGTTTCCTTGTTTTTAGAGGAAAATGAAGTGGCAATTTGTTGTTTAAAAGGGATTTGGCTAACCTATTATGAGTGGGGGTTGGATGATTGAAGGAGTTTGAGTGTGCTGCTGTTCAATGTTTAATCTGTTTGGTATTGGTCGAGTAAATTTATTTGTGGCCACCATTTGGTTTTGTTATACAATCCACCATACTATGGAAGGTATATTAACTTTGTCATTCCGTTTGTAACTCCTCGAAATACTCATGTCAGACCCAACAAAGTATATATATTCTTGATCAGCGTAAAATTCTTAGTCGATTTTGATAGATAGGTAACATTGAATAATTGAGGGATATGGCTCAGATGGATGCTTGCACAGACTTTCATGTAGTGGCATTGTAAAGGTATATTTAAAGCTTTACAAAGCAATTCACAAATAATTTAAGGCATTTAGACCTGGGAGGGAGTTAAACTCATATTAGCATTAATCTTCGAACCCGGTAGGATAACTTTATATTTAGCGTTCACAATTATTTATTCCCTTCTTTAAAAACTCAAAAAAGCGGTTATCAAAATGTGTGTTGGGTTAACGAGTATATGCAATTGCCGTACGCACCCATTCAATACCAGTCAATGTTTACAATGCTTTTCGTTGTATCAACAGATTTTCACTTTGGCCAAAAGCAAAGAACTACATATTTGCTCACATCGATGGCGAATGCATCGTGTGAATTAACTAATTGTTTCGCCATTCAGATGTGTTGTTCTTTTGAAATTTTAACGAAATTCGACAAGATGCAAAAGAAGTAAGTGGTTGAATAGATAAAACAAAGTCGATTTCGTAAAGAAATCTGAAATCTAAAATTGCAGCAAAATAAATGGGACAACGTGGATAAATTGGAAACTCTCAAATTATTGCAGTGTATGAATTACAGGGTGAAATAAAAAAACTGCAAGAAAGTCAAACGCCATAATTTTTAAATCTTTATACCCTACACAACATAGTGGTAAGGGTATTATGTCTTTGTGCATTTGTTTTTAACATGGAGAAGGATGCGAGATAGACCCATAGTTACTTTTGAGGATCTCCATAAAATCACTTTCTGAGTTGATTTATGCATGTCAGTCCGTCTGTCCATGTATTCTTGTGAACAAAATGCAGGTCGCATTTATAATCCGATTGAGATGAAATTTTGCACATATCATTTCCCAAGGACGAACCCTATTGAAATTGGAGATAATCGGTCAAAATTTAGATATAGCTCCCATATATACGTTCATCCGATTTCCCTTTTATTGTGCACCAAACATGTAATATCAGCCCGAATAGTATGGAATTTTGCACATACAACCAAATTAGGCCTAGAAATAAGTATGCCAAATTTGATCGAAATCGGTCCCATATATATTGTTCATCCGATATGTTATTTTTGTCTTCCGCAGCCGTAATATGCACTCTGTAACAACAATATTTGGGGAAATATATCAAATACAGCTCAGAAATATCTTTGCCAAATTTTATCGACATCGGTTCAGATTTGGATATATCTCCCATATATAACTTCACCCGATTTACGATTTTTTTTGTGCACCAAACGTCTAATATTTGTCCAAATGGGATGAAATTTGGCACTTGTGGCCGAATTGAGTCTAGAAGCTAATATGTCAAATTTGGTGAAGATCGGTTCAGATATAGCTATAGCTCACATATGTATTGTTCATCCAATTTGTTATTTTCGTCCTCCGCAGCCGTAATATGCACTCTGTAACAACAATATTTGGAGAAATATATCAAATGCAGCTCAGAAATACCCTTGCCAAATTTTATCAAGATCGGTTCAGATTTGGATATAGCGCCCATATATATCTTTATCAAATTTCAAATTAATTTTGCACCAAATGGGCAATACACGTCCGAATTTAAAAATATGCTTCGGCATATTTAGTCCTTTGAATTTTAAATTATAATCATAGGGTGTATGATTGAATTCTCCCATAAAAACTTTTAATTGTTATGTGGAGCTCTACTAAATTAGCAAAGTGGTGTAGGGTATTAAAAAGTCGGCCCCGCCCGACTTTAGGTCTTTCTTTACTGCTTTTTTTAATTTCATTGAATGAAAGCAACAAAAATAGCATCAAATTTTAGAATAAGTTTAGATTTGTTCGAATTGGTCACCTTTGGCACGAATTATGCTCAGCGGTATTTTGTGATCGACACGTTGGTATTTTTTAGTGCCAACCTTGCTTTCCAAAATACTCCAGACACAATAGACCAACGGATTGGTATCCAGAGATTTTGGTGGCCATTGTGCGCTGGAAATGAAGCGAAGTACCTCATTTTGTGACCATTCTTAGGTGGTGCGTGCTGAGTGCGATGATGTTGAGTCCTTTTGGAATTCCCAAGGTCTGCGGCCAAAATGTGTGCGTGCCTAGGCTTCAATACATCCTCCTGAATATTTTCGCGATAATATTCGGTATTTATTCTGATGCCACGGTCGATTAATACGAGCGGAGAGCGGCCATCGGCTGTTATGGCGGCCCACACCCTTACCATGACCGGTGCTTGAGTTCTGGTGGCCAACCGAAGGTGCACATTTTCAGCTGACCTCTTTGGCAAGTAAACACGATCATTTTGTTTGTTTACAAAATGGTGGACTTCGAATGTTTTCTCATCGGAGAAAACCAAATTCAGCAGCTCACAACTTTCGGCCAAGCGAAGCAACTCTTTAGCTCTTTTGAGTCTATTTTCTTTCCGTTGCGGTGCAAGCTCTTGCCCTTTTTGGAATTTCAATGGCTTCACGCCGAGCTAATTTTTTAATATTTGCCGAATGGAATATTGCGATATGTTCAGCTCACAAGCCATTTTTCGGCCACTGCGACGCGGGTTTCGATCAAGTAGCTTCTTTACTTTGCGAACCATTTCTGCTGATGTTGCTGTTATCTTCCGTCCACTTCTTTGACGTCGGGCTACGCTACCAGTATCACGGTAACGAGCGGTGGAACGAGACACAAAATATTTATTCACATTGATATGCTGGAGTGCTCTAACGATAGCCACTTGTGGGTTTCCAACCAAATATAAAGAAATCACTCTATCACGCTTGAATTCCATCACGAATAACTTTTTTCTGGAAAATTCTCACCAAAATACTTTTATACGCTTGTAAACAATATAATGAGCTGTCACTGGAATAATTTTAGCAGCTGTTGGACGAGTAGCTTAGAAATGATAGCAGTTTGAAGTTGGTTGCAGTTTTTTCATCTCACCTCGTAGAGCTGTGCTCTTTCACTCTCTATGAATGAATGCATAATATGAAATAGTTTCCTACTTCGCTCCTTTACATTTTATTTATATGTTTTTGCCTTCAAGGGTTTACAATTTCTCTTTGCGCCCCCCACATATTTTCGACCTTTTCATTTCCAATACTCTATGCTGTAATAGTGTAGTGTTTAGGATGCCACATCATATCTATTTCTATAAATTGTTGCAGATTTGCTGAATGGAAAACACAAAAAAAAAAAAAAAAACTTAAAAATAAACATCGCCTCCGTCAGAAAACTTACCTGAGTCTCTTGCATCAATTCCAGCCAATGACGTTCGGTAATTGCGGGATTTTGCAATTCAGTGATGGTACGCAACGATGCCACTAATTCCCTAAGAACACCCACAATAAAGCGATATGGCGACCATTCGCGTATGCTTTTGTCTAGCGTTCGTAAGTCGCGTGTAAATTGCTTGCATTCGTTTTCAATGTCATCGGTGTCGATGAGTAGCCAAGGTGATGCGCGCCAATCATTGATGCAGGATTCGATGACATGAACGAAATCCCACAGTTGCTGTTGTCAGGTGGTGGGGTGAAGCGTTGCGATGAATATAATGATGTTCCATCATTATTGATGTACGCAGGCATGTACGAAAATAGTAAACAAAGACAGTGCAATCAATAAAAGAGAAACTGAAGAAAAAAGAAGAATATCGAGGATCTGTATTGATGTCTTTAATGGAAAAACATTTTACTCTAGCTTACAAAAAAGGAGAATGCGGGACTTTTGGCAAGAAGTCGGCAGTATAGGACCATGTTTGGATATACATTTTAATGTAGGTCTGAATGATATAAATATACCCGCATTAGCTAATAAATGTCGGTTTTATTCCACATTGCCAAAATAATATTTAAGAGGACTAACGTTTCCTCTTCGGTCCATGTTTGGCAAAAATATTAAAATTCAGGATCAGTATTTCAAGAAATACTCGAATGCAGTATCCGATTTGGTCCAAACTTGGAACATCGAAATATTATTATGAAACTTAGATCGAGTTCGGAGATGTGCAATACAGGCCCACTCCTTTTGTACCCCCCAGCAAAAGGTCGATATTTCAAAAAAAAAAAAAAAAATTAATGCACAGAAAGAGAGAGGATAATCCGATTCTGCTCAAACTTTGCAAATTCTAATATTTACATCAGTGCTAGATCAGGTGCGAAATGGACAATGTAGGTCCACTTCATCAAGTACCTCCCCAAAAAAGCGTCAAAATTTTGAATAATTATAACTCGTATAAAATGTGATGGAAGAGTCCGATTATCATCAAATTACACATATGGCAATATTTTTATTAACCTAAGGTGGTAAGCTAAGATGGAATATATCGGTCCACTCCTTCTGGTACCTCCTCCACAAAAAATCGAAATTTTCAAAAAAAAAATAAAAATATTTTCTGCACAGAAACAGAAAAGATAATCCGATTTTGCTTCAACTTTGCAAGTATTAGTATTTGTGTTGTGCTACGTCAGGTGCGACAATGGGAAATATCGGTCCACTCCATCAGGTACCTGCCCCCTCCAAAAAGTTTTATCATTTGCAATAGTTATCTATATCTATAAAAGAGGAAAATGTTTGTACGTTTGTTTGTTTGTTTGTTTGTTTGTTTGTTTGTAATTTATGGACTCGAAAACTGCTGAATAGATTTTTCTGAAAATTTCCATATATACTGCAACATCGCCTGAAAGTAACATAGGCTATATACATTTTTGAATTTCCACTTGGAACTGGAGATATAGCATCAGAATCGGAGGTACCTCCCAAAAATTTAGATTTTATATGCACATATCTATTGATCGGTTAAAGATACAGTCTACAAATTTGGAATGTGTAACGGAATTTGGAACAAAAATAAGTTTGCTAAATTATATTGTAATCGGTTCAGATTTGGATATAGCTCCCATATATATTTTCGACCGATTTCGTTCATTTGAAGCCTCAAACACAATATGAATGTTCGATTCCAATGAAATTTGGAATATGTGACGGGATTTGATCCGAAAATAAATTTGTCAAATTATATTGAAATCGGTTCAGATTTGGATATAGCTCCCATATATATTTTCGGCCGATTTCAAGCATTTGATGCACCAAACACGCTATGTATCCCCAATTTCAATGAAATTTGAAACGTGTGATAGATTTTATCTAAAAAAATTTATTTCCCAAATTATATTGAAATCGGTTCAGATTTGGATATAGCTCCCATATATATTTTCGGCCGATTTCATGTATTTGGTGGACCAAATAAGATATGTATGTCCAAATTTAATGAAATTTAAAATAAGTAACGGAATCGGGAGCAAAAATGAATTTTTCAAATTATATTGAAATCGGTTCAGATTTGGATATAGCTCCCATATATATTTTCCGCCGATTTCACATATTTGATGCACAAAACACGATACGTATTTCCGATTCCCCATATATATATTCTCGTCCGATTTCACGTATTTGACGCACTAATTTCAATGAAATATGAAAGGTGTGGCGGAATTTGGTGTAAAAGTAATTTTTTTTAAAATTATATTTAAATCGTATCAGATTGGGATATGATTTTAATAAGAACCATTGACCCACAACGCCTTAGGCTAACACTAAAAAACAACACAACAATTAATTTGAAATACGCTTATTACGGCGAAGTATGTTGCTATCTCGAATTCATTAATTGCAACAGAAATGCCACTCAACTTCAAAAGATTGCAGTTTACTGCACGCTTGGTATTTGCTATGATTGCAATGAAATTTGGAATATGTGACTGGATTTGATCCGAAAATAAATTTGTCAAATTATATTGAAATCGGTTCAGATTTGGATATAGCTCCCATATATATTTTCGGCCGATTTCAAGCATTTGATGCACCAAACACGCTATGTATCCCCAATTTCAATGAAATTTGAAACGTGTGATAGATTTTATCTAAAAAAAAATTTATTTCCCAAATTATATTGAAATCGGTTCAGAGTTGGATATAGCTCCCATATATATTTTCGGCCGATTTCATGTATTTGGTGGTCCAAATAAGATATGTATGTCCAAATTTAATGAAATTTAAAATAAGTAACGGAATCGGGAGCAAAAATGAATTTTTCAAATTATATTGAAATCGGTTCAGATTTGGATATAGCTCCCATATATATTTTCGGCCGATTTCATGTATTTGGTGGACCAAATAAGATATGTATGTCCAAATTTAATGAAATTTAAAATAAGTAACGGAATCGGGAGCAAAAATGAATTTTTCAAATTATATTGAAATCGGTTCAGATTTGGATATAGCTCCCATATATATTTTCCGCCGATTTCACATATTTGATGCACAAAACACGATACGTATTTCCGATTCCCCATATATATATTCTCGTCCGATTTCACGTATTTGACGCACTAATTTCAATGAAATATGAAAGGTGTGGCGGAATTTGGTGTAAAAGTAATTTTTTTTAAAATTATATTTAAATCGTATCAGATTGGGATATGATTTTAATAAGAACCATTGACCCACAACGCCTTAGGCTAACACTAAAAAACAACACAACAATTAATTTGAAATACGCTTATTACGGCGAAGTATGTTGCTATCTCGAATTCATTAATTGCAACAGAAATGCCACTCAACTTCAAAAGATTGCAGTTTACTGCACGCTTGGTATTTGCTATGATTGCAATGAAATTTGGAATATGTGACTGGATTTGATCCGAAAATAAATTTGTCAAATTATATTGAAATCGGTTCAGATTTGGATATAGCTCCCATATATATTTTCGGCCGATTTCAAGCATTTGATGCACCAAACACGCTATGTATCCCCAATTTCAATGAAATTTGAAACGTGTGATAGATTTTATCTAAAAAAAAATTTATTTCCCAAATTATATTGAAATCGGTTCAGAGTTGGATATAGCTCCCATATATATTTTCGGCCGATTTCATGTATTTGGTGGTCCAAATAAGATATGTATGTCCAAATTTAATGAAATTTAAAATAAGTAACGGAATCGGGAGCAAAAATGAATTTTTCAAATTATATTGAAATCGGTTCAGATTTGGATATAGCTCCCATATATATTTTCGACCGATTTCATGTATTTGATGCACCAAACACGCTATGTATCTCTAATTTCAATGAAATTTGGAATCTGTAGGGGAAATTAAAACGAATATACATTTGTCAAATTATAGTAAAATCGGTTCAGATTTGGATATAGCTCTCATATATATTTTCGACCGATTTCATGTATTTTATGCACCATGCACGATATGTATGTTCGATTCCAAAGAAATTTGGAATATGTAACGGGATTTTGATTAGAAAATGAATTAGTCAAATTATATTAAAATCGGTTCAGATTTGGATATAGCTCCCATATATATTTTCCGCCGATTTCACATATTTGATGCACAAAACACGATACGTATTTCCGATTCCAATGAAATTCGGCATGAGTGGCTAAACTTGGTACAAAAATAAATTTGACAAATTATATTCAAATACGCTCGGATTTAATTATAGCTCCCACATATATACTCAGCCGATTTCACATATTTGATGCACCCAAAGCGAGAAAGACGAAATCTGGCACCAGAAAAAATTGCCAAATTTTATTGAAATCAGTTGAGGTTTGGGTATAGCTAACATATGTGTGGTTACAATAATAAATGTGGCAAATTAATTGGAAATTAGTTAAGATTTGGATATAGCTCCCATATATATATTCTCGGCCGATTTCACGTATTTGACGCACCAATTTCAATGAAATATGAAAGGTGTGGCGGAATTTGGTGTAAAAGTATTTTTTTTTAAATTATATTTAAATCGGATCAGATTGGGATATGATTTTAATAAGAACCATTGACCCACAACGCCTTAGGCTAACACTAAAAAACAACACAACAATTAATTTGAAATACGCTTATTACGGCGAAGTATGTTGCTATCTTGAATTCATTAATTGCAACAGAAATACCACTCAACTTCAAAAGATTGCAGTTTACTGCACGCTTGGTATTTGCTATGAAATAAATAAATCCGAAGGACAAACCCTTCGTGTATGTATGTCATGTTACCGTTTTTCTAATGGTTTTGTATATTTACGCATTAAAGTAGTGCAATAATTTTTTTTTTAATTATAAAATTTGTTTTTTTTTAACCAACATATATTCGTAAATAAAATTTTGAATGCATATAAAATCAAAAGGGGTAGCGAAGCGCACCGGGTTCAGCTAGTAACTCATATAAAATGTGATGTAAGAGTCTGATCTCAATGTTTTTATTAGCTGAAGGTCTGCATTAGAAGATGGCATGTATCGGTCCACTCCGTTTGGTACCTTCCACCACAAAAGGTCAAAACTTTGAATATCCATGAAGCTCATATAACATGAAATTAACATCCGATTTCTTTCAGACTTGGTACATCTCAATATTTCCATTTCGATGACTCTTTGGGCCCATTCCAATCGACGAGGCTTGTCCGCAGGCAACATTATTTGCGTCAATTGAATTGTGTACGGGAACAAATGCAAATCAATGCGAATAATCCGTTGTAAAGTGGACCGAGCCATGCCCAACTGCTGAGAACGGCGTTTTTTCGATGTTCTTGGGGACCTCTCAACACTGGCTCGTACGGCAGCGATATTCTCGGCCGATCGCCTTGGTCGACTTTTATATGGCATCTTCGGATTAGAAAGAGCCTTACCAGTCGAAAATTGTTCGTATAAACGCTTAATGGTGTTCTTAGAAGGCGCACTTCTCACATTTTTAATGTTTTAAAAGCACGTTGAGTTTTCTCAATTGACTTCTTGTAAATTTCAACTATTTCAGAGCGCTCGCGTGGCGTGTATTGTTTCATGGTAAAAATCTGCTTTGACTGACGCTTCAAACACGGTATGTCATTAAGCGATGTGACATCTCTGTCAAAAGTTATGGCGTTGCCAGATGGGTCCGTCGATAATGGGCAAACCTTTAGAGATCGGACCATTCCTTTTGATTCCTAGCCTACAAAGGGTCAAATTTTTGAATAACCAAAACGATTATAAAATCCGAAATAAGCATCCGGTTGTGTTCATACTTCACACATCCCATTATTTCCACTAAGTCAAGATCTGCTGTGATGATGGGAAGTATTGGTCCACTCCTTCTGGTACCTCCCCCACATAAATCGCAAAGTTTACATCCTATTCCATTTAGATTTGGGATTAAAGGCCCAAAAATGCTTCATATCCTTTAGAATTTTTTCAAGAACAACCAGAAAAGAAATCCTGGAATTTTAAAGACATTTCACAGCTATTGATAAATAATAATACAAACTATATGTTTTAGTAGCCCAGCCCATATATTTGACTCTTTTCTAATTTTTGATTCGTTAACACCCCACCCACAAAAAAAAAATAATAATAAATGTAAGCTAGTGTTGGAAACTTTCATGACAAATTGTCATCACAATGTTAGGTTTTTTCTACGTCGCTGACGATGGATGGTTTCACGGTCCATTGCCACAACCTCTACAGCTTCTGCAGGGACCGAAGGAAAACTTGCATTCGAGCAGAAAAAACTGGCACTTACCTTAACCCGTTTCACTTCGGTGGCACACACTCGCAACAGACTATCATCCGGTGTTGCAATTTCAAGAAGTTGGGCACAATGGTTAATGCGTTTGTGTTGCACATCGAAGCGATGGAGCCGCAAACAAACAGTGTCGCACAACGAATACACCTCCGAGCAGGGTGTTTGGAAAAACTATTTGTCAGACGAGAGAATGAAAAGAAAACGAAACAGAACCAGCATTGGTCGAAGGAGAAAAAAAAAAACAATGAAAGAAAAGCAAAAGCAAATTGAATTGAACAAACATAAAGCAGTTGCATTTCCATTTTAGCACAAATTGATTGGTATTTTGAAACGTCGCACTGACACGCACACACACTCACATCCACACTCATAACCTTCACATCACCCCCACCCCCATCCTATACATACTTACGGGCATTTTTTGAAACTGTTTTGCAAACGTCTGCAAATGACAGCTAAAGAGTTGTGCGATACCAGCGACACGTTGTTGTTGAAAGCGTTGTGTGTCTTGCAACGATTCAATTTTTCCACCTGCCACCGTTTTCAAATGCTGCCACTGCAACGGCAATTGATCAATGGCGCGGGCAAATTGTCCATTGATTTGGACATGATAGGTTTTCAACAGCTGGACAATTTCCTTGAGTGGCTTGAACAGATGATCAGCATATTTTTCTTTTTTCTTGATGCGAGCGATTACCTCCAACACTTTGAGCAGTGATCGAAAGTCGTCGCGTGCCACATGCAGTTGCAACAATTCAAAACTTTGCTTAATGAAGATTGTAAATCTCTGGAAGAGAGAAGAAGAAACAAAAAGAAAAACGAATCGATATTAACTGTTTTGTTATAGCGTGATGATGTTTTTTTTTTGTCGGGATGCCATTTTTTTGTGTACAAATCGAAAAAGGCGCTTTGGAATTTATTTGTGTTGTGATTATTTAAAACTTTGTAAGGGTACCCGAGCAAAAGCTCTTAAAGATGAGCAATATCGGTTTGTTCTTCTGGTGTCTCCCCTACAAAAGAGGAAACATTTTCAAAATATAAACCTCATATGTAAAGCCTCATTTCTTGAGATACTGACAAAAATCGGTAATTTTGAAACCCAAATTTTTGATAAAAACGAGTAAAAAAGCTGTAAGTTCTTCCGGGCCGAATTTCGAATACCCTCCACCATTTGGCAATTTTCAAAAAATACAATCCGTTAAAAATTCTAAAAATCCTCAAAATAAGGAATGTAGACTTTTAACATAAAATTTTGATTCAATATTGAACGCAATTTAACAAATTTGCCTTACCTTATAAATGCTTTTCTAAAATTATGAGCGATATATGCTATACAAATGAAGGGGTTTCCCGGCGTATGATGAAATTCGTATAAATCATACACCACATAGTCACAGATCCTAATAATATGAAACAAGTAAAACAAGTAACAAAACTGCTAAGTTCGGCCGATCGGTGCCATACCGAAAAAAGGGAACCTTTACGGACAATTTTATACTTCAAGGATTGTCATCTACTACATCTTCGAAAATACCAAATTTGAAACAATTTCGTGGATAAATGTGACTAGGATTATCGAAATACCGAATATCCGTGGGTATCGATATGTGTGCGCTATAAGAAAACGTGGATTTAATTATTCAATGTCCTGCCACCAAAGCTAGAGCACATTATGATCTGCAAATACCATTTTTTGGACCAATCCGTGGAAAAATGTGGCAAAAATCATCAAAATACCGAATATCAGTGGGTACAGTTATGTCGGAGCTATATAAAATGAAGTTTTACTTTGTTGCAATTTTTTTATATCACCCTGACAGAGAATTTTCCACAAGCTCACGCCTTCGTAACGCCATATAACGTCACCTCCCGATACTCGTTATTTTGATGATCTAGCTACATTATTCTCCGGAATTGTTTCAATTTTCGTGTATGCACTTCGTAGCCTGTAACAGAAAATTGCCTATGCACGTCTTCCACGTCTTCGTATAGACCCCAAATGAACGGAAACTCTCTATATTCGTTTTTTTTTGAAAATTTCCAAATTAGTTCCAATTGGTAGAAGGTATTCAAAATTCGGTCTCACATACTGCTTTTTAACATGTTATCTTTAAAAAAATAGGAATAATAACAAGTAAAAGAGCTGTAAGTTCGGCCGGGCCGAACTTTTAATACCCTCCACCGTTTGGCACAAATTTGGCAATTTCCAAAAAAAAAAAAGAAAAAATAAAAACAAATAAATAAAATCCGTTAAAAATTCTGTTAAAATCTTAAAAATACCGAATGCCTATACAACGACCTGGACCTGTATAGGCAACTTTTGTCATAAGTTATTACAATATTTAAATGCGAAACTTGAGGAAAAATTTGTTTATAATGTAGCTAAAATCATCAAAATACCGAATATGGGAGCTACCGTTATATGGGGGCTATACGAAGACGTGGACCTGCACAGGCAATTTTTTGGCATGGGATGAAGTATCTATTACGAACTTCACATGCGAAATTTGAAACAATTCCGGTAAATAATGTCGCTAAAATCATCAAAATACCGAATATCGGGGTACGGTATATGGGGGCTATACGAAGACGACCTACATGACCCATTTTCTGTTTTATGCTGCAGTATCTATTACGAACAAATACCAAATTTGGAACGATTCAGTTAAATGATGTCGCTAAAACCATCCAAATACCGAATATCGGGGGGTACCGTTATATGGGGGCTATATGAAGACGTGGACCTACATGGCTCATTTTTTGACTTAGGATGTAGTATCCATTACGAACTTCAAATACTAAATTTGAAACGATTCCGGTAAATAATGTCGCTAAAATCATCAAAATACCGAATATCGGGAGATACCGTTACATGGGGGCTACACGAAAACGGATAATTTTCTGCCTTAGGCTGTAGTATCCACTACGAACTTCAAATGCCAAATTTGAATCATTTCCGGCGAATAATGTCGCTAAAATCAATAAAATACCGAATATCGGGAGGTACTTGGACTTACATGGCCCATTTACAAACTTAACCTGCCTACTGGCAAAATATACATATGTGCAAAATTTTAGCCTACTATCTCAATTTGTTCAAAAGGTAGTGTGATACAACAGACAGGCTAAATCGTCTTAGAATTTTACGCTGATCAAGAATATATATACTTTGTTGGGTCTAACATGAGTATTTCGAGGTGTTACAAACGGAATGACAAAATTAATATACCCTCCACAGTATGGTGGAGGGTATAAAAATAACCAACATCATACATATATTAAAGAAATCCCCACCTCCATTGTAAATTACTTTATGTCAATGACATTTACCTCCAGTGTCCTCTCCACATACAGCAGAAGTCCTTTTTTATAGAACTGTGACCATTTGCATGTCATATTTAGCAGAGAATATTTCAATGGTCTAATGTCGATGAGCAGCCAACCGTTAATGATTTTAAAGTCATCAAATTGTTCCAGGACGTCATGCATTTCAATGTAGCGTTCAATCTAAAAAAAAAAATAAAAAAAGATAAAGAAATTTTCATAGAAATAAAAAGAAAAAATAAATTGGAGGACAACAAAGTAAGCTTTCAACTTTCGGACATTCCAAAATGTGTTTTTTTTTTTTTTTTTTCATAAAAGAAAATGTAAGACACACACACTCCACTCCCTCTACTTTCTTGCAAGCTTATTTAATAACGAAATTATTTGGAATGTTTCAAACAAAAAAAAAAAAAAAAAATTACTTCTCCTTCATTACATTACATTATAGAAAAGAAAAACTCACGCACCCCTCCCCCACCCAACCGCCGTATTTTTCAAAAGAAATTAAATTAACTTTAATGAAATAAGCTTGCAAAGGTAAATGACGATGAAGAAATAAGTTTTTATGCACCATATTGGCATAAAAATAATTAAATGTGATTGTGTGTAGAGTCAGATGAAGAGAGGGTGTATGTGTATGTGTGTCTGTGCTGTGTTATTATTTTGAGTGATATTTAATGGGTATTTTTTAAAATTTGTATTTAATGTGCCAATTTTATGGCCATTCAACAAGTTGATGCTGCAGATTTTGTTTGGCCAATAAAAAATATTTTATGTTGGCCATAAAATTGAAATTATTTGTTAATCAGAAAAGGATGTCTTAAAGATGTGATTGTGGAAAATTTTGAAAGAGTGTAATATTTAATTCTACGAATATTTGGTATTCACACCAACATCTAGGTGCCAATGACAAGGTAAAGAACTTCAAAGTAAGTTGGAAACAAAAAGTAGTTGTTACTGTTTATATCCTACACCACATAGTGGTAAGGATATTATGTCTTTTTGCATTTGTTTGTAACAGGAGAAGGAAGCGAGATAGACCCATAGTTACTTCTGAGGATCTTTTTCGACTTTCTAAGTCGATTTATGCATGTCAGTCCGTCCGTCCATGTATTCTTGTGAACAAAATGCAGGTCGAATTTATTATCCGATTGAAATGATATTTTGCAAATAATATTTTTTGGCCTATTGAAATTGGTGATAATCGGATCAGATTTAGATATAGATCCCATATATCTTCAACCGATTTCGGTAAAATAGCCAAAGTGCATGATATGGTATTAAATGATCGACGATTAAAAGTGCGTGAAATTGCTAAATCCTGGGCGTTTCAAAACGTCGAGTCCACTTAATTTTGCATGAAGAACTACAGATGAAAAAGGTTTCTGCAAATGGACATTTCTCAAGCTTGTTTGCATCGTTCTAGGCGAAATAAAATGGATTTTAAGCGTCGTTTCATAACTGTTAGTGAGACATATATCCACCACTATACTCCAGAGACAAAATAACAATCCCAGTATCCCAAAGAAGGCAAAAACAATTCAATTGGTTTTTTTGGGACTTCAAAGATATTTTATTGATTGACTATCTGCAAAAGGTACTATTGCAACCTTTTGGATCAATTAAATGTACAAAATCGAGAAAAACGTCCATACAAACAACGCACCAGCGCATAAGAGTGTTTAAAAATGGCTAAAATCAACGATTTATTCTCCTGATTTAGCTCCCAGTGACTTTTACTTGTTCGCAAATCTAAAAAAGATCCTTGCTGGCAAGCCTTTTACTTCAAATGAAGATGCAATTACAGTTGCAAACCACTTTTTGAAGACCTTGGGATAACTATTTTAATTAAGGGATAGACTTGTTAGAAAAGTGTTGGACTAAGTGTATTGAAGTTTCAGGAGATTGTATTGAAAAATAAAAATATTTTTGAAAAACTAACTATTAACTAACTATTCTTGATGCTAGGCTAAATTTAGTAGCCTTTGCCGATATTACACAATTTGGCGATAGCCCGTTCAGATTCCTGGTCAAATTTGGTAGTCTGTGTTAATATTTCACAAGTTAGTAACAATCGGTTCAGATAGCTATAGCTCCATACATATGTTTTATCCGAATTTAATATTAGTCCTTTATATCCGTAATAATCACTCCATAACGTTGATACTCGGTTCAAGATATCAGATATAGCTTAGCAATGCCCCTCTCGAATTTATTCAAGATCGGTTCAGATTTGAATGTAACTCCCATATCCGATTTCACGTTTATTTTGCACCCAATGATTAATGTGGCACCAACCAAATTCATCCTAGAAGCAAGTAAGAACTTAAAATTTGGTGAAAATCGGTTAAGATGGCTCCCATAAATATGTTTCATCTGATTTAATGTTTAAGTCCCTCACCGTCGTAATATGCAATGATTAATTAGCAAGTGCCTGCCATTTCGTCAGCGAAAACATTAAAATTTTGAAAAATAAAAAACAAAATATTTTCAAAATCAATGATTGAAAGACACGTACATTGCGGCTCGCGCATGTATTTCATTCATTTTTCGTACTATTTAACTCATTTTAAAAAAGAAAAAAAAAAAAAAAAAACAAAAACAAAAAAACTTGTATATAATTGTGAATGGTTCTGACAGGAAGGGGGAATATTCACTGGGCTGTATTTCTGTAGTTTTACGAAGCCATAGCCGATTCGATGTCAAATTTAAACAGCTATAAAAAGTCGTTACACGAAATTAATAGGTCATTTTATCTTCACATTATATTTGGTTTACTTAATACATACATTGGTATAGGTTTTAATAAAGTCGTCGATCTTTTGTTCTTTGTTTACTGGGTTTTAATCTTTTTCTAAGATTTTCTGCTTCAAATCGTGGAGTTTTTTAAGAACATTTCTTAGGAACTTCATGGACATGAAGTGCGGATTTCTAAGACATTTTTATATTCTCCACCTTGAAAGGGAGAGTATATTAACTTTGTCATTCCGTTTTTTAAAATTTGGCATTTAAGGCTTGCAATAGATAACAACCCTTGTAGTATAAAGTTGTCGAAATAGGTACCTTTTTTGGTATGGCCCCTATATAACGGACTTATTTACTTTAAGTTTTTTTGTTTTGAAAAGTTTAACTGCAATATCCAAACGGTCTTACTGATAACTTTAAAGTGGAACACAATTGAATCTAGATACTTCTATATAAAAATGTTTTCTTTACCCTATGGTGGAGGGTATTAAAAGATCGACCCGGCCGAACTTAAAGTTTTATTACTTGTTTTAACATTCTGGGGACAATTAATGATTTTTTAATTCAGTTCATGCCAAAAAGGATTTTTGGTGCAAAATTTTTGAATTTTTAAAAATTTATTTTTAAGGAAGTTTTTCTTAGATTTTCAAAATCTTCTTCATCAACGAATAATTTTAAATATTGTTTATAATAGAATTTTTCTGCCAAAAATTGTGGAGTTTTCCAGAATTTTTATAGGTACTTCATGTCTAAAAATTATGGATTTTGCAAAGCAATTTCAAACAATTTCTTTGGAAAAATTGCATGTTTTCAAAGAAGTCCTTACAAAAAACATGTGGCTTTAGAAGAATATTTTTTCAAGTCTGTGTCGGGCAAAAGTTTTGCATGTTCCTGGAAATCGTGTATTTAATGAGATTTTCCTGCCAAAATTTTGTATTTCTCAAGCAAATTTGATTTAGTGCTAGGGTATGTTGTAGGGTATGTTGTTAAATGTTGTGTCACATGTTTTAAAAATATTCAAGCAATCCTGGATTTTAAAGGACTTTATGCCACGATAATAAAAAAAAATCTTTGAGAAACCCATAGCAAAACTCTAGATTTTTGTTAATGGTCTCCCTATCAAGAAATGGTAGAAAAAAATGCGAATGACATTTCTTAGGATTTTATGCCGATAAATCGTAGATTTTCTGGGAACATTTAAAGACTTTTTTTTAAAAAAAAAACATGAATTTTTATAGACTTATTTTAAAATTTTTAGATTTTGTAACAATTTCCTGTATGCATCGTGGAATTTGCGCTGGAAATTTTCTAACCATTTTCCTTGCAAATATTTTTTATATGTAATTTTTTAAGCACATTCTTCAAAAATCAGGGATCTCTTAAGGAATTCCTTGCTAAAATCGTATATTCTTAAGGAATTTTTGACCAATATTCTTAGTTGGCCAATTATTATTTCTGATAAAACGTCAAGTCAAATTATTAAATAAGAATCCTTCTGGTATTCTGTGAGATCTACTTCTTGTCTTCTACGAGAAAAGCATCAAAGTATGAGGAGACCTCTTGGCTTTCAAAAAATGTACCTTGCCTTGTTCATCGTGTTAAGGTATGGATTTTCCCCTAAACAGATCAGACAAATGAGGATTCAATCAAGCAATAGAGGCTCACAATAAAAATCCGAAAAGAAAATATGGTCCCATGTGTCCCAAACATTCAATCCACGAAAATCTGGAAATACGAATAAAGTAATATAAATTACTTATTGCTTTTTCTTTTTTAATCCAATACCAGATTTACTTAACCCCAAAAATGAAATAATAAAGGAAGAATCCTTTTTTATTGTATTTTTCTTATTTATGTTTGAGGCATTCTTCTTTTTTCGAATGGCGATAACAAATACATGTCATGTGCATGGAAATAACAAGAACAACAGCACCAGAAGCAGCTGTACGTGCGGGGATAACAAACCTCTGAAAATGGGAGGGATGCAAACCAAAAAGAAATATGACCAATGTGTCCTGCCCGAATTGGAACGGTCGACAGGCTTTTCGTATTTAAATGTGCCCCGTTTACTGGTGCCTGGTCAGTTTTGCTGGTCGGTTGGTCGGTCGGCCACGATGATATATGAACCAATTTCTTCTGTTTAATAGGCTTCAAAAACCACAAAACTTTAACCTCAACCGCAAATAAAAATCGAAAAACATAAAGGAAATAGGAGGCTTTTATGTTTGCCGATTGTGTGAGCGAGTGTGTGTGAGTGTGTGCATTTCTGTTAAGTGTCTCAAAGTGTTTTATTTTCTTGGTTTGGTTGATGTTATTTACATGTGTTGTTGTTGTTGTTTCTTGGCATGCCAGCAAAAGGGGGTAATGCCAATTGCCAACCAACCAGTCGACTTAACGTCAGCATAATTGGAAAGCAATCCGAAACCAAAGTCATAAGAAATAAAACAAACTTATACATGCAGGACATTAATGACTGGCACAGTGGTGGAAAGAGAGAAGGTTTTCTGTGAGAAGACCATGTGTTCTTCTATGGGATGAGCTTTTTGTCTTCTGGAGAAGACCCTGTGACATTTTAGGAGAAGACGATAATGTTGCAGTGTATGAAATAACCCTGTGGGCAGAATATCCAATTGTTTTCTATTGTCTTTCCGGTCTTCTTTAGAAAGACCTTCTGGTCTTCGATAGGAAGACCTTTTGGTCTTCGATAGAAAAACCTTCTGGTCTTCGATAGGAAAACCTTCTGGTCTTCGATAGGAAAACCTTCTGGCCTTCTATGAGAAGACCTTCTGGCCTTCTATGAGAAGACCTTCTGGCCTTCTATGAGAAGACCTTCTGGCCTTCTATGAGAAGACCTTCTGGCCTTCTATGAGAAGACCTTCTGGCCTTCTATGAGAAGACCTTCTGGCCTTCTATGAGAAGACCTTCTGGCCTTCTATGAGAAGACCTTCTGGCCTTCTATGAGAAGATCTTCTGGCCTTCTATGAGAAGACCTTCTGGCCTTCTATGAGAAGACCTTCTGGCCTTGTATGAGAAGACCTTCTGGCCTTCCATGAGAAGACCTTCTGGCCTTCTATGAGAAGACCTCTAGCTCTGCTATGAGAAGACCTCTAGCTCTTCTATGAGAAGACCTTCTGATAAAGCCTTCCAACGCGAAGACTTTCGGATCTTCTATAAAAAGACCTTCGGGATTGCTATGAAAGCACAATCTGGTCTTTTTTGAGTAGACTCTCTCCCTTTCTGCGAGAGGCTTTAGGAAGTTCTGATGAGGTTGAATAATTCTTTAAACATTTTCGGTTTAAAAGCCACCCAACCACTGTGACCCCCCAAAATTTTCACTTAAAATGAGAAATATTTGGTGATTGTAATAATTGGCGAAATATCTTTGGTTTCGTCCATTATCGAAAGAAGCTGAATGGAAATTTTTAAGCAGCCACAAATTTACAGACACTTAAGAACGCATTAACAGATGTAAGTTTCAAGTGCGTCCGTTTGTGTGGCGTGTGTTGAAGATGACAAAAGTGGCTGCCAAAAAACAGAAGACGATGAAGTTGCCTGACCAAGACCAAGACCCTCTTATGCTGTATTCCGTTCGGCTACCACATACCGAAGAAGTGCCAAGTAGTTTGGCCTTAAATGCTCGACATTTATCAAATGTTATTGGTCCCGTGGGCACAACTTGTGTGATTGTGGTCGCATATATCTTATAAATGGGTATGTGTGAATGTGAGTAAATATTTCATGGAGTGTACTGAGTTTGAGAGTATGAGTATGAGTATGTGTGTGTGCGTGTGACACATACACATATGTGTGTGTGATGTGCAGCATGATGTTTCTTTTTGTTTTATGTTTCTTTTAGTTTTGTCGACATACAAACATATGTGGCAAAATCCTTATAAAATTTCCAACTGACCACACGTATTGCGGCTATAATGCACACACACACACACACCTGGCCTCAAACTCACACAAGAACATGAGTGTTTTGGAAATTGCTTTGGAGACAAAGCAAAAAAAAAAAAAAAAAACACTTAAATAAGAGTTCAATTCAGGTTAGCCATCATAGCTGTGGGTATTTGATTCAAAATGTATCCCCTCCTCTCAACCTTCTTCTCCTCAGCTCTTCATAACTATCAAAGAGCGACCTGTTTGTGTGTGCGTCCACATACTCATACATTTATAATTTACATTTGTCTTTGGTTATTTATGACGGACATAAAGTTTTTACGACCATTTCAAGTGAACAATTGAACATGCCAGAACAGACGTTTGAGCAAAACAATGACAATAACACAAACAACTGAAACAAAAACAATAAAACGATTGCACCTGGACATGGACATGGAGAATTTGGTCGCCTAAGCATTTTCACTTGAAGCTGTGACGTGGCGGTTGGTCTTAAGAAAATTATTGTTTGTCGTTTGTTTACACTTTTTCATCATTCATCTCAATCTACACATTTATCCATCTGATGACAACAATATTCCCACTTACCTCACGCTTGAATGTTTCCATGACATAGTAACCTCGGTTCAACGTGAATTCTTCTGGTGCTTTTTTGTCACTTGCCACTGAGCCGGCATTATGGTGGCCCCTCTCATCCGGCTTCACCGCCCTCGCTACCGGTACCGTTTCAAACAATTGTCTATTGAGAACTTGTGAATATTTTTCACTCCATAAATGTGCATAAACTTGGAAGTTGGAGGCATACGCTTTAGCGGCATTAACAGTGCCAGCAACCATATTCCGTATGACTGCATTGAGTTGTTTTAAGATGTAGTTGTTGTTGCTATTGCCGCTGTCATGGTCCTCTGAAATGCCAAGCAAACGAAAGAAAGAAAAAAAAAACAACATCAGAGTGAGTGCATCAGTAAATTGTTGAAGAAACTGCAATTTCTTTTCATGTGAAAAATTGTCTGCTTAGAGAAAAGAATTATTAGCGTCAGGGGCGTAGGGGGAAATATTAAAAAGAAAATGTAAATATTGAGCGGTTTAGAGTAAAGGCTAGCAGCTTTATAAAATTAAATAATTTCAATGTAAAATCAATTTTCGTGTTCCGAAGGCATTATAAATTTTATTCAAAATACCGAATATCGGGAGGTATCCTTATATCGGGACTATACGAAAACGTGGAAATATATACACAATTTACCATCACCGAAGCTAGAACCCGTAACGAACTACAAATTCCACTTTTTAGACAAATTCGTAGAAAAATGTGGTAGGGCAAATGTGAGTAAAACCATCAAAATATCGAATATCGGGAGGGACCGTTATACGGAGGCTATACGAAAACGTACAATGTACAATGTTCCTCCATCTGAGCAAAATAAATATCTTGTTTTTGGAGAAATCTATTGAAACATGTGGCAAATGTCATCAAAATACCGAATATATGGAGGTACCTTTATATGGGGGCTATACAGAAACGTGGACCTATACTTACAATGTTTCGCCACCGGAACTAGAACCCATTACGAATTTTAGATACCAATTTTTTGACAAATCCGGAGAAAATGTGGGTGGGTAAATGTAGATAAAACCATCAAAATACCGAATATCGGGATGTATGGGGGCTATACAACAACGTGGACCGATATATCTCATTTTCAGTACCAACCAGCCTAGACACAATGCAAACTGCTGTGCCAAATTTTAAGGCTCTACGTAAAATACTGTGAGCTGTATCGTGGGTTGCCCATATTCGACGGACCCATCTGGCAACGCCATAACTTTTGACAGAGATGTCACATCGCTTAATGACATACCGCGTTTGAAGCGTTAGTCCAAGCAGATTATTACCATGAACCAATACACGCCACGCGAAATAGTTGAAATTTACATTCAACAGAAGAAATCAATTGTGAAAACTCAACGTGCTTTTAAAACATTAAAAAATGTGAGAAAAAAGCCTTCATGTCCGATGAAGCCCATTTCACATTGAATGGGACCGTAAATAAGCAAAATTGCCGTTTTCAGGCCGCTGAAAATCCTCAGGAGATTCAAGAAGTGCCTCTTCATGACGAAAAAGTCACAGTTTGGTGCGGCGTTAGTGCGAAAACGGTCATTGGGCCGTTTTTCTTCCAAAATAAATATGTCCATGCTGTTACCATCAATCAGGAGCGTTATCGCGACATGATGACCAATTTTGTGATGCCAATTATTCGTCGAAAGCGTATGAGGCAGTTCTGGTCTCAACAAGACGGCGCTCCACCGCACACAAGTCGCATAACAATCGATTTTCTGAAGAATTTGTTTCCGGGCCGTTTGATGTCGAAAAGTGGTGATTTGGACTGGCCACCGCGTTCGCCCGATTTGACGCCGCCTGACTTCTTCTTGTGGGGATATTTGAAGTCAAAGGTCTACGTTAACAAGCCAAGGACCGTAGAAGAGCTCAAGGACAACATTCGTAAAGAAATAGCCGCTATTCCGGCCGAAATGTTGGCCAAAACGATGGAAATGCATCAAAAAGGGCACAATACGTCATCAACGCCAGAGGCGGCCATTTGAGAGATATCATATTCCAAAATTGATGTAAACAAATCTACTTGGGACAAATTAAACGATTAACATTGCCAACCGCAGGACAACATTCGTAAAGAAATAGCCGCTATTCCGGCCGAAATGTTGGCCAAAACGATGGAAATGCATCAAAAAGGGCACAATACGTCATCAACGCCAGAGGCGGCCATTTGAGAGATATCATATTCCAAAATTGATGTAAACAAATCTACTTGGGACAAATTAAACGATTAACATTGCCAACCGCCAAATTTTTATTATTTTTTCTTTGATTTAAAAAAAAAAAAAACATGGGTCCGTCGAATATGGGCAACCCTGTATCTATATCTATAAAAGAGGAAAATGTTTGTACGTTTGTTTGTTTGTTTGTTTGTTTGTTTGTTTGTTTGTAATTTATGGACTCGAAAACTGCTGAATAGATTTTTCTGAAAATTTCCATATATACTGCAACATCGCCTGAAAGTAACATAGGCTATATACATTTTTGAATTTCCACTTGGAACTGGAGATATAGCATCAGAATCGGAGGTACCTCCCAAAAATTTAGATTTTATATGCACATATCTATTGATCGGTTAAAGATACAGTCTACAAATTTGGAATGTGTAACGGAATTTGGAACAAAAATAAGTTTGCTAAATTATATTGTAATCGGTTCAGATTTGGATATAGCTCCCATATATATTTTCGACCGATTTCGTTCATTTGAAGCCTCAAACACAATATGAATGTTCGATTCCAATGAAATTTGGAATATGTGACGGGATTTGATCCGAAAATAAATTTGTCAAATTATATTGAAATCGGTTCAGATTTGGATATAGCTCCCATATATATTTTCGGCCGATTTCAAGCATTTGATGCACCAAACACGCTATGTATCCCCAATTTCAATGAAATTTGAAACGTGTGATAGATTTTATCTAAAAAAATTTATTTCCCAAATTATATTGAAATCGGTTCAGATTTGGATATAGCTCCCATATATATTTTCGGCCGATTTCATGTATTTGGTGGACCAAATAAGATATGTATGTCCAAATTTAATGAAATTTAAAATAAGTAACGGAATCGGGAGCAAAAATGAATTTTTCAAATTATATTGAAATCGGTTCAGATTTGGATATAGCTCCCATATATATTTTCCGCCGATTTCACATATTTGATGCACAAAACACGATACGTATTTCCGATTCCCCATATATATATTCTCGTCCGATTTCACGTATTTGACGCACTAATTTCAATGAAATATGAAAGGTGTGGCGGAATTTGGTGTAAAAGTAATTTTTTTTAAAATTATATTTAAATCGTATCAGATTGGGATATGATTTTAATAAGAACCATTGACCCACAACGCCTTAGGCTAACACTAAAAAACAACACAACAATTAATTTGAAATACGCTTATTACGGCGAAGTATGTTGCTATCTCGAATTCATTAATTGCAACAGAAATGCCACTCAACTTCAAAAGATTGCAGTTTACTGCACGCTTGGTATTTGCTATGATTGCAATGAAATTTGGAATATGTGACTGGATTTGATCCGAAAATAAATTTGTCAAATTATATTGAAATCGGTTCAGATTTGGATATAGCTCCCATATATATTTTCGGCCGATTTCAAGCATTTGATGCACCAAACACGCTATGTATCCCCAATTTCAATGAAATTTGAAACGTGTGATAGATTTTATCTAAAAAAAAATTTATTTCCCAAATTATATTGAAATCGGTTCAGAGTTGGATATAGCTCCCATATATATTTTCGGCCGATTTCATGTATTTGGTGGTCCAAATAAGATATGTATGTCCAAATTTAATGAAATTTAAAATAAGTAACGGAATCGGGAGCAAAAATGAATTTTTCAAATTATATTGAAATCGGTTCAGATTTGGATATAGCTCCCATATATATTTTCGGCCGATTTCATGTATTTGGTGGACCAAATAAGATATGTATGTCCAAATTTAATGAAATTTAAAATAAGTAACGGAATCGGGAGCAAAAATGAATTTTTCAAATTATATTGAAATCGGTTCAGATTTGGATATAGCTCCCATATATATTTTCCGCCGATTTCACATATTTGATGCACAAAACACGATACGTATTTCCGATTCCCCATATATATATTCTCGTCCGATTTCACGTATTTGACGCACTAATTTCAATGAAATATGAAAGGTGTGGCGGAATTTGGTGTAAAAGTAATTTTTTTTAAAATTATATTTAAATCGTATCAGATTGGGATATGATTTTAATAAGAACCATTGACCCACAACGCCTTAGGCTAACACTAAAAAACAACACAACAATTAATTTGAAATACGCTTATTACGGCGAAGTATGTTGCTATCTCGAATTCATTAATTGCAACAGAAATGCCACTCAACTTCAAAGATTGCAGTTTACTGCACGCTTGGTATTTGCTATGATTGCAATGAAATTTGGAATATGTGACTGGATTTGATCCGAAAATAAATTTGTCAAATTATATTGAAATCGGTTCAGATTTGGATATAGCTCCCATATATATTTTCGGCCGATTTCAAGCATTTGATGCACCAAACACGCTATGTATCCCCAATTTCAATGAAATTTGAAACGTGTGATAGATTTTATCTAAAAAAAAATTTATTTCCCAAATTATATTGAAATCGGTTCAGAGTTGGATATAGCTCCCATATATATTTTCGGCCGATTTCATGTATTTGGTGGTCCAAATAAGATATGTATGTCCAAATTTAATGAAATTTAAAATAAGTAACGGAATCGGGAGCAAAAATGAATTTTTCAAATTATATTGAAATCGGTTCAGATTTGGATATAGCTCCCATATATATTTTCGACCGATTTCATGTATTTGATGCACCAAACACGCTATGTATCTCTAATTTCAATGAAATTTGGAATCTGTAGGGGAAATTAAAACGAATATACATTTGTCAAATTATAGTAAAATCGGTTCAGATTTGGATATAGCTCTCATATATATTTTCGACCGATTTCATGTATTTTATGCACCATGCACGATATGTATGTTCGATTCCAAAGAAATTTGGAATATGTAACGGGATTTTGATTAGAAAATGAATTAGTCAAATTATATTAAAATCGGTTCAGATTTGGATATAGCTCCCATATATATTTTCCGCCGATTTCACATATTTGATGCACAAAACACGATACGTATTTCCGATTCCAATGAAATTCGGCATGAGTGGCTAAACTTGGTACAAAAATAAATTTGACAAATTATATTCAAATACGCTCGGATTTAATTATAGCTCCCACATATATACTCAGCCGATTTCACATATTTGATGCACCCAAAGCGAGAAAGACGAAATCTGGCACCAGAAAAAATTGCCAAATTTTATTGAAATCAGTTGAGGTTTGGGTATAGCTAACATATGTGTGGTTACAATAATAAATGTGGCAAATTAATTGGAAATTAGTTAAGATTTGGATATAGCTCCCATATATATATTCTCGGCCGATTTCACGTATTTGACGCACCAATTTCAATGAAATATGAAAGGTGTGGCGGAATTTGGTGTAAAAGTATTTTTTTTTAAATTATATTTAAATCGGATCAGATTGGGATATGATTTTAATAAGAACCATTGACCCACAACGCCTTAGGCTAACACTAAAAAACAACACAACAATTAATTTGAAATACGCTTATTACGGCGAAGTATGTTGCTATCTTGAATTCATTAATTGCAACAGAAATACCACTCAACTTCAAAAGATTGCAGTTTACTGCACGCTTGGTATTTGCTATGAAATAAATAAATCCGAAGGACAAACCCTTCGTGTATGTATGTCATGTTACCGTTTTTCTATCTATATCTATAAAAGAGGAAAATGTTTGTACGTTTGTTTGTTTGTTTGTTTGTTTGTTTGTTTGTTTGTAATTTATGGACTCGAAAACTGCTGAATAGATTTTTCTGAAAATTTCCATATATACTGCAACATCGCCTGAAAGTAACATAGGCTATATACATTTTTGAATTTCCACTTGGAACTGGAGATATAGCATCAGAATCGGAGGTACCTCCCAAAAATTTAGATTTTATATGCACATATCTATTGATCGGTTAAAGATACAGTCTACAAATTTGGAATGTGTAACGGAATTTGGAACAAAAATAAGTTTGCTAAATTATATTGTAATCGGTTCAGATTTGGATATAGCTCCCATATATATTTTCGACCGATTTCGTTCATTTGAAGCCTCAAACACAATATGAATGTTCGATTCCAATGAAATTTGGAATATGTGACGGGATTTGATCCGAAAATAAATTTGTCAAATTATATTGAAATCGGTTCAGATTTGGATATAGCTCCCATATATATTTTCGGCCGATTTCAAGCATTTGATGCACCAAACACGCTATGTATCCCCAATTTCAATGAAATTTGAAACGTGTGATAGATTTTATCTAAAAAAATTTATTTCCCAAATTATATTGAAATCGGTTCAGATTTGGATATAGCTCCCATATATATTTTCGGCCGATTTCATGTATTTGGTGGACCAAATAAGATATGTATGTCCAAATTTAATGAAATTTAAAATAAGTAACGGAATCGGGAGCAAAAATGAATTTTTCAAATTATATTGAAATCGGTTCAGATTTGGATATAGCTCCCATATATATTTTCCGCCGATTTCACATATTTGATGCACAAAACACGATACGTATTTCCGATTCCCCATATATATATTCTCGTCCGATTTCACGTATTTGACGCACTAATTTCAATGAAATATGAAAGGTGTGGCGGAATTTGGTGTAAAAGTAATTTTTTTTAAAATTATATTTAAATCGTATCAGATTGGGATATGATTTTAATAAGAACCATTGACCCACAACGCCTTAGGCTAACACTAAAAAACAACACAACAATTAATTTGAAATACGCTTATTACGGCGAAGTATGTTGCTATCTCGAATTCATTAATTGCAACAGAAATGCCACTCAACTTCAAAAGATTGCAGTTTACTGCACGCTTGGTATTTGCTATGATTGCAATGAAATTTGGAATATGTGACTGGATTTGATCCGAAAATAAATTTGTCAAATTATATTGAAATCGGTTCAGATTTGGATATAGCTCCCATATATATTTTCGGCCGATTTCAAGCATTTGATGCACCAAACACGCTATGTATCCCCAATTTCAATGAAATTTGAAACGTGTGATAGATTTTATCTAAAAAAAAATTTATTTCCCAAATTATATTGAAATCGGTTCAGAGTTGGATATAGCTCCCATATATATTTTCGGCCGATTTCATGTATTTGGTGGTCCAAATAAGATATGTATGTCCAAATTTAATGAAATTTAAAATAAGTAACGGAATCGGGAGCAAAAATGAATTTTTCAAATTATATTGAAATCGGTTCAGATTTGGATATAGCTCCCATATATATTTTCGGCCGATTTCATGTATTTGGTGGACCAAATAAGATATGTATGTCCAAATTTAATGAAATTTAAAATAAGTAACGGAATCGGGAGCAAAAATGAATTTTTCAAATTATATTGAAATCGGTTCAGATTTGGATATAGCTCCCATATATATTTTCCGCCGATTTCACATATTTGATGCACAAAACACGATACGTATTTCCGATTCCCCATATATATATTCTCGTCCGATTTCACGTATTTGACGCACTAATTTCAATGAAATATGAAAGGTGTGGCGGAATTTGGTGTAAAAGTAATTTTTTTTAAAATTATATTTAAATCGTATCAGATTGGGATATGATTTTAATAAGAACCATTGACCCACAACGCCTTAGGCTAACACTAAAAAACAACACAACAATTAATTTGAAATACGCTTATTACGGCGAAGTATGTTGCTATCTCGAATTCATTAATTGCAACAGAAATGCCACTCAACTTCAAAAGATTGCAGTTTACTGCACGCTTGGTATTTGCTATGATTGCAATGAAATTTGGAATATGTGACTGGATTTGATCCGAAAATAAATTTGTCAAATTATATTGAAATCGGTTCAGATTTGGATATAGCTCCCATATATATTTTCGGCCGATTTCAAGCATTTGATGCACCAAACACGCTATGTATCCCCAATTTCAATGAAATTTGAAACGTGTGATAGATTTTATCTAAAAAAAAATTTATTTCCCAAATTATATTGAAATCGGTTCAGAGTTGGATATAGCTCCCATATATATTTTCGGCCGATTTCATGTATTTGGTGGTCCAAATAAGATATGTATGTCCAAATTTAATGAAATTTAAAATAAGTAACGGAATCGGGAGCAAAAATGAATTTTTCAAATTATATTGAAATCGGTTCAGATTTGGATATAGCTCCCATATATATTTTCGACCGATTTCATGTATTTGATGCACCAAACACGCTATGTATCTCTAATTTCAATGAAATTTGGAATCTGTAGGGGAAATTAAAACGAATATACATTTGTCAAATTATAGTAAAATCGGTTCAGATTTGGATATAGCTCTCATATATATTTTCGACCGATTTCATGTATTTTATGCACCATGCACGATATGTATGTTCGATTCCAAAGAAATTTGGAATATGTAACGGGATTTTGATTAGAAAATGAATTAGTCAAATTATATTAAAATCGGTTCAGATTTGGATATAGCTCCCATATATATTTTCCGCCGATTTCACATATTTGATGCACAAAACACGATACGTATTTCCGATTCCAATGAAATTCGGCATGAGTGGCTAAACTTGGTACAAAAATAAATTTGACAAATTATATTCAAATACGCTCGGATTTAATTATAGCTCCCACATATATACTCAGCCGATTTCACATATTTGATGCACCCAAAGCGAGAAAGACGAAATCTGGCACCAGAAAAAATTGCCAAATTTTATTGAAATCAGTTGAGGTTTGGGTATAGCTAACATATGTGTGGTTACAATAATAAATGTGGCAAATTAATTGGAAATTAGTTAAGATTTGGATATAGCTCCCATATATATATTCTCGGCCGATTTCACGTATTTGACGCACCAATTTCAATGAAATATGAAAGGTGTGGCGGAATTTGGTGTAAAAGTATTTTTTTTTAAATTATATTTAAATCGGATCAGATTGGGATATGATTTTAATAAGAACCATTGACCCACAACGCCTTAGGCTAACACTAAAAAACAACACAACAATTAATTTGAAATACGCTTATTACGGCGAAGTATGTTGCTATCTTGAATTCATTAATTGCAACAGAAATACCACTCAACTTCAAAAGATTGCAGTTTACTGCACGCTTGGTATTTGCTATGAAATAAATAAATCCGAAGGACAAACCCTTCGTGTATGTATGTCATGTTACCGTTTTTCTAATGGTTTTGTATATTTACGCATTAAAGTAGTGCAATAATTTTTTTTTTAATTATAAAATTTGTTTTTTTTTAACCAACATATATTCGTAAATAAAATTTTGAATGCATATAAAATCAAAAGGGGTAGCGAAGCGCACCGGGTTCAGCTAGTTCCTTATAAATAGAAGACGCTACAACGGTTTTCTATCTGTACGAGGAAGACAATTTTAATCTGCAGAAGTGCTGCACGGAAGTACAAAAAAGGTATTCTGTCATTAGCAGACCCTCGAAAGCTAGTCTCATGATAAAATACCTTTGAAAGTTCTTCTACTGATTGAAGTCCTGAGAAAGGTTTTCTATCGACATCATACCTTATAGATTGAATAACTTTTATATATATCCTCCACCATTCTATGGACATTATTCACCGGAATTGTTTCAAATTTGGTATTTGAAACTCGTAATGGGTACTACAGCCTATGACAAAAATTTGATTGTGAAGGTCCACGTCTTCGTATAGTCTCCATATAACAGTTTTCATTTAAGTGGCAGTTTCCGGATTTTTTTTTTAATTTTTAAATTTTTTGTTTAATATATTTTTTTTTTAATCTTTCCAAATTGTGGAGGCTATTGCTTACTTGTTTCTGTACATAGCGACATAGACCTCATGACGTATACTTAACAGCCATAAAATATAACCGATATAGCTTATACGCCACCAGGTACGAGTATTTTCCCCTTTATTATAAATCTCGGCATTTACATAGCCTATCCCCTTCAACTACAAATAAATTCTACCCCTCTGACCTGACAAAATATTTAACTAAGTGAAATGAGCTGGAAACTATTTACCTGTTTGGGTTATTGTTGCAACATTTGTAGCATTCATCACCTTGTCTTCGCTTGATGGGGCTGTTGCTAACACTTGGCTCGGCATTTTAGCATAGACACGAGCTGCTTGTACCTGATGGAACGTAACATCGTCATTGTTGCTGTTGTTGTCGTCGTCGTCGCATTCATTGCTCGATGTCAGTGGCGTGTCATCTTGGAAAATACGCGGCATGCATTTGCATGCTTTCTCGATGTCAACGAGTAGTTGCTCCACAATTTGCTGGAAATTTGTTGGCTCACTGGTGTCTAGCGAGGGTTCGAAGTGGATACATCGAGCGCCATAAAGCAGTTGCAGTTTTACCTCAAAAAGGGGTGCTTTTGTGGTTGTGGAGGGCTCCAAAGGAGTGGAGGTTGGTGTCGAACGCATTGTTGCCGATGGGGAAAAGGGCGGGGTGTTGCTGGTGAACTGCAACTCTTGTTGCTGGCTATGGATCGCCTTAAGTAAGTGGGGTAGAAAATGTTTGGTTGTCGTTGTTGTGGCTTTTGGAACTGTTAATTCTGTCAATGTTGTTGTTGTTGTTGGAGTTAGTGTTTGTATTGATTTGATGGTTCTTGTTTGGTTGACTCCACTCTTCTCCATTGCAACAGAAGTCCCAGCAATTGTTGGTGTTGCTGTTATAGCTTCTTCGCCCATTGCTGTTGTTGTTTTTGTAGTTGGTTTTGTTGTCAGTGGTTGTGATGTTTCCACTGTTGCGGTTGTTGCCATTTCGTTGAGCAAATACTCCAAACTGTAAACCAACGAAAACTGAAGTGACGTGGCATCAGAGAGGTGTTTGTGTGTGTGCTGCCGTGGCAATGCATGTTGCATGCAATTGCCAGCAACAACGCCAACAAACATGCGAATGAATACCACAGAAAATGTTACTTTTCAAATGTGTTGGACCATCGAGAGTGAGTGAGAGAGTGAGCGAGCTAGTGTGTGTTCATTCGTTCGTTCGTTCGAGTGTGAGAAGGTGTGAATGTGAGTTTTGTGGTATGGAAGGCTAATGGTTATTTCTCACTTATGGCTGGCTGGATGAGTAGTGAGTTCACCTGAGTGTTTGGTCTGTGTATGCATGCGTGTGTGTGTGTGTGTCTTCATGTAATGATGATAATGTTTTCAATGGATGAACGTATCAATTCTGACAGTTTGCTTGTCATCACATTTGGAGTTAAAATAAATTGATCCACACGTTCGTAGGGACGAATGCATTGATACTTAAATTCGCATGATGTGCCATTTGAATGGCATGATAGTGCAAATACCGCGAATGTGTTTTTATTTTATTTCATTTTATTTTGTTTGCATTGGCTGTCTTAGTGGCATACAAAAGGTAAACACTGTGTGAAGCATATGGAGCTTTGATTCTTGACATATTTTGTGGTAATTTTATTAGCTATTTGGGGATGGAGCGTATTACAAATTACTCCCTAATCCGTTTATTATTAAAGTGTGGGAGATAATTTTATTGTTTTTGAATCCGTGCCAAATTTGTATATGAGTGGTGAAGATAAAGATAAGAAGCATCCTAATCGATTGATGTTCGGTACTTTGATGATTTTAGCGACATTATTCACCGGATTTTTTTCAAATTGGGTATTTGAAGTTCCTAATGGATACTACAGCCTATGACAGAAAAGAGTCTGTGCAGGTCCACGTTTTGATATAGCCCACATGGTACCTCCCTATATTCGATATTTTGATAATTCTAGCTACATTATTCTCCGATCGTCGTATATACCCTAATATAACGGCTAAATTCGGTATTTTAAAGATTTTAACAGATTTTTTGACGGATTTTGTTTTTTGAAAATTGCCAAATTCGTTCCAAATGGTGGAGGGTATTCAAAGTTCGGCCCGGCCCAACTTACAGCTTTTTTACTTGTTCTGTTCTAAATATTTTACAGGAGTTTCTGTGGTTGTTGGAGATATTTGTAGACTTCCTTCTTCTTCCGAAGGAGGCATCTGATTTTATTTTCCAACATGAAAAAAATACAATAAGTTCACAGAAGGCTAATATAAGCTCCCGTTTCTTGCGAACTCTCACATAGATGGTGTGATTTTAACGATTCATACAAATTCAGAATTGTTTCCTGACCGAAAAGGATTAAATCCAAAATAAAAGGATAATGGTACATTCTATTGAAAAAAATCGCAAGGACCTTTAAACTTTTGCTGTAAAAAATCATGGAGCAAAGTGAAGGTTTATAACCATATTTTGCATACTCATTTCAGCAAAGGTTGGTAATTTGAGAAGAGACCATCCTCGCAAAAAATGATCATTTTTTGGTATAATCATCATATGATTAAAGCAATTTTCATAGTCTTGGACATTTTTTTTTTCATTTTTAGGCTTTTATTTAACATCTTTGTTTCTAAGAGGGTAGAAAACCTCTTCTCATGAAATTTTTAATTTTCGGAGTAGAGTCCATTTTGGTCTTGACCAGATTCATCAATTGATTTGGCTTAAAAAATGTATTAAGGCTACTCCGGGGTAGAGAATCATCGTACAGATAATTGTCCTTATAGGCATTTATTTGAGTATAGTTATAATGTACTTCCAAGTCCACTTTCCCAAACAATGTGTTGTAAGAAAATAAAAAAAAAAAAAATGTTGAATTTGTATATTGGTTGGGAATGTAGATTTGGGATGTACGTCTATATGACATAAACTCCAAAATGTCAAAAGCTTTCAGTCGGAAATTGTGGCAGAAACATGAAAAAAACAAGTAAGCAAAGGCTACAGTCGAGCGGGGCCGACCGTTGAATACCCTACAACACTATAATAAACGATACAGTTTATATAGGCGAGATACTCGAAAGAATTCCACAAGATATTGTGACAAATAATAAAAGAAAACCATTAGGCTTCGTTCTCAAATTTTCGAATAATAGCAACTTAAACTAATTTGCTTATTTCCAATTTATTGGTAGATGTTGCATGTATTTCATATTTCCCAAAGACCTATAATCTCTCAGAAGTGGCAAAAGATTAACATTTATTATTGGTTTTTGACTGAAACGCATCTATATGAGATACAGAAATTTCACTATATTTTCAACGAAATCAGCGTTAACGAATTAGTCAGAAATGCGTCTTTCCTGTATTTGTGAATTCTCCAAAAAGTCACTGGAATGGACATTTTCGTATTTTTTCTACAAAAGTTGGCAAACTATTCACACATTGAATATTTTTGGATGGCCATCCAAAACTGCTTGGCTTTTGCAATGTCCGGTAACCCCCATTCAAATGTGCGTGAGGATCGGGCGATAATTACGACCTGCTGACAATTTTGCACTTTTTGGTCCATTTTAACCCCTAAATATATGGCGATTATCTCCAAAAAGAGTTGGCTTCTATTCTGACCCTCATCTTATCCCCATGCAAAATTTCGTAAGGATCGGGCCATAAATGCGATCTGTATATGATATCCTGATATCCCATATCATATAAGAGATTTTTCAAGCATATCTTCTTTGATAGACATATATATCGCACATATTTTGCTATATATCCGTTTTGTTGGATGTTAACATCAATGTAAAGATTAGAAGTAACCTTGCCATGGCTTTGTGATTTCGCCGGGATTTAAAATATTCGCGGTTTAATGAACAATTTTGAATTTTTTCAACACAAAAGATATGGTCTATTTTACCCGCTAAATATTATCCGATGACCACCCAAATTGGTAGGCTTCTTCCCCGCCCTAAACTCTAGCTACATGCGAAATTCCGCGTCGATTGGTCTATAATTGCGACTTGTATAGCTACTGCAAAATCCGACATTTTTTCAGTATTTGGTGATCATCTCCAAAAGAAATAGGCTTCTATTCTGACCCTAACCCTACCTTCGTGCAAAATTTCATAAGGATCGGGCCATAATTGCGACCTGTAGAGTGATTACAAATTAACATGGACAGACGGACGGACGGACATACATAGCTAGATCGACTCAGCTCGGCGAGCTAGGAAGATCCATATATACTTTCCTATATGAGAAACCAATATTTCGAGGTGTTACATAATTTTTGGGCCAATCAAACTTATAATACCCCCAACACATAGTCATTGAATTATACTGTGATGAAAAATATGAACCTTATGACAACAAGTAAAAAGACTGTAAGTTCGGCCGGGCCGAACTTTTAATACACTCCACCATTTGATAAAAATTTGGCAATTTCCAAAAAAAAAAAGCAAAAAAAAAAACATAATGAATCAATAAAATCTGTTAAAAAATCTGTTAAAATCTTAAAAATACCGAATGCTTATACGACGACGTGGACCTGCATAGGCAACTTTTGTCATAAGTTATTTCAATGTTTAAATGCGAAACTTGAAGAAAAATCTGTTTATAATGTAGCTAAAATCATCAAAATACCGAATATGGGGGGTACCGTTATATGGGGGATATACGAAGACGTGGACCTGTAAAGAGAATTTTCTGGCATGGGCTGAAGTATCCATTACGAACTTCAAATACCAAATTTTGATTCCGTTAAATAATGTCGCTAAAATCATTAAAATACCGAATATCGGGGTGTACCGTTATATGGGGGCTATATGAAGACATGGACCTACATGGCTTATTTTTTGACTTAGGGTGAAGTATCCATTACGAACTTCAAATACCAAATTTAAAACGATTCCGGTAAACGTATATATATTTTGTTGGGTCTGGCATGAGTATTTTGAGGAGTTACAAACGGAATGACAAAATTAATATACCCTCAAAAGTATGGTGGTGGGTATAGAAATAAATAAATTATAATAATAAATAATAATCTGCCCCTAATTATGATGTGGGCAAAACTAAATACCACACAGCACAGTATTCTAAACGTTGTAAATACAAATCCCAAATTACAGCTCATTTGAATGGAAAATGTTGCTAAGCTCTTTACAATACCAAAAATTGAGCTGAGTTTCCACATGGGGTTATTATAGATATTCTATATCATATAGATTTTTAATACTCTATTCAGCCTATGGCTGAAAAATAAGATCAGCCTGTTCAAAATATCTAAAACCGACGGTGGGTGATTATCTATTATAATTTTTGCCATGAATGTTTATTTCCGTTTAGAAATTACTATGGAGTTATTTTACTTATAATAAAAATTGTGCCGCTTACATTATTAAGACCTGCGTTCTTTTAGGCTTTAAAAAATATACATTAAAGACTAAGAGTACGGGCCGGCAACGCGGAACGGGCCAGATAATTTTTATATAAAACAATTTAAAAAGTATCAGTCGGTATTGCCAACAGATATATACCCTCAGCCTATGTTCGATTAAATAATCGAAATATATTTGCCTAGTGTTACAATTATTCAAACGTTTGACCATCTATGGAGCCGGTTTCGAAGGAATGGGCCAATATTGTCCATTTCGTATCAGACTCAAAAATATGATATAAATATTCCAAAGTTCCTGGTATGGATTATATCGACTCACCCCTTACTTTATATGAAATATGTAATAAATTTTAGAAAATGTTTATACTTCATCTGATATTGAGCGAAATATGGGGCAAAATTACAAGAAAAGATATTTATGTCAAATTTTATGCGAAATCATAAATTCCGATAAATTTCATATTTATATCAGGCTTCTTATTGAGAGAAATATTTGAGCATAGCAAATAGCAAAGAATTGCTAAATTGTTTCGAAATAATGTGGTCTGTATCGTGATTTCAAAAGACGGACAAACACATTTCCAAGGTGGAGGGTATATATATATGGAACATGCATAGTTCGTGATTTAATTTAAATTTCTCTCATCCCACTTAGATCAGAAACAATTTTGGGTAACACTCTTATTAAGGGACAAACATTTGAATAATTAAAACCTCAGAAAAATAAAATGAGTTACCGATTTTTTTAAGTCCGAACTTCGTAGCATTAAAACAAAAAATTAAAAAAAACAAGTAAAAAATCAGTAAGTTCGGCCGGGCCGAACGAACGAACGTTCGGTCATTTGGAACGAATTAGAAAATTTTCAAAAAATTAAATCCATTAATTTTTTTTAATCTTTACAATATCTAATATAGGAAGGTGCCGATATATTTTGGACATATTAAGACAAATCTATGTCTGGGTGTAAAGTACTCACAAGAAACTCTTTGTGTGGATTTTCAGATAATTCAATTGGAAAAAGTGGCTAAAATCATCAAACTACTGAATATCGGGGGGTACCGTTATATGGGGGATATACGATATTGCGGACCTATATAGACAATTCCCTTTCAGGGGATAAAGTGCTCACAAAGAACTCCTTGTGAGGATTTTCAAACAATACGATTTGAAAATGTGGCTAAAATCATCAAAATACCGAATATCGGGGGTACCGTTATATGGGTGCTATACGATATCATTAACCTATATAAAGAATTCTCTGTCGGGGGGTAAAGTGCTCACAAAACATACCGAATATCGAAGGTACCGTTATATGGGGGCTATACGATATCGTGGACCTATACAATTCCGTTGAAAAATGTGGGACAATTCCGTTGAAAAATGTGGGTAAAATCATCAAAATACCGAATATCGGGGGTACCGTTGTTTGGGGGATATACGATATCGTGTACCTATATAGATAATTCTCTGCTGAGATATTAAGTACCCACAAGGAACTCCTTGTATGGATTTTCAGACACTTCCATTGAAAAATGTTGCTAAAATCGTCAAAATACCGAATACCGGGAGGTACTGTTATATGGGGGCTATACGATATCGTGGACCTACGTAGATAATTCTCTGCCGAGGTATAAAGTAGCCACAAGGAACTCTTTGTGTGGATTTTCAGATAATTCCGTTGAAAAATGTGGGTAAAGTTATCAAAATACCGAATATCGGGGGTACCGTTATATGGGGGATATACGATATCGTGGACCTATATAGACAATTCTTTTTCAGAGGGTAGAATACTCACAAGGGACTCCTTTTGTGGAATTTCAGACACTTCCATTGAAAAATGTGGCCAAAATCGTCAAAATACCGAATACCGGGAGGTACCGTTATTTGGAGGCAATACAATATCGTGGACCTACGTAGATAATTCTCTGCCGAGGTATAAAGTAGCCACAAGGAACTCCTTGTGTGAATTTTCAGACAATTCCGTTGAAAAATGTGGGTAAAGTTATCAAAATACCAAATATCGGGGGTACCCTTATATGGGGGATATACGATATCGTAGACCTATATAGACAATTCTCTCTCAGGGGGTAAAGTATTCATAAGGAACTACTTGTGTGAATTTTCAGACAATTCCATTGAAAAATGTGGCTAACATCTTCAAAATACCGAATATCGGGGGTACCGTTATATGGGGGCTATACGATATCGTGGACCGATATAGCCCATCTTCGAACTTGACCTGCCTGCAGACAAAATTGAGATCTGTGCAAAATTGTAGCTTCCTATCTTAATTCGTTTAGACTGTAGCGTGATTACAACAGACAGACGGACAGACAAACGGACATCGCTAAATCGACTTAGAATTTTACGCTGATCAAGAATATATACACTTTGTTGGGTCTAAAATGATTGTTTCGATGAGTTACAAACGGAATGACGTACTTAATATACCCTACATACTATGTATGGTGGAGGGTATAAAAATGCTGATATAGTAGTAATGCTGGGTAGCAGAGAGTGAGGATACAAAATTGTCGGCATAGTCGATAGATACTTGTTTGTAAAAAAACCGTTCATTTATTTTACATTTATATAGGTCTTCTTCAGTTGTGTTTTTCAAGATACTATCTAACATAAGTAGATTGAGTTCAATGAACTGCAAACTTTCATATCCGGATTTATGGGTTTTGTGCTTATATAACGTGTATGTAGTTATGAGATGAAATCGATATAAGATAGATGATCCTGATTTGATGTTTTCGAATGATCGATGTTAATGGATATCCGGTAGATGATCATAGGACTGTATCAATGTTTAAATATTGAAGCTACTGTTTAACCTAATTTTCATTGACTGGCGAACTTCAGCGTAGATCATTTTATCGATAGATTTTAAATATTGAGTATACTTATCCCGTTGATCATCAGGATATTTTAACAAAAACTAGAATAAATTAAAGATTTCAAATATAACATTTCATTGGACAAAACTTAATATGATGGGCTTACCTTATGAATATTTTGTTCTTCCTCAGTTTGCATGTCTCCCAATTGGTAATTGAAGAAGAGGCAAAAATTTTCAATTAACAAACGATTCAGTAGCCTTTTAGTTTCTTCACATTGTACAATGCGATTGCGCAAACGTTGCTCCTGGTGTCGTATTTCCAATAGATTCTTGCCATAAATGGAACGTTGATGTAGGGGCTCACGGCTCCAATGTTGAATGGTTTTCAATATTAAATCAATATTTGAACGTGCCGCAACTAAATTTTGATGTAGAGCTTTTGTTTTCTCGTATATTTCATCGATAAGTTCTTCATCTGTAGAAGGAAGGAAAGATCAATTTCGTTTTTATTGTTAATTATGTCCTATAAAATTTCTAGAACAAGTAAAAATGTATCAGTCGATTTTGCCGACAGATGTGTACCCCTGCCTTGAGTTATGATTATTTAAACTGTTGATCCGTTTGGTGGGAGGTTCCGAAGCAGTTGGCCAGATAAAAATAATAGTATGTGCAAAATTTGAAGGAAATCGAACATTTATATCCAAATTTAGGCGAAATCATATATTCTGTATTCATCTCAGATGTCTGGTTGAGAATAATATTTAGATATATTAATTTTCAAAAAATCGCCGAGTTGTTTCGCTATTTATCGCAGATATAAATATAGGAAATTGTGGCCCCTTGTGGATGAGGCACAGGATGATGCTAACAGATATATATCACCTTCACAAAAGGTCTTGCGTTAGGAAAAAAAGGTTGTATGTGTGATATTTGAAGAGAGTTGGATGCTCATTTCGATTTCTTTGAGCGTTCTTGTTCTCAAAAATCTTGAACCCCATGTGGGGTAGGTACCGGTAGAAATGGTTCGATCTGTACCATTTTTATAACAGATCTTGTGTTTATGAAAATACGATTTTAATTTTGCGTTATATGAGCTTTATGGATACTCAAAATTTTGACCTTTTGTGGGGGAGGTACCAGCAGGCATGAGTCGATACTGTCCATTTATGCACCAGACCTAGCACCAATGCAAATATTAGGATTTGCAAAGTTGGAACAAAATCGGATTATTCTTTCTCTTTCTGTGCAGTAAAATATATTTGTTTCTTTTTATACCATACAGGGTATTATGTCTTTGTGCATTTGTTTGTAACAGGCAAAAGGAAACGAGATAGACCCATAGTTCCTTTTGATGATCTGCATAGAATCACTTTCCGAGTTGATTTATGCATGTCAGTCCGTCTGTCCGTCTGTCCATGTATTCTTGTGAACAAAATGCAGGTCGCATTTATTATCCGATTGAGATGAAATTTTACAAACAACATTTGTTTGGCCCAAGGACGAACCCTATTGAAATTGGAGATAATCGGAAAAAATTTAGATATAGCTCCCGATTTGCCTTTTATTGTGCACCAAACGTGTAATATCAGCCCGAATAGTATGGAATTTTGCATATACAACCAAATTAGGCTTGAAAATAAGTATGCCAAATTTGATCGAAATCGGTTCAGATATAGCTATAGCTCCCATATATATTGTTCATCCGATTTGTTATTTTTGTCCTCCGCAGCCGTAATATGCACTCTGTAACAACAATATTTGGGGAAATATATCAAATGCAGCTCAGAAATACCTTTGCAAAATTTTATCGAGATCGGTTCAGATTTGGATATAGCTCATATATATAACTTCGTCCGATTTACCTTTTATTGTGCACCAAACGTCTAGTATTTGCTCAAATGGGATGGAATTTGGCACATACGACCGAATTGAGTCTAGAAGGTAGTATGTCAAATTTGGTGAAGATCGGTTCAGATATAGCTATAGCTCCCATATGTATTGTTTATCCGATTTGTTACTTTTGTCCTCCGTAGCCGTAATATGCACTCCGTAACAGCGATATTCAGGGAAATATATCAAATACAGCTCAGAAATATCGTTGCCAAATTTTATTGAGATCGGTTCAGATTTGGATATAGCTCCCATATATATCTTTATCTGATTTTGAATTAATTGTGCACCAAATGGGCAATACAAGTTCGAATTTGAAAAAAACAAATGCTTCGGCATATTTAGTCCTTTGAAGTTTAAATTATAATTATAGGCTGTACTTTTCGCTGACGACAAATCGAGGTTATACAGGGTGAGATGAAAAAATTGTAACCAATTTCAGACTGCTGTTATTTCTAAGGCTCTCGTCCGACAGCTGTTAAAATTATTCAAGTGACAGCTCAATATATTGTTTACAAGCATACAAAAGCATTTTGGTGAGAATTTTAGTTATTCGCGATGGAATTCAAGCATGATTGTGTGATTTCTTTATATTTGGCTGGAAAATCACATGTGGCTATGGTTAGAGCACTCCAGCATTTAAATGCAAATAAATCTTTTGTGTCTCGTACCATCGCTCGCTACCAGTATCACGGTAGCGTAGCCCGACGTCAAAAAATGGTCGGAAGAAAACAGCAACATCAGCAGAAATGGTTCGAAAAGTAAAGAAGCGACTTGATCGAAACCCGCGTCGCAGTAGCCGAAAAATAGCTCGTGAGCAGAACATATCGTAATATTCCATTCGGCAAATATTGAAAAATGAGCTCAGGGTAAAGCCATTGAAATTCAAAAAAGTGCTAGAACTTACACCGCAACAGAAAGAAAATAGACTTAAAAGAGCTAAAGAGTTGCTTCGCTTGGCCGAAATTGGTGAACTGCCGAATTTGTTTTTCTCCGATGAGAAAATATTCGTTGTGCAGCAGTTTGTAAACAAACAAAATGATCGTGTTTACTTGCCAATGAGGTCAGCTGAAAATAAGCACCTTCGGTTGGCCACCAGAACTCAAGCGCCGGCCATGGTGATGGTGTGGACCGCCATAACAGCCGAAGGTCACTATCCGCTCGTATTAATCGACCGTGGCATCTGAATAAATGCCGAAAATTATCGCGAAAATATTCTGGAGGGTGTATTAAAGCCTTGGGCGCGCAAACATTTTGAACGCAGATCTTGTACATTCCAACAGGACTCCACCATCGCACTCAGCACGCGCCACCTAAGAATGGTTTCAAAACAAGGTTCATCGTTTTATTTCCAGCGCACAATGGCCACCAAAAATTTGCGGATACCAATCCTTTGGCCTATTGTGTCACCTCAAGCAAGCACTTCGCCGGGAATGGACCAAAATACCGCAGAACAACATTCGGGCAGCGTGTGACCGTTTCATTGGCCGTTTGAAGGCCATTCGAACAAATCTAAACTTATTCTTAAATTTGATGCTATTTCCGACAATTTTTGCTTTCATTCAATAAAATAAACAAGTAAGCAAAGGCTATAGTCGTGCGGGGCCGACTATGTTATACCCTACAACACTACATATGTTAGAAGCCCCCTTATGTCTAAATCCATATTGGAAAATTTCGCTTTTGAAATTACGATTTTGACTAGAGACATTTGCCCAATATTTTCGCACTCCGTCGGGCTGTTAGTTGTTGTGGTCCATTTTACAGCTAAATATAATCCAATGGTCATCCAAAATGCTAGAATTCTTCCCTGGGCTTAACTCTCTTCACAGGCGTGTCGATTGGCTTCAATTGTGTGATCGGAAAAACATTTCTGTTTTTAGTTAATTTGAACCCCTAAATACTTTGCGATGATCATCTCCAAAAGCAAGAAGTCCCTCTATATCTCCAAATTTAGACTCATCTACATGATTTGCTTGTCTACGATATTTGGCTATATTTGTCAACGAAATCATCATCAAAAAGCCAGAAGTTCGCCTTTTGTGTATTTCGGATATCGCCTGTAAGTAATGCTGGTATTTTTCACACAAAATTAGTGGTCCATTGTACCCGCTGTCCTAAACTCTAACTTTATGCGAGATTTCGTATGCTTTGGTTTCTATTTGTGACCTTTATAACGGCTGCAAAATCAGGAAAATTTTTAGTTGTTGGTCCATTTCAACCCCTAATCTATTGCGGACATCTTTGAAAACAATAAGCCTAGCCCTTCAGCCCAACCCTACCCTTGTGAAAATTTTCGTGAGCATCGGACGATATTTGCAATACTTATATAATATCCCCAATCTGTGTTGTAAGGTGAAAAAATATTACAAAATATTATACATCAAATTGAAAAAATCGCATGCGATAAAAAATATGAAAAAAAAATGTCACAATATACTACAAAATCTATATTAACATCATTATTGATACCTTTTTATGCGATTTTTTTTAGATTTTATTCCTTTATGTCAAGAAGGCATTCTGAATTGACAAAATTTGTCAAAATCTGTCCAGCCATTCCTGAGATATAAGCATTCTAGCTAATACCCTCTTCTTTTGCATATACACAGTATATATATTTCGAGATATATATCCGATATATTTACTATCGGCATCTACGTCAGAATTAACCTGTTCGTCTATTTGTGATTTCGCCGGAATTAAAAATATTAGCGGTTTAATGGAAAAACTTGACTTTTATTTAACACAAATGTTGTGGCCTATTTCACCCACTAAATATTACCCGGTAACCATCAAAATTGGAAGGCTTCTGCCCAGCCCTAAGCTCTAACCCCATGCTAACTTCCGCTTTGATTGGTCTATAATTGCGACCTGTAGAGCAACTGTAAAATCAGGATTTTTTTAGTTTTTGGTCCATTTCAACCCCTAAATATTATGCGATCATCTCCAAAAACAATAGGGTTCTATTCTGACCCTAGCCCCACCTCCATTTTCAAGACGGACAGACGGACGGGCGGACATACATAGATAGATCGACTCAGCTCGGCGAGATAGGAAGATCCATATATACTTTCCTATGTGGGAAACCAATATTTCGTGGTGTTACATAATTTTTGGCCCAATCAAACTTATAATACCCCCAACACATAGTGTTGTAGGGTATAAAAACAAAATGTAAACATTATGGCGTTTGACTTTGTTGCAGTTTTTTTTATCTCACTCTGTATAACCTCTCTGGGGTATAATGAAGAATCGAGGAAGTATATGTACTGGCATACCCTCTCAACTCTCTCTCTCTCTCTTTGAAAAAGCCTGACTAAATGTTACATATTTAGCTCTTCTTGTGAGATTTGTTTGGATATGCCACCTTTTTGAGTATCGTCCACACCCCAATTATTCTCAAGAGTTCGCTGCTTTCGATGAAATCTTCTGCACAGTCCATTCTAATCCAGATAGAATAGTTTTCATCATCAACATCCTTTTGCTATCTCAGATATAATTTTCTAATTTTTACATCTGTCTTGTGTATTTTCTATAAAATCAGTCTCTCACAATTATTTTGCAGATTTATCTGATCCTTAGTGTAAAAGCCTTGTCCGAAAACTAATCCCAAACAGACAAAAACAAAAAAGTTGTGGTTCACCAAAGACAAATCCCTTGATGCGGCTTATTGAATTTTAATCAAAGCGATTGTCACCTTATTCAAAAGAAACAACAACGAAAACAACCCAAAAACAGGAACAGCTTACCATAGTTCCTCCATGTTAATGTTCTGGCAGCGAAATCCAACTGTTCATCGATTGCACTGACAGACGGATGAATTAATTGCATTTCTGTGGAAGCTGTTGTTAGTCCATTCTGGTGGCGAATGCCGTTGTAGTATTCCGAGATTTGCATTAATCTGATCTTGCGTTGCCAAAAAACATCGCGCAGTTCGTAAAGGTTGAGCAAAGTTTGTGGCAATAATTGATGCTGTTGCTGTTGGTGATTATGGGGGTGTGGCTGCTGCTGCGTCTGTTGCGGTAAGCTAAATGTTGGTGCAACCATGGCCAGCAACACTTTACGCCTCTCGTTGGCCTGTTGTAGGGCTAACAAATATTTAGTCTCCCTTAGTAACGTGAAAAGTTCAATGGAGTAATGCATTTCAAGGATTTTCGTGTTGTCATCACCAGGTGTCGTTGATGATGATGGCGACGACGACGATGACTCACTTAAAGCCAGGGCACTGGTCGATGCACTATTGCAGCGAATTTTGGTGACAACTTGATAACGATGTGTATAATTGGATGTCCAGGTGTTGGTGTTGTCGTCATTGTTGTTGCTGTTACTCTTATTGACTTTGTTGGCATTTCCACTGACGTCTGCAGCAGCACTGATATCTCCACCTCCATTCGCATTATTGTTGGCGGGCCACTCACAACTTTGGCGAGTTCGTTTTGTACAACGAAATTTGTCACCGCCAGAGTTTTGGTGGAGAGTCATCAGTTTGGTATCAAGTCCTTGGGCAATACGCTTCTCAATTGTCTGCTGCCAATTGTGCCAAACTTTCAACTGCAAATTGCTTAGCTTTGTTGTCAAAATATTACGTCTTGCAGTCAATTTTTCATATTCCAGATTTAAGGGATTGCCATCCGTAGTTGTCCTGGTTGAGTGAGAATGGATGTGTGTGTGTGTGTGGAAAATAAATAAAGGGGAAGAAGGTAAATAATTGCGTATTATTAACGGAAATATTGGGGTGTTTCGAAAGATTGAATAGGTTGGGTAGAAAATGTTCACGATATAGAAACATCTTTAGATGTCTATAGAAAACATTCTGTCCATAGAATACCTTGAATTGTCTTATATCAATAGAAGGTTTTGAAAGGTCTTCTGTCTACATAGGACCTTAAAAAGTCTACAAAATCTACAGAAGATCTTAGAAGTCTTCTGTCTGTGGACGACTTTGAAAGGTTTTCTGACTATAAAAGACTTTTCAAGGACATCGGCGAATAGAATACCCCTCAAGATCTTCTGTAGACAGAAGATCTTTCCAGATCGTATATAGGCCAAAGACTTTGAAAGGTCTTTTTATACCCTCCACCATACTATTGAGGGTATATTTTGTCATTCCGTTTGTAACTCCTCGAAATACTCATGTCAGACCCAACAAAGTATATATATTCTTGATCAGCGTAAAATTCTAAGTCGATTTAGCGATGTCCGTCTGTCTGTTGTAATCACGCTATCTTTCGAACAAATTGAGATAGAAGGCTAACTTTTTGCAGACGTGTATATTTTGCCAGTAGGCAGGTTAAGTTCGTAAATGGGCCATGTAGGTCCAAGTTATCACATAGCCCCCATATAACGGTACCTCCCGATATTCGGTATTTTGATGATTTTAGCGACATTATTTAACGGAATTGTTTGAAATTTGGCATTTGAAGTTCGTAATGGATACTACAGCCTAAGACAGAAAATTATCTGTTCAGGTCCACGTCTTCGTATAGCCCCCATATAACGGTACCCTCCGATATTCGGTATTTTGATGATTTTAGCGACATTATTTACCGGAATCGTTTCAAATTTGGTATTTGAAATTCAAAATGGATACTACACCCTAGAACAGAAAATTGTCTGTGCAGGTCCACGACTTCGTATAGCCCCCATGTAACGGTACCTCTCTATATTCGGTATTTTGATGATTTAAGCGACATTATTCACCGGAATTGTTTCAAAATTGGTATTTGAAGTTCGTTATGGGAACTACAGTCTGTGACAGAAAATTGTCTGTGCGGGTCCACGTCTTCGTATAGGCCCCATATATCAGTACCTCCCTATATTCGGTATTTTGACGATTTTAGGTACAATACCCACCGAAAATGTTTGAGATGTGGTATTTGAAGTTCGTAATGGATGCTACAGGCTGTGACAGAAAATTGTCTATGCTGGTCCAGGTCTTCGCACAGCTACAATTTAACAACACCTCTTTATGTACGATATTTTGATGATTTTAGCTACATTATTCACCGTTTATTTCAAGTTTCGAATTTGAATATGGTAATGGCTTATGACAAACAATGGCTATGTATGTCCACGTCGTATAGACCCCAATATAAGGGCTATATTCGGTATTTTTAAAATTTTAACAGAATTTTTTAAGGATTTTATTTTTTGAAAATTTCCAAATTCGTTGCAAATGGTGGAGGGTATTAAAAGATCGGCCCGGCCGAACTTACTGCTTTTTAACTTGTTTCTATTGAAGACCTTTAAAGATTTTCTGTCTAGAGAAGGCCTAGAAAGGTATTCTGTCTATTGAAAACTTTGAAAGATTTTCTGTCGAGACAAGGCGTAGAAAGCTTTTTCTGTCTAGAGAAGGCTGAGAAAGGTTTTCTGTCTAGAGAATACCTTATAAGGTCTTGTGTGTGTAGAAGGCTTTGGAAGGTTTTCTGCTTGTAGAAGGCCTAGAAAAGATTTTGGAAAGTCAAGATTTTGGAAAGTCTTCTGTAGACAGAGGTCTTCTGTCTATAGAGGTCATTCAAAGGTCTTCTGTCTATAGAGGAGATTTCTGCCTATGGAAGACCTTAAAAAGTCTTCTTCCTAAAAAAAGACTATGAAAGGTCTTCTGTTTATAGAAGACTTTGAAAGGTCTTCGGCCAACAGGAGACCCTGATAGATCTTCGGTCTATAGAAGATCTTGAAGATTCATCGGTCTATAGATGACCTGGAAATGTCTTCTGTCCATGAAAGACTTTGAAAGGTCTTTTGTAAATAAGAAGGTTTTCTCTGCATAGGTGAGCTCCAAATGTCTTCATTCTATAGAAGAATTTGTTTCATAATTTTGCTAATTTTTCTTTTACTCTAATTTACCTGCATTCCAATCCCTCATAGCCCCCCCCCCCCAACAATCCCCCAGAATCAAAACCAACTTACATCAACACTTTTATCAACGAGTTCACTTCACTGGCGGCAAAGACATCGCATCTTCGCTGATAGTTCTCTAACCACATCATTGCACCGGCCATGGGCGGGAAGTTGTTGTGTTCCAGTGGTACGATGACGTCGACACCTCGATATTCAAATGCCAATAGCACTTCGCTGACAATGCTTTCAATCAGCAGCAATTCTTCGCGGTACACGGAGAGTATGTGAGGCAAAATTACCTGTAATTCGGATTGAATGGTTTGGCGCTGTACAATGTTGGCAAACATTGTTGTCAGCTGTTTTGTGTTGATGTGGTGGATGACAATAGACGGCACACAAACACACCGTTCAATATCCATGTTACACACACACGCACACACACGAAGAGAAAACAAATTCCCAAAGAAAGAAAGCACAAAAACGGAGAAAAAAAAAACAACATAGCCATATAAAAATACATTGCATTTCAATGTTCGACGATATGGTTGGGGCTACAGCTTGTGTACGCGACCCCCGTTACCTTGGTGAGCTGCTCCCAATTGTGACAGTCGCCAAATGCTTGCAACAAAATGGTGGCTAATTTCTTTTCCAGCACCTCCATGTTCTGGAAAAATACCGCCTGTTCTCTTCTGAATGATTGCCAACTGGTATTTCTGTTGTGATATGTCGCCGAGTTGATGGTGGCATTGGTGATGCTGCTGGAAGTTGCACTGGGATGCGATGTCTGACTCAAATCAATTTCCAATTTAGTCCATTCTTCGAACAGCATTTTGAAGTCACAATGAATCTGCAAGGAATTGTAGCGTTTTTTTTTTTTCGGAGTATTAAAAACTTTTGGAAAATTGATTAAATGGAAAATCGTATTTTCGAGTTAAGGAATTTGAATTTAGCGTGTCAGAGAGATGAGAATGTAATATAGAATGTTGGAGTTTATGTTCGTTTTGGCCTTTTCTGAAGCATGTACTCATCAGGGAGAGAATGTTCATTATTCAATTATTGAGGAAACATTTATGTTTATAATATGTGTTTTTGAAATTTAGTTTTGGTTGGGTGTTGATCCCTGGGCAAAAAAAAATAAATAAATAAATAAAAATATTGTAGATTTCTTCCAAAGATTACAGTCTGTCTATGTCATAAAAGCACAAAGCTACCCAGGTTGAGGTCATTTCAAATCTTTTTTTTTTTTTTCAATATAAAATTAAGTTTAAAGTTAAGGGCTGAAAGACTTTCGGGAGTGTATTAAGATCTGTGAAGGATAGATTCGTTATGGGCTGTGGTAAAAACATTCAAAGTTGGGAACCAATGTGGGTATTTGTAGTAATAGTTTGTATTGTAGTCCTTATATCAAGAATCAATCTAAGCGGAAGACAGGTCCCCAAACCACCTTTAGAGTCAATGACCCCTTCCTGCTCTTTCTCCTTGAATCACAAAATATTACAAAATTACTTACAGGGTTGCCCATATTCGACGCACCCATCTGGCAACGCCATAACTTTTGACAGAGATGCCACATCGCTTAATGACATACCGCGTTTGAAGCGTCAGTCCAAGTCCATAGGGTCTCCTCATAGAAGTCCATAGGGTCTTCTCAAGAAGATCACAGGGTCCTCTCATAGAAGACCACAGGGTCCTTTCATAGAAGACCACAGGATCCTCTCATAGAAGACCACAGGGTCCTCTCACAGAAGACCACAGGGTCTTCTCATAGAAGACCACAGGTTCCTATCATAGAAGACCACAGGGTCTTCTCATAGAAGACCACAGGTTCCTATCATAGAAGACCACAGGGTCTTCTCATAGAAGACCACAGGGTCTTCTCATAGAAGACCATAGAGTCTTCTCATAGAAGTCCATAGGGTCTTCTCATAGAAGACCACAGGGTCTTCTCATAGAAGACCACAGGGTCTTCTCATAGAAGACCACAGGGTCTTCTCATAGAAAACCACAGGTTCCTATCATAGAAGACCACAGGGTCTTCTCATAGAAGACCACAGGGTCCTCTCATAGAAGACCATAGAGTCTTCTCATAGAAGTCATAGAAGACCACAGGGTCTTCTCATAGAAGACCACAGGGTCTTCTCCTAGAAGACCAAAGGATCCTCTCATAGGAGACCAAAGGGCCTTCTCAAAAAGACCAAAACCAAAAGACCAAAAGACATTAAAGGTTAAATCATTTTCTCATAAAAGCCTTAAAGGTTTTCTGATAGAGTGTCTCCCCACAGAAGAACAAAAGATTTTCTCTTAAATGACCTTAAATTCCTCATTTCGTACAAGTTTTCTTTCTATGGAAAACCAAAAGAAAATGGAATAAAAGACCTTCTCACAGAAGGCAATAAGGTCTATTATTTTTGTGGAATTTCTAAAGGTCCTCCCCCCGATGAAGAAAAGGTCTGCCAAATATATAATACAAATCTTAAAGTTATTCTCACAGAACATCATTAGGACTTCGCAGAATACGAAAGTTCGTCACACAGAAGAGTATGTGAATTTAGCCAAAAAGTTTTGGAGGCCTTCTCATATAGGCCTAGAAGATTCTGTCGGCGCGAAAAGATTTTTTTTTTGCATATTCACAATAGTATGGCGAGTATGTCAAATGTGCATATATTCTAAATCTGAGAGATTTTGAGAATCTGTCAGTGTGTCAATTGTAGATTAGAAGCTTAATATATCATTATTATCCCTAAACACCGTTAGGATGTCAATATTTTAGCTTCAAGGAAAAAGTCTGATCATTGTTGTACAATATTTTTTGTTGCAAACAAAAAAAAAATTAAACAAATATTATAATTTTTTAACATATTATTCAAATTTGTTTAAAATTTAAAAAGTTATTAAAAGAACGTTGCAATTCAAAATCATAAAATATCGGTACTAACCTGTCGTATGCGCTCCGTTAAGAACTTGCCAATGCAACAACCTATTTCTAATTTCTCAAGACTTTGAAATGATACAGCAGCCTCAAATACCGTTTGTATTTCGGAAAGTTGTTCAATAAAGCCATTCAAAGCATGGCCAAACACATCCTCATTGGAAAAGCGCCATAATTGATGGATCTCTGGAACATTAAAATGAGAAGCCGTTCTATCATCGTCTTCCACATTTGGTCTTCGGGCATCAAGCTGCAAAGCTGGTAATATGGTTTGATTGCTGCCATACTTGGCTTTGTATTCCAGTAATTTTGACCTATAAACATAATTATTTTTTTCGATTTCAAATTGTATATTTTTTTTTTCAAAACTCACTTAAACATTTCCAAAATCCTAATGGTTTTTGTTATTTTCAGAAGGCCCTCGTCGGCATCACCCTGGAACAGCGTGGCCACTTCAAGGTCTTCACTTGCCCGACGTATCATTAAATTACAAATGCAACGCAACAATGTCGTCATTCGGACGGTGCTGCGATAATGACGAGCATTCGACCACACCAAGTGGATGATGTGCACCAACGGCGTAATAAGTTCCCCAGCATTAGCAAAGGTGACCGCATTAAAGGCTGTGGTTTGTCTTAACATAGGCTGTAGCCACAATGCAACATCCTGAGCCTCGTGCCAAGCACACACAACGTGCTTTAACATTTTAGCAAATGATGGATAATATGGTGAGTCAATTTCTTGTAGTACCCAACCAACAGCCTTATGGTTGGCGGAATTTAATTGTTTAAAGAGATTTTCTAAATTCTGTTGACGATTTAACCAGAAGTTAATCTCTTGAGCGGGTAGGGTCACAATTACCAAGCGCTGCTGGATGTTATTTTTGTTGCGTGGCGTACAAGTACTGCACTCAGACTTCTCGTTGATTATTTCATGCACCTGACCGGTCCAATTGATGACCATTTCCTCGAGTTGACCACGAAACTTGCTGTCCAATAATGGTGGTTCTACATTTCTGCTAGAGAAATAGAGAGAGAAACAGAGAAGGAGGGGAGAAACAATTTTTATTAAATTCAAAATAATTAGGGTTGGCTAATACAATCGGAGTATATTTTTGTATAGAGGAATTGTTGACTATTTTTTTGCCGGTTACAAAAAAAAAAAGAATTTCGAATCGACTTACTTACTTGAGAGCATTAAGCAGCTATTGTTGCTCTAGTGTGACTAATATAGAGAAGAGAGGATAAAATGCAAAGGAAGATAACTAACAAATGGAGATGAAAGATTGGTTTTTAAAATTTGTCCTCTATGGCAAAAAGTATTGTTTATTCCTGGGAGAACCTATTCGTTTTCCCATAGACGTTCTTCTGGTCTCCTATGAGCAGATGTTCTGGTCTTCTTCGATGAGAAAACCTACTGCTCTTCTTTGATGAGAAAACCTTCTGCTCTTCTTCGATTAGAAGACTTACTGCTCTTCTTCGATGAGAAGAGCATCTGCTCTTCTTCGATGAGAAGAGCATCCACTCTTCTCCGATAAGAAGACCTCCTGCTCTTCTTCGATAAGAAGATCTCCTGCTCTTCTTCGATAAGAAGACCTTCTGATCTTCTTCGATGAGAAGTCCTTCTGGTCTTCTTCAGTAAGAAAACCATCTGCGTTTCTTAGATGAGAAGACCTTCTGCTCTTCTTCGATGAGAAAACCTTCTTCTCTTTTTCTATTAGAAGACCTTTTGCTCTTCGTCTATGAGAAGACCTTCTGCTCTGCTATGAGAAGAACTTCTGATGTGCTGGTCTTCGTGAAGATTAATAGCTTGCCTTAGACCTCTTGTATAAGAATAAGAAGACCCTGATATTTTCTGACATGAGTTCATGGTCTTCTACAATAGGAGAGACTTTAATTTTTATACCCTACACCATAAGGTGGTCAGTGTATTATGTATTTGGGCATTTGTTTGTAACATGGAGAAGAAAGCGAGATAGACCCATAGTTCCTTTTGATGATCTGCATAGAATCACTTTCTGAGTTGATTTATGCATGTCAGTCCGTCCGTCCGTCTGTCCATGTAATCTTGTGAACAAAATGCAGGTTGCATTTATTATCCGATTGAGATGAAATTTTGCAAACAACATTTGTTTGGCCCAAGGACGAACCCTATTGAAATTGGAGATAATCGGTAAAAATTTAGATATAGCTCCCATATATATCTTCGTCCCATTTGCCTTTTATTGTGAACCACCGTGTAATATCAGCCCGAATATTATGGAATTTTTCACATACAACCAAATTAGGCCTAAAAATGAGTATGCCAAGTTTGATCGAAATCGGTTCAGATATAGCTATAGCTCCCATATATATTGTTCATCCGATTTGTTGTACTTTTTACTCAAAGCTGAAATATGCACTCCGTAACAACGATATTCAGGGAAATATATCAAATAAAGCTCAGAAATATCTTTGCTAAATACCTTTACTAAATTGAATCGAGATCGGTTCAGATTTGGATATAGTTCCCATATTTAACTTCGTCCGATTTACATTTTATTGTGCACCAAACGTCTAATATGGAATACAATGGAATACAATTTGGCACATGTGACCGAATTGAGTCTAGAAGGTATTATGCCAAATTTGGTTAAGATCGGTTCAGATATTGCTATAGCTCCCATATATATTGTTCATCCGACTTGTTGTATTTGTTACCCACAGCCGCAATATGCACTCCGTAACAACGATATTCAGGGAAATATATCAAATTAGGCCTGAAAATAAGTATGCCAAATTTGATCGAAATCGGTTCAGATATAGCTATAGCTGCCATATATACTGTTCATCCGATTTGTCATATTTGTTACCCACAACCTTAATATGCATTCCGTAACAACGATATTCAGGGAAATATATCAAATACAGCTCAGAAATATCTTTGCCAAATTTTATCGAGATCGGTTCAGATTTGGACATAGCTCCTATATATAACTTCGTCCGATTTACATTTTATTGTGCACCAAACGTCTAATATTTGCCCAAATGGAATACAATTTGGCACATAGGACCGAATTGAGCCTAGAAGGTAGTATGCCAAATTTGGTGAAGATCGGTTCAGATATAGCTATAGCTCCCATATATATTGTTCATCCGATTTGTTGTATTTGTTACCCACAGCCGTAATATGCACTTCGTAACAACGATATTCAGGGAAATATATAAAATACAGCTCAGAAATATCTTTGCCAAAATATATCGAGATCGGTTCAGATTTGAATAAAGCTCCCATATATATCTTTATCTGATTTCAAATTAATTTTGCACCAAATGGGCAATACAAGTCCGAATTTAAAAGACACAAATGCTTCGGCATATTTAGCCCTTTGAATTTTAAATTATAATTATAATCCTAGCGTGTATGATTGAATTCTCCCATAAAAACTTTTAATTTTTATGTGGAGCTCAACTAAATTAGCAAAGTGGTGTAGGGTATCATAAAATCGGCCCGATCTACTTTAGGACTTTCTTTACTGGTTTAATTTAATTCCATTTTTAAGATTTTTTAAATGCTACTTAATTCCATTTGGCTTCTAGCCTAAAAAAAGAAAAATACATACGGTAGAATTTAGTATGTGCTGCTGTTACTCTTGACATCATCTCTTCGGGCTCACTAATTAGCTTTTAGCCATTCGTTGCATTGGCAGCAGCTACAACAACAACGGCAACAAGGAGAAATCCCCCCAAAACAAAAAAAAAAGGGAAACTCAACCACACACACATTCACAACTAGAAATGGAAAGAGAAACAAAATTAAAGTTAAAAGTAGATTTTCGTATTGAAACTTTAAGGACCCTCTAATGAGCATTTACTTTACGCATTCCACGAACTAGTTTCGAATGTTTTAAGCTGGTCCACATTGCTATTGGAATCGAAATGGGCGGGTGGGCGTTCGGTCGGGCGTTATGGTTGACGGTGAATGATGGTGACGATGGTGGCCTGGGGAAATAAGTGTTAAAGTTTGGCACGACGACGCTCTGTCAATGAGTTAACTTAACTTGTGCTCACTCTTGTTCTGGTTAATTCTAATGTAATGGCTCAAGAGTCTAAATATGCTGATGTTGAGGAGTTACAAAAACAACAACAACAACGGTACCAACAAAAACAACTACGCTAAAATTGTACTGTGAAATGGAATTTCATTAATTAATTGTTTTTCTATGTTGCTTTTGCTGTTGTTGTTGATGTTGTTAGTGTTCTTGTTGTTGTTATTGTAGTTCTTATTACTTTTCATCTGAAAATCTATAGCGGGGATGGTAGGGGGATATGGTTTTCAAGGTTGATGCAAATAAGTTTGGATGGCCCATTGAAAAACAGTCAGGTGTAGAAATATTTAAGTAGTCGATGAAGGGCCGTTATGGTGATGAAACGTTTTTTTTATCAAATAAGGCTGCTTAAATTTGAAGCCATGGAGTAAAATGTCGTTCAATTTTTAAATACTCTTATGTTTAAAATAAATCTACTTAGGATTATTCAAATTTTTCATAATCACAAATTATTTTTGATTTTCCATAGACATACGATTTTCTTCACATGAAAATGCCCTGCTTTAAGTATACTGTTATTAAAACTACTTCTAATCATACTATCTGTGTTAGGTCTTCTATATATTTATTATTTTTTTTAGTTCTTTATAAATACACGACTTTTTTGGGGGTTTCTATTAGGGTTTCTATCGCAGCGAGAATCCCTTAGTTAGTTGTTTTTATAAAATTGCCAGAGGCGGATCTATATTAATTGAAAGGAACCTGAAGCGCCAACTTAATGTGAGGAATTCCAAGTTTTAACGGTACTGAGGTCGACGTGGCACTAGCTTTGGAGCAATCTTTTTATACACCGGTTACAAACACCATCTTGTCAGCTCCGTGTTCATGAATCTCAGTTAAATCATATTCAAGATCGCACAGGTTGATCCTAATGACGTGCGGCAGATTTGTCCCTTATTATTTCTTATAGCATATAGTAAGATTAGAGCAAAAAAAAACTGGTAAAGAAAGTCCTAAAGTCGGGCGGCGCCGATTTTATGATATCCTACACCACTTTGCTAATTTAGTTGAGCAATTAAAAGTTTTTATGGGAGAATTCAAACAATTATAATTTAAAGTCCAAAGGACTAAATATGCCGAAGCATTTGTATCTTTTAAATTCGGACTTGTATTGACCATTTGGTGCAAAATTAATTTGAAATCAGATAAAGATATATATGGAAGCTATATCCAAATCTGAACCGATCTCGATAAAATTTGGCAAAGATATTTCTGAGCTGTATTTGATACATTTCCCTGAATATCGTTGTTACGGAGTGCATATTACGGCTGTGGGTAACAAATACAACAAATCGGATGAACAATATATGTGGGAGCTATAGCTATATCTGAACCGATCTTCACCAAATTTGGCATACTACCTTCCAGACTCAATTCGGTCGTATGTGCCAAATTCCATCCCATTTGGGCAAATATTAGACGTTTGGTGCACAATAAAATGTAAATCGGACGAAGTTATATATGGGAGCTATATCCAAATCTGAACCGAACTCGATAAAATTTAGCAAAGGTGTTTCTGAGCTGCATTTGATATATTTCCCCAGATATCGTTGTTACAGAGTGCATATTACGGCTGCGGAGGACAAAAATAACAAATCGGATGAACAATATATATGGGAGCTATGGCCATATCTGAACCGATTTCGATCAAATTTGGCATATTTATTTTCGGGACTAATTTGGTTGTATGTGAAAAATTCCATACCATTCGGCCTGATATTACACGTTCGGTGCACAATAAAAGGCAAATCGGACGAAGATATATATGGGAGCTATATCTAAATTTATACCGATTATCTCCAATTTCTATAGGGTTCGTCCTTGGGCCAAAAAAATGTTGTTTGTAAAATTTCATCTCAATCGGATAATAAATCCGACCTGCATTTTGTTCACAAGAATACATGGACAGAAGGACGGACAGACGGACTGAAATGCATAAATCAACTCAGAAAGTGATTCTATGCAGATCATTAAAAGGAACTATGAGTCTTTTTCGTTTCCTTTTGCCTGTTACAAACAAATGCACAAAGACATAATACCCTGACCATGTGGTGTAGGGTTTAATAAAACAAGTAAAAAAGTTGTTAATTCGGACGGGCCGAACTGTGAATATCCTCCACCATTTGGAACGAATTTGGCAATTTTCAAAAAAATAAAATCCGTTAAAAATTCTGTTAAAATCTTAAAAATACCGAGTGTACGTGTTATATTAGGGTCTAGGTGTTATATTGTAGATGTTATATTAGGGTCTACGACGATATGGACCTGCATAGGCAAGTTTTTTTCACAAGCAAAAAAGCGGACCTGCACAGACAACTTTTTGTCATAGGCTGTAGGATCCATTACGAACTTCAAATACTAAATTTGAAACAATTCCGGTGAATAACGTCGCTAAAATCATCAAATACCGAACTTCGGGAGGTACTGTTATATGGGGGCTATACGAAGACGTGGACGAACTTCGATTACGAACTTCGAATAACATTTTTGGATAATGCCACTTAAATCACCAAAATACCGAATATAGGGAGGTACCGTTATGGTGGGGGAGGGAGGTCTATACGAAACCGTGGACCTGCACGGTGAATTTTCTGTCTTACACCGTAGTATCCATTACGAACTTCAAATACCATATTTGAAACAATTCCGGTGAATAGTGTCGCTAAAATCATCAAAATACCGAATATCGGGAGGTACCGTTATATGTGGGGGCTACACGAAGACGTGGAACTGTACAGACGATTTTCAGTCTTAGCCTGTGGTACCCATTACAAACTTCAAACACCAAATTTGAAACAATCCCCGTGAATAATGCCGCTAAAATCATGAAAATGCCGAATATTGGGAGGTACCATTATATTGGGGCTATCCCAAACGTGAACTTACAGGGTGAGATGAAAAAACTGCAACCAACTTCAGACTGCTGTCATTTCTAAGCCACTCGTCCGGCAGGTGTTAAAATTATTCAAGAGACAGCTGTATTACTTACAAGCGTACAAAAACATTTTGGTGAGATTTTTCCAGAAAATGGAATTCAAGCGTGATAGTGTGATTTCTTTATATTTGGCTGGAAAACCACAAGTGGCTATCGTTAGAGCACTCCAGCATTTAATTGTGAATAAATCTTTTGTGTCTCGTACCATCGCTCGTTAACGTGATACTGGTAGCGTAGCCCGTCGTCAAGGAAGTGGACGGAAGAAAACAGCAACATTAGCAGAAATGGTTCGAAATTAAAGACGCGACTTGATCGAAACCCGCGTCGCAGTGGCCAAAAAATGGCTCGTGAGCTGAACATATCGCAAAATTCCATTCCGCAAATATTGACAAATGAGCTCGGGATAAAGCTATGGAAATTCCAAAAAGTGCAAGAACTTACACCGCAACAGAAAGAAAATAGACTCAAAAGAGCTAAAGAGTTGCTTCGCTTGGCCGAAAGTGGTGAACTGCCGAATTTGGTTTTCTCCGATGAGAAAACATTAGTTTTCTGGTCGGTCTCTGCTCGTATTAATCGATCGTGGCATCAGAATAAATGCCGAATATTATCACGAAAATATTCTGGAGGGTGTATTAAAGCCTTGGGCACGGAAACATTTTGGCCGCAGACCTTGGACATTCCAACAGGACTCCATCTCACTCAGCACACGCCATCCAAGAATGATTAAAAAATGAGGTTCCTCTCTTTATTTCCAGCGCACAATGGTCACCAAAATCTCCGGATACCAATCCGTTGGGCTATTGTGTCTGAAGTATTTTGGAACGCAAGGTTGACACTTCGCCGGGAATGGGCCAAAATACCGTAGAGCAACATCCGGGCAGCGTGTGACCAATTCGAACAAATCTAAACCTATTCTAAATATTCGGCAAAACCGACCGATACTTTTTTACTTGTTTTGTATTCATAAAACTCTATTCGAGCTTTACATCTTCTAAAATTTCCCTAGAAGTTTTTCTGTGAAACCTTATCTAGGCATTCATGTCTGCCATACATAGACCTTCTCTGCTTTATAGTGTTATTAAATGGCAGTTAACCCTTTGGCACCTATTTAAACAAAATCTCTATTGAGAATTGATTTTTCTTCCGTACATTTATGGAGAGAACGTAAAATATGCAAATATCTTAACTTCCAACACAGACGAGTTTTAACGTTTCCGTTTTTGTTAAGAAAATAATTCCGATCAAACCCTTTGGGTCCTTATCTTCCGGTTGTAAATGATGGGTAATTGATTATCCATTGATGTGATACCAGGAGATTTGTAAAGAGACGAAAGAAGAGAATGAAGCGAAAAGAAAGGAGGAGAAAAGTTTTGAGGGATTTTAGACTTAAACATTATTTGCATGTTTTTTTTCTGCTCTCGTGAAAATGTGAAAATTGCTTAACTAAAGAAATGCTTTTGTATAAAACGCTTGTTGAGTTCGGATAGGTTTGTGAGGCCGTGTGTGTGTGCGTGTAGTGGAATGGTTGTAAGGAGCAAGTTTTCAGTAAAAAGGCTTGGATTACGAAAAAACGCCCTCGCCAATCACCTTTTTCCGTTGTTACTTTTAAGTCTATCCAGACAATTTAACTCTTGCAAAAGTTTCCAATGCCTTGTCGAAGATTTGGAATTTGTTGGTGGAAATTTCTTGGTTTACGGTTTTATTGCGGTTGAAATAGATGTCTTCTGGAAAAGCGCAGAAGATACCTGCGATTGTCTGACTATCTAACGCCGGTTATTCTACAAGTCGTAGATTTGGTGAGTATGGGGGAGGGGGTGAGTTGGAGGTTTAAATGTAAACATTTTGCTAGCTTGTTTGTTTTCTATTTGAAAATTCCATCCAACAATATCGGACAAAGTTTTGGCACAATTCGAAAACAAAAGAAAAAACACTCTGCGAATACAACTTTCGAGATGGATGGAACAACCGACAAACCGCCAACCAACCACCTCTCCCGTGTCAACTCCTCCCCTTTGCGTCATCATCAAATGATGAGGCCCATTAAAGGTTGGCCATAGATAACACCCACTTACCCCTGTTTAAGATGACTGGCAATTTCTTGAATGGCTGTTGGCGAAACTAATAACGATAAAATTGTCCGATTGTTGGTTTTGCCTTTAATCTGTAAATAGACAGAGAACAGAAAACAGAAAAACAAACAGACATAAGTAAATCCACAGAGAGAAAAAAAAAACAACAACAAATGATGACGACGATGATAAGAACGTTTTTAGTCCTTAGATAAATAATTGTTGGACTACTATTTGATCCGGCTACAAACTGTTTGTCTTTAATATATATGCCATTAAATGAGTGACGAGTGGTTGGGTGGCTGACCAGCAATCTGTTGGTCGGGACAGACATTTGGTAGAAACTCACGCACAAGATTTGTTTTTTATGCGAAACTTCATAATAAGTTGTCATCCTTTTGTTATTGGCCAATAAGCCTTAACAGAAAAAATTCTCACGATAAAACAAATAAACGCAAAAAATAATGTCCTTGCAACAGCGCTCGCATTTCTTTAAATAGTTATTGTTATCATTTTTGAGTCCTTGTACTATAATTACTTAAGTAAATAGAGCTGTGGGGAAGTAGAACTTTTATTTCTTCCTACTTCTTTTCCCCTGGCTTGTGGATGCATAACTGTGACGGATATTTATATCCTACAACGCTATTGGGGTATTATAATTTTGATTATGTCAAAAATTATATATCATCTCGAAATATTGGTCCCCGACATATATGGATCTTCCTATCTCGCCCAACTGAATCGATCTAACTATGTATGTCTGTCCATGTTAATTTGTAATCATACTACAGGTAGCAATTGTGGACCGATCCTCATGAAATTGAAAATGCAGATGGGGTTAGTGTCAGAATAGAATCCTATTGCTTGCAAATTTGGACTGTCATCGGACAATATTTAGAGATTAAAATAAACCATTTTTTATACCCTCCACCATACTATAGAGGGTATAATAATTTTGTCATTCCGTTTGTAATTCCTCGAAATACTCATATATATTCTTGATCAGCGTAAAATTCTAAGACGATTTAGCCATGTCCGTCTGTCTGTGTGTCTGTCTGTCTGTTGTAATCACGCTATCTTTCGAACAAATTGAGATATAAGGTTAAAATTTTGCACACATGTATATTTTGCCAGTAGGCGTAAATGGGCCATGTAGGTCCAAGTTATCATATAGCCCCCATATAACGGTACCTACCGATATTCGGTATTTTGATGATTTTAGCGACATTATTCACCGGAATTGTTTCAAATTTGGCATTTGAAGTTCGTAATATATACTACAGCGTAAGACGGAAAATTATCTGTGCTGGTCCACGTCTTCGTGTAGCCTTCATATAATGGTACCCCCGATATTCGGTATTTTGATGATTTTAGCGACACTGTTTACCAGAATCGTTTCAAATTTGGCATTTGAAGTTCGTAATGGATACTACATCCTAAGTCAAAAAATGAGCCATGTAGGTCCACGTCTTCATATAGCCCCCATATAACGTTACCCCCCGATATTCGGTATTTTGATGATTTTAGCGACATTATTTAACGGAATCGTTCCAAATTTGGTATTTGAAGTTCGTAATAGATACTGCAGCATAAAACAAAAAATGGGCCATGTACGTCCACGTCTTCGTATAGCCCCCATATACCGTACCCCCCGATATTCGGTATTTTTATGATCTTAGCGACATTATCTACCGGGATTGTTTCAAATTTCGCATGTAAAGTTCGTAATGGATACTTCAGCCCATGCCAGAAAATTGTCTGTGCTGGTCCAAGTCTTCGTATAGCCCCCATATAACGGTACCCACCATATTCGGTATTTTGATGATTTTAGCTACATTATAAACAGATTTTTCTTGAAGTTTCGCATTTAAATATTGTAATAACTTATGACAAAAGTTGCCTGTGCAGGTCCACGTCGTCGTATAAGTGATATTTTTAAGATTTTAACAGAATTTTTAACAGATTTTATATTTTTTTTTTGGGAATTGCCAAATTTGTACCAAATGGTGGAGGGTATTTAAAGTTCGGCCCGGCCGAACTTACAGCTTTTTTACTTGTTTTTATGCCAAAGAATACAAAATTTTCCACAAACCGCGAATATTTTTAATCCGGATTGAATTACAAATACATTAAAAGGTCACTTCTGACCATTACAGTGATGCTGATAGCCAGGATATTGGGGTGAGATGAAAAAGCATCAACCAACTTCAGACTGTTGTCATTTCTAAGCCACTCGTCCGACAGCTATTGGAATTATTCCAGTGACAGCTCATTATATTGTTTACAAGCGTACAAAAGCATTTTGGTGAGGATTTTCATAGAAAAAGTTATTCGTGATGGAATTCAAGTGTGATATTGTGATCTCCTTATATTTGGCTGGAAAACCACAAGTGGCTATCGTTAGAGTGCTCCAGCATTTAAATGTTAATAAATCTTTTGTGTCTCGTAACATCGCTCGTTATCGTGATACTAGTAGCGTAGCCCGACGTCAAGGAAGCGAACGGAAGAAAATAGCAACATCAGCAGAAATGTTTCGAAATGTGAAGCAGCGACTTGATCGAAACCCACGTCGCAGTTGCCGAAAAATGGGTCGTTAGCTGAACATATCGCAATATTTCATTCGGCAAATATTGAAAAATGAGCTCGGGGTAAAGCCGTTGTAATTCCAAAAAGTACAGAACAACAGTAAGAAAATAGACTCAAAAGAGCTATAGAGATGTTTCGCTTGGCCGAAAGTGGTGAACTGCCAAATTTGATTTTCTTCGATGAGAAACGTTCGTTTTCTAGCAGCTTGTAGACAAACAAAATGATCGTGTTTACTTGCCAAAGAGGTCAACTGAAAATGTACACCTTGGTGTGGGCCACCATAACAGCCGATGGTCGCTCTTCGCTTGAATTTATCAGAATAAATGCTGAATATTATGGCGAAAATATTCTGGAGGGTGTATTAAAGCCTTGGGCACGCAAACATTTTGGCGGCAGACCTTGGACATTCCAACAGCACCACCGCACTCAGCACGAGCCACCCAGGAATGGTTACAAAATTACCACCAAAATCTCCGGATACCAATCCGTTGCACTGTTGTGTCTGGAGTATTTTGGAAAGCAAGGTTGCCACTAACAAATACCAAAGTGACGATAACCTCAAGCAAGCGCTTTGCTGGGAATGGGCCAAACTAATACAAAGCAACATTCGGACAGCGTGTGACGGTTTCATTGTCCGTTTGAAGGCCATACATAATTCGTGCCAAAGGTGACCAATTCGAACAAATCTTAATTTATTCTAAAATTTGATGGTATTTCCGACATAAAATTAAAAAAAAATGCAAAAATTATGGCGTTTGACTTTGTTACAGTTTTTTTATCTCATCCTGTATATGATTTTTGAGACAAATCCGTGAAAAAATGTCTCGATAATCATTAAAATACCGAATATCCGGAGGTACCTTTATTTGACGGTTCATTTTCAATCAATATCAAACTATTTCATTTTCAACATCAAACTATTGTGCCAAATTTTGAAGGCCTATATTAAATAATGTGGGCTGTCATCGTTAAATCGACTTAGAATTTTTTTTATGGGTTCTACGACGAACATTTAGGGATATGTCAAGGGAAATGACAATGTTAATATACACTTCTTTTTAAGGCGGAGGGTATTAAAAACAAGTAAAACAAGTTAAAAAGTATCAGTCGGTATTGCCGACAGATATATACCCTCAGCCTGTGTTCGATTATTTAAATATAATTTGACTAATGTTACAATTATTCAAACGTTTGACCCTCTATGGAGCAGGTTCCGGAAGAATGGGCCAATATTGTATATTTCGTATCGGACCCAAAAATATGATATAAATATTCCGACGTTCCTGGTATGGATTATATCGACTAACTCCTTCACTTTATAGGAAATATGTAATAATTTTTAGAAAATGTTAAAATGTGCCTGATGTACAAGATAGAATCTACCGAAATATTCCACATTTATACTTCATCTGATAAAAATTAAAATATTGAGCGGAATCTTGGGCAACATTGCAAAGGATATTTATGTCCAATTTTATGCGAAATCGTAAATTCCGATAAAATTCATATTTATATCAGGCTTCTTATTGGGAGAAATATTTGAGCATAGCAAGTAGTAAAGAATTTTCTAATTGTTTCGAAAGTTATGACAGATAAAATTATTGAAAATTGTGACCCCAGAAGGGGTTGGTTTTCCAAAATCTTGAACCCTATGTTTAGGGGAGATGAAATGGTTCGATCTATATCACCTTTATAACAGATCTTGTGTTGATAGAAATATTGAGAGTCTAAATGGAATCGGATATTAATTTGGCGTTTTATGAGCTTTATGGGTATTCAAAATTTCGACACTTTGTGGGGGAGGTACCAGGTGGAGTAGACCGATACATTCCATGTTAACGCCAGATCTTGGGTTTATAAAAATATTGGAATGTGTGAAATTTTAAGACGTTCGGATCCTTACATTACATTTTATAAGAGTTATAATTATCCAAAATTTTGACCCTTTGTGGGGGAGGTCCCTGATGGAGTAAACCGATATTGTCCATTTTCGCACCGGGCCTTAAGCAAATATTAGGATTCGCAAAGTTCGAGCAAAATCGGATCATCCTTTCTCTTTCTGTGCAGAAAATATATTTTTTGAAAATTTCGACCATTTGTGGGGAAGGTACCAGAAGGAGTGGACCGATGTATTCCACCTTCAAACCAGACCTTGGGTTAATAAAAATATTGGGATGTGTGAAATTTGAAGACCATCGGACTCTTACTTCACATTTTATAAGAGTTGTTATTATTCAAAATTTTGACCCTTTGTGGGGGAGGTACTTGATAGAGTGGACCGATATTGTCCATTTTCGCACTTGACCTAGCATTGACAAAAATATTAGAATTCGCAAAGTTGGAGCAAAATTGGATCATCATTTCTCTTTCTATGCAGAAAATATATTTTTTTTGAAAATTTCGACCTTTTGTGGGGGAGGTACCAGAAGGAGTGGACCGATATTGCCCATCTCCGAACTCGATCTAAGTTTGACAAAAATATTACGATGTACAAAGTGTGGACCAAATCGAGTACTTCCTTCGAGAGTTATCGTGCGCACCAGCCAGACAGACAGACGGACGGACGGACGGACGGACGGACATCGCTAGATCGACTCCAAATGTTCTGAAACGGATTTGGTCCAAAGAGACCTAGGGTCTAAAACCGTTATTTCGACTAGGCACGTTTTGACCGTATCAAATGATATATACCCTCTGTAGCCATATGGCTGAGGGTATAAAAAGTCTTGTATGGGGGCTATACGATTTCGTAGACCGATATAGCCCATCTTCGAAATTCTCTCCCTGAAGACAAAAGACTGATCTCTGCCAGAATTTTAGCTTCCTATCTAAATTCGTTTTGACTGTATCGTAATTACAATAGACGGATGGACAGGGCTAAACCGTTCTGGAATTTTACCATTGTCATTGTATGGAAATGAAATTATTAAATGGGATCTTCTTTAAGAACATCTATTGGAACATGGGCTTTAAAGAGGATGAAAAATGGGAGGGTCTGATATATGGCAAGATCCGATTTTTGAAATCCGCAAAAAAACCTATAGCGAAATCCATAAAATCGGGTTTATCTGGTAATTGGGCTTTTGGCGCCGTCTAATAAAAATCATGAAATTCCTTTTGCTCGATTCAGCCACAGCCAAAGTCTTTTGTCATCTATTTGAGCTTGTTTCAATTTTAGAGAATTTGCCTCGTCTATTTAAGAACAAGTAAAAAAGCTGTAAGTTCGGCCGGGCCGAACTTTTAATACCATCCACCATTTGGTACAAATTTGGCAATTTCCAAAAAAAAAAAAAAAAAAAAATAAATAAATAAAAAATAAATATATAAATAAATAAAATCCGTTTAAAATTCTGTTAAAATCTTAAAAATACCGAATGAAATACCGACGTAGACCTGCATAGGCAACTTTTGTCATAAGTTATTACAATATTTAAATGCGAAACTTGAAGAAAAATCTGGGTATAATGTAGCTAAAATCATCAAAATACCGAATATAGGGGGTACCGTTATATGGGGGCTATACGATGGCGTGGACCTGCACAGACAATTTTCTGGTACGGGCTGAAGTATCCATTACGAACTTTACATGGGAAATTTGAAACAATCCCGGTAAATAATGTCGCTAAAATCATCAAAATACCGAATATCGGGAGGTACTTATATATGGGGGCTATATGAAAACGTGGACCTACATAGCTTATTTTTTGTCTTAGGCTGTAGTATTCATTATGAACTTCAAATACCAAATTTGAAACGATTCCGGTAAATAATGTCGTTAAAATCATCAAAATACCGAATATCGGGGGGTACCGTTATATGGGGGCTATAGACGTGGACCTGTACAGATAATTTTCTGTCTTAGGCTGTAGTATCCATTACGAACTTCAAATGCCAAATTGGAAACAATTCCGGTGAATAATGTCGCTAAAATCATCAAAATACCGAATATCAGGAGGTACCGTTATATGGGGGCTATATGATAACTTGGACCTGCATGGCCCATTTACGAACTTAACCTACCTACTGGCAAAATATACATGTGTGCAAAATATTAGCCTTCTATCTCAATTTGTTCGAAAGATAGCGTGATTACAACAGACAGACAGACAGACGGACGGACAGACACACAGACAGATAGACGGACATGGCTAAATAGTCTTAGAATTTTACGCTGATCAAGGATATTCGAGGAGTTACAAACGGAATGACAAAATTAATATACCCTCCATAGTATGGTGGAGGGTATAAAAATGCGTTTATTAAAGAATTCAACATAAGTTGGAATCCATACATATTTCAGGTGAATTGGGTATGTTTACGTAGTTAAATTTCTATTGAAAAACTTATTACACATAACGCAGCAATCTGCTAGCAATTACCTTAGATCATATGTATGCTCTGTGCTTTACATGGCAACAACATTCATGGAATTTGACATTTAATCCAGCCATGGAAATGCAAAAATATTAAAATAATTAAACTTCCTTGGCAAATTTCATTTTAAAATTTAACTATGGACGAGTGTGTGTGCATATGGATGTGTGTGTGTGTATGTGGGCATATGAATTCCTGTCATGTGATACACGGTGTGTTCAACAACAAAATTACCTCGGTTAGCGTATTGCGCACGTCCTTCATGCGATTGTTCAAATCCTTGCCTACAACACTGGGCCATAATCTGCGATTCTGTGGATTCATTAACAATGGCTTGAGTATCTCATCGAAGAGTATGAGTAATGTATCGATTTTGCTGTGAACAGGAAAATCTCCATAGATAACATTCTGGACGAAGGTGTCCTCGACAATTGGAACATTTACATCGCGTCGCAGGAAGAAGGCACACTTTCCACGTGGTACACCGTCCAATGTTGAAAAACTGCTAGAGGGTGGTGGCAATGGAGCCAACAAAACAGCGGTGCCGGCTGCCAATGGTGTCATGGCAATACTGGCTGCTAAAGTTGCTGCTGCCGCTGTGGTTGTTGTGTTGCTAAATGTTGATGTGGCTGCTGTTGTTGTAGTCGCTGTGGCGGCGACGGCTGTAGCTTCGGCAACCCCGGCTCCTGGCCGTATTGATTCCTCAGCCAGGACATTGGCGGAAGATGTAGCTGTTGGGGTTTTCATCACTTGCACCGCTGCATAGTTCTGATACAAATCACTGATGGAACTTTTCGGTATTAATAGACCACCCGGACTCAGTGTCATAACCAAAATGCGTCGCTGCACATTGTTCAACCAATCGAACAAAACGAACTGTCAGAGAGTGAAAAAAAAAAAACAAACGATGAGAAACAAAACAAAATCAGGTATTTGCATTACAATCTCACTAATTGGTATTGGCAATGTCGTTGATATTGATGAGAATTGATGGACGCACTCTTGAAGCAGGGACTCGACAGTGAGTGGCAATGATTAGGGGAGTCGCTTTAAAGCATTTCAGTGTGGGCTAGAAAAATTGCATATTTTTCTATGCACATTGAAAAAAACTATAATATAGAAAAAAACCAGTAAAGAAAGTCTTAAAGTCGGGCGGGGACGACTTTATGATACCCTACACCACTTTGCTAATTTAGTAGAGCTCCGCATAACAATTAAAAGTGTTTATGGGAGAATTCAATCATACACGCTATGATTATAATTATTATTTAAAGTTCAAAGGACTAAATATGCCGAAGCATTTGTATCTTTTAAATTCGGACTTGTATTGCACAATTAATTTGAAATCGGATAAAGATATATATGGGAGCTATATCCAAATCGGAACCGATCTCGACCAAATTTGGCAAAGATATTTCTGAGCTGTATTTGATATATTTCCCTGAATATCGTTGTTACGGAGTGCATATTACGGCTGTGGGTAACAAATATAACAAATCGGATGAACAATATATATGGGAGCTATATCTATATCTGAACCGATCTTCACCAAATTTGACATACTAGCTTCTAGACTCAATTCGGTCGTAAGTGCCGAATTTCATCCAATTTGGGCAAATATTAGACGTTTGGTGCACAATCAAAGGTAAGAAGGGTTTCTGACAGAAGACGAGAAGGCCTTCTCATAGAAGACGAGAAGGTCTTCTCATAGAAGACTGGAAGGTCTTCTCATAAAAGACTAGAAGGTCTTCTCATAGAAGATGAGAAGGTCTTTTCATAGAAGATAAGAAGGTCTTCTCGCAAAAGACGAGATGTTCTTCTCATATAAGAAGAAAAGGTCTTCTTATAGAAGACAAGGAGTTCTTCTCATAAAATACGAGAAGGTCTTCTTAAAGAAGACGATAAGGTCCTCTAATAGAAGACGAGAAGGTCTTCTCACAGAAGACGAGAAGGTCTTCTCACAGAAGACGAGAAGGGCTTCTCATAGAAGACGAGAAGGGCTTCTCATAGAAGACCAGAAGATTTTCTTATAGAAGACCTAAAGGGCTTCTTATAGAAGACCTAAAAGGGCTTCTTATAGAAGACCTAGAAGGGCTGCTTATAGAAGACCTAGAAGGGCTGCTTATAGAAGACGAGAAGGTCTTATCATAGAAGACTAGAAGAGCTTATCATAGAAGATCAGAAGGGCGTCTTATAGAAGATCAGAAGGGCTTCTTATAGAAGCCCTAAAAGGGCTTCTTAATGAAGACCTAGAAGGGCTTCTTATAGAACACCAGAAGGGCTTCTTATAGAAGACCAGAAAGGCTTCTTATAGAAGACATAAAAGGGCTTCTTAATGAAGACCTAGAAGGGCTTCTTATAGAAGACCAGAAGGGCTTCCTTTAGAAGACCAGAAGGGCTTCTTATAGAAGACCTTGAAGGGCTTCTTATAGAAGACCTAAAAGGGCTTCTTATAGAAGACCTAGAAGGGCTGCTTATAGAAGACCTAGAAGGGCTGCTTATAGAAGACGAGAAGGTCTTATCATCTTATAGAAGACCAGAAAGGCTTCTTATAGAAGCCCTAAAAGGGCTTCTTAATGAAGACCTAGAAGGGCTTCTTATAGAAAACCAGAAATGCTTCTTATAGAACACAAGAATGGCTTGATATACATAGAAGAACAGAATGTCCTTTTAGGGAATCCCAGAAAGGCCTCTGATATAGCTGTACCTCCCCATACTCGGCACATTGATGATTTTAGCCTCATAGTTCAAGGGAATTAATTAAAAGTTGGTATCTGGTACTGACGTTAGGTACTTTCTACTCTGATAGAAAGGTCCAAATTTTCGTATGTTCCCTTCATAAGTATATCTTCTGATATTTGGTACTTTGATGATTTGTGTTACATTCTTTGACGAAATTGTTTCAAATTCGGTATGGAGGGCTCGAAATGGATGACACTTGAGATTACATAACTTTACCAATAATGGTCAATAATATCGCATACAGGGTGAGATAATTGGCTACACAGATCCACGCTCCCACACAAATTTACAACACGATATTCGAAATTTTAATAAAATTTGCAAATTTTTTTCAAATTTTGGATGGTATTAAATTGGCTCTTTTTCACTTTTTGAGTTCGCCAATTTTCAATCGATTTCAATTCAATTAATTTTATTTCAATTAAAATGTGATGTGACCCTCTTTGAGTATATAAGCGAATTTTATGGAAAAAATAGGAAAATATAGCTTACCTCTATGTTTGGAGGCTATTTACATTGGAAATTGTTCCACAAACAACATTATCTATTTTAGTTCTTAATATTTAAATAATTTTCTTGGTTTTATTACAATTCTTAGATATTCGGAAAACTTGCTGGCATATTGCTGGCGAATAAGTTAAACCAATAAAATTACCTATCAAAAAGTTTGTCTAGCAAAAATATGATCACATATCTTATGACTTTTTGCCGCTGTGTGTGTGTGGGTGTGTGAGTGTATGGGGGTGGGAGATACAACAATAATCCCCAAATAAATTTCCAATTTTGTAGTAATTTGCCCACCAAATAAGAGGACTTACTATTACTTTAGCTTAGAACTGGCACATACACACACACATACAAACATACCGATATTCTTGATTATGTATCCAACCAGCCAGCCAGCCATCAAGCAAACAAATTCCATTACTCCATCACACGGGCAAATTGGATTTTGAACAAACACACACAACCACACACACACTCACTAACTCACACTGACTGCCGTTTTTCGAGATTTCCTCTTTTGTGAACGAAGGAACGAAGCAAATATCTTGACATGGCGGAATTACTAAAGTTTCGTTTCGGAATAAATTGCAAACGCAGAGAAAATCTACGTTCGAAATAAATTGCCTTAAAGTTCTGCATACATAGAGCGTTTACACGCTCCATGACTGCCAGCAAGCATACCTCTCGGAGATTGTATTGGTACCGGTACATACTACATACCTGGTATTCCGGTGTGGCCATCATCTTGAGCCATTTGTCTTGCTTAAGACGTAAAGTGGTTAACGTATAACTGGATATAAACTCTAATCTTGAATCATTTGCCAGAGCACTGCTGTTGCGAGCTGACAAGCTGTGAGGCATTTGGTGCAATGTGTCCATCACAGGATTCAAATCATTCCCGACATGGCTAACGATGGCGATAGTATTGTTTGTTGCATTGCTGCTGGCGGCGTTGTTGGGGTCGTCATCGCTATTTCTTACACGACGAGATTCATCCATCGTCGTCGTCAAGATGGCAATGATGGAAGGATTCGAGCACAAGGTCCAAAGAAATGCACAACACAAAGAGATGTGAAAATAAAAACGGAAAAAAACCCAACGACGTTGTTGTCCGACCGACCTGCAGCTGCAAACACTGAACAACGTCTGTAAGAATTTTGTGGATAAATGACCCTACAATGCCATGGCACAGGCATTAACTCTAACTGCAGTTGCTGCTGCTGCTGCTGGTCACCATGGAAAGGCGCGAAAGAAATACCTGTTCTCGGGCAAAAAACAACCCAATCACACAATTCTGTTGCCGCGTAATTCCCTCAATTGTGTATCGATCAAACTTCAAACTTCAAATTAAAAACAATAGCAGCGAAAAAAACTGGCATTTGAAACTGGCTGCACGTCGCCCATAACTGCTTACATTTGCGTTATTTACTGGCCTCTCATTCTTCTAAATACGGGTGCTAAGCAAAATTCTAATCTGCCTCGGTGTGGCAACAGAGAAATCCCCGGCCCCGCAACTTTGGCAAATGTTTGTCGAGCGCATGAGTGTTAGTGTGAGTTGGTGGGGGTTAGTTAGTTAGTCAGTCCGTTGAGCACTGCAACTCACTCGATTCTGTTCAATTAATTAGAACAAGTTTGTGGCTCAACTACCCAACAACAACAACTCTCTAATGTTGGTAATTTCCGTTTGCTTAAAGTTTTCTTCAAATATTTACTGCTAGCAGTTCCTGTTACCGCTACCCATGCCCACTCGCTCTATGCCCACTCACTCGGTGATTTCCTTGCCATCGCCTTTACATATTCTTCGAAGTGATTTTCTGGGACATTTGATTTTCTCTCGAACGGAAGTTATATGGCAAAAGTTTATGAACGAGCGGCCGTGTATTTTAACAATCAAGAGCAGAAAACGTGCCACAGTCGAGCGGAGGATAGCATTGTCGGGAAATGGTAATCTTTTGTTTTATCTGTATTAGTGTTGGGCTATTATAAATTGGTATGGGTTACGCATATACAGTAGTAACTATTAAAATACATTCGATTTTAATGTGTGTATACGAGGGCAGTTTGGACAGTACTAAGGCTAGCACAAAAAGGTATAAACAAAAAAATTTAAGTGTTTTGGAAACTTTCATCTCTGTTAAATTTCAAATTAAGTTTCGACCTGGCAACTCCCTCGTAAAAAATCAGGAGTTCAAAAAAGGGAACAACTCTAGTTCAGTAAAAACTCTTCGATTTTTTTCGAAATGTTTTCCAGAGGTAGTTATTTTTACCCTGATTCCGGGAAACGAACCCGGGACCCCAGAATTTTGACCCGAAAGCCCGGGTTCAAGACAATATAGGTACCGTTTGAAAGCTTATTAGCACAAATTGTAGCATTTGGAAAGGTAAGAGTGTCATCAATAATTTGGTTGACACCCATAATGGGGCCCTTTCGACTTTTTGGTAGTTTTATAAAAAATCCGGGTTCAAAAACTCGATATCTTGACTATAACTTCCGAACCGCTTAAAAATTACCCCATCATGTGGCCCCTTGTTGGATAGGTATTTTTATAAGCGAACGATACCTATATTGTCTATATCAGGTAAGTGGATCCGAAAGATGAGATAAAAAAAACTGCAACCAACTTCGGATGGCTGCCATTTCTAAGCCACTCGTCCGACAGCTGTTAAAATTATTCCAGTGACAGCTCATTATATTGTTTACAAGCGTACAAAAGCATTATGGTGAGAATTTTCCAGAAAAAAAGTTATTCGTGATGGAATTCAAGCGTGATAGTGTGATTTCTTTATATTTGGCTGGAAAACCACAAGTGGCCATCGTTAGAACACTCCAGCATTTAAATGTGAATAAATCTTTTGTGTCTCGTATCATCGCTCGTTACCGTGATACTGGTAGCGTAGGGCGACGTCAAGGAAGTGGGCGAAAGAAAACAGCAACATAAGCAAAAATGGTTCGAAAAGTAAAGAAGCGACTTGATCGAAACCCGCGTCGCAGAGGCCGAAAAAAAACATCGCAAAATTCTATTCGGCAAATATTGACAAATGAGCTCGGGATAAAGCCATAGAAATTCCAAAAAGGGCAAGAACTTACACCGCACCAGAAAGAAAATAGACTCAAAAAAGCTAAAGAGTTGAGAAAAAATTCGTTGACCAGCAGTTTGTAAACAAACAAAATGATCGTGTTAACTTGCCAAAGAGGTCAGCTGAAAATGTGCATCTTTGGTTGGCCACCAGAACTCAATGGAGTGGCCATGGTGATGGAGTGGCCATAACAGCGGATGGTCGCTCTCCGCTCGTATTAATCGACCCTGGCATCAGAATAAATGTCGAATATTATAGCGAAAATATTCTGTAGGGACGCAGACCTATTATATGCCAACAGGACTCAGCACCATCGCACTCAGCACGCGCCACCCAAGAATGGTTAAAAAATTAGGTTCCTCGCTTCATTCCCAGCGCACAATGGCCACCAAAATCTCCGGATACCAATACGTTGGGTTATTGTGTCTGGAGTATTTTGAAAAGGAAGGTTGGCATTAAAAAATACCAAACTGTCGATCACCTCAAGCAAGCGCTTCCCCGGGAATGTGCCAAAATACCGCAGAGCAACATTCGGGCAGCGTTTGACGGTTTCATTGTCCGTTTGAAGGCCATAATTCGTGCCAAAGGTGACTAACTCGAACAAATCCAAACTTATTCTATTTCCGATATTTTTTGCTTTCACACAAAATAAATTACAACAAGTGTAAAAATTATGGCGTTTGTCTTTGTTGCATTTTTTTTATCTCATCCTGTATATGCAAAGTGGTCGGCCAGTTTTGTCCCGAAGTTGTCTGGCGATTTGGGTAAATATCAGCTCAGATTTAGATATAGCTTTTTATTGCGCCACAGTTTAATATTCGTTCAAATGAAATGGATTTCGGCAAATCTGATCGAATAGACGGGGTTTGGCACATATGACCTAATGCAGCCATGAAACAAATGTATCAAATTTGGTGAAAATCGATTTGCGGTTTAAGTCCCCCACATTCGTAATATGTCAGAACAGTGAAATTTGGTGACGGATATTAAATACAGCTCCGAATTTTATCGAGATCGGTTCACATTCAGATAAAGCTTCCATATACATCATCGTTCGATTTCAAGTACATAGTTCGGTTAATGTGTAATATTAGCGCAAATGGGATCATTTTTGGCAAAGACTATCAAATTAAGCCTAGAATCAATTGTGTTAAATTTCGGTTCAGATATAGCTACAGCTCCCACTTACATTTATCATCCATTTTATATCTAAGTCACATGTAAAACATTCCATAACAAGGATTTCCGGTAGAAGATATTGCGTACATCCCAAAAATAACTTTTCCAAGTTCTGTAGAGATTGATTCAGATTTGGATATGTCTTCCCTCTAATTCCTTACTGGTTTTGAATGTCACATTTACTTGCTACCATTAAAATGAACTACGGCGAATATTGAATGTTCTGCTATTAAAAACTCTTCTTCAAACTTGCGAAAAAAAATTCATACAAAAATTAAAAACAAGTAAGCGAAGGTTAGAGACGTCCTGGCCGACCATGTGATACCCTACAACACCACAATATGTTAGAAGCCCCCTTATGCCCAAATCCATTTTGGGAGATTTCGCTTTTGAAATAATGTCACCAGACACTGCCCAGATATTACCTTTAGCATTTCACCCCGGACATTTGCCCAACATTTACGCACTCCGTCTTGCTGTTAGTTGTTGTGGTCCATTTTACAGCAAAATATAATCCAATGGTGAGCCAAAATGCTAGACTTCGTCCCTGTCCTTATCTCTCTTATAATGCAAAATTCCGTGTCGATTGGTTTCAATTGTGCGATCAGGAAATTTTTTTTTTTCATTTGACCCCCAAAATTTTTTTCGATCAACATTTGTTTGTCTGCGATATTTGGCTATATTCGTCAGCGAAATCAGCATAAACCAGTAAAGAAAGTCTTAAAGCCGGGCGGGGCCGACTTTATGATACCCTACACCATTTTGCTAATTTAGTAGAGCTCAGCATAACAATTAAAAGTTCATACTCGCTATGATTATAATTTTAAGTTCAAAGGACTGAATATACCGAAGCATTTGTATCTTTTAAATTCGGACTTGTATTACCCATTTGGTGCACAATTAACTTAAAATCGGATAAAGATATATATGGGAGCTATATCCACATCGGAACCGATCTCGATAAAAATTGGCAAAGATATTTCTGAGCTGTATTTGATATATTTCCCTGAAAACCGTCGTTACGGAGTGAATATTACAGCTGTGGGTAACAAATATAACAAATCGGATGAAGAGTATATATGGGAGCTATAGCTATATCTGAACCGATTTCGATCAAATTTGGCAAACTTATTTTCAGGCCTAATCTGGTTGTATGTGCAAAATTCCATACCATTCGGCCTGATATTACACGTTTGGGGCACAATAAAAGGCAAATCGGACGAAGATATATATGGGAGCTATATCTAAATTTTGACCGATTATCTACAATTTCAATAGGGTTCGTCCTTGGGCTAAACAAATGATTTGTGCAAAATTTCATCTGGATAGGACAATAAATGCGAACTGTATTTTGTTTACAAAAATACATGGACAGACGGACAGGTCGGACGGTCGGACATGCATAAATCGACTCAGAATGTGATTCTATGCAGATCATCAAAAGGAACTATGGGTCTATCTCGTTTCCTTTTGCCTGTTACAAACAAATCCACAAAGACATAATACCCTGACCACCTTGTGGTGTAGGGTGTAAAAAGCCTGAAGTATTTTGCATTTCGCCTGCAAATTATTTTCAGCGTTTCGTTAGAATGGAAATGTTGGCATTTTTTCACACAAAAGTAGTGGTCCGTACTACCCGCTGTCTCTCTAATTTCATGCGAGATTTCGTGTTCTTTGGTTTCTATTTGTGACCTTTATAACGGCTGTAAAATCAGGAACATTTTTAGTTGTTGGTCCATTTCAATCCCTAAATATATTGCGGAAATCTTTAAAAACAATAGGCCTAACCCTACTATAATGAAAATTTTCGTGAGGTTCGGAGGATAATTACAATCTATATATGATAACCCCAATCTGAATTGACAAAATTTGTCAAAATCGGTCCAGTCATTCTTATGATATAAGCATTCTAGCTAACAACCTCTTCCTTTGCATATACACAGTATATATATTTCGCGATATATATTCGATATATTTACCATCGGCATCTACGTAACGGTCTGAATTAACCTGTTCGTATATTTGTGATTTCGCCGGAATTAAAAATATTAGCGGTTTAATGGAGAATTTGTCTTTTATTTAACACAAATGTTATGGTCTATTTCACCCACTAAATATTACCCATTGACCATCCAATTTGTAAGGCTTCACCCCAGCCCTAAGCTCTAACCCCGTACTAACCTCCGCGTCGATTGGTCTAAAATTGCGACTAGTAGAGAAATTGCAAAATCAGAACATTTTTCAATTTTTGGTCCATTTCAACCTAAATATTATGCGATCATCTCCAAAAGCAATAGGCTTCTATTCTGACCATAACCCAACCTCCATTCAAAATTAAGTGAGGATCGGGTAATAATTGCGAGCTGTAGCGTGATTAAAAATTAACATGGATAGACGAACGGACAGACGGACATACATAGCATACATCGATTAGCTCGGCGAGATAGGCGAGATCCATATGTACTTTCCTATGTGGGAAGTCAATATTTCGAGGTGTTAATTAATTTTTAGCCCAATCAAACTTATAATACCCCCCAACACATAGTGTTGTAGGGTATAAGAAAACTGATTTCGTGAGTTATTTCCGGCAATGGTATTGTTGTTCTTAAAAGTTCTGTTTTTTATGCGATTTTCATGAAGCCAGCCTCCTCCGAAGATTCACTACGTTATGAATAAAAGAACCCCAATTATTTTTCAAACGATTTTATTTTTAACATGTTAAAGAAAATTATAATATATTATGGCATTTATTTATATATTTGTGTGGGTGTGAACTGATTGTTTGGTTTTTTTTGGCTTCTATTCATTCCATTCTTTCTAACTCCAGCACTGATAAGGGATTTAACAATGTTTTAGTCTTTACAACAGCCCAAGAAAATGACTTTGATGGGAGGAAATGAAGATGTAAATGGGAGTTTGAATGTGCCTATGTATGTGTGTGTGTGGGTGTATCTGTGTGCACGTGTGTCCATTTTTTCGTCTGTGTGTTGTGATAATGGATTCTGATGTTCTGAGATTCATTCATGTTGTTGAAATGCTGCTGAGTAAACATTTTAAATTTGTAACAGCAGACAAACACCCGCCAATGTCCATTTGCCAGCCTTTTCCTTGGTCTTCAAATTAAATGTCCAAACATAAGTGGGACCACGTTGTCTGAAATGGATAAAAAGGAACAAGAAAACGTAAACGAAAACGAAGAAACAACGAAATAAATGCAAGAAGGCATTAGTAGATAGACAAAAGTAAAAGCTAAAAAAAAAGAAATTGGGGAAAATTGGGGGAAAATCACACAAGGAATAAAACAAAATCTCAGCACACAACGTCTAGCGCCCAGCCATCGGGCCAGAAACATAACCCAAAAAAGCGGTATTTTCTAGAGATTTACATCGGATGGGACGAGTTGATAACAAAAACAATCTCCACAAAATAATAATGGACTGAAAAGTGCTTTTGCCAAATGGCCAATCATTCAAAATTTTCTCACACACAGCAACATCCATACATAGATAGATAAGATAGGATAGAATATAATAGTGAAAAAAGGCGGATGACACCATTTTTGTTTTGTTTTTTTTTGTGCAATGAAAAGTGAAAGAAAATACAGTTTTATTTTCATTTTCATTTTTTTTTAAAAGCTACATTTAAAAAATGCAGACTAAAATGAAACAAATCTAAAGAAGTCATTGAATTACTGAAATATTTTTCTTGTGTTTTACAAAATCAATATTGGCGTGAGGTTCAATGAATGTCTTCGGATTATAGCAAATACAGACGACGTCCATATGCGATTGGTAGTCATCAGTTTTAACATCATAAACGCAATTTAAAATCGAAGACTCCTCCATAAGATATCTTCTGAAAAATCAAGTTTATAAGTTTGAGTACTTCGTTTAAAATGTTAAACCAGTAAAGAAAGTCCTAAAGTCGGGCGGGGCCGATTTTATGATACCCTACACCACTTTGCTAATTTTGTAGAGCTCCGCATAACAATTAAAAGTTTTTATGGGAGAATTCAATCATACACGCTATGATTATAATTATAATTTAAAGTTCAATAGACTAAATATGCCGAAGCATTTGTATCTTTTAAATTTGGACTTGTATTGCCCATTTGGTGCAAAATTAATTTGAAATCGGATAAAAATATATATGGGAGCTATATCCAAATCGGAACCGATCTCGATAAAATTTGGCAAATATATTTCTGAGCTGTATTTGATATATATCCCTGAATATGTCCCTGTGGGTAACAAATACAACAAATCGGATGAACAATATATATGGGAGCTATAGCTATATCTGAACCGCTCTTCACCAAATTTGGCATACTACCTCCTAGACTCAACGCGGTCGCATGTGCCAAATTTCATCCCATTTGGACAAATATTAGACGTTTGGTGCACAATATAAGGTAAATCGGACGAAGTTATATATGGGAGCTATATCCAAATCTAAACCGATCTCGATAAAATTTAGCAAAGGTATTTCTGAGCTGCATTTGATATATTTCCCCAAATATTGTTGTTACAGAGTGCATATTACGGCTGCGGAGGACAAAAATAACAAATCGGATGAACAATATGTATGGGAGCTATAGCTATATCTGAACCGATTTCGATAAAATTTGGCATACTTATTTTCAGGCCTAATTTGGTTGTATGTGCAAAATTCCATACTATTCGGGCTTATATTCCACGTTTGGTGCACAATAAAAACAAATCGGACGAAGATATATATGGGAGCTATATCTAAATTTTTACCGATTATCTCCAATCTCAATAGGGTTCGTCCTTGGGCCAAACAAATGTTGATTGCAAAATTTCATCTCAATCGGTGGTATACAAAAAAGTGGACAGAAAAAACACATGTGTGCAAAGTTTTAGCCTTCTCTCTCAATTCTTACGAAAAATAGCATGATTACAATAGAATATCCGACGGACATAGTTAAATCGAATTTCATAGTGATCCAGAATATATACACTTTATAGTGTCTAACATTAGTATTTCGAGGAGTTAAAGCGGTTAATAAAAAATTGCAAACAACTTCAGACTGTTGTCATTTCTAATCCACTCGTCCGACAGCTGTTAAAATTTTTCCTTCTGACAGCTCATTATATTGTTTACAAGCGTATAAAATCATTTTGGTGAGAATTTTCCAGAAAAAGAAATTATTCGCGATGGAATTCAAACGTGATAGTATGATTTCTTTATATTTGGCTGGAAAACCACAATTGGCTATCGGTGGAGCACTCCAGCACTTAAATTTGAATAAATCTTTTGTGCCTCGTACCATTGCTCGTTATCGTGAAACTGGTAGCGTAGGGCGACGTTAAGGAAGTGGACGGAAGAAAACAGAAACATCAGCAGAAATGGCTCGGAATGTAAAAAAGCGACTTGATCGAAACCCGCGTCGCAATGGTCGAAAAATGGCTCGTGAGCTGAATATATCGCAAATTCCATTCAGCAAATATTGAAAAACCATTGAAATTTCAAAAAGAGCAAGAACTTACAGCACAACGGAAAGAAAATAGACTCAAAAGAGCTAAAGAGTTGCTTTGTTTGGCCGAAAGTGGTGAACTGCCGAATTTGGGTTTCTCCGATGAGAAAACATTCGTTGTCCAACAGTTTGTAAACAAACAAAATGATCGTGTTTACTTGCCAAAGAGGTTAGCTGGAAATGTGCACCTTCGGTTGGCCACCAGAACTCACGCGCCGGTCATGGTGATGGTGTGGGCCGCCATAACAGCCGATGGTCGCTCTCCGCTCGTATTAATCGACCGTGGCATAAATGCCGTATGTTATGGCGAAAATAATCTGGAGAGTGTATTAAAGCCTTGGGCACGCAAACATTTTGGCCCCAGACTTTGGACATTCCAACAGGACTCAGCACGCTCCACCCAAAAATGGTTACAAAACGAGGTTCCAAAATACCGTAGAGCAATATTCGGGCAGCGTGTGACGGTTTCATTGACGATTTGAAGGCCATTATTCGTACCAATGGTGACCAATACCAATAAATCTAAACTTATTCTAAAAGTTGGGTGCTATTTCCTAATTTTTTTGCTTTCATTAAGTATAATTAAAAACAAGTAAAAAAGCTGTAAGTTCGGCAAGGAACTTTTAATACCCTCCACCGTTTGGTACAAATTTGGCAATTTCCCAAAAAAAAAAAAAAATAAATAAATATATAAAATCGGTTAAAAATTCTGTTAAAATCTTAAATATATTGAATGCCTATACGACGACGTGGACCTGCATGGGTAACTTTTGCCATAAGTTATTTCAATATTTAAATGCGAAACTTGAAGAAAAATCTGTTTAGAATGTAGCTAAAATCATCAAAATACCGAATATGGGGTGTACGGTTATATGGGGGCTATACGAAGACGTGGACCTGCACAGACAATTTTCTGGCATGGGCTGAAGTATCCATTACGAACTTCACATGCGAAATTTGAAACAATCCCGGTAAATAATGTCGCTAAAATCATCAAAATGCCGAATATCGGGGGATACCGTTATATGGGGGCTACACGAAGACGTGGACCTGCACAGATAATTTTCTGTCTTAGGCTGTAGTATCCATATTCATGTGTGCAAAATTTTAGCCTTCTATCTCAATTTGTTCGAAAGATAGCGTGATTACAACAGACAGACAGACGGACATGGCTAAATCGTCTTAGAATTTTACGCTGATTAAGAATATATATGCTTTGATGGGTCTGACATGAGTATTTCGAGGATTTACAAACGGAATGACAAAATTAATATACCCTCCATAGTATGGTGGAGGGTATAAAAATGTAAAAATTATGGCATTTGAATTTGTTGCAGTTTTTTCATCTCACCCTCTATATAATACTGTCAAAGACCCGATATACCTAAAATGTCAGAATTCCACGGAAACATAATCTGAATCCTGCAAAAAATGTGGATGTGGGAGGAACGCCCCCTCTATTTTTTAAATCGCCGATACACGTGTCTACTATATTTAGCTTTAAATTCAAAATTTGCTGGATTTTTACTGTAATTATTAAAAAGAAATAATAAAAAACAGTATGCGATAAGGGTGTAATTATTGAGTAATCTACGATTACTAGAGACAATAAATTGAATGGAATCTGTAATTATAGCCTATTGCGGCACATCAAGTCCTCGCAATGGGCTGGTCCTGAGAAACCTAAGAAATCCGCGGTTATAACTTTAATTGTGTTCATATGTTTCAAAAAATCTATAAAAAAAAAAAATCAACGTCAAAGTTTTGATAGTTTGTGAGGAAGAATCCTTTGAGAATTCACAATCATAGAATTATATTGTCTAAAGTTTTCAACACATATACCAATGCCAGACAGTTGTGGTATTGGTATATTATTCCCAATGTTGACCATAAAAGATTAACATTCACCAACAATTTTCTATAAATCATGGCATGACAATTCTCCATGTATATGTATATATGTATTTTAAAGAGAATATGGTTATCTCACCCACCAAACAGCAACCACACTACAAAAACACCTTCCACGCCATTGCCATTTTCAGTGCGAATCAGCACTTAAGTAAAAATTCATTTGTTTCTATTGGCATCAAATATTGACAGCATTGATGAAAGTTCACAGATAAAGACTAAACGTTTTTAGCTAGCGAGCGAAAGAAAACAGTTTCGTTGTTTTCCTCTTTTTTTACGAAGTGTCATATTAACACTTGCCTATGTTTGACTCTTATATCACCCACCATCCAATTGAACCGAAATGAGACAATTTGGCGTCAGGTCATGGTGCTTGACTTTAATATAAATGGAAAGTTTTGGCTGTGAATTTGGCATTTTTGTAAGGGGATGTGTAGATGTGTGTGTTGGAGTTTGAGGTATTCTCGTCGAAGATGGCCATATAAGGGATGTCGATTAGGAACAAAAGGAATGATGTGGGTTTTTTCGAGGAGTTATTTACTTGAAAAATGCATGATGAAAAATAATTATGGGCATTTCAATAGACCTAATATTAAAGATTCGATCCAACAATATCTAGGTATGGAAAATTCTATTAATTTTATACCCTCCACCATAGTATATTAAGTTTGTCATTCCGTTTGTAACACCTCGAAATATACATTTTATACCCCCCACTATACATATATTCTTGGTCAGCATAAAATTCTATGTCGATTTAGCAATGTCCGTCTAATCGTCTGTAGAAATCACTCTAGCTTCCGAACGAAATGAAGTAGGTTGATAAAATTTTACTCAAATGTATATTATATCTGCAGGACTTTTGGTATTGCAAATGGGCCATGTAGGTCACCAATATAACGGTACCTACCTATATTCGGTATTTTGATGATTTTGGTTCACGTCTTCTTATAGCCCCCATATAACGGTACCTCCCGATATTTGGTATTTTTATGATTTTAGTGACATTATTCACCGGAATTGTTTCAAGTTTGATATTTGAAGTTCGTAATGGATACTACTGCCTATGCCAGAAAATTTTCTATGCAGGTCTCGTCTTCGTATAGCCCCCATTTAACGTTACCTCCCTATATTCGGTATTTGGATGATTTCAGCGACATTATTCACGGGATTTTTTTTTTTTCAAATTTTGTATTTGGAGTTCGTAATAGATACTACAGCTTATGACGGAAGATTGTCTGTGCAGGTGCACGTCTTCATACAGCCCCCATATAACGGTACCCCCAGATTTTCGGTATTTTGATGATTTTAGCGATATTATTCATCGGAATTGTTTCAAATTTGGTATTTGAAGTTCGAAAGGGATACTACAGCCTAATACAGAAAATTGTCTGTGCAGGTGCACGTCTTCATATAGCCCCCATTTAACGGTACCTCCCGATATTCGGTATTTTTATGATTTTATCGTCATTGTTCACCGGAATTGTTTCAAATTACGTTTTTAGAATTCGTAATGGGATCTACAGTCTGTGACAGAAAATTGTCTATGCAGGTCCAGGTCTTCGTTTAGGCCCCATATATGAGTACCTCCCTAAATTCGGTATTTTGACGTGTATAGGTACAATACCCACCGAAATTGTTTGAGATGTCGTATTTTAACTTCGTAATTGATGCTACAGCCTATGACAGAAAATTGTCTATGCTGGTCCAGGTTTTCGTATAGGCCCCATATGTCAGTACCTCCCTAAATTCGGTATTTTGACGATTTTAGGTACAATACTCACCGAAATTGTTTGAGATGTCGTATTTGAAGATCGTAATAGATGTTACAGCCTATGACAGAAAATTGTCTATGCTGGTCCAGGTTTTCGTATAGGCCCCATATGTCAGTACCTCCCTATATTCGGTATTTTGACGATTTTAGGTACAATACTCACCGAAGTTGTTTGAGATGTCGTATTTGAAGATCGTAATAGATGCTACAGCCTATGACAGAAAATTGTCTTTGCAGGTCCAGGTTTTCGTATAGCTCCGATGTAACGATACCTCTCTATATACGGTATTTTAATGATTTTAGCTATATTCTTATAGACCCCTATATAACGGCTATATTCGGTATTTTTAAGAGTTTAATAGAAAATTTAACACATTCTATTTTTTGAAAATTTCCATATTCGTCCCAAATGGTGGAGGGTATTCAAAGTTTGGTCCGGCTAAACTTACTGCTTTTTAACTTGTTTATTATATCCTCAGTATTAATTTTTTTGCTCACATTCGATTTTTTTAGGAAAGTTACCGGAAAGAGTAAACTATTATAATCCATTTTCACACTTGATTTTACGAAAAAAAAAAAAACATTTCATATATGTGTGGGGGCGGGGTACAGGAAGACAGGAAACATTGAAAAGTGCTAGATTATGTTTTAAGAAAGATTTGAATATATTTCCCCATTTTCATCCCTATTTCTCACAAGTCAACCATTTGGATTTCTCTGATAAAATCATGAAGTACTTTGAAGACAGCAATATAATAGAGCAATCGAAGTGGAACCATAAAATATCGATCATATCAAATACAAGCCGATTTTTTTTAGTTTTAATTGAAATTGTTATTGAGCAATGGAATGCGGCGGATGATGGAGTTTTGTTGTTGCGGTAATTTTGGGCCAGCCACTTCAGTGGCTAACCAGGAAGAAGACATTTTGAAGAAAAGCCGATAATCAATGCCGAATGTAATTTGCGGTAACAATAAAAAAAAACACACACTCGGAACAATATTTATGGTGTAGATGTGCTAACACAACGATTTTCAAATTGAGCAAACGTCACTCTCTCCCTCTCTCTCTTCCTTGCTATTCCAAAGTACAATTGTTGAATTTCCCATCCGCCATTTAACAGCAAGAAGAAAAGCAACAATGGCCAATCGATAGACCATAAAAGAACTTAAATACTTTCACGGCATCCGGTCTCTACCGCCAGCCAGCCTATCTATCTGTCTTGTGTCATTCATTTGGTCACGACATTCAGTCAGTCAATCAATCAATCAATTCCGAATTTAACTACCCGCCGCCATTGCCACCACCATCATCAGCACGTTTACGTACCACTTGAACATACCACCATGGCCATCATTTTCATCGTCGTTTTTTGTCAACATGCCAAACGAAGCCGTGTAAGGACTTCACCAAAAAACAGCCGTTGTATTTTGTAGAATGCCTGTCATTCTCGAGCATTCATATGAAATGTGTACAACAATCCCAATGACTAGCCTTCCTGGTGTTGTGTTCGGACCAAAGAACTGTTGACAAACAAAACCTCTAAACTCAAATGCGTTTGCCAAAAAATCAGTGGATTGCCAACATGGGTTAAGGTGGAATGAAGAGACCAACAAAATAAAACCTTTCAGGAAGGAAGAAATAAACGTAATTTCATCGTTTATCTTTAAGAGAATCTTCGAAAGGTTAAGGTAGAAAGGCGAAGTAGGAAAGGATTAGAGCCGCCGCACGATGAATAAGAATTCAATTTTCCATTTTTGTTATTTTTACTAAATGGAATTTGATAGTAAAGATATGAAAACTAAGAAATTTATTATTTTTGGTGATACAAATAGTCAAAGATTACCCAGTGCCACAAAATTCAATTTTTTCAATAATTACAGGGAAATTCCTGTACAATATAAAAGTATATAGGGAGGTACCGTTGGCCGTGGAGGCTATACGAGAATGTGAACCTGCAGGGACAATTTTCTATCACAGGCTGTAGTACCCGTTTCCAAATTCAAATATAATATTTGAAAAAAAAAAAAACAAGTAAAAAAGCTGTAAGTTCGGCCGGGCCGAATTTTTAATACCCTCCACCATTTGGTACAAATTTGGCAATTTCCAAAAAAAAAAAAAAAAAATAAAATCCGTTAAAAATTCTGTTAAAATATTAAAAATACCGAATACCTATACGACGACGTGGACCTGCATAGGCAACTTTTGCATAAGTTATCACAATATTTAAATGCGAAACTTGAAGAAAAATCTGTTTATAATGTAGCTAAAATCATCAAAATACCGAATATTGGGGGGTACCATTATATGGGGGCTATATGAAGACGTGGACCTACATGGCTCATTTTTGACTTAGAATATAGCATCCATTACGAACTTCAAATACCAAATTTGAAACGATTCCGGTAAACAATGTCGCTAAAATCATCAAAATACCGAATATCGGGGGTACCGTTAAATGGGGGCTATACGAAGACGTGAACCTACATGGCCCATTTTCTGTTTTATGCTGCAGTATATATTACGAACTTCAAATACCAAATTTGGAACGATTCCGTGAAATAATGTCGCTAAAATCATCAAAATACCGAATATCGGGGGTACCGTTATATGGGGGCTATATGAAGACGTGGACCTACATGGCTCATTTTTTGACTTAGGATGTAGCATCCATTACGAACTTCAAATGCCAAATTTCAAACAATTCCCTTAAATAATGTCGCAAAAATCATCAAAATGCCGAATATCGGGAGGTACCGTTATATGGTATGTATGATAACTTGGACCTACATGGCCCATTTACGAACTTAACCTGCCTACTGGCGGAATATACACATCTGCAAAAATTTAGCCTTCTATCTCAATTTGTTCGAAAGATAGCGTGATTACAACAGACAGACAGACGGACAGACACACAGGCAGACAGACGGTCATGGCTTAATCGGCTTAGAATTTTACGCTGATCAAGAATATATATACTTTGTTGGGTCTGACATGAGTATTTCGAGGAGTTACAAACGGAATGACAAAATTAATATACCCTCCATAGTATGGTGGAGGGTATAAAATCCGATAAATAATGTTGCTAAAATCATAAAAAATACCGAATTTAGGAAGGAACCGTTATGTGGGGGCTATACGAATGTGTGGACCTGCATAGTCAAATGTCTGTTACAGCTAGCTGTACCCATTAGGAACTTCAAATACAAAATTTGAAACAATTCTCATGAATAATGTCACTGGCATCGAAGAATAAATGCCGAATATTGTAGCGAAAATAGGGAGGGTGTATTAAAGCCTTGGGCGCGCAAACATTTTGGCCGCAGACCGTGGATATTCCAACAGGACTCAGCACCATCGCACTCAGCACGCGCCACCCAAAAATGAGGTTCCTCACTTCATTTCCAGCGCACAATGGCCACCAAAATCTCAAGATACCCATCCGTTGGACTATTGTGTCTGGAGTATTTTTGGAAAGCAATGTTGGCTCTAAAAAATACCAGTGTCGCTCACCTCAAGCAAGCGCTTCGACGGGAATGGGCCTGTGCAATCTTCCTTCATAAGCTCATAAGTTTTGACCACGATATATAACCTACGCTTGTGCGAAGGTTTCCCCTAGTTCAATTAAAATTAATACTACTCACCGTATTTTGTACACAGGACATTCATATATGTTCTTTGTGTCCTGTTTATCTTTTTGTACAGCCTTGACAAATATAACCGGCATGGCTGGGAATAATTCCTTCAAATATGCATCGGCTATGGTATTTAACTGCATGTCCCAACGAGCGCCCTCCATGAAGAGGCCATTAATGTAGGCACCCTCTCGAGGTGCGGAACTAAATCCGGAAAAAATGAATAATTTATTTCTACTTCCCTTCCATTCTCTATCACCACTTACGAAATTTCATCTTTGAACTTTTTCGTCACATCCGTATTGAGACACATTCTGTCCAAAGGCCATTCATTTTTCCTGGCCGTCTGCTGCATAATGGCGGTAAGGAAACTTTGAGGATTAAAGAAACCGCCCAGCCACACAGATGAGGGTAGGCGAAAATCGGAAACCCATGTTTCCAGTTCACGCAAACGTAACTGCAAATCGGCAAACCAAGATTGTAGACCCAAAGTACTGGGATATGCCAATTTGGTCCATGACTCCGGCACCTGATCCATAAACAATGAAGACATTAGATTTTCCATGGTCGATGATATGGTCAATTCTCCCTTCAGACCCAATTCCAGTTCGTGGAGAGATCTTTTCAACTCGGCCATTAGGATGTTCATGCGTTCACATTCTTGGAAGGCCACCAATATATAGGGATTACGATCTTCGACACGAGCCATTAATTCGGGAATGTTAAAGGGTGGCGGTATCTTATCGATGAGATCTTCTAGCATCCCCTTGACCACATCATCCTGCGAGAGGGCATCTCCGCCACTGGCATCCGAAGCACCCGCCAAACGGGGTTGTAGTTCAAACACCACTCTAAACAGACGTTCCGAAACTGTGGTAAGAAAACCAATTTCGGCATTCAAATGTAGGCCATATAGATTGGGACTTTCGGCGGGCAGATTTTCATCAATATAATCATGATAACCGGCATATTTGAGAATACCAGGTGCCCGAAAGCCGGGGCAAAATTGCAACTCTCCATCAATTAAGTCGGGTTGCATAAATTCCTCCAGATAGGTTCTGCAAAGGCGGCGATCCCTGTCATCTGTGATGTGGCCACCATACATTATCTCACCAAAGAGGTAACGCAAATCTTCCCAAGGTACCCGATTATTGGCCTCCAAATAGTTGAAGAGCACATAGACAGATATGGTGAGATCGCCCACATTGAAGGGATACACACGATTCCAACCTTGGGCTCCAAATTTGCGACGCTCTGCCACAACGGCATGGAAATAGCAGAGGGAGAAAAGTATGGCCTTGAATTCAGTCTCCTTGGAACACATTTCCAAGGTTTCATCACTGAAATTGTCCAGTGCCTTGTGAATATTTGCCTGCATTCCAGTGGGTGGTTCATTGGTAATTTTAATGGCCGACTCTAGAATACCTTGAGGCAAAATATGATAGGCTGGATCGGGAGAGGGCTCAGCACTTAAAAATAAACGATAATCGGGATGGACATCCATTAGGGAGGCTTCCATTTTCTTTTCCAGCGATGGCAGCCAACGAGCCACCAGATGGATATTTTGCAACACCACCCAGTGACCCTTGCGCGAGGCAGTGTCAATGGCATTTTCTGCCACAATTTCTTGACCCTGACCCAGCGAAACACTGTGGAAATTTTCATTATCCGAATGGAAACCCAAAAGTTTGCCCAATTTCTCAACATCCTTAAGGGGATCTACACCTGGTGAGAGTACAAAGAAAATGTGAGTCTCCGGGCTGCTTTCCTCGAAAGTCCTGGAAAATTCCATGGAGCGGGCATCGATGTATTTTCCTCCCAGTTTTTCTTCAATGAAAACTTTCATCGAATACGACATGCGATCGGGGCGAATGCAACGCATAATGCACAGCCTTTGAATGGCCGATTTACTTTTCCATTCGCCGGGGAATTTTTCCCGTTCAGGACATTCGGAATCAATAAATGTTTTCCAACGTTTCTGGGAACCTTCCATGTCCTTTTCTAAACCCTTGAAGGCAGGCAAATTACTCAAAGCCTTAATGCCACCCCAGCCAATGTTGGTAAGGAACGGTAAGTTGGATGTGACATTGACCATATATGGGAACCTCAAAAGGAAATCCAATTCTGCAGGCTCAACCTCACCGGCATTGATGAGGATCTGGATACACAACTGGGTAAGGAAGATAAGCTTGTCGGCTTCAAAGAGACCCCTGGAGGTGTACATAAAAGCACAATAGGTTATGGAATCAATCAGGTTTTCCACCCGCTCCTTTAGCTTCTCCGAAACCTGGGCCTTTACAATGGCATTAGAGAAGACCACGGTGAAAGCCTTCAGGGAGAACTGATAAATTGGATTGATTTTAAACAAATCATTGAGTATAAAATAAATTATTGAGGCTCGTTCCGATGCGGGACGGTAAGCCTCGCGGGCGGTATCAATTTGCACGGCCGTTATTTTGGCCTCTGCCACTTTCACCTCAATTTCATCGGCCGTCTTTTTGGTCTTTTCCAAATTCATTACCAACGAAACATCTTCCAGGACATTCTCTCCGGCCGAGGAGAGACGTTGCAGCAAATCATCTTCAAGGAATTTCAAAGTTATTTTAAAGTGATTTTGCTGCTGCGTCAGACGTGAACGCAAAACCTCCAAATCTGGTCTTTCGGCTTTTACCACCTCGGCCAAGAGCTGATCTTCAAGGCCATCTCGGGTTACGGTGAAATTTATCAACGTCGTTTGGGCCTGCATTTCCGGCTTATAATGAGGATTGGCCAATTTGGTGTGCAAAATTAAACGGAACTTGGGATTATAATCAATCTCCCGATCACCCATCTTCAGACAGGTACCCTTCTTGATGAGCATTCTGCCCAGCAAGGGATTCAGTACGGCATCTATATTTTCACCAATATTTTCCAGAAGCAGTACATTGCCATTGCTGACGGCCTGTTCAATTTTATCCAAATAACCTTTTTGGGTTAGGCGCAGGACCACAATCGTGTTGGCATATTTATTTTTCACCCATTTTATGCCTTGCCTTTGAGAGAAAAAAAAATAAATAAAATAAAATGTTAATAAAAAATTAATTAAGAAATAATTCCATCTTACAATTGCGGATCAATCATCAGGGGATAACGTTCCGAATGCACCAAAATAGCCGCATTTTCCGCCGACATACGATCACTGGGTAGCCCCTGATTATTCCATTCGGCAATTTGGGCATCATCACAAATCATTTCAAAGGGATCGGAATCTTCGCTGGATGGTATGCGTGGCTATATAAAAACACAATTATAATATTTATAAGCTGTTAGATAGGGAGATTTTTACCTCACTGGCCTTGAAGGCTGGTTGCCACATTTTGGTTTGCAGTTCTATGCGATAGGCTCGTGTGAAACAGCCAACATATGAAATGAAACAGGCTATTAGAAGGATATCTCCTGGCAATGTTTCATGGCTGCTTTTGAGGCTGTAAGAGAGTTGAAATAATTATTTTTACATTTTATTGAAAGCAAAAAAAAAAAAAAAAAAAAAAATCAGAAATAGCATTAAATTTTAGAAATGGAAGTACCGAAAATCTGGAAATAGTGTTATATGGGTCCTACACGAAACCGTGGACCTCTAGTCAACTACATGTCAGGGAAGGTAGGGCCTATTACGATCTCAAGCTATCAAGTTTGAGATAATTCTGTTAAAGAATGTAGCTAAAAACATTAAATAACCGAATAATCTGAGGTACAGTTATGTGGGGTCTACACCAAATCTTGGGCCTATACATACCGTTGTCTGCAGAGATGTTTCCCACGTACTGGGAACTCAAATTCTCAATTTTTAGCAAATTCGGTTTGAAATTGTGACTAACTCACGAAAAATTTAAATTTATCGTTGCAGTTACATGGGATTAAGGGTGCTGGGAACCCGTGACAACCTTTAAATACCAAATTCCAGAAAATGCCGTTGAAAAGGGTACCAAATATGGTTGAAATGATTTAAATGAGGGGGTAACGTTAATTGGGGTTATACAAAAAGTTGCCCTCATAGCCCATTTTTGAACTTGATCTAAATTTATTCCCATAACGCATGTGTATTAAATTTCAGTACTTTATTCAATCCCTTCGGAAGATAGAGTGATTACAACAGAGGATGGACGGTCGACTACATCGGATTAGAATGTAACTATATATACTTTATTGGATCTAAAATGAGTACTTCTAAGAGTACCAAACGGAATGAAAAATTATTATCCATGTTAAATGTTCGAAAGAGGTACGTTTTGAACAACTAATGCCAGTGAAAAATATACAGGGTTGCCCATATTCGACGGACCCATCTGGCAACGCCATAACTTTTGACAGAGATGTCACATCGCTTAATGACATACCGCGTTTGAAGCGTCAGTCCAAGCAGATTTTTACCATGAACCAATACACGCCACGCGAGCGATCTGAAATAGTTGAAATTTACATTCAACAGAAGAAGTCAATTGTGAAAACTCAACGTGCTTTTAAAACATTAAAAAATGTGAGAAGTGCGCCTTCTAAGAACACCATTAAGCGTTTATACGAAAAATTTTCGACTGGTAAAGCTCTTTCTAATCCGAAGAGGCCATATAAAACTCGATCAAGGCGATCGGCCGAAAATATCGCTGCCGTACGAGCCAGTGTTGAGAGGTCCCCAAGAACATCCCAAAAACGCCGTTCTCAGCAGTTGGGCATGGCTCGGTCCACTTTACAACGGATTATTCGCATTGATTTGCATTTGTTCCCGTACAAAATTCTATTGACGCAAAGAATGTTGCCTGCGGACAAGCCTCGTCGATTGGAATGGGCCCAAAGAGTCATCGAAATGGCCGAAGATGACGAGCAATTTTGGAACAAAATAATCATGTCCGATGAAGCCCATTTCACATTGAACGGGACCGTAAATAAGCAAAAATTGCCGTTTTTACGCCACTGAAGATCCTCAGGAGATTCAAGAAGTGCCTCTTCATGACGAAAAAGTCACAGTTTGGTGCGGCGTTAGTGCGAAAACGGTCATTGGGCCGTTTTTCTTCCAAAATGAAAATGGCCATGCCGTTACCATCAATCAAGAGCGTTATCGCGACATGATGACCAATTTTGTGATGCCAATTATTCGTCGAAAGCGTATGAGGCAGTTCTGGTTTCAACAAGACGGTGCTCCACCGCACACAAGTCGCATAACAATCGATTTTCTGAAGAATTTGTTTCCGGGCCCTTTGATGTCGAAAAGTGGTGATTTGGACTGGCCACCGCGTTCGCCCGATTTGACGCAACCTTCTTCTTGTGGGGATATTTGAAGTCAAAAGTTTACGTTAACAAGCCAAGGACCGTAGAAGAGGTCAAGGACAACATTCGTGAAGAAATAACCGCTATTCTGGCCGAAATGTTGGCAAAAACGATGGAAAATGCAGCAAAAAGGGCACAATACGTCATCAACGCCAGAGGCGGCCATTTGAGAGATATCATATTCAAAAATTGATGTAAACAAATCTACTTGGAACAAATTAAATGATTAACATTGCCAACCGCCAAATTTTTATTTTTTTCTTTGATTTAAAAAAAAATAAAAAAATCATGGGTCCGTCGAATATGGGCAACCCTGTAAAGAGGGCGATGCAGTTGTTTTATAGGCCCTATAGCAAAGCATGAACCTACACCGAGAATTTTCTGCATCAGTTATGATATAAGTAGTGAATATGCGGAGGTACTAATATATAAGGGCTATAGGAAATTGTAGGCGTATAGGCATTGATTTGCCAAGTAGGGTAGAAAATATTACTAAATTTTCTCATTTCCGAAACACCGAAATTTTTTAACTTATCTGTTTGAAGGAATGGTTTAAAAGGTGGAAATGTTATGTATGGTGAGCTATAGAAAATGCTATGATAATGTTATGCCGAAGGCAATAGGAATCATTAGAAACTTTTAATGCTTAATTTTTAATAATACCGTTAGAAAATTTGTCTATTAATTCCTAAAAAATATCAAATAATTTTGTTATGTTTTTTATGGTTTACTGTGAATCGGAGAATAACAAAAGGAATGAAAACCTTAATCAACCCTCCATAACATTATGCAGGTAGAGTATATAAAAATCAACAAGTAAAAAAACATTAAGTTCGGCCGGGCCAAACTTTTAATACCCTCCACCTTAGGGTAAAAGAAACATTAGAAGAAATGTGGCAAAAATCATCAAATTACCGAATATCGGGAGGTACCGTTATATGTGGGCTACACCAAAACGTGGACCTATAATTACAATGTTTTGCCACACGAACTAGGACCCATTATGACCCACCAATACCAATTTTTAGACAAATCAGTGAAAAAATGTGGCAAAAACCATCAAAATACCGAATATCGGTAGGTACCGTTATACGGGGGCTATATCAAATCATGGACCCATGCATGCAATGTTTCGCCACCGGAGCTGGAACCCATTATGACCAACAAATACCAATTTTTAGACAAACCAGTGAAAAAATGTGTCAAAAACCATCAAAATGCCGAATATCGGGAGGTACCGTTAAATGGGGGCTATACCAAATCATGGACCCATATATGCAATGTTTCGCCACCGGAGCTGGAAACTATTATGACCCACAAATACCAATTTTTAGACAAATCCGTGAAAAAATGTGGCAAAAAAAAACTAAAATACCGAATATTGGGAGGTACCTTTATATGGGGGCTATACCACAACGTGGACCTATACATGCAATGTTTTGCCATACGCTCAGGGACCCGTTATGACCTACAAATACCAATATTCAGACGAATCCATGAAAAAATGTGTGTAGACACAATGCAAATTGCTCTGCTAAATTTTGGCGCTCTACGTCAAATAATGTGGGCTGTATCGTGATTTCAACAGACAGACGGACAGACAGACAGACAAACATCGTTAAAACGACTTAGAATTTTAATCTGATTATGAATATATATACTTTATGGGGTCTAAGACGAATATTTAAGGATGTTACAAACGGAATGACAAAGTTAATATACCCTCCTTTCCAAGGTGGAGGGTATAAAAAGATGTCGCTAGAAATTGGAACTGTTGGGACTTACTTTTTAACCGATTCCGCCCATCTCACTTTCTCCGAAGCCAGGCCACCAATTAAACGATTGGCCAAATCGATAGTAAATGCCGTTTTATCGGCCTCATCTTGACATTTCTGCTTCTTAGCCAAGGCATCATCGTATTTCATTTGAAGAACATTTAATTCCTCCTCCAATTCATTCAAACGATTATTCAAGGCTGTTAATTTATCTCGAGCATCAGTCAATTCCTGTTCTGCCTCCATTAAGGCTCTCTCTTTGGGCTCAACCACCAAGTAGACATCATAGAAACGATTTATGTTAATAACCCATGAGCAAAGTCCAGCTGCTGCACTTGACTTGGCTAAAATTTTCTCGGGATCAAATTCAGGATCAGCTAGATACGGCTGCAAAGCCTTAATGATATCCGGATGAATATGTTTCTTGTCATAATTAACGAGATTATCAAGAAATTTATCAACATTGCCCATAATTTGGCGACAGGCCTTCCAGCTGCGATCTTTGGGGATTTTGCCTTTTTGGGCAAATAACACCAGAACAGCAGAGCAAACATTTACCACAGCTTCAGGTGGGGAACCAAAGGACTTCAATTCGGTGAGATTGTTTTTGTTTAAGGTATTTAAAGCTTCCTGAGCGGCAATTAAAGCCGGTTGGGCCTTGCGGAAATCTTCTTCACACAGCTTTGCCTTGGCTGTGACATCTTCTTCAATTTGTCGCACATTTTTCTCTTCCTTTGAAGCGAAAGCTCTCTCTTTGGAAACTTTTTCATTTTCTGTACTTACAACGACAATGAGATTATCGGCTTCTTCGTTTTTGATTTTAAGCTCAACTTCTTGAACTTTTAAGACCTCTTGTAGGGCGTCAACCTCCTTCGAACAACTGGCCAGTTTGATGAGACCATTTTGCAAACGTATTCTGCGATCTTGATTGGCTTTGACTTTTTCCCTCAAAAGTTTGGTATACAAACTAATAAGTTCCAAAAAGCTTTTGGGTGTAGTGTAGTTGTAACGCTTATCATTAAGCAAATAGACTTTGGATATATCATTTACCGTCTTATGGACATAGGCCATGAAACGTGAGACGGGCGGCGCTAGCTCTTTGGGTAGGACTTCAATTTCTTGGAGAAAACGATACGATACCGATTCAAGAGCTTCCTGGGGCCATTCATGGAACCAATCTATGGTGGTACAATTCACCAAGGAGGGGAAATTGCGGGCGCGTACCCTGAGGGTTGTACCCACGGGGGAGAAACACAAAACCACTTTCAGGGAACTGCGAACCTTCTCGATGAAATGCTTCCAACAATTTTCCCTGTTATCCATAATACCCAATTGCTTGACCTCATTGCGTACAGCATTGATTATGTTCTCCACCTCATCATCGGGGAAAAGTTCGTGAATATCACCCGAGGCCAGAAGATCATTGATCAACACCAAAAATTGTTCCCTGGCCACCTCGGCATCTGTCATCAGGAAACAGGAGGCTGAATTCTTGACACCACATTTCATATAAAGCGTTGCAATATTGGCTTTCAAATCATTGATGCCATAATCCTTGGTCAGCTGAATTTGAAAGACATCAAGCGAGGATATTGATGCTGCCAATCGGGTCAGTGACTGTTTGCCTGAACCTCCCACACCAATTAAGAGGGCATAACCTCGAGACGACTCCATGATACGAGAAATGCGACATATATGGGCCATAGCATCCTCGAAGAGTACCAAATTCATGGCACCCACAAAATCATTATAGCGATCCTGGGCCTCTTCCAATAGCTTGTGGAGCCTCTCCCAATCGGGGACGGGCATATATTTGCTGTCGGCTAGCCCTTTCGCAAAATGACAATATATATGGGGTTTGGCAAAAACAAGGTCCTCGTTGTAACTCTCAATGCCCTTGCGTACCATTTCGAGCATCAATTTGTTGAAGGTATTGATATCGCTTTTATCGACCAACTTATCGCCATACACTCGATTGCATTCATGAGTCCACAGGCGAAGCAGCATATTGGGATTTGGACATGTTTCGAAATTGGCATACAACATACCCTGAAAGGGGAGATGTGGGGAATATTAAAAAAAAAATATGAGACACAAATATAGAATTTAAGAAAAATTTTGTGCAAAACGACCACCAGATACTAACAGAGGCCTCAACATAAATTTTCAGGATTCCAGTTCTATTCCTTCACTCAAAATGCGATTTAATACAACTTACACATTCCCAAAACCACTGACAGGGTGAGTTAAAAAACTGCAACAACTTCAGGCTGCTGTCATTTCTAAGCCACTCGTCCGACAGCTGTTAAAATTATTCCAGTGACATTGTTTACAAGCATACAAAAGCATTTTGGTGAGAATTTTCCAGAAAAAAGTTATTCGTGATGGAATTCAAGCGTGATAGTGTGATTTCTTTATATTTGGCTGGAAACCCACATGTGGCTATCGTTGGAGCACTCCAGCATTTAAATGTGAATAAATCTTTTGTGTCTCGTACCAACGCTCGTTACCGTGATACTGGTAGCGTAGCCCGACGCCAGGGAAATGGACGGAAGAAAATAGCAACATCAGCAGAAATGGTTCGAAATTTAGAGCAGTGCAGTTGTCGAAAAATGGTTCGTGAGCTGAACATATTGCAATATTCAATTTGGCAAATATTGAAAAATGAGCTCGGGGTAAAGCCATTGAAATTCCAAAAAGTGCAAGAACTTACACCGCAAAAAAAAAAAAAATAGACTCAAAGTAGCTAAAGAGCTGCTTCGCTTGGTCGGAAGAGGTGAACTGCAAAATTTGGTTTTATCCGATGAGAAAACATTCGATGTCCAGCAGTTTGTAAACAAACAAAATGATCGTGTTTACTTGCCAAAGAGGTCAGCTGTAAATGTGCACCTTCGGTTGGCCACCAGAACTTAAGCGCCGGCCATGGTAATGGTGTGGCCCGCCATAATAGTCAACGGTCGTTTTCCGCTCGTATTAATCGACCGTGGCATCAGAATAAATGCCGAATAATATGGCGAAAATATTTTGGAGGGTTTATTAAAGCCTTGGGCACGCAAACATTTTGTCCGCATACCTTGGACGTTCCAAGAGGACTCAGCACCATCGCACTAAAAAACAAGTAAAAAAACATTAAGTTCGGCCGGGCCAAACTTTTAATACCCTCCACCTTAGGGTAACGGAAACATTAGAAGAAATGTGGCAAAAACCATTAAAATGCCGAAATGCCAAACCGTGCACCTACACATGCAATGTTTCGCTAAAGGAGCTAGAACCCATTATGACCTACAAATACCAATTTTCAGACAAATCCGGGAAAAAATATGGCAAAAATCATCAAATTACCGAATATCGGGAGGTACCGTTATATGGGGCCTGTACCAAAACGTGGACCTATAATTACAATGACTCGCCACACGAACTTGCATCCATTGTGATCTACAACTACCAATTTTCAGAGAAATTCTTGAAAAAATGTGTCAAATATCATCAAAATACCGAATATCGGGAGGTACCGTTATATGGGGACTATATTAAAACGTGGGCCTATACATACAATGTTTCGCCACTCGAACTAGGACCCATTATAACCCATAAATATTAATTTTTAGACAAATCCGTGAAAAAATGTGGCAAAAATCATCAAATACCGAATATCGGGAGGTACCGTTACATGGGGACCATACCAGAACGTGGACCGATATATCTCATTTTCAATACCAACCGTCCTAGACACAATACAAATTGCTCTGCTAAATTTTGGCGCCCCACGTCAAATAATGTGGGCTGTATCGTGATTTCAACAGACAGACGGACAGACAGACGGACATCGTTAAATCGACTAAGAATTTTATGCTGATTATGAATATATATGGGGGTCTACGACAAATTTTTAAGGATGTTACAAACGGAATGACAAAGTTAATATACCCTCCTTTCCAAGGTGGAGGGTATAATAATAAAGCGCCGGGAATGGGCCAAAATACTGCAGAAAAATATTCGGGCAGCGTGTGACAGTTTCATTGGCCGTTTGAAGGCATAATTCGTGCCAAAGGAGACCAATTCGAACAAATCTAAACTTATTTTAAAATTGGATGATATTTCCGAAATTTGTTACTTTCAAAAAACAATAATACAATAAAATTTAAGGCAAAATGTTATAATTATGGCGTTTGACTTTGTTGCAGTTTTTTTTATCTCACCCTGTATATGGGATCTATATTCAAATCTAAACCGATCTCGATAAAATTTGGCAAATGTGTTTCTGAGCTGTATTTGATATATTTCCCCGAATATCGTTGTTACGGGGGGGTATATTACGGCTGTGGAGAACAAATATAAAAATCGGATGTACAATATATATATATATATATATATATATATATATATATATAGGAGCTAAATTTAAATTTTGACCGATTATCTCCAATTTCTATATTGTTCGTCGTAGAATCAAAAAAATGACTTTTGCAAAATTTCATCTAGATCAAGCAATAAATACGACCTGTACTTTGTTTACAACAATACATGGACAGACGGACATGAATAAATCGACTCAGAATGTGATTCTATGAAGATCATCAAAAGGGCCTCTGGGTCTACATCGTTTCCTTTCAAATTTAATTTGTGTGTATTTTAAAAAATAGACATTTGCACGAAAATGAATAGACATTTGGATGTTACCTACCATCCTTGTGAAAATATTCCGATCTTGGTTAATATTGAGAATTTGTTGATACTTACCGTAAAAATATTGGAAATATCTCTTAAGTTAAAATTGTAATGAAATTTCACAGCTGTTGGTAAAAATGTTGCCGCCACTTTTTGATGCAGATTAATGGCTGTCTGGACCAAGGGTTCACATAAATTGATTACGGATTTGTCAAATTTGTGTATGGGATTGGCCAAATGTTGTGACAGAATTGAATTGAGTATATGAAACAGGGCATCCGAGCTAGGTTGACTAAAATTAGAAAATTTTTAAATATGGTGAGTTTGACGACAAATATATTTCGGGCTAAAACCATTGAATTAAATTAATTTATTTTTATACCCTCCACCATACTATGGAGGGTATATTAATTTTGTCATTCCGTTTGTAACATCCTTAAATATTCGTCGTAGACCCCATAAAATATATATATTAATAATTAGCATAAAATTCTAAGTCGATTTAACGATGTCCGCCTGTCTGTCCGTCCGTCTGTCTGTCTGTTGAAATCACGATATAGCCCACATTATTTGACGTAGAGCGCCAAAATTTAGCAGAGCAATTTCAATTGTGTCTAGGATGGTTGGTATTGAAAATGAAATATATCGGTCCACGTTCTGGTACAGTCCCCATATAACGGTACCTCCTGACATTCCGTATTTTGATGATTTATGCCACATTTTTTCACGGATTTGTCTGAAAATTGGTATTTGTAGGTCACAACGGGTCCCGGTGCGTGTGGCAAAACATTGCATGTATGGGTTCACGTTTTGGTATAGCCCCCATATAAAGGTACCTCCCGATATTTGGTATTTTAATTTTTTTTGCCACATTTTTTTACGGATTTGTCTGAAAATTGGTACTTGTTGGTCATAATTGGTTCCAGCTCCGTGGGCGAAACATTGCATGTATGGGTCCATGATTTGGTATAGTCCCCATATAACGGTACTTAACAACATTCGGTATTTTGATGATTTTTGACACATTTTTTCAAGAATTTCTCTGAAAATTACTAGTTGTAGATCATAATGGGTCCTAGTTCGTGTGGCGAGTCATTGTAATTATAGGTCCACGTTTTGGTATAGCCCCCATATAACGGTTCCTCTCGATATTCGGTAATTTTATGAATTTTGCCACATTTTTCACGGATTTGTCTGAAAATTGGTATTTGTAGGTCATAATGGGTTCTAGCTCCTTTGGCGAAGCAATGTATGTATAGGTCCACGATTTGGTATAGCCCTAATATAACGGTACCTGCCGATATTCGGCATTTTAATGGTTTTTGCATTTTGCATTTCTTCTAATGTTTACTTTACCCTAAGTTGGAGGGTATTAAAAGTTCGGCCGGCCGAACTTACAGCTTTTTTACCAGTTATTCTTTACTTACTTCACAGCAAAGGAACAGAAATGCCTCTGTAGACGTGGATTTATGGTAAACGAGCCAGCCGAGGGATTCATACAGGATACAAATTGGCAATTATGTATGTCACGCAGAGTCATTTTGACCCGGTCATACCAATGGCGGTAGTCCATAAATTGTCGAATCAAGGTGTGCGGTTGCACCGTACCATATTTATCCACCTCTGGCATATTCATGTCATCGACAAAGTACAACATACGTTTATTACCCTGGGGACCATAATTTCGTCCTGCCTTCTTCTCCAGAGGTTTCTCCAAGATTCTCTGTAACATCTCGGAGGTGGTATAAAAATTAAAGGGTACATTTGTCACAGCATATTTCTCGGTGGGCAATGAATTCAATTTCGAGTTCATAATTATGGTTTTTCCCGAACCCGGAGCACCAATTAACATAATTGGATAGTTATCTTCGATCAGAACATCCATAAAATAACGCAAACGTGTTGTCTCCGAGGTATGAACCAAATTCGCTTGCAACGGTATGTCGGGATCTAATTCAAAGCTGGGCACTAAATCGGTCCAGGGTCGGAATTTTTTTGTATTGTGATCCACATAATAGGAAAAGATGGTGCCAGCTTCGGGAAATTTAACCGTTTTGAATTCATTGGTAAACCATTTGCTGAACTCATTACGCCAATCGATTATTTGATCTTGAAACAGGGTCGAACCGAAACCCCATATAACACAGAACACAAAATAGATTTCATACCAATCCTTGGGACAATCGGCGGGGACATTTTGTTGTGTTAGCATACTTTGCAGCAGGAAGCAGGTCATCTGCAGCATGGCAATATCAGAAATCGGCGTGATTTTCTTAAAGCGCACCCGAAAGGCGTCCAACATGGGTGGTATGTATTTGTCGAAAAGAACATTTAGGGTGGCCACTTCGGAGGGATTGCTGCGGGTATTTAACCATGACAATATAAATGGTGTCCATCCTAAATCTTGGGGATTTATGTACAAAATTCCTGCCCGCGACACCGTGGCCGGGGTGGCCGATTTCAAATTGGCAATTTCGAAAAGCAAGCGCATTTCCTTGGTCAACGCAATGCGTTCATTGCTAGCCAATGTCAACACCTTATTGTCATCCATTACGGTATTCAAACTTTCAATCCACATGGGATCAATATCTCCATCCAGTACAATCCATTTGGGACCACTGCCACCCAAATTGGCCTGATCACGCATGGTAATGGAGAAGAGACCATCTTTCCATTCACGTGTCGCCTGATTAACCACACCGAACAGTTCATCATTTGTCACCGCCTTGGGATTTATATCGTTGTAGTGCGGTTTTCGTTTCTGATTGGCATAGGTTTTATTCAATGTCTTCCACACTTCCGATTTACCCGTGCCAGCAAAGCCTATAACAAACACCGAGTGTCGGACGGCAAATAATTCTTCCAGTTGCACGATTTTCAAAACAAATCCGTCGTCGGGTTGCAGCTTCAAATCAATGGCAGATCTTTTGATAACAGCCTCAAATTCCAAGTTACGTTTTCGCGGCACATCCAGCGCCGGGAAAAGATCACCAATTAAACCCATAAATACCGGTAAATCATCAGTGACAATTTTGGGTATATTAAAATCACGCAATGCTCTCATCAGCACCTGATCTTCGGGACGATGGCGATCATCACGCTAAAAATTAAGAAAAAAATATTTTAATGGGGTTTAAGCCAAAATACAATTTTGCATCGAATTAATTATCGAAACCAGTTAAGAAGGTGATAAAGTGCTTTGCTAATTTAGTGGAGCTCGGCATAACAATTAAAAGTTTTTATGGGAGAATTCAATCATACACCTTATGATTATAATTATAATTTAAAGTTCAAAGGACTATATATGCCGAATCATTTGTATCTTTTAAATTCGGGCTTGTATTGCCCATTTGGTGCACAATTAATTTGAAATCGGATAAAGATATATATGGGAGCTATATCCAAATCTGAACCGATCTTGATCAAATTTGGCAAAGATATTTCTGAGCTGTATTTGATATATTTCCCTGAATATCGTTGTTATGGAGTGCATATTACGGCTGTGGGTAAAAAATACAAAAAATCGGATGAACAATATATATGGGAGCTATAGCTATATCTGAATCTATCTTCACCAAATTTGACATACTAGCTCCTAGACTCAATTCGGTCGTAAGTGCCAAATTCCATCCCATTTGGACAAATATTAGACGTTTGGTGCACAATCAAAGGTAAATCGGACGAAGTTATATATGGGAGCTATATCCAAATCTGAACCGATCTCGATAAAATTTAGCAAATGTATTTCTGAGCTGTATTTGATATATTTCCCCAAATATTGTTGTTACAGAGTGCATATTACGGCTGCGGAGGACAAAAATAACAAATCGGATAATCGAATAATATATATGGGAGCTATAGCTATATCTGAACCGATTTCGATCAAATTTGGCATACTTATTTTCAGGCCTAATCTGGTTGTATGTGCAAAATTCCATACCATTCGGCCTGATATTACACGTTTGGTGCACAATAAAAGTCAAATCGGACGAAGATATATATGGGAGCTATATCTAAATTTTGACCGACTATCTCCAATTTCAATAGGGTTCGTCCTTGGGTCAGGACAATAAATGCGAACTGTACTTTGTTTACAAAAATACATGGACAGACGGACGGACGGACATGCATAAATCGACTCAGAATGTCATTCTATGCAGATCATCAAAAGGAACTATGTGTCTATTTCGTTTTCTTTTGCCTGTTACAAACAAATGCACAAAGACGTAATACCCTGACCACCTTGTGGTGTAGAGTATAAACAGATACACATGCCTGCAATTTTAGCTCTACTTTCATAATTAAAAACTTGGTATAGTTATTAAACAAGTAAAAAAGCTCTAAATTGACCGGGCCGAACTTTCAATACCCTCCATTATTTGAAACGAATTTGGCATCTCTCAAATCAATAAAATCCGTTAAAACTTCTGTTAAATATTAAAAATACCGAATTTAGCTGTTATGTATTGGGGCAATACGACGACATGGACCTGCATAGGTAACTTTTGTCATAAGCCATTACAATATTCAAACGCGAAACTTAAAAAAAAATCGGTGAATAATGTCGCTAAAATCATCAAAATACCGAATATCGGGGGTACCGTTATATGGGGGCTATACGGACGTGGACCTGCACAGACAATTTTCTGTTACAGGCTGTAGTATCCATTACGAACTTCAAATGCGAATTTTGAAACAATTCCGGTAAATAATGTCACTAAAATCATCAAAATACCGAATATCGGGGGGTTACGTTATATTGGAGCTATACGAAGACGCCCATTTTCAATATCAAAAGTCCTGCAGACATAATACACATTTGAGTAAATTTTTATCAACTTACTTCATTTCGTTCGGAAGCTAGAGTGATTTCCACAGACGGATATACGGACGGACGAACATCGCTAAATCGACATAGAATTTTATGCTGATCAAGAATATATATACTTTGTGGGGCATAAAATGTATATTTCGAGGTGTTACAAACGGAATGACATACTTTGGTGGAGGGTATAAAAATTGAATTTTGTCATACTGTGTTATAAACATTAAAAAAATGTTTTCTTTTTATGAGAATATTTTCTAAACATCAATCGAACTTCCTTTACCTACCACCATCGCTATAATAAAATTCAATTCCTAACCGACAAAAAAACTATTCCTCCCAGTTTTTCGCCTTTGTTCACCACCCACTGTGTCGCATCATTAACTCGCACATATGTGCGTGGATAATGTCTGAATGTGCAAAGCATTTAAACAACTGTTTTCGTTCCAGCAACGTTTGTTTCTACGTGTTTCCGATAAGACTTACAATGCGGCCGCTGCTGCTGCTATGTTAGCCATGTACAAAAATTCTAAGCTGCATATTGTTGGCCAGAAATTGTTACCATTCCTGGCTTGCTGACGGGGCTAGCTAGCTATCTGGGTTGTTACAAGACTACAAACATACCGTATGGCACAAGGAAACGAAAGATGTGTGTGTGTGCGTGTTCTGATTTAGTGGGTGTTGGTTGTGATAAAGGATTTAGTTCAAACCGTCTGTCTGTCTGTCTGTACTGCTCTGCTCTCTGTAAGCAATAATTTACATATGTATGCAGTAGGTACATACCCTCAGGGCGCCGGCAACAACCAAGACAGATTTGATGGCACGCAAACCCCAATCGTAATGGTCCTGTTTGGATAAGAGTTCTCGGCACAGCTCGTAGAGGGCAATGAATTTGCGAGCTAGCAAACGTGCCTCCTGGAAACCTTCGGCAACCAACATAATTTCACTGATTAGGGCAAAGTCAGGCACAACCATGGCACAAGGTCGATATAAAGCTTTTAAGTTTTCGGGCAGTTCAGCACGTCCAGCATAGCCAGGATTCATGGTGATGAACATGCCCACAGTGGCACGTAGCACGATAATTTCACCCAAGAAGTTGAACATTAACTTTTTGGCTTTAATGGCGTCCTGAATGCATTTCACTTGGACTGCCACGACGGACAGGACTTCGACGGAGATGCGATTGAATTCATCGAAACAGCCCCAGGCTCCGGTTTGGGCCAGACCTTTGTGTATATCACCAATGGACTTGTAGTCCATTTGTTCGGAGCAATTGAAGACATAGACCATCATGCCGAGAGCGCGACCCAAATCCTTGGTAGTTTCTGTTTTTCCTGTGCCTGCCGGACCGGCGGGAGCACCACCCATTATGAGATGTAGTGACTGCGTCAGGGTGATGTAGCAACGATCGGTGAGAGGTGTTATCACCAAACGCGGGGTGTTGCCCAAATATTCATAGTCATATTGGAATTGAGCATCGCAAATGTTGGCAAAACAATCATCGAATTTGGTATCCCAACGATGACGTAGCTGGGATTGCCATTGAAAGGCGGTTACCACCTCCACTTTGGCTGCAATGATTTTGGCCACCACATCTCGACTGTGGACATCTATGGTACAGATGGTACAGATTTTCTGGCGATCAGCAGCAGTGAGATCTCCCAGCAGCAGATTGATGAGATGATTTAGCTGCATAACTTGTTTCTTGTTGTAGTCCTTGAGGGCATTTTCATAACGCTGCTGGACCTTGGCAAAGGCATCATTTGTCTCGGTGGTCCACCAGATTTGTGTGGTCACCAAAGCCGGCTGGGCTGGCCAATCGAAAATCCATTGGTGTCTGGGTTTCTCTTCATACGAAATGACGGCCCGCCGAAACTGATCACGCAAGGTATCACGCATTTTGTCCGTGACACGATTTAGCCATACCTCAACCTTACCACTACAATCACAGTTCTCCAAAAATGGTACATACTCCTCGTGTTCCTTGGCCACCATGCCACGAGCCAGTTTTGTATTCGGTATCAGGGTCAGAGAACCCATAGAGTCATAAAGTTTAGTCAAATGTTTACAAACCATTTTGGGATTGTTGCCATTCGATAAAATGTCCAAAAGATCTGCCGAGGACACAAAATAGAATCGGGGATACGCCAACCGCTTCGTCTCCAAATAATCATTCAATGCCTTTTCGCAGAGCAGCAGGAGTTTCAGTAACTGTTCCAGGTTATCATACAGCTTGCTACCCGCCCGATTTGTTGAACGAACCACATTTCGATCGGTATTCATTTGTGCCAACAGTGCCTTAAATTCACGATCAATAAAATCGAAACGCTTTGAGTCCTCCGGCAACTGGGAACGTATATCCTCTGATCCAATGAAAATACTCTCCAAATACACCCACTTGCGCTGCACCTCAAACCATGAACCGATAATTTGATCAGCATTTGAAAGTTTATGCTGCCAATTGCTGACCTCCGCTTGAAAGTGGCCAACAAATTTCGAAGAGGCCATATTTTGTAATTGCACCTGATTCTCTTCCAGTGTCTCGATCATTTCCTCACTGGCCTTTAGCAGCTTAATTGCCGTGCGATCATGCGGCTCATTTTGAAACTCCATGGTGGCCCATGTGTTGTGAATATCACGCAACACCTTTTCCATGGCCATTTCCTTCACCGACTTGTCGACAATGTTCTTGACCTCTTCCTCATATTCATGTAGATTGAGATCGATCAGATCCTTAAGCGTTGTCGAATCATCCATACGAAACTTCACTCCTGTCGTCTGCATCAGTTGTATCCAATGACGATCTCGAATTGCGGGATTTTGTAACTCTGTCACAGCGCGCAGCGAAGTCATGAGATTTTTGAGGGAATTTTCCGTATACAAATAGGGTTCCCAGCTACGCATATCCTTGTCTAATGATCGCAGTTCTCGACCAAATTTCTTACACTCTTGATCCATTATCTCAATGTCGATTTTCTTCCACGGGGTTTTCTTCCAATCTTCTATGGTGGAGGCAATGGTGATATTGAAATCCCACATAATTTTCATAAGTTGCAAATCGCGGCGGCATCTTTCAATTTTGCTCGACTCGGGGCCTTGCAATTCAAACAGTAGAGCAGATCCATTAAGACTTTGCTGGCGTTCCTCCAATTCGGTAATTTCCACATCGGCTTCATCAATCAGCTCATAAACGTTGCGACAGGGCACATGGAAGAACTGTGGAAGGAGGGAAAATTATTACTACTGAGAAGGCAAAATAACAGTAATATTAGGAAAACCTAATATTTCGAATACGAATCTAACTTTCACAGCCAAAAAAAAAAAACATTGGAATGTCTGTCAAGTAAATATGCATGTACAAAGTGGGGCAAAAGCAAACTTCCATCCCAGCTGATTAAGTTTTAGACCCCATGACACGTTTCAAGATATTTATAGCCCATCTCTCTGAGTGGCTGATTTGGTTGAACTTTGGGGCGGAAAAATTCAATATACAAATAATTAGATGGTACTATTACGTGTGGACTATAACCAAAAATATGCAATATATTTCGTTGGAAATTTCTAAACTGATTTGGAAAATTTTCCGATAAGACTTACAATGCCGCTGCTGCTTTATTGGTCATATACAAAATTCTATGCTGCATATTGTTAGCCAGAATTATTTGCATCTACTTGTACGCCTCTGATTTCGATTTATCTAAAATCGGAAAACACTTTCTGCGTTTATTTATGCATGTCAGTCTATCCGTCCGTTCGTCCGTCCATGTATTCTTGTGAACAAAATGCAGGTCGCGTTTATTATCCGATTGCGATGAAATTTTGCAAACAATATTTTTTGGCCCATGGATGAACCCTATTGAAATTGGTGATAACCGGAAGAGATTTAGATAAAGCTCCCATATAACCCATTCAACCGATTTCGGGTTAATTGTGCACCAAATATCCAATATATGCCCAAAAGTCCTGAATATTGGTAAATCCGAACCAATTCAGTCTAGAAGCAAGTACATCGAATTCGGAGAAAATCTGTTCATATATAGATATAGCTCCCATATATATGTTTCACCCAATTTGGTGTTTAAGTCCCTCACATTCGTAATATGCATTCGACAACAATGCAAATATCAGATATCTTATAGAGCTTGGAAATACCTTTGCCAAATTTTATCGAGAACGGATAAGATTTGGATATATCCATATATATCCTTAATCCGATTTGCGGTTTTTTGTGTAAATAATGGCTAATATCAGCCCAAATGGAGTGAATTTCGGGTAGTACGTTTCCATTTTGTGCAACTCGGCTCCGAAATATATTTTTTAAAATAATCCTTCTACAAGTTGTATCATGGACTCTATAGCAAACTATAACTGCTCTAAAGCCAAATGTTGATAGGTGGTATGATTTACTTGAAATAAATTCTTTTGTTACGGGAGCTCTACTAAATATGCATAGTGGTATAGGGTATCATACAGTCGGCCCCGCCGGATTTTTGACTTTTCCTCACTGGTTTTAATATAGATCGATTCCTGGCGTTAAGGTTGGATTTAGACCCTCGACGTTTTCGAGGACCTGGAGTATGACAAATAATTTAGTAGAATAATTTGACTTACTACGATCCCGTTTGTAAGCGGGAGAAGAGAAAACACAACCGTATCGTCTGGCTGTTGTTTCAATTCTGATTTTATTTTTAAAATATGTTCCTTACGTACTACTAAAACAAATCTAACTTAACCTAGTCGCAGCCACACAATTGTTCTTATCTATTATTAGATTTAAAAGGAAACATTACATGGCTGCGTGTCCCTTCATTCAAGTGATCTTGGCTACCTACTGGCGCATCAATATCTGTGTGTGTGGGTTATGACCTTTATTATCCTACACATTATCGTATGCGACAGCGCACAAGATCACTGAATTGTACACATGTGATATTTTATGACCACTGGGAAATTGACAATTTTTAAATATTTATTTTTAATGGTTAGATTTTCCCAGCGCCTCAGCCGCACTCAAAAGTATGTACAAAGTATTTTGTACATTCTCCCGGGCGGCTTAAATGTGTATATTTTTAGTGGACTGTATTTAAAAATGGATCATGAAGAGGATTATATAAAAAATATTTAGACATATAGCTTTGAAAATGATTATATTATATAAATTATCCTAGGTAACCGCTTGCAGGAAACGGCTCCACTTATCTATCCAGCCTCGCTCGCCAATACCACCACCCTTATCTGCCGGTTTTAACTTCCAAGCTTTATAATTCTTTGGCGACTTGTGATTTGGTAGTTGCTGGCTGCGATCATCCAAGGAGTCATTTTTTCGTAGGGCATCCAAGGTTAGGTCATTGCTGATGTATTTTATACGCGGTTGCTTCAATGAGGATTCCCGGTGTTTGTTATTAATTCTATTCCTCTTTACCTTGTCGCGCTCTTTTTTCTCCGCTTCCTCGATGCATTTATCGTTATCTTTGCCAAACGTGTCTTTTAGAGAAGTACCAATATACACCGGATTTCTTTTTTTGCTCTTCTCTTGTTGGTGGTTCTGTTCTCTGTGGCTTCTCAAATTCATATTGTCCAAGGACACTTTTTGTACATGCTTGTCCATTTTGTCACTGCTGACTTCCTCTGATGTGTCGAGTTTTTCTACGATGGCTTCCAATTTTTTCTTTTGATGTTCCAGCTTAGCTTCCAGATCTTGGACTTGGTTTTCCAGGTCACGCCGTTGCTTTTGAGCTTTTTCTTCAATGGCCTGTATGTCTCTTTCAAATTTAGTTAGCAAGGACTGCACCAAATCTTCAAGCCCCAGTTTTTCATCATTAGCGGTTTTCAGGCCATCTTCTAATATTTTGATTCGGGAAGCTGATTCGGCTAATTGTGATGCAGTATTGAGTCTTCCCTCTTCATTATTTTGGGTAAGAGCTCTAACTTTTTCCTCCGAGTTAGGACTTGCCGGCGGGAATATATTCATATCCTCAAAGTTTCGAGCTGCAACAAAAACACACCAGTCACATTCGCAATCATGTGGATAAAATAGCCAATATCTTCTAGCCATTTCAAGAGTGTCTCGATCACCAATACAATATTCCGCTTCTCTTTTATCATCCAAAGGGCATGTAATATCACCCTTTGCATCTTTTCCACAACTTGTGGTCTTCGAGGGCCTCTGCTCTGTTGTCAGCCCAAAGGTGGGAAATACAATATTTGCACACTCCTCAGCTTCCATTGCTACTTCCTCCGGACTAAGGAAATAGTACTCCAGTTCAATTCTCCAGGGTCCTGGTGGTTTTAAGCATTCTTCAATTTCCGCTTGTGCAGTATCTCCATTCAACTTGCAACCTCGTGTTCTCGTCGCCATTAATTTATGCGCTAACACAAGGCATTTATCCACTGCTACTGAACTTTCCTGGATTCTCTGAGGAATGTACTTTTTAAAACTTTTCAACGTTTGTTGTAAAACGTAATACGTGTTTTCAACAAGAATCTTATACTTGTTCACGTTACGAATTTTTTTTTAAATTGAGTCGCCGATGCCAATGTTGTGCAGAAATAGTCAGCCAAGACCAAAAATTTTGCTTCTTGATCCATTTTTTTTTTTTTCGGAATTCTTTTTGAGTTTTAACTTGGACTAATTGATGTCCTCTTTTCAAAATTTATTTTTATGTATATATATATTTTTTTATTTTGGGACTTTTGTTGTCCTCTTTTCGCTTTATTTTTGCCCCTATGGCTTTTTTTTTTTTTTGTTTTTGCCCCTATGGCTTTTTTATTTTGCCCCTATGGCCTTTTTTTTTTATTTTTTCTTTGCCCCTATGGCTTTTTTTGTTTTTTCTTTGCCCCTATGGCTTTTTTTTTTGTTTTTTATTTGCCCCTATGGCTTTTTTTTGTTTTGCCCCTATGGCCTTATATTTAAAATGCCTTAACGGACTTTGTTTTTTGTAGAAATTCTCCTCTATTTCTGGAGAATATCTATTTCTGCTTGTAGTGAGTCTCTTACCACTGGTGGGGGAAAACTCCTACAATTTTTTTACGGCCGCTAGTTATTTCCACTTTATAAAAAAGTGAAGGCTCGATTGACCATATGTAAGCGGGAGAAGAGAAAACACAACCGTATCGTCTGGCTGTTGTTTCAATTCTGATTTTATTTTTAAAATATGTTCCTTACGTACTACTAAAACAAATCTAACTTAACCTAGTCGCAGCCACACAATTGTTCTTATCTATTATTAGATTTAAAAGGAAACATTACATGGCTGCGTGTCCCTTCATTCAAGTGATCTTGGCTACCTACTGGCGCATCAATATCTGTGTGTGTGGGTTATGACCTTTATTATCCTACACATTATCGTATGCGACAGCGCACAAGATCACTGAATTGTACACATGTGATATTTTATGACCACTGGGAAATTGACAATTTTTAAATATTTATTTTTAATGGTTAGATTTTCCCAGCGCCTCAGCCGCACTCAAAAGTATGTACAAAGTATTTTGTACACCGTTTGAAGGCAGTTCTTAACAATATTTTTAAACAAGTTAAAAAGCAGTAAGTTCGGCCGGGCCGAAGTTTGAGTACCCTTCACCATTTGGAACGAATTTGGAAATTAAAAAAATAAAATCCTTAAAAAATGCTGTTAAATTTTAAAAATACCGAATATTGCCGTTATATTGGGGTCTATAGGACGTGGACCTACATAGGCATTGTTTGCCATTAGCCATTACCATATTCAAATCCGAAACTTGAAATAAACGGTGAATAATGTAGCTAAAATCATCAAAATATCGTATATGGGGAGGTACCATTATATCAGAGCTGTGCGAAGACCTGGACCAGCATAGACAATTTTCTGTCACAGGCTATAGCATCCATTACGAACGTCAAATACGATATCTCAAACAATTTCGGTGGGTATTGTACCTAAACTCGTCAAAATACCGAATATAGAGAGGTACTGACATTTGGGGCCTATACGAAGACCTGGACCTGCATAGACATTTTTCTGTCACAGACTGTAGTTCCCATTACGAACTCTAAATACGTAATTTGAAACAATTCCGGTGAATAATGGAGCTAAAATCATCAAAATACCGAATTTTGGGAGGTACCGTTATATGGGGGCTATACGAAGACGTGGACCTGCACAGATAATTTTCTGTCATAGGCTGTAGTATCCATCACGAATCTCAAATACCAAATTTGAAACAATTCCGGTGAATAATGCCGAAAAAATTATCAAAATACCGAAGATAGGGAGGTACCGTTATATGGGGGCTATACGAAGACGTGAACCTGCCCAGATAATTTTCTGTCATAGGCTGTAGTATCCATTTCGAACTTCAAATACCAAAGTTGAAAAAATTCCGGTGAATAATGTCGCTAAAATCATCAAAAACCCGAATATCGGGAGGTACCGTTATATGGGTGCTATATGAAAACGTAACCTGCCTACTGGAAAAATAAACAGGTGTGCAAAATTTTAGCCTTCTATCTCAATTCGTTCAAAGATAGCGTGATTACAATAGACAGACGGACAGACAGACAGACGGACGGACATAGCTAAATCGACTTAGAATTTTACGCTGATCAAGAATATATATACTTTGTTGGCTCTGACATGGGTATTTCGAGGAGTTACAAACGGAATGACAAAGTTAATATACCCTCCATAGTATGGTGGAGGGTATAAAAAGGCCCCTTTTGTGACTCGCTGGGGAGTTAAATATTTTGACTAAAAAAACTCGTATTGTTATCAATAACATAGTCGAAAATCGATATAACTAAAGTGCACGGCACGGCAATTTTTTAAAAAAAAAACTGTTGAAAATGGGGGTTACTTTACCATCTATTGTCACAATCTAATTTTACGTATTTTTTGTTTTGCTTGGTGTAAATAAAAAATCAACTGTCGCACTTCAGAATTCAATACGGCCATTGAGTATCACTCGTTGTACTCTTCTCCAACTTAATTTAGATATATTTTAATATTGTGAGGTTAAAAACTTAGTAAAATCCGCAAAAATTATTGAATTTACCTCGGCCTATATAAGGTCTGCAAGGAAGCCCATCTGAAAACTAACTTTAAGAGCCAAATTTTTAAGTTTTTTTTTGTCAAAAATAGTCTTCTTGGCCGACCTTACATAGGCCTTGAAACTTACCTTCTTTTTAAGGAATTTCTTGCGATAATTATTCGACAAATTGTTGCAGAGCAAAATTCGTTTCTCAATCAAATCAACTTGATACGATTGTATGGGGGCAATTGTTTGCTTCACTGTTACTGCGAGTTTCTTGACTTTCAGCCATTTTTCGGGAAGTTCACTCATCTACAACAAATGGAAAATCATAAAAGAAAATAAATTTTAATTAAGCATGTTCTTTCTACCATCAAAAGCTCCGAATCTTTAAACTCATAATTATATGTCTTTAGCAAATCGACAATTTCCTTGAGAGACTCAAACATATTGTCATAGATAAACTGTTTCTCATTGATGGTATTCAGGACGGACATGATTTGTATTAGACCATCGAAGTCATCTTTATTCAGCTCCATTTTGAGGGCCACATTGGCATCATCAACGAAATTTGCCAGTTCCTAAAATGTAGCGATTTTCATTTTTGTTGTCGTTCTTTTGTTGGCAGTGGTCTTCTTACCATTAGCGAATTCCTCACACGATTTATGAGATCCATTTTAAATAGACTTATCCATTTGCCAACCTGATTGAGAACGCCAGCCCGGAAACCTTTCTTATTGAGACGTAGCCAGATATTGAAATCTTGAAAGGTATCCCATTTTTGAATTTGGCCCTCCAAGGCAATGAATTTATCCAGCTAGTAATGAACGGATTGTATTATGGTACCTAAAAAGGTAGAGTAAAGGCTACAAACCTGTTCTTTGTATACACTTAGGGGCGGATTATTTTCATCTTTTAAGGGTTTGACTTCTCCCACTCCTTCCAGTTCATCATCCCTCTCACTGGGTGTTAAGGGTCTTCCGTATTTTTTCACTTCAGCCAAATATTGTTGTTTATCCCACAGCCAGAGATAGGAAAATTCCATAAATGTTTTACAGTGTTGCCGTATTGATTGCAAGCCAAATTTGACTTTTGTTAAAATATCCGTGCGATGTTTGTGGATATCTGTTTTATCGGCGATTTCATCTGGATGAAATTGAGGCGAAAATTGTTCGGAAAATCAATGAGTTTATCACCAATGTGAAAATTAATTATTAACTAATTTGTGTTAATGATAAAATAGAACAAGTAAAGAAAGTCTTAAAGTCGGGCGGGGCCGACTTTATGATACCCTACAACACTTTTCTAATTTAGTAGAGCTCCGCATAACAATTAAAAGTTTCTATGGGAGAATTCAATCATACACGCTATGATTATAATTATAATTTTAAGTTCAAAGGACTAAATATGCCGAAGCATTTGTATCTTTTAAATTCGGACCTGTATTGCCCATTTGGTGCACAATTAATTTGAAATCGGATAAAAATATATATGGGAGCTATATCCAAATCGGAACCGATCTCGATATAATTTGGTAAAGATATTTCTGAGCTCTACTTGATATATATCCCTGAATATCGTTGTTACGGAGTGCATATTACGTCTGTGGGTAACAAATACCACAAATCGGATGAACAGTATATATGGGAGCTATAGCTATATCTGAACCGATCTTCACTAAATTTGACGTACTAGCTTCTAGACTCAATTCGGTCGTAAGTGCCAAATTTCATCCCAAATGTTAGACGTTTGGTACACAATCAAAGGTAAATCGGACGAAGTTATATATGGGAGCTATATCCAAATCTGAACCGATATCGATACAATTTAGCTAATGTATTTCTGAGCTGTATTTGATATATTTCCCCAGATATTGTTGTTACAGAGTGATCAAATTTGGCATACTTATTCTTTATAAGGTCCAATCTGATCGTACGTGCAAAATTCCATACTATTCGGACTGATATTACACGTTTGGTGCACAATAAAATGCAAATCGGACGAAGATATATATGGGAGCTATATCTAAATTTTTACCGATTATCTCCAATTTCAATAGGGTTCGTCCTTGGGCCGAATAAATGATTTGTGCAAAATTTCATCTGGATAGGGCAATAAATGCGAACTGTACTTTGTTTACAAAAATACATGGACAGAGGGACGGACGGACAGACGGACGGACGGACAGACGGACAGACGGACGGACGGACGAACAGACGGATGGACGGACATGCATAAATCGACTCAAAATGTGATTCTATGCAGATCATCAAAAGGAACTATGGTTCTATCTCGTTTCCTTTTGCCTGTTACAAACAAATGCACAAACACATGGTGTAGGGTATAAAAATGATTAATAACTAAATAATCCATTAATGGAGATAAATTAATTACACTGTGCAACACCAAACCAAATCGTAGCCTCTAAAAATATTCCATAAAATTATTTGTCATAAAATTCTGTATAGGTCCTAGAAGACGTCAAAAGTCGTCGAAATCTGTCCTAAACGCCAAACAAACATATACAGGGTGAGATGAAAAAATGCAACAAACTTCAGACTGCTATCATTTTTAAGTCACTCGTCCTACAGCTGTTAAAATTATTTCAGTGACAGCTCATAACTTTGTTTACAAATGTGAAAAAGCGTTTTGGTGAGAATTTTCCAGAAAAAAAAAGTTATTCCTGCCGAATATTATCGCTAAAATGTTCTTGAGGGTGTATTAAAGCCTTGGGCATGCAAACACCATCCAAGAATGATTACAAAATTAGGTTCTTCGCTTCAATTCCAGCGCACAATGGCCGCCAAAATCTCCGGATACCAATCCGTTGGACTATTGTGTCTGGGGTATTTTGGAAAGCAAGGTTGCCACTAAAAAATGCCAAAGTGTCGATTACCTCAAGCAAGCGCTCCGCCGCGAATGGGCCAAAATACAACAAAGCAACATTCAGGCAGTGTGTGACGGTTTCATTGGCCGTTTGAAGGCCACAATTCGTACCGAAGGTGACCAATTCGAACTAATCTATTCTAAAATTAAATGTTATTTCCGACATTTTTTGTTTTCATTCAATAAAATTAAAAAAATTAAAAATTATGGCGTTTGACTTTGTTGCAGTTTTTTCCTTCTGGTACCTCCCCCACAAAAGGTCGAAATTTCAAAAAAAATATTTATTGCACAGAAAGAGAATGGATAATCCAATTTTCGAACTTTGCGAATCTTAATATTTTGATCAGTGCTAGGTCAGGTGCTAAAATGGACAGTACCGGTCCACTCCATCAAGTATCTCCCCCACAAAGGGTCAACATTTTGAATAATTATACCTCATATAAAATGTGATGTAAGGATCCGAACTTCTTCAAATTTTACACATTCCAAAATTTTTATAAACCCAAGATCTGGTGTTAACATGGAATGTATCGGTCCACACCTTCTGGTACCTCTCATACAAAGTGCCGAAATTTTGAATACCCAAAGGGTCACAATTTTCAATAATTTTATTTGTCATAACTTTCGAAACTTTACTACTTGCTATGCTCAAATATTTCTCTTAATAAGAAGCCTGATATGAATATGAAATTTATCGGAATTTATGATTTGGCATAAAATTGGATATAAATATCCTTTCTTGTAATTTTGCCCAATATCTCGCTCAATATTTTTTATTTGTATCAGATGAAGTATAAAAATGGAATATTTCGGTAGACTCTATATGTTACATCACGCACATTTTAACATTTTCTAAAAATTATTACATATCTCAGATAAAGTGAAGGAGTGAGTTGATATAATCCATACCAGCAACGTTGGAATATTTATATCATATTTTTGGGTCTGATACGAAATGGATAATTTTGGCCCATTCCTTCGGAGCCGGTACTAGTCAAATATATTTCGATTATTTAATGGAACATAGGCTGAGGGTATATATCTGTCGGCAATACCTACTGATACTTTTAACATCTTTTCGAATAATTTTAGCAGGCATTTTCAAAACAATATCTCAATATCAGATACCAACTGTGACCTAAATGTCATATTTCAAGATTTCAGCTCTTTAATTTCCCCGATTGCCAAATTTACAACCATTTAGTGTAATTGTATATTTCCAAAACCACCTCAAAATCTCAATTTCAGATACCAATGGACCCCTTTACATTTGGGGATTCCAGTAATATCCCTTCACCCAATACCATATTTAGTGCCATTAAGTACTTTTTGTACAAGTATTGGACGCATTTCAAAACCATCGCCAAATTTCAAAAAGAGATACCATCAGTAATCTGAACATCAAGTTTCAGAATTTTATCTCTTTCGCACAATTTTAGTACACACTTCCGAAACAACCTCCATGTGCCCATTTTACACTTGAGCAACTATCCTAAAACCAAATTTCCAAAACCAAATTTCCAAATCCCAATGCAAAATTTTAATATTTCAGCTTCATCGTTCATCCTAAACCAAACTGTTCCAAATTTAGTACCATTTAATATAGTTCTCACACTTAGTATACATTTTCAGAACCACCTTCATACATCAAACTTACTGTCCAAACATGATTCTGATACCAAATTTCTAGTTTTCAACTCTATCCGTTCACATATTACCAAAAGGGTAACATTTGAGAATTTTTGGTAACCTTACAGGTCGAATTTTCAAAACCTCTTTGGTATGTTTATGCTGCCTTCTTTCAGTGAATCTAATACCAAACTTAAGAAATCCAGATCATTCCATTTGTCCAATACAAAGTATTGAAGTTTTAATACTTTTAGCTCGAATTTCCAAAACCCCAGCTTGATCGCATGCCTACACACCAATACTCAATACTCATGCTAAATTTCAAAATTCACATTTACTCTTTTCGTCTGGGTTCTAGGTCAGTTAGTCATTTATTTCATTAGTCATTTATATTTAGGAGATTGCCGAAAACACTGAATACCTAAAATGCACGGGTTCCAAGTGTTAAAGAGGGTCGATAGTATTCCCTTTTGTTCACTCCCCTCCCCCCAAACGTCAATACACGTTTTCTTTGTTTTAAGCTGTACTTTCTGTCCGGATTCTGTCCTAATTATTCTCAGTATAGCACAGTGTTATCCATTTGTGAAATTTTTATCACCAACAGTTACCTCCAAAATCTTTCGGTTCCGCTCCGAATTCCGGTGGATCTTGAGCACATCTGGGTAAAATTTCCATCATGTGATACATATCCTCCAATAGGGTTTCCATGTGAAATGTGAATCCCAACTTGTGGCCGGGATGTAAATCTGGAAAATAACAAACATGGGGCTCCTGCAACTCCATTAGAATTTCAAAGACCGGCGCATCATGTTCATAGCGATTTTCAATTTCCATGCGCAAATAAGTGATGCTGGTTATAACAGCATCCAACAGCTCTTTGGCGATTTCTCCATCGACATACTTTTCATATTCACGAAAGAGTTCTCGCTCGTCTTCATTCACCGACTGGAGCAGCTCAAAACGATGGTAGGCGGTAATGATGTCTTCACCTTCTTCCTCCTCCGCCTCCTCGATTCCGGCGAATTCGGTCAAACGCTGAGTTGGACGTTTTTCGGGTTTCTTGGCTTGTTTTGCATTCTGGTTTATCTCCTTCTTTGAGGGCTTTTCTTGAGCTGCCATTGCTTCGTTCTCACCCTCGCCTTCTTCTTCTCCCTCCTCATCATCGGCAATTTCAAAACGCCGTGGTATGTCAAAGAATAATTTGGCATTTTCATACATTAAACGATCAATGAGTGCGGCTGTGTCATTGGCCTGAGCAACCCTTAAAGCCAAGATTTCCATGCGTGGTTCCGTTTCCAACAGGGCCTTGGGATTGTTGTTTTTACGTATGTACAGGGGTTTCTTGCCCCAGGAATTAATACTTAGCTTGATGGTGTTCAAATTCGCTTGACACTGCACCAAACGTTTGTGTAGATATTCAATTTTCGTAAATACCTCAACAATGAAATTTTGATCTGAAAATACAGGAAAGTAAGCCAATGATTGTTTTATAAGCATCCCTAATTAAAACTTGCCAAAATTGTTCCAGGTAACCCTATCAATGAGCGGTTGCATAAATAGCTCATACAACATCAATTCAGCCTGTATTAGAGCCTTTTCACTGGACTTGGCCCGTACATTAATGTCGTTATACCATTCGGCAATACGTTGTAGTTTGATGCGAGCATCCTGATAATAAGGCCACGACAAGAAATGATTTTTATGTTGCATGCTCTCCGCTTGAGTTGACTTACCCAAAATTGCTCCTCCTTGTCAAAGTATTCTCTTATTTCTTCATGTACCTCACAGTTCATGAGCAGCATATATTTGGTATCCTTAAGGGCATTTTTTAAATTCGTATTGAAATTTACCGTTAAAATACCATCTTCATCTTTGGTCAATAATGGCAATTCCATGCCTTCTTTTATGTGTTTCTTTGCCTCCACTGTCCAATACTCGAGAATGGTTTGTCTCAATTGACCCATTTCACCAATCATTTGCTCGTACAAGGCCATTGTATGTTGACCATGTTCATCTTCCCATAAGCTGAGAGGAGGAGAAAAAATGGAATAGTGTTATATTCTGTTGCTTTCCACCTTAGAGAGAGCCGAATAGCATTTTAAAAGGTCAGAAGTAGAATAAAACGTGGAATAAAACGAACATCGACACATTTTTCTTAACCAATAATATTTTTACTATTTTTTCTGGTTTAGTCATCTAGGAGAAGTGGATGTTTTGTTGAAGTGAAACCCTTTAAAATAACAATCGCCCTTATTCTGATTATTGTCGTCGCCGATTCCAAGTCATATTGACACGGCTATTGGTATTGTGTCGACAAAAATCGGTGTCGATGTTATTTTTTATGACGACTTCGAAATATACGGCTACATTCTACATTTAAAAAAACAGGTCAAAGGTCGGGCAGCGCCGACTATATGATACCCTAAAAATAAACATTTGTATGGGGTATTTATGTGAAGTACAGGGTGAGATAAAAAACTGCAACAAAATCCAACGCCATAAGTTTTACATTTTTCTGTCAAATTTTATTGAACGAAAACAAAAAATGTCGGAAATACAGGGTTGCCCATATTCGACGGACCTTTGGGCCCATTCCAATCGACGAGGCTTGTCCGAAGGCAACATTCTTTGCGTCAATTGAATTTTGTACGGGAACAAATGCAAATCTATTCTTTTCCGTTGTAAAATGGATCGAGCCATGCCCAACTGCTGAGAATGGCGTTTTTGGGATGTTCTTGGGGACCTCTCAACACTGGCTCGTACGGCAGCGATATTCTCGGCCGACCGCCTTGGACGACTTTTATATGGCCTCTTCGGATTAGAAAGAGCCTTACCAATCGAAAATTTTTCGTATAAACGCTTAATGGTGTTCTTAGAAGGCGAACTTCTCACATTTTTTAATGTTTTAAAAGCATGTTGAGTTTTCACAATTGACTTCTTCTGTTGAATGTAAATTTCAACTATTTCAGAGCGCTCGCGTGGCCTGTATTGGTTCATGGTAAAAATCTGCTTGGACTGACGCTTCAAACGCGGTATGTCATTAAGCGATGTGACATATCGTCCGTCGAATATGGGTAACCCATAATGGCCTGTCACTGGAATAATTTTAACAGCTGTCGGACGAGTGGCTTAGAAATGAATGGGTTTCATCTCACCCTGTATATTTAGTGCTGCTATTATTTGGAATCAGAAAGAACTCTTACATCATATTTTATAAGAGTTTTAGTTATTCAAAATGTTGATCCATTGTGGGGGAGGCACTTGGAGTGGATCGATATTATCCATTTTTGCACCTGACCTAGATCTGACGCAAATATTCGGATTTGCAAAGTTAGAGCAAAACCAGATTATTGCTTCCCTATTCGGTGCAGAAAATATTTTTTTATTTTGAAAATTTTCAGCTTTTGTGGGGAAGTACCAGTAGAAGTGGACCCATATATTTCACATAAACACCAGACGTTGGGTTAATAAAATTAATGAGATTTGTGAAATTTGAAGACAATCGGACTCACAGTTTAAATAGAGTTATAATTATTCCAAGTTTAGACCCGTTGTGGGGGGGGGGGGGGGGGGGGGTACTTTATTATGTGGGTCGATATTGCCCATTTTTGTACCTGACCTGACTCTGACGCAAATATTAGGATTTGAAAAGTTGGAGCTTAATCGGATTATAGTTTTTTTTCTATGCAGAAAATATATTTTTTGGACTTATCAAATGATATATACCCTCTCCTAGCCATATGGCTAAGGGTATAAAAAAGAGCTGCCATCATACTTACGGATATTCATAGAGTTCATAATCTGTGCGCATCCATACAATACGATGTTCCAATTTATTCAAATATGAAACAGCACCGGATATGGGTGGAAAACAATGATCCGTAGGAAGGGCCTAGGAAATTCAAAATACAGGATTTATTTATTATTCCTTGCATTCATTTTTTTATATTAAACTTACATAAACACCCCTCTCCTTGTACGTTTTCTCGAACGCATTAAAGTCTACCTTAACGGCTTCGATTTCTTCCAGGAAATCATCCACCAAAATATGCATAAATGGATCCAAATGAGCCTTGATAATCGGTCGCAACAACAGAGAGCCACACAACATCAGATCGTGGGAATCTTCCAGAGCTTTTTGAAACTGAAATGCCAATTTACGTTCCAATGTGTCGGTTTTCTCTTTAAATGCCGTTCGGTCTTCTTCAAATGTGGAATTTGTGGCATCTGGGTCCAGGGGGTTGTATTGTATATTCGACCATTCACGATAGTAACCATTGTATTCTTCGAGAATTTTCTCCAAATCATGGGTGATTTGACCGCCCCTCAAACCGCCCACAACAACTTTCTCCAATTTCACAAAATCTCGACCAGTCTCAAATAACTCTTGCAAAACCTGTAGACGCGCAATGAATTTATCAAATCGTTGGAATATCTCCTCTGGATGCCATGTCCAGTCTTGCGAATTAAATTCGGTGCCAACTTTGAATTTCTTTAGTGAGCCGCGTGTCTCATGATATGTCGTACGATAATACTCCAAATGACCAATATTATTTTGAACTCTTTTGAATGCCTCATCAACATCACCTTGGAATATGGAATCGGCTTCTATGGTGCGCATGGCACAATCAATTAATGTGTTGTGTAACAATTGAAAGAGCAACACCATATTGTCTAGGGTGTGGAAATATTTTGAGTGGCCCCAAACTAGGCCCACAGTCAACAGTAAGGGACGTATGCTGCTACGATTTTCATCCAAATCGGCAGTTTCAAATTTTTCAACAATTTTGCGCTGGAAGAAAGAGGGTTATTTTTATGGTGAGGAATGTTGTAAGAAAATAACATTGATTTGGTTTGGTTAGTAAGAGGAGAGAGGAGAGAAATACCTGATCCTTCTCCTCTCATTCCGCATAAATAATATAAATTTAATTATAATTAATTCGGCCGGGCCGAACTTTGAATACCAATTTTCAAAAAAAAAAAAATAAATAAATAAAATCCGTTAAAAAATCTGTTAAAGTCTCAAAAATACCGAATGTAGCCGTTATATTAGAGTTTATACGACGACGTGGACCTGCATAAGCAACTTTTGTGATAAGCCATTACAATGTCATACACAAGCAATAAAACGAAGACGTAGACCTGCACAGGCAAATTTCTGTCTTAAGCTGTATATTCACTACGAACTTCAAATACCTAATTTGATACAATTCCGATGAATAATGTCGAGAAAATCATCAAAATACCGAATATCGGGAGGTGGCCCTTTATGGGGGCTTTACGAAGGCGTGGACCTGCACGGACAATTTTCTATAATAGGCTGCAGTATCCGTTACGAACTTCAAATACCAAAATCTGAAACATTTCGGGGGAAAAATATCGCTTAAATCACCGAAATACCGAAAATAGGGATATAACATTATATGGAGGCTATATCAAAACGTGGACCTACATGGCCCATTTTCAATACCAAAATCATGCATAATATACATTTGAGTAAAATTTAACTACTTCATTTCATTCGGAAGCTGGAGTGATTTCCACAGAGGGACAGACGGATAGATGAATACTTTGTGGGGTCTAAAATGTATATTTCGAGATGTTACAATCGAAATAACTAACTTAATATACCCCCATACTATGGTGAAGGGTATAAAAAAACCCTCAACCCTATGGGGCGTACAACTGTTTTCATTATGTATACGCTACAGTATATGCAACGCCATTTTTTGCCCATGAAGGTATTTCATACAATTTTCATGCTACTTACCAACGGTCCTAAATATTTGGTAATATCCCTGGCCTCAATCAATGCCTCCATTACCAGTTCCACAATTCGCCGATAACTACTCTCGAATACCGAACGTATTTTTTCCAATACAAAACCAATGGTCTTAATACGTTTATCTCCCAGCTGATCGGCTAAATTTTCCAAATTCTCCAATCTTGAATCCCAGAAATTCACCAAATGTTCGGGACGTGGAAAGGCTTCTTTGGAGAATATCTTATCTCTGGACTTGACATGAACCAATTCTTCAACCGAGTCCAACCATTTGGCCACCATAAATTCCAGAGAATTTTTCATCAAATGATTTACTTTGCTGAGATCGCTAAAAGAGGAGAAAGGGGAAACTATTTCTTTTAAAATGAATGCTATATTTGTTGTGTGTTAGGCTGAGTTTCAATAGTGTGGTATAAAAGAGATATTTTTTGTATTTTTTTTTTCCAAATACAGTGGAGCGATTTTTATACCCTACAACACTATGTGTTGGGGGTGTTATAAGTTTGATTGGCCAAAAATTATGTAATTTAATTATGTAAATTATGTAGGAAAGTCTATATGGATCTTCCTAGCTCGCCGAGCTGAGTCGATCTAGCTATGTATGTCCGTCCGTCCGTCTGTCCATGTTAATTTGTAATCAAGCTACAGGTCGGAATTATGGCCCGATTCCCACGAAATTGAAGATGATCGCAAAATACTTAGGGGTTGAAATGGACCAAAAACATAAAAAATACTTGATTTGCAGTTGCTCTACAGGCCACAAGTATAGACTAATCGTCGCGGAATTTTGCATGGAGTTAGAGTTAAGGACTGGGCAGAAGCGTTGAAATTTGGATGGTCATCGGACCACATTTAGTGGGTAAAATAGACCATAACTTTTTTTGTAAAAAATAAAAATTGTGTATCCGGCAATAATACAGATAACAATTTTTTTAGACATGTAATCCTCATTTGGTAGACATGTAATCCTCATGCATGCCAGCAAATGGGTATTGTTGGTCCCTGCTTCAAAATTTAACCATATTTTGAAACAGGGATCAACAATTAGATCGTCGTAAATCAAAATATTATACAACATTATTTACCATGAAATATATTTACAAGTGCCCGATACTTCGTCAACGTAAAGTCCTCTTTGAAATTATAGATTCGTTCCATGAGTTCATGTTAGGCCTTTTTATACCCTACAACACTATGGGTCTAAAATTATGTAACACCTAGAAATATTGGTGTCCGATATAGGAAGCTATATATGGATCTTCCTATCTCTCCGAGCTGAGTCGATCTAGCTAGGTATGTCCGTCCAACCGTCACGCTACAGGCCGCAATTATGGCCGGTTCCTCACAAAATTGGGAATGGAGGTGGGCTTAGGTTCAGAATAGAACCCTTTTATTTTTGTAGATGATCGCAAAATATTTAAGAGTTGCAATGGACCAAAAACAGGCTACAATTATAAACCAATCCACGCGGAATTTTGGATGTAGTTGGAGTTTAGGTCTGGGCAGCCTTCCATTTTGGTCATCGGACAACATTTAGCGGGTAAAATAAACCATAACGTTTATTTCAAAAAATACGACACTTTTCACTAAACCGCGAATATTTTTAATCCCGGCCAAATCACGAGGTCTTTTGCCAGAAAAGGATAAAATCTAAGAAAATTGGTTAAAATTTTACGACAGTAACAAGGGAATATTTATACCCTACACTACATTGTGGTAAGGGTATTATGTCTTTGTGCATTTGTTTGTAACATGGAGAAGGAAGCGAGATAGACCCATAGTTACTTTTGAGGATCTTCATAGAATCACTTTCTGAGTTGATTTATGCATGTCAGTCCGTCTGACCGTCCGTCCGTCCGTCTGTCCATGTATTCTTGTGAACAAAATGCAGGTCGCATTTATTATCCGATTGAGATGAAATTGTCCAAACAACCTTTTTTGGCCCAAGGACGAACCCTATTGAAATTGGAGATAATCGGTAAAAATTTAGGTATAGCTCCCATATATATCTTCGTCCGATTTGCCTTTTATTGTGCACCAAACGTGTAATATCAGCCCGAATAGTATGGAATTTTGCACATACAACCAAATTAGTCTTGAAAATAAGTATGCCAAATTTGATCGAAATAAGTTCAGATATAGCTATAGCAACCATATATATTGTTCATCCGATTTGTTATTTTTGTCCTCCGCAGCCGTAATATGCACTCTGTAACAACAGTATTTGGGGAAATATATCAAATGCAGATCAGAAATACATTTGCTAAATTTTATCGAGATCGGTTCAGATTTGGATATAGCTCCCATATATAACTTCGTCCGATTTACTTTTTATTGTGCACCAAACGTTTAATATTTGGCCAAATGGGATGGAAGGAATTGAGTATAGAAGGTAGTATGATAACTTTGGTGAAGATCGATTCAAATATAGCTATAGCTCCCATATATACAGTTCATCCTATTTGTCATATTTGTTACACACAGCCGCACTATGCACTCCGTAACAACGATGTTCAGGGGAATATATCAAATACAGCTCAGAAATATCTTTACTAAATTTTATCTTATATATAATATATCTTTATCCGATTTCAAATTATTTTTGCACCAAATGGGCAATACAAGTCCGAATTTAAAGGATACAAATTCTTCGGCGTATTTAGTCCTTTGAACTTTAAATTATAATTATAATCCTAGCGTATATGATTGAATTCTCCCATAAAAATTTTTAATTGTTATGTGGTGCTCTACTAAATTAGCAAAGTGGTGTAGGGTATCATAAAGTCGGCCCCGCCCGACTTTAGGACTTTTTTTACTGGTTTAATTTAACAGTTGTTGTACGTAGCCGGCCTTCGGCTCCATCATGTGGCCACTTGTTGGATAGTTATAGCTTTCAAACGATACCTGGAAATGACTTCAATATTTCCAAATTGTTTGCTATTGTTATTTTCATGGACAAATGTCAAATAAAAAATGGTTAATGTCGACTAAAAAATACAATGTCGTCATAATTTTTAAAGTGGACAGATATTCTCTAAAAACGACTTCACATCGACTATTGTATGGACAATGATAATAGTAATCATTCATAGCTATTGACAAAAAACGACAATCCTAATACCACTGGCAAACATAATGGCCGATGCACCATTTTTTAGTAGAATTTCAGAACTTTTCGTAACCTTAAGAGTTCGAATTTCCAAAAACCCTTTGGTATATCTATCCTGCACATTATCATTCGAAATTCCAGAATACTAGTGCTTTCCGTAAATTTTTAGTATGTTTTAGTGCCTTTCGTACCCTTTTAGTACGAATTTTCAATAAGCCTACCAACCAAATTTATCCTCACGCAAATTTTCGTTTGGCCGATCAGCATTAAGCATATTAAGGTTTAACGCATCTATAGTCGTGCATTCTCATCAACATATATAATCAAGCGCCAAATATAGTTAAATCAAAAATTTTGAAAAAAAAAATCTGCAATATTTTTTTTTGTTCTACCATAACAAAACTGCTCCCTTAAATAACGATAACGTGTGTATGTTTTCTTGTTAACTAATAATAAAAAATTGCATATATTACCCTCTTGCAATGGCCGGGGCATTGGCCATCACCTCATCGATGCATATCGGCAACGGTAGAATGGTACGATTTATAACTAAACCTTTCATCTGGGCAATGCCATTGCGTAGATTTTGCGATTCTGTTTTCATATCATTTACAATCACCGAAGTCCAGCCATTTTGATTAACCGGATTATTGAGCAGCGGAAAGATAACATCATCACAAATCACCGAAAGATTTTCCAAAACATTTGGCAATAAATCACCAATCATTAGAGACTGGAAAATGCGAAGAGAACAAAAAAAAAATGAATTGAACATTTTTGGGATTTTTGTAAATAGTAGTGTTGTGCTTGTGTTGAACTCTACCCAAAAGCATGCACTGCACATTGCATTGTATTATTAAATTTCAGCTGTTGTGTATTTTTAATTATTATTGTCGATTTGTTTCTATTTTTTTTTGTGCGTGTATTTTCACTCACCTCGTGCATATTGTTGATGGTCAGGGTACTGGGAATTTCATTACGCACAAAATATACCATTTTACTTAATGGCTTTTCGGGAAAATTGTATGAGGGTACAAGTAGCGAGGCAGCATTCAGTGTAAATATGATACGTTCCTGGTGTGGTTCATTGAGAAAGCCATTGATTATTTCCTATGAGGGAGGGATAAAAAAAATTGAAACAATGAAATAATTTGAAATGGTTTTGGTTGGTTAGTCAAGCATTGGAATAATTGTAACAAGCATATAATAACATAGCAAATCCTTCAAAATTGAATATGGAGTTAATTTTGAAAGTTAAACTGCATTTCAGTTAACAAATGTAACTGCAGATTAAACAAGTTAAAGGGTATCTGTCGGTTTTGACGACAGATGTATACCCCTGGCCTTGAGTTATGATTATTCTAGCTATTTAACCTTTATGGGAGAGGTTCCGCAGCAGTTGTAGTATTCATTACGAACTTCAAATTCCAAATTCGAAATAGTTCCGGTAAATAATGTCTCTAAAATCATCAAAATACCCAATATTGGGAGCTACCGTTATATGGGGGCTATACGAAGACGTGGACTTACGTGGCTTATTATACCCTACACTACAAGGTGGTCAGGGTGTTATGTCTTTGTGCATTTGTTTGTAACAGGCAAAAGGAAACGAGATAGACCCATAGTTCCTTTTGAAGATCTGCATAGATTCACTTTCTGAGTTGATTTGTGCATGTCAGTCCGTCTGTCCGTCTGTCCGTCCGTCTATCCATGTATTCTTGTGAACAAAATGCAGGTCGCATTTATTATCCGATTGAGATGAAATTTTGCAAACAACATTTGTTTGGCCCAAGGACGAACCCTATTGAAATTGGAGATAATCGGTAAAAATGTAGATATAGCTCCCATATATATCTTCGTCCGATTTGCTTTTTATTGTGCACCAAACGTGTAATATCAGCCCTAATAGTGTGGAATTTTGCACATACGACCAAATTAGGCCTGAAAATAAGTATGCCAAATATGATCGAAATCGGTTCAGATATAGCTATAGCTCCCATATATATTGTTCATCCGATTTGTTATTTTTGTCCTCCGCAGCCGTAATATGCACTCTGTATCAACGGTATTTAGGGAAATATATCAAATAAAGCTCAGAAATACATTTGCTAAATTTTATCGAGATCGGTTCAGATTTGGATATAGCTCCCATATATATTGTTCATCCGATTTGTTATTTTTGTCCTTCGCAGCCGTAATATGCACTCTGCAACAACAGTATTTGGGTAAATATATCAAATACAGCTCAGAAATGCATTTGCTCAATTGTATCGAGATCGGTTCAGATTTGGATATATCTCCCATATATAACTTCGTCCGATTTACCTTTGATTGTGCACCAAACGTCTAATATTTTGCCCAAATGGGATGAAATTTGGCACTTACGACCGAATTGAGTCTAGAAGGTAGTATGTCAAATTTGGTGAAGATCGGTCCAGATATAGCTATAGCTCCTATATATACTGTTCATCCGATTTGTCATATTTGTTACCCACAGCCGTAATATGCACTCCGTAACAACGATATTCAGGGAAATAAATCAAATACATCGCAGATATATCTTTATTAAATTTTATCGAGATCGGTTCAGATTTGAATATGTCTCCCAAATATATCTTTATCTGATTTCAAATTAATTTTGCACAAAATGGGCAATTCAAGTCCGAATTTAAAAGATACAAATGCTTCGGCATATTTATTACTTCGAAATTTTAAATTATAATCATAGAGTGTATGATTGAATTCTCCCATAAAAACTTTTAATTGTTATGTGGAGGTCAACTAAATTAGCAAAGTGGTGTAGGGTATCATAAAATCGGCCCCGCCCGACTTTAGGTCTTTCTTTACTGGTTTTTGAAACAATTGAAACAATTCCGGGAGGTACCGTTATATGGGGGCTATGCGAAGACGTGGACCTACCTTTTTCAATAACAAAAGATATGTTGACAATACACATTTGAGTAAAATTTTATCGACCTACTTCATTTCGTTCGGAAGCTAGAGTGATTTCCACAGACGGACAGACGGACCGGCATTGATAACTCGACATAGAATTTTATGCTGATCAAGAATATATATATACTTTGGGGGGTCTAAAATGTATATTTCGAGGTGTTACATACGGCATTATAAACTTAATATACCCTCCATACTATGGTGGAGGGTATAAAAATGGAATATGTGAAATTCGAAGAGAACCGTATGTTTATTGCGGATTTTATAAACGCTTTGATTATTTAAAGTTTTCCCCCTATATGGGAAGTTACCAGAAGGAATGGTCCGATATCTACTATCTTTTAACAGATCTTATTTTGATGGAAATATTGAAATGTGCCAAGTCCCAATGGAATCGAATATTAATTTAGTGTTTTTCGAGCTTCATAAATATACAGAACGTTGACCCTTTGTGACAGACCTTATATTAGTAGACATATTTAAGGTCTGGTGTGAAGATGGTATATGTCGGACCATTCCTTCTGGTACCTCCTCCACAAAGGGTCGAAATTAACATCCGATCCCATTCAGTTTTGGGAAATCTTAATATTTCTATGAACACAAGATCTCTTATAGAGATGCTAGAAATCGGACCATTTCATCTGGTTCCGACCCCCCCCCCACAAAGGTCAACATTTTGAACAATTATAACTCTTATAAAATGTGTGAAGATGAAATATATCGCTTGTCCTTCTAGTACCTCACCCACAAAGAATCACAACTTTTAGTACTTTTATCTGTTATAACTTGCGAAACAAGACTGAGATTCTTTACAACTTGCTCCATCAAAATATTTCTTTCAGCCAGAAACCTGAGATGAATAATAGATATAAATGTTCCATTTCCTCGTAATTTTTGCCCATGCCAATATTTGTATACCCACCACCATACATATTATGGAGGATATATTAAGTTCGTCATTCCGTTTGTAACTCATCGATATAATAATTTCAGACCCAACAAAGCATATATATTCTTGATCAGCGTACAACAGATCTGTCTTTTATCTGCAGGCAGGTCAAGTTCGAAGATGGGCTATATCGGTCCACGATATCGTATAGCACTCATATAACGGTAGCCCCCGATATTCGGCATTTTGATGATTTTAGCTACATTTTTCATTGGAAGTGTCTAAAAATTCATACTAGAAGTTCTTTCCAGTTCCTGGAAGAAAAATGTATATCTAGGTCTACGATATCGTATAACCCACATACAACGGTACCCCCGATATTCGGTATTTTGGCGATTTTAGGGGCGTAATCAATCGGAATTGTTTCAAATTTCGTATCTAGAATTCATAATGGGTATTACAGCCCATGACAAAAAGTCCTCCATATAACGGTACATCCCGGTATTTTGATGATTGTAGCTACATTATTCACCGTTTTTTTTAACTTTCGTATTTGAATATCGTAATGGCTTATGACAAAAGTTGCCTATGCAGGTCCACTTCTATAGACCTCAATATAACGGCTATTTTTAAGATTTTAACAGAATTTTTAGCGGGAGTTATACCTTTGAAAATATCCAAATTCGCACCAAATGGTGGAGGGTATTCAAAGTTCGGCACGGCCAACCTTACTGCTTTTTTACTTGTTATATGAGGTATGAAAATGAAACACATTGGTCGAATATATGTTGTACCTCGCGTGCACTTTTAACAATTCTAAAAATTATCACATTTCTCGTATAAAGTGAAGGAAGTATCCAATATAGTCGAAACCAGACACACCGCAATATATATATTATATTTATTTAGGTCCGATACGAAATGGACAATGTTCCACTTCTTCAGAACCTACTCCATAGAGGGTAAACACTTTGAATAATCATAAAATAACTACCTCTTATATTTTATTTTACGTGGAAAAAAATATTATAAGCCGCAGAAATCTCCCTATTCTACATATAAATTTAATCTATCTTCGTTTTCATTTATATATTTACATATTTGTTTATAATGTATGGCATATTTCACTTCTTCTAATAAACTGCAAGAATTTCCGCTTGAATTAATTCTGGCATGGAACATGGCATCAATCTAATTAATTCAATTCATGTCCTACCTAACTGACTTCAAGAGATTAAGATAGGAAGCTAAAATTTTGCACAGATCTCTCTTTTGTCTGTAGGCAGGTCAAGTTCAAAGATGGGCTATATCGGTCCACGATATAGTATATCCCCCATATAATGGTACCCCCCGATATTCGGTATTTTGATAACTTTATCCACATTTTTTAACGGAATTGTTTGAAAATTCACACAAGGAGTTCCTTGTGGATACTTTATACCTCGGCAGAGAATTATCTATATAGGTCTAAGATGTCGTATAGCCCCCATATAACGGTACCCCCGATATTCGGTATTTTGATGATTTTAGTCACATTTTTCAACGGAATGGTCCGAAATTATACACAAGGGGTTCTTTGTGAGCACTTTACCCACCGACAGAGAAGTTTCTATATTGGTTAACGATATCGTATATCACCCATATAATGGTACCCCGTTTTGATGATTTTACCCCCATTTTTCAACGGAATTATCAGAAAATCCATACAAGGAGTTCCTTGTGAGTACTTTACACCCAGACATTGATTTATCTTAATAGGTCCACAATATCATATATCCCCCCATATATCGGGGGGATAGATATTTTAAAGATATATTAGATATTTTAAATATTTTAAAAAAATTTTTAATAGATTTAATTTTTTAGAAAATTTTCTAATTTGTTCCAAATGTTGGAGGATATTCTAAGTTCGGCCCGGCCGAACTTACTGCTTTTTTACTTGTTTCAGTTATTTTTTTTTTTACAAAATTCAAATTTTCTAAATGTTCTGAAACCCACTCTCGTTTTAATATGCTTTAACATTGAAACCTACTTTCAAGGAACAATTAGTCGCTACCATGTCCTGTCGATATCGATTTAAATAGAATAAAAATCACAAAAATATCGACATGACTAAAAATCAAATAATAGATTTTATGGGTCAATCTGTAGATTTTGCCCTCACTACCACCCCCAACATATCTCTGGTCCTCCTACAACATTCTAGACACCCACAACTTACTCTATATTCTTACCTTGTACTCATTGGTGCTTATGATTTTATTCCATTTCTCCTGTTTCAGTCTCATGGTCTTCATTATGTAATTCCAAAAGAATTCAGGTCTTTCGTCTACCTTTTCCTTCTTTTTCTCTTCTTCCGCCATAATGGGCAACAGAGAGCAACAGAAAATTTATTTAAACAGCAATAAGTATAAGTTTATGGCCGCTTAATAGAGGATGGATGGGTTGCTGCTGCTGCAAAAGGATGGACAAGGCAACAGTAAAAAATTAAATAAAATAACATAACATGGAACATCATTTGAGACCCCCCCCCAACCCCTGCCGTTGGTATCCTTGACAATTGTTAAATGTGCTTAATGTGCCGTTTTTTTTTTCTCCTTCATGTTTTGGTATTCCTTCGGCAAACTTCCATTGTCACTGATGTTTTTGCTTTTGGGCCTCTCCAATAGTCATTGACTAGCAAAAGTCCTCGTAGCGCGTAAGAGGCTTAAATGACTGAATGACCGACCGACTGAATAGCAACAGCCAACCAATCGACCCACAAACAACAGCAACAGCCTCAGTTTGTTTGTGAGCTTTCTTTTTTTATTATTTTTTAAAGGAATCCCAACCAGGACGAACACAATTAATGAACATTTGTATTTCCTTTCCCCTTACCTCGACGCCAAATGACAAGCAGAGGAAAAAACAGGAATTCCAAAATGAATTGCAACAAAAAGTTTATTGTTGTTTTTGTTGCTGCTGCTGCCGCCTGCCTGCCGCTGCTGTTTATTGCGATAATTGAAAGTATTTTATGTTGCAATTCTCCTCTCTTATCGAATTGTTTCAGTTTCTTCTGTTATTTTTTCGTAAAATCTTTCCTTTTTTCAAGGAAAAATGTTTTTTTTTTCGGTTTTATGGATATACTCGGGTGAATGTTTTTTTTTTTGGTTTTTCATTTGACTACTTTTTCGATGATGAAGAAATATTTTTTTTTTAATTGTGTAAATATGAAACATTTTGTAAAGTATTTCAATGAAAGGTATTTACACACATAAGACCATGCATATGACTTATTGTAGATGTCAATATGGATGGATGTGATTTAACATTTTTTTTTCATATTTTTTGAAATTTTTGTATTAAGGTTCCTCTGAATCATAGATTCCTGGGAAACATTTTAGGTAAACAAGCTTTATTTTGGAAAAAAAAACAAAATTTAATCTTCAAGTTAGTCACCATCCGTTTTATTTTACGTTCGGTTTATATCTTTCAAAACTATACGTGTTCGGAAATATTGGTTCTAGACCTACGATATGTTACATACGGATATTTTTATGGATCGCTGAGCTGAGTCGATCTAGCTATGTGTGTTCGTCCGTCTATCCATTTGTCCACTAGTCGCAATTATGGCCCGATTCTCGCGAACTTTTTCATGCAGTTAGGGTTAGTGTCAATATATTGTTGGAGGAGAAAGTTATCGGAAGATATTTGAAAAATATTATTGTCTTTGCATTCGCTCTGCCGGTCACAAAATAAAATAACATGGAAAATAATTTAATACCTCTCACCCCTGCCGGCGGTATCCTTGATAATTGTTAAATGCGCTTAATGTACTGCTATGGAGGGTATATTAATTCTATCATTCCGTTTGTAACTCCTCGAAATGCTCATGTCAGACCCAACAAAGTATATATATTCTTGATCAGCGTAAAATTCTAAGACGATTTAGCCATGTCCGTCTGTCTGTCTGTCTGTCGGTTGTAATCACGCTATCTTTCGAACAAATTGAGACCAAACGCTAAAATTTTGCACACATGTATATTTTGCCAGTAGGCAGGTTAAGTTCGTAAATGGGCCATGTAGGTCCAAGTTATCATATAGCCCCCATATAACGGTTTCTCCCGATATTCGGTATTTTGATGATTTTAGCGACATTATTCACCGGAATTGTTTCAAATTTTGCATTTGAAGTTCGTAATGGATACTTCAGCCCATGCCAGAAAATTGTCTGTGCAGGTCCACGTCTTCGTATAGTCCCCATATAACGGTACCCCCCGATATTCGGTATTTTGATGGTTTTAGCGACATTATTTAACGGAATCATTCCAAATTTGGTATTTGAAGTTCCTAATGGATGCTACAGCCTATGACAGAAAATTGTCTGTGCAGGTCCACGTCTTCGTATAGCCCCCATATAACGGTACCTCCCAAAATTCGGTATTTTGATGATTTTAGCGCCATTATTCACCGGAATTGTTTCAAATGAAGTATTTAGAGTTCGTAATGGGAACTACAGTCTGTGACAGAAAAATGTTTATGCAGGTCCAGGTCTTTGTATAGGCCCCATATATCAGTACCTCCCTATATTCGGCATTTTGACGAATCTAGGTAGAATACCCACCGAAATTGTTTGAGATATCGTATTTGACGTTAGTAATGGATGCCAAGTCTGGTCAAGTTCTTCGCACAGCTCCGATATAATGGTACCTAATACACCGTTTATTTCAAGTTTCGAATTTGAATATGGTAATGGCTAATGGCAAACAATGCCTATGTAGGTCCACGTCGTATAGACCCCAATATAACGGCAATATTCGGTATTTTTAAAATTTAAGAGATTTTTTTAAGGATTTTATTTCTTTTTAAATTTCCAAATTCGTTCCAAATGGTGGAGGGTATTCAAAGTTTGGCTATTTCTATTGCAAACTTTCATTGTCACTGATGTTGTTGCTTTTGGGGCTCTCCACGAAATTTCGCATGAGGTTATGGTTTTAGACAGGGTTTCAGCATTTTGTATGGCCACGGGACAAGAACTGCGCGTAAAATGAACTACCACTTTTGTATGAAATTCTTTTAAATACCTATCAGCACGACAATTGGGCGTAAATATATGGAGGGTATATTAACTTTGTTATTCCGTTTGTAGCATCCTTAAATATTCGCCATAGACTCGAGAAAGTAAAAAATCATCAAAATTCCGAATATTTGTGATATGGCTGGGATTAAAAATATTCGCGGTTTATTGGTAATTTTCGTATTTTCTTACATAAAAGTTAGAGTACCCGCTAAATATTGTCCGATGGCCGCCGAAATTGGTAGGCTTCTCTACCTAAACTCTAGCTCCATTGAAGATAGGCTCCTATGTGGGGAACCAATTTTTCGACGAGTTACATAATTTTTGGCTCAATCAAACTTATAATACCACATAGTGTTGTAGGGTATAATTGAATTTGTCAAGTTAAGTCTTTAGGTTTCCTGGTTGTGTCCCCTATAAACATTTCTGATGGGTAGCAAAAATGTAATTTTCGTATAGGTTTCCTGGTTGTGTTGTGTAATTTTCGTATGAAACCAACTTAAAAGAAGTTGAACTAAAATACCAACTATTACAACTTTGAACATTAAGAAATTGAAATATTGTTTAGGAGGCTTTACTGTTCTCGACCCACAAGTATTGACGATTTAGTTTTGGCAAGGGGTATATTTAAGTAACTATTATTTGTAAAACCTTGCCCTAAAATAAGTCCCCATCAATTTTCGAGGGGTAACCTTTAAGTAGCTTTTATTTGTAACACCTTGACCTAAATAGTGCCCCACTATTTATCATTAATTACACGAATTTCCCTAAATTTGCTAAAAATTAAGACCAACAACTTTATTAACCGCACCACAATGCAAATGATTCAACGCTGTCCGCATTACAAACTTCGACAGTGGTAGTGTTTTGTAATTTTTGCGTTGATTTTCATTGGAAACGATTAGTGGCAGTCTAACTGGTTGATGACTGGCCACTAAATCAGCTATGGTGGTGTTAAATTCGTAACCCCGCCAAATAGACATACCAATACATATGTGGTCGTGTTACGTGGTCAATTTAAAGACTCCTGTGAAGGTCAGGAAGTTCAGGAAACGGCATACATATGCAGTCATCCTCCATCTAACTGTAACTCACTCTCTCTCCCATGTCATACCCTCCGCTTCCGTAGTAACAAAACATGCTCATCCGCCATTGTTTTATGTTGTTGAGGAAATAATATGGTCAAATCTTTTGCCTCTCGAACCAACTCGAACTGAACTATGTGTGTGTGTGTGTGCGAGTGTGTGTGGTTTGGCTGAGCGTCATGTTATCTTTGGGTATATTTGTTGTTCACGCCATGGCCGTAGCTAAGCTATGTATGTGTACATAGTATGTGTACCTCATCCAGTCACGTGGCACAACATGCACTCCGAGGCTGGCCCAAAACATGTGGGTTAACACCAAAATCGTAGCTCATTGCCTTTTTTTGCTTCTGCTGCTACTGCTTCGCACAAAATGAGTTTCAACAAAACCCTCACACATTTTGCATAGATTTTTATTCATATGTCCTATTTGGGCCCAAGGACATTTATTGTTTCGTGCAGTCATTATTGAGTGTGCATGCATGAAAGTGTGTGCGTGTATGTGTGTGTGTTCGTGCCAGGCGGGAGGTGAAGGTAAAAGTGCGTGTATTTACTGATAAAAATGCATAATTGGCGAGTTTTTCGTAACTGCTTAATGTAAATGTTTTCAATTCGTTATATAAGTCACAGTGTTTATGGGGAAAAATATTGGTGTTATTTGAAAAAAGTTTAGACCTCTATTAAAATATATTTATTTTTATATCCTACAACACTATGTGTAAGGGGTATTATAAGTTTGATTGGGCCAAAAATTTGTAACATCTCGAAATATTGGTTTCCCACATAGGAAAGTATATATGGATCTTCCTACCTCGCCGAGCTGAGTCGATCTAGCTATGTATGTCCGTCCGTCTGTCCATGTTAATTTGTAATCACTCTACAGGTCGCAATTATGGCCCGATCTTCACGATATTTGGAATGGCCCCCTCCAAGAATATAAGTCTATTGCTTACCAAAAACTGAAAATTTTCCTGATTTTGCAGTTGCTCTATAGGTCGTAATTTTAAACCAATCGAAGCGGAAGTTAGAATGGAACTAGAGCTTAGGGCTGGGCAGAAGCCTCCCAATTTTAATGGACATCGGGTAATATTTAGTGGATGAAATAGGCCATAACATTTGTGTTAAATAAAAGCCAATTTTCCATTAAACCGCGAATATATTTAATCTCAAGAATAGAATATTTTTTCAAGGACTAAAGGTGGATTTTTAAAGAATATTTTTTTTTTAAAGGACTATCAGCCAAATAAACTTGGATTTTTAAAGAATATTTTATTCAAGGACTATCAGCCACATAAACGTGGATTTTAAAGAGTATTTTATTCAAGGACTATCAGCCACATAAACGTGGATTTTTAAAGAATATTTTTTCAAGGACTATCAGCCACATAAACGTGGATTTTTAAAGAATATTTTTCAAGGACTATCAGCCACATAAACGTGGATTTTTAAAGAATATTTTTTCAAGGACTATCAGCCACATAAACGTGGATTTTTAAAGAATATTTTTTCAAGGACTATCAGCCACATAAACGTGGATTTTTAAAGAATATTTTTTCAAGGACTATCAGCCACATAAACGTGGATTTTTAAAGAATATTTTTTCAAGGACTATCAGCCACATAAACGTGGATTTTTAAAGAATATTTTTCAAGGACTATCAGCCACATAAACGTGGATTTTTAAAGAATATTTTTTCAAGGACTATCAGCCACATAAACGTGGATTTTTAAAGAATATTTTTTCAAGGACTATCAGCCACATAAACGTGGATTTTTAAAGAATATTTTTTCAAGGACTATCAGCCACATAAACGTGGATTTTTAAAGAATATTTTTTCAAGGACTATCAGCCACATAAACGTGGATTTTTAAAGAATATTTTTTCAAGGACTATCAGCCACATAAACGTGGATTTTTAAAGAATATTTTTTCAAGGACTATCAGCCACATAAACGTGGATTTTTAAAGAATATTTTTTCAAGGACTATCAGCCACATAAACGTGGATTTTTAAA